AATCCGTGCAGCCCGGGAACCACTGCTTGCTCTCAAACCAGAGTGATAATCTCGAGTCGAGCGTTGCGTACCCCTTCCGGCACCAAGTCGAACCACTACCACTGTCATAACCTGTAGCCGGCCTGACTGTTCAAAAAAATAGACACGTCGGTCTCGCTTCCTCATCACTCGCAGCAAACCCCCATCTCATGCGAGCATAGCCATCACCATCATTGTTGCTTTTCTCTCCTCCCTTTCTTCTCGACCTCTTCCATCCCTGATTTCCATTCGTGTCAGTCGTACTTCATCAAGTCCACACTCGCTCGACCCCTCTTCACAGCCTCCGCATTCACTCGGATCCAATACGATCCGCTTGCCCCTCCCCTGCCAATTTCATTCTGCGCTCAGGTGATCTGCACTCGCTTTCATCTCTTTGCATGGCAGTAGCCGACAAGAGCACGCCCACAAAGCCCTCTCTCGCCAGTCAAACGCGACGCCTTGCTCTGCAGTCAAGAGCAACATACAGTCATGCAATCGACACAACATAGCACGCCGTCCCCCCACGGGCCGGTTACGCCAACTCCTCGCTCAGCCCAGACTTCTTTCTTCAGCTCCACCACTCCCAAAGCATCCTACATCGGTCTCCCTTCCCCTCGCTTCTCTCCAAGCAGTTCCCGCTCGTCCCTCGCGACCGACACTCCCGATACGACTCTTTCAAGCTCAACCGCTGCCCACTCCACCAAGGAAGACCGACGTCGGAGCGGCTTCGACGACGAGCGTCCGCGCGACTTCTCGAGATTCTCAAGCGCAACCCATCTCACATCATCATCCTCGTCGTCATCTCTGATCAAGGCCTTGTCCGACTTTCAACGCTCAAGCGCCTTCTTTGACGGCCTCTCGTCTCGCGGATCCACGTCCACCTCCTTTGACAACCCACGTACCGTCGAAGACCTGGGCGACTTTGGCTTTGAAGCCCGTCAATCCAGCTTCAACTTCATCGGCGCGGACGACGGCGACCTTCACGACGACGAGGATATCAAGGATCTTGACGCACTCGACTTCTCGCGCACCATCAGGATGAACCTCGAGGCCCTCTCCCGCAGCAGTGCGGACCCTTACGCATACACTCACGGTGGCTACTTGGATCCCAACGCCAGTTATGACGACAAGCGATCGAACGCTCTGGTCGAGCCTACGTGGATGGAGAGCAACTATGCAGAGCTCATCTCGAGGCTCGCCGTTGCTCATGAAGAAGCTGAGCACTACCATCACGACGTTGGCCACCTCGAGCCACCTTCAGTGCCGTTTGCGCGAGACCAGGAGGGCAGCGAGGCAGGCACCCCCCTTGCGATCTCGTCCAAAGATTCTTCCCTCGCTACGAGCCTCACATCGGCTCGCAGTTCCAGCGAGGTGCTCGACGACGAGATCAGAACTCCGCCCGAGTCCGCCTTTGACACCCTTGAAGCGTCGTCCATGCGCCAGCAGCACCGCGTGGCAAGCCCTTCAACTGCCCTCGAGTCCGCAATCCAACAGCACACGCCAACTCCGGCCAATGCTCCGGTGCCGTCGGCTCCGTCGCACGACGCTGCCGTTGAAGCGTCGACCGTAGCTGCGCAGATCAGTCCATCCTTCCACCTCTACCAGGCCCGAGCTGCCTTGTCGCGAAAGTCTTCCGACTCGCCCGTGGCCAACGATAGCTGCGCCATCGAGGACGAGGCTGAGCTCGAGGTTCTCAGCGATGATATTGATACACAGCGTCGCGCGGCGGGCAAGGCGAAGATGCTGCATGCCAGCGAGCATAGCCGGTCCAACTCCCAGTCCGAGCGCGGGCACCACAGGCGCACGTCATCCGTTCACTCTGCTACGCTTGAGAACAACAAGCCCTTCGCGCGGCTCGGCCCTCAAGACATCGCATTCAGCGCTTCGACCCTGCCGGAGCGCACTCCCTCGTCGGACGACTGCGTCGACATGGTTGTCTCGTGCTATCCCGCGATCTGCGATGCCCCTTCGAGGCAATTTGGCGAGGACGGTCTGCCTCTGCCGCCCACCAAGAAGGACGAGACCAGCGAGGAAGAGCGACAGGCCCGCAAGGAGGCTCTCAAGGTCAAGTTCTGCGCCAAACAACGCCTCTCGCTCATCAAGGCGGTCGTCGTCATGGAGTCACGAAGCGCTCACTGGAAGCGTCTCGGTCCCTTCAACCCGAACAACATCAAGGACACCGCCTCGTCTTCTGGTCATTCGCAGCGTTCCGCGTCACCGCCTCGTCCAGGCCAAGTCGGACAGCTTCCAGTTATGCCGAGTCCGTGGTCCTTGGAGATTCGCCACGAGCAGCTCGACATTGCCCAGATCAAGGGCAAGTCGAAGAAGACGATCGAGCTCGCTTCCCTTCGCACGAACGCCCAGTGCGTCAAGTGCGAGGGAAGTGGCCTCGGTGCTTGCACGACCTGCAAGGCAGAGCAAGCCGACGAGTGCTTCTGGTGCAACGGCACCGGGCGCGAGAAGACACGCGCGCAATCCTCGTGCCGACGTTGCCAGGGTGCTGGTGTCCTCAAGTGCAACACCTGCAGCGGTAGCCTCAAGTCGGCCTGTCGCTCGTGCGAAGGCACCGGCACGGGCGAGTACGGCTTCCTCGTCGACGTCACCGTCAAGCGCGTCGACATGCCCGCCGTGCCCCTCGCGACCCTGTTCCCACAGTCTGCGGCCGCCTCGAGCGAATTTGAACCTTCGTACGACGAGGTCAGGGCCGCTGCCAAGCTTGCTCTGTGGGACTCGATCAACAAGCTCACCGATGCACGCGCTCTCGCCACGGCCAGCAAAGGCGGCAAGGCCAAAACCAAGGACATGATCCCGGTCATGGCCGCGTGCATGTGGGAGAACTCGACCACGCACGTCGTCTCGGTGGACGTGCCGCTGGCTGCCAAGTTCAAGAAGGGCGCCACTCCTTCGCTGCGACCCGAGGGTCTTCACAGGAAGATCGCTACGCAGCGAAGGTTCTTCACCGTTCCCACCGACGAGGACCTTCGACCGATTGAGATGTCCGAGGACGAGGTGAAGGAGCTTGGCGCGCCGGCTTCCAGCAAGCCTGCCGCTACGACGCCGCAGGTCAGCCCCTCGAAGACGCCTCCTCGACCTCGCTCGGCTGTGACCAGCACCAGCACCTCGCCTTCGGCAAGCTCGTCTGATCTGAGCGGCAGCCCTCCGCTGGGCACCCCTGTGTGCGGCGGCGGCGTCTCTGGCTACTCGACGCCCACGCGCGTGCCTAGCCCCCAGAACGAGGTCTCGCTCAGCAAACCTGCGGCCAAGGAGTTCGTGATGCGCCCCAGCCCGCTCTCGCAGCTCGCGGCCGCGACCACGCCTTCGCAAACCGTCGTCCAGCCGACCGCCGAAGAGCACAACTACTTTACCGCCCACTCGAACCGATCTTCTACCTCCCAGTCGGGTCGTCGCTCGGCATCCGACATCGGTGCTTCCCCGCAGGACCAGACCACCGCCGTCAAGGCCAAGAGGTCCTCCGCAGGTCAGCTCCTCACCAAGACCTTCGGCTTCAACAAGCTTTCCAAACGTGAGAGTGCCTAGAAATTACACATCCATAGATAGCATCGTCCCATCGTATCCAGGTCTACATGTCAGTCGTTCTCGCAGTATTTCGCACGTCGTGATAATAGAACAATCTTTCTCTTTGCCCAGTTTGAGAGTGTCGTGGCGAGATGGTGGAAGCAAAGCCGGTGAATCGAGGGCCAAAGATTGTCAGTGACGACGTAACATTTTGAAATATTTTGGACACCGACTCCCGAGGAAGCGGCGAAAAAGTTGACGGAAAAAGTTTCTTTTGGAGGCAAAAGGTTGCGCTGTTTGAACCCTTTTCTCCTGGCTGAGCAGCGTGACGACTTTGCACTTCTTCTCGCCATCAACCGCAACACTTCATCACCACCGCCATCTTCTCTGAAGACTGCATTCGTAGTCTCTCACACACGCAACAGCTACGACCTTCTGCACCGGCTGTCGACTGTCTACCATCCGGCTCTAGCCCACTTCACGCTTCGCCGCCACCTATCCTCGAGGCAGCATTCACACTAGTCTCACGCATCCACATCGGCTAGCTCGAGAGCAGCACACTCTTGCGAACCCTTCTGCCTTGCTATTCAGCAGCCCGCCATCATGCTCCAACCCAAGATGGAGCTCTTCAATGACGACTCGTCTCCAGCCAACCTCGACATCCGCACGCGCCCCGAAGAGTCGCTCAACCACTTCACCATCAACAAGGACTTCGCCGAGCGCTACCTGCACAACAAACAACGTGCCGAGCTGCACCAGCTCGAGGCCAAGTACGGCAAAGACGCGCTCGCCTCCGATGACGATGAAGAGACAGACTCGGAGAGCGACGTGACGGAAGACGAGGATGGCGACCAGGTCAACGCGCATGTGGACGCCGCCATTCTGCGCACCTTGCAGCGAATCAGGAACAAAGACGCGGCGCTCTACGATTCCAAGACAGACGTGTTTGCGCAGGAAGCGGAGCGAGCCGAGCGAGCGGCACGAGTGGCCGGGCCGGCGGGGGCGAAGAAGGGAACCACGAAGAAGGATAAGAAGGTCACTCTACAGGATTATCAGCGGTCCAGGGTACAGGAGCTGATGGAGACGGCCGAAGATCCGGCTGCCGCACTCGCCGACGCCACTACCAGCGACCGTGTCAAAGGCATCATCAATGAGGACGAAGGTATGCCGTTCGCGCAGGAGCAGGAGGAACTGCGCAAGGAAGTGTCGCAGGCTTTCCACGCCGGGGTGGACGCCGAGGACGATCTGTTCGTCAAGCGCTCTGAGGCATCGAACGGCAATGGCTCGTCGTATCGCGAAGCGGTGATTGCATCTCTCGGCCCAAACGCGGACGAGAATACCATCCGTCAAGCCATCCGTAACGAAGCATCCACCTCCACCTCTGTTCTCGCCGACGCCAACGACGAGAAGAAGAACGAGGATTTCCTGCTCAACTACATCCTCAACCGGGGCTGGATCGACACGGCTGCCGAAGAGCGACCCGTCAAGCCGCGCCTCACCAAAGCCGTGCTGCAGGCCAAAGACGACGCTGAACCCAGTTCGTCGAATGGCGACGGCCAGGCGTACGGGCGCGACTGGGAAGCCGAAGCGGCCGATCTCGAGAGCGAGGCCTCCTTCGATTCCATGGCAGACGCCTTTGAGACCGCCTACAACTTCCGCTTCGAACAAGGCGTCGAATCGCTCACCATCCCCACCTACTCGCGTCAACCCAAGGACTCGGCGCGTCGCGAGGACAATTCGCGCAAGCGCAAGCGCGAAGAGCGTGCAGCGCGGAAGGACGAGGAGCGAAGGCTCAAGATGCAGGAGTTGGCAAGGTTGAAGAATCTGAAGCGCCAGGAGATCGTGGATAAGCTCAAGAAGTTGAAGGAGGCGACGGGGAGTACGTTGGAGGGGTTGGATCTGGAGGGTGATTTCGATGCCGAGGCGCACGATCGGGCGATGGAGAAGGCGTTTGGGGATGGTTTCGATGGCGGTGAGGATGACGAGAAGCCGAGTTGGGACGATGACATTGAGATCGACGACATCATTAAGGAGCACGAGGCGAGCGTGGGCGGAGGGAAGGGCAAGAAGAAGGCCAAGCAGAGCCATGTTGATGAGGACAAGATCGAGATGGATGCTGACTTCCTCGACGGTGACGCTGGGGACAACGATGGTACTGCGGCAGCTGGAAGCAAGGAAGCCGCTCTGCGTGCTCGTTTGGCCGACAAGAAGCTCAGCAAGAAAGACCGCAAGAAGCTCAAGAAGAAGCTCAAGGCGGCGCTCTCTAAGTCCTCCTCCGCTCCCAACGGCGACGAATCCGACTCGGACGCCGACGACGACGACGGAGTCGAGGTCTCCGCCATGGACGCTTCTGCTCCCGCTGCTTCGAGCACCGACAAGAAGGCGATGGCAAAAGACATGATCGACTCGTACTACAACCTCGACTACGAGGACATGATCGGTGATCTCCCCACTCGGTTCAAGTACACCCAAGTCGCCCCCGCCGACTTTGGCATGTCGGCGGTCGACATCCTGCTCGCCGACGACGACCAGCTGAACAACGTGGTCGGACTGAAGAACCTCCAGCCGTACAGGAGGGGTAAGAACCGGCCGTTGGATCTGGGCAAGAAGCTCGGCCAGTTCCGGAAGGATGTGTACGGCAATACGAGCAGGACCAGTGATGGCACGGAGAAGACGCAGAAGAAGAGGCTGGGTAAGAAGGAGAGGAATCGGTTGAAGGCTGCTGAAGAGACGGGCGGCAAGGAATGATTGCTTCAATGAAAAGCTGTTTGCGCTGCGTCGAGGTGTGTGTGAGAGTGTGTTATCAGGTCTTTGCAGTGATGCTGACAGGCGCGGAGTGGGGCAGATGCAGCGCTCTATAGCAGCGTCCCGGGTCCGGTGCTGTCAAGCATTGTGCATGGCAAGCAGAGCAAGGTCGGGATTCGGAGATCCTCACGCCGCGGCCAGGAAGAAATCTGCACTTTTTGCTTCTGAGCAAGACCCTGAATCACATCTAAATTCGCACGAGAGTGTGCCTAGGACGCTGATTATAACACACGTGTGGAGCGTCTGGCGCGGCCCAGCTTAAAGACGCACGGAACTGGCACCCGTGGAGCGTCAAAGGGCCCAACGCTCCTCAAGGACGTTGGCATCGCTGTACAGAATGGTCCTATTCACGCTGGCTTGCCACAGGCGGTCAATATCAGCCAATCAAAGATGCTTGCATTGCGGTGAGTGCCACGTATCGTACAGCTCATCGCCTACGCCATACACCATCTTCCCACGCTCTCTGCAGGCCCCTTTGATCACCATCCTCCTCCTCCTGTGCTCGCTGCGTCCACCATTGTCCGTATCCATCGTCTTGCCCATAGCAAACCATTGTTCCTTGACTTGCTCGCCTGACCTGCTTGATGCGTGTGCTGATTGGAGGCCTGTGGAACAAAGGAAGACGGCAGAAAGAGAAGAAAGGCAAAGCAAGAGTCAGCGAGCTGTTGCGGTGGATGAGAATGCAGTACAAGGAGGCCGAAGTGAGAGAGCAGAGGTTGACGGAAGGGCGTCCCATAGCAGATGAGTCAACATAAAAGGGCGCCCGCTGGCGTGTCAGTCCTCCTCGTCCCATCCTTCCAAGCAAAGACCCCGTCCTCCCCCATCCAAACTTACCTTGCCAACCCGGAGAATGCCTGCCAGCAGTCGAAAGAAAAGCATCGGAGCGCAGAGGAGATCGAGGCGTGGTGGAGTGGTGGCGGTGGAGACCCAAGGTGAGGCGCGTGAAGTCGAAAGGGGCGAAGACGAGTCGATGGTTGCGGTGATGAGTCCAGTGGAGGACGAGCGCGTGGAAGTCGAGCAGGTTGAACGCGCGGCCGAGGATGTTGGAGCGTCGGGTTTGGGCGAGTTGGGGGCGGGAGAGGGCGAGGAGGGACAAACAGGAGGCAACATCGTCAGTACGCAAGCCATTCTCGCCGATCCCGGTCCGCCAAGTGCCCAGCCAACACCACGCCAAACCCAACCCACCATCCGCATCCTCCAACAAGAGCTGCACCAGCTTCGAGACCAAGTCGAAGCCCTGACCGCCAACCGCATCCATCCTGACATCCCAGCCCTCGCCGACGTCTATCCAAAGCTTGCTTACCTTCACGATGTCTTGCTGATTGAGGCCCGCGGCCTGGATGTGCTCTTGGAGCGCGATGATGTTGTTGAAGAGTCCTCGAGCTGCGTCGTGTTCGCACCTGAGAGAGCAGAAGTCAAAGGTCAGTCTTGTAGCCCTCCGTACACATATGCACGAGGTCCAATTGCTGAGCACGAGTATCCATGAACTTACCGAACATTGCCTTCATCTTGTAGAGCTGCGACGGCTTGGCGATGGCCTGCGAGCGGCGTTGGGTGCCGTCGAAGTCTTGCAGGCTCAGTGTGTCGACCTCACGAAGAGGGTAGATGATCTGTATACATCAAACGAGGCAACAGAAAGAAGATTGCAAGAGTTAGAGTCAGCGAACGTACGAGCAAGTCAACGTTCAACAGCCTCGTCAATGGGCATCGCTGGCGGGGCTGCTGAACCAACATCGCCTTCAACAAGACAATACCCATCATCATCGTTGCCTGCAAGGACGGGCGGGGGAGGCAACAAGACCCACAACCTCCTCCATCGCGCGTTCATCGACTATGTCCGCATGCGATTGGGGGTTGGGAGTCGCGAGCCCCTCCCCGACTTTGACGTACACCATCCAACCACCACCAAAGGCCGACAACTGCTGCGCATCGACTGGTCCAGGCCCAACGATGCCGAAGAGAACTTACGTATTGTCGGTATGTACATGCACTCGGCCACGCTCCTCGAGGACGACCTCGTGAGAGCTATGGTCGAGCGCATCGGCAAGCAGACAGCCCAACGTGTCTGCCTCCAGTCGCTCGAGCGTCTGTTCCGTACCTACAGAGATCAACAAGCAGAAACAGAGGAGGATCGTCAGCAAAGGTTGCGAAACAAGAGACGGCGTCAGCGCAGGCAGAAGAAGTGGGTGAAGAGGAAGAAGCACCTGGCAAGTCGCGAAGACATCCAAGCTCGGTACGGGAACCATGACTTCCTCGTGGAGGAAGCCATGTCTGGAGACGAGACGGGGGACGAGGAGGTACTGGCCGAGCAGGAAGGAAACGAGGTGGTTCACCGAAACAGAGAGGTGGGGCTGGTTGATAGAGTACCATGGCGATCACGCGAGCTGGAGGATGCCATCCGAGCAGTAGACGAAGGTATCAGAGGAGCTCAAGGCACGAATGCGCGCCAAGCTCGAACCCTGATACGCCGTCCCACTGCACGAGCACCTCCCAACCCCGCAACAGCGCCAAGACTACCCCAGACGGTCTACAAATGGATGGTGGCAGAGAGATACGCACAAGCGTACCCCCTTGCCACCGCCAGATGCGCCAACAACCACCCACCCACTCCAGCGAACCGCCGCGAGACCCGCATCCACTCGGTTGGCGAATGGGGCAACGACCCCGCGTTCACCATGACGATGGCCAGCGCAGAGCCACTGCCCATCCCCTCCCCGTCCGTTGTCCATCCACCCATCGCGCCTGGCACCTTGAACAACAGCCTGGACCCCCGCCTTGGCCTTACCCAGTCCAGCGACGAAACCTGGGCTGAGTAAGGCCAAGGCAAAGAGCCTCGGCGCCGGCAGCAAAGGGTGGTGCACCGCGTGGTGCGTCTTGAAGTCGAGGAAGGCCAGCAGGGCATGCACCTGCGTCGACTAGGCCAACCTGAGCCACGGCGAGACTGAACGAGACTGATACTTACACCTTGTACATAACCTGTTCATACAAAAGCAATCAAAAAGAAGTGTGTCAGTAAGCGAACAAAAGAAGCGAGCCAAAGACCTGAGACGAACTTACCAACACAGCGAGAACAGAGCGCAAGAACACAACGCGATGAAGCCGAAAAAGGGGGAGAGGGGGCTGGTGACGAAGGGAGACGCAGGCATGAAGATGCTGGGCACGAGGCCCGGGTTTGTACGCGCGCCGGGGGAGGGTATGCTGGTGAGAACCCCACTATCGTGGCGAGAGCACCATTCGAGCCCCGCTGGCAAGGCGTTGCTCTCCCCCCAAGGTAGGCATGAAACGTGGGTAGCTAAGCTAACCCACGCCAGCACCATCGCGCGCCGATCACCTGTCCTTGCGGACGGCATCCGCAAACCCAACGCTTTTCCCACCCCTCCGGCACCACCACATCCGCAGAGCGTTTGACGGCCCATACGGCGGGCTGCCGTCCTCCACCCCACGAGACCGAGACAACACCACGAGACCGAGACAGGAAACAATCGAGGGGACCAGCAGGACGTGCACCTGCGCTTGGCAGGCCCCCTAAAGTACCGAGGCCGCGCGGCCGAGCCCGAGACCGAGATCCATGCGAATGTGAACCTGTAACTGTATAGAAAGAAACAAAAGCAATGCAGAAAGATGTCAGTAAAGAGCGAACAGAAGACTGAGACTGAGCCTGAGTCGAACGAGGCGCAGAGACACAGCTACTGCCACCTCCAAAGTGAAAGCCATATGGGGCCCGCAGGGCGTGCACCTGCGTCGGAGGGCCCCAAAGAACACCCAGCGAGTTGAAACAAGGCATCGTACTTACCAAAAACGACGAAACCGGCGAAACGAGCGTCTTGATGGATGTGGTTGAGTAGAAAGGTGATGGATGAGACGAAAAGCACAAAGACTCGCGCGCGCGCAGCGCAGACATCACTCAAAATTTTTCGGCCGTGAAATCAACGTCTGGCGTTTCAGGCACTTCACCAGTGTCAGCGCCACTTGGCTGTTTTGCTGAGGCTGGTGGTGAAGAAGCCATGCGCTCGCGATCACAGGCAGTTCAATATGATGGTAGTAGAGCTCATTGCGTGAATTGCAGATGTGATTGAAGCTATCTACAGCAAGAGATGAGTGCTAAACGGCCTTGAGACCCAAGAAAGACCCTTGAACCGTCTGGATCTTGCAGCACAAGAGCTGCGTTGTGATGGCGAGGAAGGGGATCACCATCTCAGTCCCTCCTTCGCCTGGGCGGGCGAACATCAGGCCTATCTCGTCCATGAGATCTAGACCAGGATGGCCAGCTCCCAGCGCATCCACCGCCTCCACCATCTCAATGCTACGAACGTGGGCAAAGTAAATATCCTCGCCTGCCTCCCCGTCTGTGTTGAAGCGTATCCTCTTCTTGAAGAGCCAGAGGATTTGAGCAACTAGAGACTGAGACGAAGGCAGTGGAACCAGCACGTACGTGTTGCCAAGGTTGACACTGCCTCCTTGAAGAGCAGACGAGTACCGAATCGGCCGTGGAAATGACTGCCTCGTCAACGTGTGGAAGTGCTGGGCGTGAGTGGTGATGCCAACGTCATCCGGACCCTGCTCTCCATCGAGCTGATACACCCCGCGTATCGTCTTGTGCGGGCCGTTGAGGAAGAACAGGAGCTTGTTGGTGGTACTGCCGTCCATCACCTTCTTTGCCGCCTTGGTCTCCGTGATGGAATCCATCTCAGCTTGTGAGCCACGTATGTATCGAGTGAGCTCCTTCTTCATCATCTCCGAGCCGCAGTTGAGCAGCACGCGGTCTACCTCGGACCGCAGACTAGTCGTCCTCATCATGCTGTCTTCAACAACACCGCCTTTCCTGTTACACTTCTTCATGCCGCCGAGCACGCCGTTGTAGCTCTCAAACGCGTAACACGAGAAGTTCTTGGCTGCCATGTATCGAACGTTGCAAAGGTGATGGTCAATGAGATTACATTCAACGGCGAAGCGAGCGTGTGTGAGACACTATGATACATACGGACACCGTACAGGCGGATGAACTCGGGGATGTGTTTGGCGATGTGGTTGTTGTACGTGAGCCAGCCTGGACCCAGCATGTTTGACTGCTGCCTGTTGAAGCGGACGATGAGCTCCTCCAAACGGCTGACCTCGCCATCGCTGAGCGGCCTCTCCATGAAGTCGACGATTGCGCTGAGGAGGAGAGCTGCCTCGAAGACGTCTTCCACCGCCTTGCTGCCGAGGAGGACCGGTCGCCTTCCACTGATCTGCTTTGGCTCGAGGTTGAACTGCAATTGGAGCATGCCAGCTCCTCCCAAAGACTGGGACCATACCTGGATGAGACCGAAGATGAGCTGGTGCTTGAAGAACGTCAGCCACTGTTCGGCGTTTGGATTGCCACCGCCTGGCTTGCCAATGCGTCCGTCTGGCCTCGTCGCCGAGCTTGGCAGGCTGGTGTTGTTGACAACGGCCAAGAGCGGGCCCAGCATGCCGCCAATGTTGTTGCAGCCTTCGATGAGGAACTTGTGGAAGAACCTCTTGCACATCCCGAGGTGGACGGCATGCATGTAGTCCGGGGGGCACATGGTCGGTGTTGAGAAGTACACCAGCTCGTGCAAGACGCTGAACTGTACCCCGTTGCTCCTGTGTTGCCTCGCTCCAGCTGCTGACCGGCAGGCGAGAGAATGCTCTCGATGAGCTGCGGTTCTCTTGGACGCCGACGAGGCATGCTTCGAGCCAAGCTCGTCCATATCGAAGAGGCAGTAGGGGCAGCCCTTGCCCTTGAATCGCTGACCGAGGAGGCCTCCAACCTTGGCTCTGGCGGGAGAGTCGGCGACGATCATGCCGAGCTTCACCTTCAGCTCTCTTCCTGTTCAAGAGCGTACACATCGTCGTAGGCAATGCAAACCATCATCAGCTCCACCCTCCGTTGCATCTTCCGCTCCTGTGCTGAACGGATCACTCGCTCAAGCGACTTACCTTCTGGATGTCTGGCAGTCTTGATCCTGATGCCATCGCGATACAGCATCTTGAGCTCGTCCGTGATGAGCTGCAGAAACGGCGTGAGCATCTTGACGTCCTGCTCTTTGGGGCCGGGGAGGAGGCCAACCAAGTGGATACCGGCGCACTTGCGGTCCAGCGAGATGGTGTTCTTGGGGATGTTGTCAATCCGCATGAGGATGGCGCCGCTCGAATGCCATCCTGAGTAGCGGCCCTTGAACGGTGTGAACCAATCGATAGACAATGTGATCTTGATGTGATCACCAAGGTCCACAAACTTCATGTGGTTGCTATCACAGCTCGTACCACAGGCGACGTTTGAGCAGTCCGCTCGCCATCGCTGCCCGGACCAGAGGGTGTTGAACGTTGGATCGCTTGACCGTTCATTGCGAGCAACATAAGCCCTCCATCCTTGGAGTGCATCCTCGTTGCCTTTGTCTCGGAGTACCGACTTGAGGATGGTGGCGATCGAGCGATGCGAGTACGTGATCTTGAGCTTGCCACCATCGTACAAGCTCGCTCCGCACCTCACACAAAGAGGATCAAGTGGGCTGCTTCCTCCATCCCACGGATGCGGGAGTGCACAGGCTGGACACACACCATAGCGTTTGAAATCGTCTTGTATTCCAATCTGCTTGCGAATGCTTGCTGGGGTGACTACGACCTTGAGTGGAGAAGCGCCGACGTTGATAGCGAGCGGATCCGGATGGTGAAGCGCTTGTATTGAGGTCTTGACGAGCGGCACCAGAACCCTTGAGATGATGGTGGCGACGAGGGTGGCGAGCCGGTCAGAGATGCCGCCGTACGCAATCAAGAAGACGACCAGGAGGTAGAGGTGGTGCTCCCATGATGAGGCGATGAAGACCCCCGAGGGCTCCAAGTGGTCTGGCGCGGGCGATTGTTGGACAGGGGTCGGCAAGTTGGGCGCGCCGACTATGGTGTTTGCCGCCGAATGGTCCACGGATGCCGGCTCGAGCCCAAGTTGACCAAAGCTGAACGAACCGTAATCCTCTTCAACGCGATCGAAGTGCTCGGCTTCCATGTTCTCGTCCTCCTCCAAGTCCGATGGCGCATCGCTCCACCAGTGATCGCCGCTCGCGACCTCAACAGCCTCGGCGTCGGTCTCCGCGGCCTCCTCATCATCATCGTCCTGCTCACACTGAGCATCTCCGCCTTCTGTCTCGACATCCTCCAGGTCTTCTCCAGGCAAGTCAGGCGAGGTTGGATGGGGTGCGACGAATGTATTGCTGGCGTGGATGGTGGCAAGAGGAGTAGAACGCAAGACGGCGTCGGGAGATGTTGGGCAATCTGCTCGTCTACGCTGTGGTGTCGGCTCCTGCTCTCGCTCCTTGTTGTGCCAGTACCATGATCGATACCGGAGCAAGACGGCCCCGCCGGGAGCTTGAGAGCACTCGGAACAACTGCACCAGCGATGAGCAGGAGGCATCGGAGGCAAGCGGAAGAAGAAGGTGGTGATGGTGAAGAGGCTCAATTGCAATGCTAAAAGATGAGAATACATACATGATCGGACCCATCGAGACTGAGCTAACACACCATGAGGAGCGTCAGCAACAACGCACCCTATCGACGCACCATCATACCATAGGCTGCGTCCCCCTCCGCTGTGTCAGCACACGCAGCTTATGGACCATCCATAAGGTGCGTCTGTACCTTGCTGGGCCCTCTTGACGCACCATAGACCATCCACCATCGTCTAAAGAGCGTCATCGGCACAGCTATGGTGTAGCTTATAAGATGCCGTATATGACGTATCTTATCGACGCACCGAGTCGAACGCTGCGCGCTTGACGCAGCTCTCACGCAGGATAGCTGTGTTAAAGTGCGCGTCTGGCGCACACCACGACGAATTTAGATGTGAATCGTGTGACCTCGTTTGACTTCCTTTGATCATTCCTCCACCATAGCTTCAGAGGCGGACCGATCCGGTTGTGTCGCATCTCGCCGTCATGGCAGCAAAGCGCACCTTGCTTCGGTTGCAGCTGGTGCCCGGTCATGGCGCTGGCTCGCTTCTCACACGAAGCTTTGCAACCACAGCTTCGGCCTCATCGAACAAGTGGAAGTTTGACGAAGATAAGGCCCCGCCTTTCCGGTCGCAGCCGTCGTCGTCCGACTCGTCACCATCGTCATCGAGAGGTAGACCTTCCTCGTCCAAAGTGACGGACGATCGCTTCGAGTCGACGTCAAGATCTAGATCTTCGCCCGTCAGCACGTCAGATGACCGCTTCGATCCGTCGTCGAGGTCTAGGCCGTCCTACCCGAGCGCTACGAACGGCCGCTTCGAATCTTCATCAAGATCTAGACCTTTCCCTTCAGCCAGACCAAATGACAGCTTTGAATCAGCACCGTCGCAGCCTGACTCGGCTCTTGGTCGAACCGTCTTCGTTCGCACCAAGAGCGGAAAGAACCTCGTCTCGGTCGTTCACACGCTCTCACTACTCTCGCAGCTTGCAGCCAAATTTGGACCCATCCAGCACTTTCACTTCCCGCGCGAGCCCTCCTCGCAGAGGCTGCTGGGCTATGGTAGCGTCACCTTCTTCGACAAGGACGGCCTCAACAAGGCGCTCTCCAACGATGGTGTCCACACCGTCACCCTGCCGCCTCTGGTTCCTTCTCGCGCACCGCGCACGTACCTCTCCGACAAAGAGCATGCTCGCCTCGTAGGCATGGACCCGCTCATCAGCTGTGAAGCTCCCAGCCAGCAAGCGAAAGCCTCTCATACCTTCTTCTCGTCTCGCTCTCTTCAAAACCCGGCATCGATGCGTCCCGGGTGGAACGACGTCGCTGCCCTCTGCAACATGGAAGGAGCAACACAGACGCGCCACTTTGTCGACGAATCCCAAGCCACCAACGAAACACCGCAAGACGCCATCATCGCCCACGACTCTCCCTTCTACCTCTCCACATCTCCTGTCTCAATCGAGGTCAAGATGGAGCGCAGAACCTCGTCGGTCACAACACGACCCGGTGCACGCGCTGAGGGTCGACTCCGCGGCAACCCACAGAGCATCAGTCTGCACACCAAGGTTCGGGCTGCCCTCAAACAGTTTGGCGGTTTCAGCAACGTCATCGAGGACCAGGGCCTGTTGAGCAAGCCTCTCGACTACCCAAATCAAGACGGCGACGGCACAGACTCACGCTTCGTCGGTCGCGATCGTGCCAAGCGTGAACTCGCCAAGATGCAGCCGCGCAAGACACGACGTGGACAGCACTGGCTCACCAATCGCGTCGATCCTCGCGGTCGCAGGCACTTCTCCACCTCCGCTATCGTACCGGACGTCGAGCAGGTCAAAGCAAAGCGCAAGGCGGAATGGCAGCGCAATCGACATTCCAACTTTGTCGACCAGCTGTATCTGCGTCTCACGGGTGGCAAGGGCGGCGATGGATGTGTGTCGTTTCATCGCGAAAAGTTTGTTCAGTTCGGCCCACCTTCGGGAGGCAATGGTGGGTCTGGTGGTTCGATCTACATTCGTGCGGTCGAGGGGCCGACCACGCTGGCGAGGATCTCAAGGAGATTTCGGGGAGCCGACGGACCGCATGGACAAGGAAGCTATTTGCATGGCAAGAAGGCCGAGGATAAGTACGTCGAGGTGCCCGTTGGAACGGTCGTGACTGCGACGCGACGTCTTCGGATTCCTGAAGAGGAGGAGGCGGAGGAGTACTACCAGGATCTGCTCAAGCGAGCAGCGAAAGCAAAGTGGGATCCGACGGGTATCGTTGCCAAAGAGGACGTGGTGCTGGCAGCCGAGGAAGCAGAACGGAAACGGTTGATCCGGTCACGACCATCGCCCGACTATCACCGCGACGAGGGGCTTGTTCCTGCCGAAGAGGCTTCCGAAGCTGAATCACAGACTGCAGCAAAAGTCGAAGAGGCCGAAGAAGACGAGATCGACGGCGAAGACCTGCTCGACGCTGACACAGCCCGTCAGCTGCAGTCCATCCGTGACCGCGTCTGGCGTCACTATCCTCGAGCAGAAGAGACCAACTATCGACGGAACGAGTTCCGAGCAGCCGAGATGCGTCTCGCCATCGATCGTCGACGACGTCGTCGCTACCTCGCCCAATCCCAAGCCGGCCAACACGCAAGTCTCACCGCCGCTTCATCCTCGGACCAGGCCTCCGCGGCCTCCTGTACGCCGTACGAAGACGACAGCTCATCCGAAGCCGAGCTCTGGAGCATCGACCTGGACGAGCCCACACCCGCCGATTCGCCCGGCATCCTCCTCGCCTCGGGCGGTCGTGGTGGGCTGGGCAACCCCACTTTTCTCTCGACCAACAACCGCTCGCCCAAATTCGCCACCCGCGGCGAGTGGGGCGAATCCCTCGAGATCAGCCTCGAACTCAAACGACCCTCGGACATCGGGCTGGTCGGTTTGCCGAATGCAGGCAAGTCGACCATTTTGCGTTCCATCTCGGCGTCCAAAGCCCAAGTAGGTCATTGGCGGTTTACGACGCTTTCGCCCAATTTGGGCGTGGTACGGTTGGGCTCGGAGGGGAATGTGATCGGTGTCGACTCTGCCGAGGTGCAAGAGGGATACGGGTCGGATAGTGTTGTGGGGGAGGAGGAGGGGGAAGAGTTTCGATTGGTGCTGTCGGATATTCCAGGACTGATCGATGGGGCGAGTGACAACCGTGGATTGGGACATACGTTTTTGCGTCACATCGAACGATGTGCCCTCCTCGCCTACGTTCTGGACCTGACCGAGCAGGAACCGTGGAAAGATCTGCAGGTGCTGCACAACGAATTGGCGAGCTATCGAGAGGACCTACCGGCCAAGGCGAGGTTGGTCATCGTCAACAAGGCAGATCAGTTTGTGTCGCCGGAAGAGATCGAGGAGGCCAAACGCAAGCTCGAGAGGATTAAGAGGCAGGTGGTGGAGATCGCGGAGGATCAAGAGGCAATCGGTGGGCGAGGAGAGGCGATGAAGGTGCTGACGCTGTCGGCCAAGAAGAAGCAGGGTACGCAGGGGTTGGCCAAGACGCTGGTGGAGCTGCTGCGCGCCCAGCGGGCGGCCGAGAGCGAGTCGCTCGGCGATAAGTTCGAATGACAGCGTCGATGAAGATCGTTTCGAAACGGCACACTGCAATGTAGACGCCTCTCGCACACACAACGGCAAGAGCTGAGAGGAGCACGAAGAAAGAGACCGAACTTGCAAGACAACGAACCAATGACGAAGGGACAAAAGCGAATGATGAAGACGAAGTAAGATGTGCGATATGAGGTCAAACTGGCTCGACCTTCTGCGGGGGGAGCCACCGTGTTCAGCACCTGATCCCATTCGGTCTCTTTGTTGGGTCCCTCGGGATCCATCCGTACTGCAAACCTTTCTGGTAACTCCAATCCTCCGCTGCCTTAGCTTCGGTCTTCCACGTCCACATCAACCAACCGATTCCACCCTCGTTCGCGTCCACCTGAGCCTCCCACATGCTTCCCAACAGTCTCTTGTATTTCGCCGTGAAGGTGCTCGCATCGCCGCTTCGCTGGGCACAACTGTTGATGCGACCGCGGCTCCCTTTGAGACTGCCATCGTAGCGACTGCCGCGATTGCGACCGTTGATGCCGCCGGCGCAGTCGGTGAAGGCGGGCGTCCACTCGCCCACCATTTGCCAATGCACATTGTTTGCTGCCGCCCATTTAGGTTTGAGACTGCAATAGTAATTGATGCGGTCCTGGGAGGAGAGACGGAGAGCGTTGTCATCGAAGATGGTGTAGATGTGCGAATCGATGCTGACAGCTTCGTAGGTTGGGGGACGAAGTTTGTCGTTCCAATAGTCGCTAAAGGCGGGATTGATGAATTCGTCACCGACGACGACCAAGAGGGGGGATGGGGGGGAGGATCGACCGTTGGGGTAACGAACCACCTCGTAAGCGCGCTGGTAGAAGTCGAGCACCACGTTCCGATCCGTCACAGGTTCGTTGAGCAGCTCCAACGCTGTCACTGAACTCGCGTATTTCGGTTGGGAGAACTCCCTACTCATGGTTTGGAGGATGTTGACCGTGCGTTGCACATTCGTCGCGTTACCCGCCCAAGCATTGACCCCACGTCGTCCACCGTGATCGAACCCATTCTGATTGCCCGGTGCAGCATGCAGGTCGATCAACACCTTAAGCCCGTATTTCGCACACCATCCCACCGCCGTCTTGAGCAACTCCCACTGGTTTAACTTCAAAAACGGCTCCCCGTTGCCCACCTCAAACGCCCAGTACCCAATCGGGATGCGAACATGGTTCAATCCCGCAGCGGCGATCTGACGAATATCGTCCTCCGACATAAAGCTGTTGAGGTGTTGTTGGAGGATGCGGATGGCGGTGGAGCGAGGTTGGAGGGAGCCAAAGGTCCATTCATCGATAATGTGGGGATTGTTCGTCTGACCGTAGATGGAAGGGGTGATGAAGTTTTCCACGACCAACCAACCGCCGAGCGAGACACCGCGGATTTTGACTGCCGAGTTGGCGTAGGGCCAGCGGAGAGGTGGGAGCGCTCGCGGCTCGATAGAAGAGGTGGAGGGGGTGCGACGACGATGTCGCTTCAGGCCAGCGAGAGGGGTGGACGTGAGAACGTCGTTGGCCTTGTCCATGATGACCTTGGTGATGACTTTGGGTTCGATGGCGGATGCGCCGCGCGAGTTGGCGGTGGTGATCGGCAGAACCACCTTGTCGAGCGAAGCAGAGGAGTCGGCTGGGACAGCATCGGTGTTGGTGATGGCCCCAGCGATTGCGGAGCCCATCATGAGGGCTCCTGTGAGGAGAGAGCTGAACTTCATTGTTGTGTGGTGGTGGCGGTTGCGAAAGAGTGTGTGTGGGGTGATGAAGTTGCTGTCGTTGCCGCGGATGGGCGGTGTGGTGGTTGCTGGTGTACAGGAATGGGGGAAGGAATGGGGGAAGGGGAAGGGGAGGTAGAGAGGAGGGGTAGGGGGCACGAACAGAAGAGTGGTGGTGGATGGCTCGCGAGGAGAGAAGTTTTATATGCCTCTCCCTCACAAAGGGCAACGAGGAGCTGCTCGAAGGGCGGGGAAGGCCGCTTGTATAGCACTCAGGGGCCAATCATTGTCTTCGCTCGCTGCGGCGAGGTGACATTCAGCACGGATAAAAGCGAGAGAGCGGAGAACGGCTTGATGCGAAGAGGGTACGGCGGCATCGCAGCGGCGGTCTCCTGCGATGTCGTTCGCATTGTTGTCATGCACGGATCTGCAACATGCTTTTCAGAGGGTGATCTCCGGGGAGAGGGGCATTCCTCGAGCGTCCTCGGCAATGCAGACCCGTGTCTGCTGTCGATCCATCGCCACAAGCCGGGTGAGCAGCTCCAACGGTAAAGCCGCTCGGGAGGAGGATTGTTTGTCGTGTAGAAGCCAGCTAGACTGCTTGGCAGAATACCTCGGCTAGGTTTGGGTGTGGCACGACTCATGCAGCGTGCAGATCCTTGCAGGAATGGAGGCCTGCGGGGCCAACTCGTGGGTCTCAGACCCTTCGTGTTGCTTTGTGCTCGTCAGGAAATTCTGCACAAGAACAATCCTCGACATCAGGCACACAGGAACAAGGAGGACGACAGGAATTGTTGTCCTTTACCCAACTCCGCTCTGGCAAGTCGGATCTGCTGTGCCGCTGATCGCCGCTCTCTCCGGCAACCGATTCTGTAGCTCATTGCAGGTGTGATACTAGCGGAGCGATACGACTCGTTCTATGAAGCTCGGGTGAGGATGATGGAGCAAGGCTGATGGTCAAAGAAAGCAAGAACAGGGTCGAGATGCCATGCGCAAATGTCAAGGGCCTGTGAGGAATGAAGCACAAGGCGAGATCAGGGCTGGAAGGATATGTCGCTGGTCGCCTAGCCGATTGGCACTGTGGTCGATGATTGGGCGCTTCATGCAAACACAAACACATTCCTCGTCCTCCTCCTTGTGACATGTCTCCTTGGCCGCCTTTCACAGACCAGCTGAATACCGCTCCATGACCAAGCTCTCTTTCAGCAGCTATTGCTGCGTAGCAGGTTCACGTAGCACGCCGAGCTCAAGACGGCTGTTCGGCTGTTGTGGGTTGTTGTGCTCGTCGAGATCAACACCGAAACAACATATGTCAAAACAAGCGAAGCGCGCCTTCTGACAGCGCATGACCCAGATGCAGAGCCACGAGTCGAAAGCCAAATCAAATTTCGAGCTTAACATCAAGTACGTTTTTCGTGCGAGTGAACGGCATCTCACTCTGCGCGACGCGGTCTGAGTGAGTGCGAGTGTGTTGGGCTCGTTTGCCGCTCATTTTCTCCACGCGACATCTGCGACTGTTGGTCTGCGCCTTGACCGAGCCTAAGCAGCTGGACCTGCTTCATTTCGAGAATGCACAGAGAGGGCTCGACGCCATCACGACAATTCTACTCCTTCTCTGTTTTGCGTTCTTCTCGAAATTGGGCATCATCCAGCATCACGCGAACAACACTTTCACGCCTCGCGCACAAGGATCGACCGCTCGCCTTCCGACATCGGTCATCATTCTCCTTTTTTCGCACAGGCTTGACGGCTTAGCTCAAAACAATCGCTGTCCTAGACACCCTTCGACGCGAAGCTCACCACCATGTCGAAACAGGAACTTCCGCAATGGGGCAGAGTGCTCGTCGTCGGCGGCATCGACTGGCCAACATTGGGTCGTAAAGCCGCCAAAGCAGGGCCAGCTCTCGCCGTCAATCCAGACCAGTAAGTTGCTCTCCTTGACGCGCTTTCGTTCTGCAGCAGCGCACGACACTGACCTGCCATCTCTCATTGTTCTTCTCCGCGACAGCCCCGACCTACCAGCACCACACATTCTGCGATCCGTCTCCAACATCCGCATGAAGCGCATCTTCTCGTCGCATTCGTCCTGTCACGCCGTGCTCCTCTCCGTCGACGGCGATGCCTACATCATCGGACGCAACGAGCAAGGCCAATGCGGTCTCCCCATCCGCCCCATGCCAGCATCCTCCAAACCCTCTGGAGCAGCCGTGTGGGACGCCTACCAGCTCGATCCTAACACCGACTTCTCACCCGCTCTGCCTGCAGGCGCAAAGGGCCAAATCGTCTATGCAGCCTGCGGCCGTTCGCATACACTGCTTCTCACCGCTTCCGGCTCGGTCTACTCTGCCGGCCTCAACATCTCGGGTCAGTGTGGTCACCCGGAATCGCAAACCGTGCCCATCTTCACACGCATCGAAACAGGCCCTTTCATCCGGGAGCGCGACCCCGTCATTGCCGCTTCGTGCGGTCTCACGTTCTCGATGCTCCTTACACAGTCGGGCAAGGTGTACACCATGGGCAGCTCGGAGAAGGGCCAACTGGGCAACGGTCGCACGGGCGAGCACTTTACCACCAATAACCGACTCGCGTTCAACACGTTCTCCGACCCCTTCCTGGTCAAGCAGCTGGCGGACAAGAAGATTGTGCAGATCGCGTGTGGGCAGCAGCACACCATCGCGCTCGACGACCAAGGTTTCGTCTACGTCTGGGGCTTTGGAGGGTATGGACGACTTGGTTTGGGTTCTCAGCAGGATCAGCTGGTGCCGACGCTCGTGCCGCAATTTGCACGCGAGAACGTGGTGATGCGCGCCAAGGCAATTCATGCTGGCCCGACCAACTCGGCGGTGGTGGATGGGCAGAGCATGTTCTGGCTGGCGGGCAAGTGGAAGACGTCAGGTGACGGTTCGGCAGGTCAAGGGTTTATGACGTTCAAGTATCTCCCTGACCTGATGGGGGTCAAGGTGACCAACGCCGGTCTGGGCGGTGTCACGCTGCTGTGCACCGCCACCGAAGAGCCCTCGCTGGCAGGCGACCATGGGGCGACGATGAACATCTGCTGGGGTCAAAACGCCAATTGCGGCGAACTCGGGCTGGGAGAAGGCAAGCCAAGGTCAGCAACCAAACCGCTGCGATGCGAGACCCTCGACGGCATCTCGATCCTCGACATCGCCGCTGGTCAAAATACCACGTTCTACCTCGCGAGGAATCTCGGCGAGAGGTACGGCGAGCTGCCAAGATGGCCTGAAGTGGTGCAGAGCCAAGAGGTGTGCATGGTGTGCGGCAAGGACGAGGGCGAGGGTGGCGAGGACAATGCACTGTTGGAGTGCGAGAAGTGCGAGAACCCATGGCATCTGCATTGCTTGAAGCCCAAGCTGACCGAGATCCCAGAGGGTGAGTGGCACTGCCCCAACTGCGCACCTGCGTCCAAAGCGGCGGCAAGCAACGGCAGCAACAAGCGCGCCAACGACGAGGAGGACGAGGATGAGGCGCCAACGCCGTCCCAGACCAAGAAGCGCCGGGCTTGAGCTGACCTTGTCTTCGAAGCATAGTCGAGCAGTTCAGGAAATGGAATGGATACCAAAAGCTCCCTCTCGCACACCCTGTACCATCACGTTTTCTATCGCCATCCTGCAAATCAGCATGCTGGTTGGCAATCGTTGTCGTGTGTGTGCCGATGAGCTGGAATCGGCAGGCCATTGATGCCTATCGGGTGATATGGCAGCCAATGTGAATTTCTCGACCTCAATTTCGCGCCTCTGTTTATGCCTTGGAGCCATATTCCGCATCGCAAAAACAAGAATTCCGACCCGACAAAGTGGGGCCGAAGTTTGTTGTCAACGTCCATCGAAGCCTGTCCTTCTGTCCAGCGCAACAAGAAAGGCAACACCGTAGCGGACGAGAGGTGGCTCGCAGCACGTAAGCCTGTCTGTACCATGCGTTGCTAGCAAGTGGAGTGCGAATTCACGGGCTTGGTGAGACCGGATCAAGCCACGCACGAGACGAGCAAAGAGACGCCGCTCCCGTAGACCCTGTGCGGAACCTCAGCGACTGGCTTCTGGCAGGGAGCTTGGATTTGAAACTCAGCGTAGACGACAGAAGCAATCGAGCAGCTGCAGCCACTCTCTGTGACTCTGTCGTCTCGTCTGCCAAAAAAATAATGAATTTCTACTTCCGGAAATTCACAACACGCTCAAACAGCATCACGCGCTCTCTCGCTTTCTCCCACGCAAGTGTCTTACTTGAGCCTGCCCGTCATTCGTGTGCCTTAGACCACATCCCCAAGAGTCTTCCAAATTGTCTCGGGTGGCTAGAGCCGGATCTGTCGAGGCTCTACGAAAGCCGAACTCTTGGACGCTGTTGTCACTACAGAGGCGAGCCCAAAGACGGGCAAGTGAGGATTGCACTGGTGATATAGGGTCGGTTCTTGACGTGTTGAGAAGAGACGCATCGAGAAGAGAGTCAAAGACGCTCCCTGCCGCTCTGGGCTTTATTCTTCTGTCCACTACTGCATGGGGCCTTACAGCTGCCCATCAAAGACCGCATCACAATGCAATCGGCGACTCGATCCTCCCTTCCTGAGCTTCATGTTGGCCGTCGAGCTCATGTACAATGAACATCATGATCTTCCTCCCTCCCACTTCTGGACTCCGACGGATGCGAGTTCCGCTTGCCCCAAATCTGCGCTTCCCTGAGCAGCTGATCACAGTCTCGACCCATCTCGCCTCGCTTGTTGCCTCTGCATCTGACCAAACAACCTTTCCGTCTTTCTTTGCCTGTCCAGCTTCTCGCCTCGTTCGCTCCCCGTTTTCAACTCCGCCGCAGCTGCTCAGACCCTTTTGCTGTTTTGATGCTGCGTCGTCCTGTCATACTGTAAGCGAAAACCTTCGCTCCCTCGTCTAAGGCGATCAGACGCCCGTCCTCGAGCTCCTTCGTTCAGTCTGAAACACACAATGCGGCCGAGCTCTTCGCGTCCTCTGTTTGCTGATCCCCGACTTCACCGGTAGCGTGCCTGTTCGATCCCTTCTCGAGCTGACCTCGCTGTACCAATGCACTGAACAGAGATCGACTTCGCCGTCCGAAGCTTCCCCTTTTGAATCCCGACCAGTTATCGAACACTTGGCGAGCACCTCTGTCGTAGACAACGTTGCTCAGGCGGCGCATTCTCAGCCGACATTACCTCTGGAGTGTCTCGCAGGCACCCGAGCACTAACCTCCGTGTCTTGATTCCGACGGACCCCGTTCGATGCGAGACAAGAGTTCTCGACTCCGCTTCAGACTGCTCCTCGCTCACCTTTCTTTATAAGCTAGCATTGCCCCAAGGATGCGTCTCCGTCGCCCGCCCCTTTCTTCTTTCTAACCACCAACCTTGCTGCGCTCCATCAACTCGAACGTCGCTCGGCCACCTCGTCCCAAGGCTTCGAGGCGACACGACCTCGAGGAAGCTGCCTGAGCATCGTCCCTTCCGACACCGCAGCTTGTCTCAGCAAATATGGACAACGACTCGACACCGCCAAGGCCCTCTAGGCAGGCGGAACAAGCCGACCCCTCTCAAGATGCTGGCTCGTCAGCATTCGCCGACTTGCCCTCTCCCAACGCCCGCCAATCCCGGATCCGATCAGTGGCATCAGAATCGTGGGCACCCATCAACTTTGCTCGCCCTATCACTCTTCGCCCGGACTCTGTCGAGCCGCCCGCCGACGCCCAAGCAGCTGCCTCAAATCGTTCCTCCTACATTGCTCAGGGCATGACCTCGGGCAGCGAAGACACCGAATGGCACGACGCCGACGACGACTCCACCAGCCCACCCATGAGTCCTTGGGAGAGGCGCACCGCCAGCTCCTCCTCTCAGCACGATCGATTCCGGCCCTCAACGCCACTCAAGAACCGCCGAAAGGGCATGATCAATGACAAGAAGCTCACCATCGACACTAGCTCTTCCAAAGCTGGGTCCAGCCGAAGGGCAGCATCCGAGTCGAGCGCGCCCGCGCCTGCATCGACCGAGCCTGCCCAGCTTCCGGCGCGACCACCTCGCGCAATGAGGAAGCTCTCGGATCGCCTGATGAAGGTGGCCACTTCGGCTTCACCCACCGGCAGCGGCAAGAAAGACTCGCCCGTCGACTCGTTGGCTCCGCCACCGAGCGCCGGTATCCGATGGGCGCCCTTCACGCCTACCAAGCGCAGTCCGCTGGGTGAAAAGGGTCGATCTCCCGTGGCCGCCTCGACCAGCCCTGCTTCTGGATCCGCGACTGTAAGCAGCAGCGGCTCGGACAAGACGGCTGTTGCTGTACCACGCTACGGCTTCAACCCTGATTTCCAGCTCGGCGGCAAGACGGAACCTGGTGCGTCGCCTCGATCTGGTAAAGGCACGTCACCCACCAAGCCTTCCCCCACCTATGCCGGTCTAGCCCAGGGTGGCGGCGTCAAGTCGATGCTCTACGCCAACACCGCCTCGCCGTCAACTCCTCTGAGCCCTCGTGCGCCGGTGCCGGCGGCCTCGCCGCGCACCATGAATGCGCCTGGCACCCCGCGAACCCCGCTCAATACCCGCTTCACCAACTCGCCCACCTCTTATCAGGGTGTCCTCCTCACCACCATCACACGCACCGATTCGGATGACAAGCATCTGGCCGTGCCAGGCGCACCGGGAACACCGATCAGAGGAAGAAATCGCAGTGCGAGCGTCGCTGGCGGGATCAAAGGCTTTGTCCGCGGTGGTGCTGCTGAAGTCATCCCCCGTCTCGAGATGCGGGTTCTCGAGCGTCCTCGTCGCGGCTCGCAATTCTACGGTCTTGGCGGTGCGCGTCCATCGGACCCGAGCAAGAGACACTCGCTTGCGACCGAGCAGCCCGTCATGATGGGGAAGACAGACTCCGCAACCGAGGCGCCCCAGGACGCTTCGCCTCGTGTCAGGGACTTTGCCAGGTCGGCGGCGCTCGACAAGCTGACAAGCGACTCGACGGGACGGGTGCGCAGCCAGTCGAACAGTCGACGAGCAAGCGCGGCCAGTCCACGCATGCGGATGAGCTTCAGCTTCGCGCGTCGCGAGAGGCGAAACACTGCCGGCACCACGGCTTCCGGCGTCTCTCGTCGTTCCGAACGTTCGCAGAGATCCAACCGATCCGTGGCGCACAAGCGCAAGTCGCTGCCGATCGCTGGACCCGGTAGCATCAAATCCAAGCCGCCTTCGCTGCTCGAGCGCCGCGTGTCGCTCGCGCCTCCCTCGATGCGCCGCCAGGACAGCAGCATGCAGCCCGACAGCGACGAGTCCGAAGACGAGAACGACGTGATCAACGAGATGCACACGCGCGTGACCAACATCCAGGAGGCCAAGCGATGGATCCTCACTCACCGCCCTTCGATGGATGCCAACGCGCCGCCGACCTTTGTCGACGAACACCGACCCGTGCTGGCCATGCGTCGTCCCACCTACGCCGCCTCCGTCTTCCAGCAGGCGCGTCTCATGGAAGCCGAGCTGCAGGCCGACGCAGCGCTCCACTCCACCAACGCTCTCAACGTCAGCGCCATCGGCTCGAACTTCCACATCGCCGGCCTCCCGCCCAAGACGCCCATGACGGCTCGCCCGGGCACCATCTACGATGTCCAGGATCCCACCGACCTTCCTCGCCCCGGCACCGCACTTGCCGTCGTTCCCCAACCTCGCACGTGGCAGCAGTCGACGCTCCACTACCTCGGCGCACCCTTCCGCCTTGTCCAGCGCCAGATCGACCCCAAGTACGTGCTCACCATGATGGATCCGCGCGAGATCATCTTCCCGCTCTCGCTCAAAAAGGTGGCGCTGTGGATCATCTACGGCGGCGTCATTGCGATGCTTTACCTGCTGGACCGGTACTATCACTGGTGGGGCAAGCTGGACCACGCGGTTCACGGCAAGAACTTCTACATCATGGGTGTACTGTACGGCTTTGAGCCTGTGATGATTCTCATCATCATGTGCGTTGCTCGGGTGCCGGATGCGCGCAAGGTGCCGGATCGTACCGTGCTCGTCCCGCGTGGAAGGGACAGTACCGAGCTGCCCTCGGAGGATGAGGAGAGCGAGAGCAGCAGCGACGACGAGTCGGTAGCCTCGGAACAGGTCGCGACCCAAGTCCACTCGACCATCCTGGAAGAGGAGCCCGAGGAGCAAGAGGAGAACGAGGTGGACAGCGAGATGCAGAACAAGGACGATGGCACCAAACGCAACTCGAAGCGTCTGTCGGGTCTGCACCCGCCCGCGATGCGAAGGATGTCGACGCGAGTGACGACGTCGAGCGGCGGCCTGCTATCTGTGCCGCCGGAGAGGCGAGGGAGTGCGGCGACGAGTGGATCAGGCAACCTGGCTGTTCCTAGAACTCCTGCTTTCGACCCTCGCAACCGACGCAGCACGATCATCCTGCACGAGCCGCTCAACGTCGACAGCATCGGTGCGCAGCTCGAGCGCGTGGGCCGACCGAGCGCCGATTGGCTTCGTCGTCCCAGCGCCGACTACCGTCGCCCGAGCGTCATCTCGCAACGTCGCCCCAGCGACAACTCGCAGCGCCGCCCGAGTGCCACTTCGCACCAGATCATGTTGGCTAGGACGGCGAGCAAGGAGTCGCACAAGAGCTCGTACTTTACGAGCGTCGCTGCCGCTGCCGGTGCTCGACCTGGCACTACCACGCCTGGACCGAACCAGGAGGTCGTCGACGAGAAGCCGGATACGACCGTCGTCGTCGCTGCCCCGCAGTCCGATTCGAGCGGCGAGTTGGACGAAAAGAAGGACGTCTCCGAGCTCGAAAAGCCCGAAGACACGCGCATCGCCATGGGCTCCATCACCCACCCGTCCTTCACCGAGTCCACCGCCCTCATCATCCCCTGCCACAACGCCGACGTCGAAGTGCTCAAAGCCGTCCTCTTTGCTGCCCTCGTCCATTTCGAGCCGTGGCAGATCTTCATCATCGACAATGGCAACTCTCCCCAACCACCGACGGATATGGAGGCGCAGATCCGAACGCAGCCCATGTTTGCGCGCGTCAACTACGTCTGGTCTCCCCTGGGCAACAAGAACATCGCCCAATTCGTCGGTGCCAAGGCCGCAGCGGTGTTGAACCTCGACTACGTCCTGACGATCGACGACGACGTGATTATCCCCGCCAACTTTGCCGCGCCCATGCACATCATCAACGAGACCACCACCGCAGTGTGCTATCCGATCACGGCCGTTGACCACAAGGGTGACCGCCCCACCTTTGTCGGATGGCAGGATATCGAATACAAGCTCTCGGCGCTTGCCAAGATGGCCGAGGCCAAGATGTGCGGAGTCCTCTTCCCTCACGGTGCGGCCTCCTTCTGGCGCCGCGATACGATGATCCGCGTCCTCTACCGTCACGATCTCGTTTACTTTGCAGATGACGTCAAGATGGGACTCGAGCTCCAAGCGCTTGGGGAGTTCATGGGCATCGACGCTTCCATCTCGTTCGAAACCGTCGCCCCCGAAACCTTCTTGGGCCCTAAGACGGCAGGAACGCCCAACTACTACAACCAACGTGTCCGATCGTGGGAGATGGCGCGTCACACGCTCTACTACCAATTCACCAAACGGTTCTTGTTCAGCCTCAACGGTGCGAGAGGCCCTGTGGCGATCGGATGGCAAAAGTTCACCCAGTTCTACAACACCACCACCAACTTTATCGACTGGATCCGTCTACCCATGTTCATCCTCCTCGGCGGCAGTGGTATGTTTTGGCTCAAGAGTTTCGCCTTCATCCTCTTTTTGCCGATTCTACCCCTCATTCCGTATCGGTTCATCAAGACCCGCAATCGCCCGGATCTCCACCCGCATTTGATGGACATGCTGACCTACGGCATTTACAAATTGCTCTATTCCATCGTCTGCATCTTCGGCGGCATCAGAAGCATGTTGGTCTTCCACCCGAACCATAAGCACAAACCGACCCTGACCGAGATGGAGGCGGCCAAGGACGAGAGGTGTATTTGGATGCGAGAGGATTTCATGCAGCAAAGTGGTGGACAGGGAGATCTGAGGGACGAACCCCAGATGATCATGCTCGACGACGAGGCGGAGCTCGAGCGAGAGGAACAGCAGGAAGAGGCTGAGCAGGGTGCGGAGATGACCGAGGCGGCACTGGTCAATACGCTGCCGGAGAATGGAGAGAAGGGTGGCGAGGCTGCCTCGATCAACGTGCTGAGGAGGCCATCGACGAGGATCTCGCACGAGCTGCCCACCGTGCATGAAGGACGATAGAGTCGAGTTCACTGAGGATAGGCTCGGTCACCCTTTGCAAGAACGTTTTCGCTTCATCGTAGTGCTCCTCGTAGCGTGACAACGTGGTGAATTCAAGGCTTCACTCGACAAGCTACCCCGGGATGGGTGAGAATGGGTCATGCACCTCTAGGCGTTGTCCATCCAATCGCCACCGATGATGCTGAGCGAGCCGCCTGATCATCCAAGCCCGAGATCCGCGATGTCAATTTCGCTCGCTTGCGCGCATCTCCTAGCGCCGTTCCGGCTGAGACAAGGGCCGGTGAACGGAGCGACCACTTGTACCGCGCAAGCACGGCGCAAGACAGCCATTCGCCGTAGCGCGGGACCGTAGCTCAGACACCCACGGTACCATTCTACAGTGTGGCATATCGCATGAGAGCGACACAGCCTGGACCTCGTCACCAGCCCACCTTGCCGGTTAGCGGACACGGTCACATTGTTTGGACAAGCAAGGTTGCCTCGAGTATCTTGGCGTGGGAAATGGACAAGCAGATCGCACCCGATGCGGGGAGCTGTCCGATAGAGCTTGACAGCCCCACGGAAGAGGGTGCCAGCCGAGACAAGGGAACGAGAAGAGGCCAGACGCTGTCTGAGGTGTGGTGAGGATGGTGTGGCTTGGAACCCGAGGCTCAGGCGAACGGCGGGCCACAATGGCGACAGCTGCCAGCCTGCCCGAGGCTGTTCCGCGTGCTAATTCGCTCCGCTTCCGGATGCAGCTTCTCATTTTATTTTGTAGTGCGAAATAGAAAACGTCGCCGTCATGACTTCATTTCGAGCCGCTAGAGGAAATTCAATTCTGAAATTGCACAGCTGTCAACGAGCGCACCTCATGCACATGTCGCCGAAGCACCGAGGCTCCTCGCCCCTTTTGGCCTAGTTGTCGTCATCCTTCTGATGTCTCTCCCATTGGTCTGCTCAAAAAGTCTCGCTAGCACAACAAGCTATACATCAGCATATGATGCTGCTTCTGTGACGACAAATAAATCTCGTATGACGATGCGATCAGGCAAGTCCAAGAGGAAAGGGAGAGCAGTCGAAGCAAGGCAACGGTAGCGGAGCTCAAACGTCGAGAATGATGCACTAACTTTAAAGTGGGTCTCGATCTCCGCCCTGAGACAGGCATGAGAGCAGTGCCTCGAGGTCAAGACGGCTATACTTGCCCGCCCCGACCTACATACACTTCAGACGTCTTGCCGCCCTCTCCGCGCCCATACAATTTCATCATTCGGACAGCGGGTGCGGCTCGGCCACTTGCAGATCCTGCGCATAAAGCATCGATTTCCACCTTCACGTGGTGCCGCCTGACACTGACATGGTGCTCGCCAGCAAGCAGCGACGTCTGCACTTCGGCAAATCGACATGCACCTCGAAGATCCATGCTGTCGGCAGAGGGCGAAGTCCATGCGTAAAGTGCCGCACTGTCGATCGCTCCATCGAGAGCCTCGCCGTTGAATGTCTGAAACGGTTCCCAGGATAGCAATGGCCATGAGACCTAGTCTGGGAAATTTTTGCGGCCGCCAAGCACTCTATTCTCAAGTCATCCCTCGTTGCCGTCTATCTCCCTCCCTGTCCGAGCAGCGCCACTACCCGGCAGTGGAAGCGCAGCAGATTCGCCTCACCCTCGGCGTTTTCTGCTTGTCTCTTCGGCGTGCGTTCATGGACCCTGCAGCCTCTCCGCCTGCTCGCTGTGCTCCACACATGGTGGCGGCTTCGACACGACGGACGGCGACTGGTCTGAGCTGTGTGCACTCTCGGACAGCCTCGTCCCTCGTGCCGGTCGATAGCCTGCATTGGCAATGCATTTCTTCCTGATGGATCGAGAGCTGCGCTGCCACGGGTGAGACGTCCCATCCCGCCTTGGCATCCTCGACGAACTTGCCAGCATTCCGTCCCGGCAGCGCTGATCATCGTCTGTGATCTGCGTCCCGGAATAACGCCGTGCACGATGCTCTGCTGGCCCCGCCCTGGTACCTTTCCTGACAAGGCGCATGAGCACCAGCGTCGTCCAGAGTATAAGATGCCAACAGGCCCAGAGATATGTTCGAGTCGACGTCTTCGATCTTTCCCTTTACCCACCATCACGTCCCCTTCCACCCTCTCCAGCTCTACCCATATCGTCTTCCCCTTCCCCCTTACCCTATTCCCAGAATCGACATTTGGCACACCAAGTCATCTACGTTCCTTAACACCGCTCTTTACATTCCTTTACCCGACAGCCAGAATCGACTCCTCCCCGCCGCCTTCCCCAACACAGCGTCTATCTAGATCGCTCTCGACACGAACTCTCACAATGGTGAATCTGATGCTCAGATTGACCGTGGTGGTGCAAGCGGCGTTGGTGCTGCTTGCGCTGCAGAACGTGGCCACTCCCGCCACTGCCAACTTCCCCAACCTGGCCGAAGCCAACGAGCTTGCCCACCGCTCTCTCGACGTCTCTGAGAACATCTTCGAAAACGCCGATGCGCTGCACAAGCGCCTTGACCTTGGTGAGGACGATGACGACTCCGAGTACGACGAGCTCAAGATCATCACGGTCTTCCTGCCCGAGGACAAGTCCGAGGACGAGAGCAACGCGCTGATCAAGCGCGCCGGTCCCACGCCGTGCCCCCACAATCACACTCGTGTCGTCAAGCGGGCGGTGCAGACCGATGCGCCGCTCGACAAGCGCGACCCCACCCCGGACCCCAGGGTTACTACGAGGTTCAGGACCAAGACCGTCACGGTGACGAAGACCATCTACTCGACCGTGTACAGGAGGTGTACGCAGTACGTCAAGCGTCAGACGACGCGCCGTTCCACTTCGACTAAGTCGGCGAGCAGCAGGAGGAGAACCACCACGAGCACCAGGCGTAGGTCCACTACGAGCTCGAGGAGGAGCACGAGCACCCGCAGGAGCACCACCTCCACCCGCAGGAGCACCACCTCGAGCAAGTCGGCTACCTCGACGAGGAGGTCGACCACCTCTGTGAGGCCCGCCTCGAGCTCCAGCACATCGGTCAGACCGACGACCTCGTCCAGGTCCACGTCTTCTGTCAGGCCAACCACTTCGTCCAGATCTTCGTCTTCGTCCGTCAGGCCGACGACCTCGTCCAGGTCTACGACTTCGTCTGTCCGACCATCTTCGTCCACAACGAGCTCCAGGTCTAGCTCCACCACCTCGTCCAGGTCCACTTCGTCGACGCCCAGGACGACTTCGTCCTCTACTAGCTCGAGGTCGAGCTCCGCTTCGGCTACTTCCAGGAGCTCCACTTCCACCCGCGCCTCGTCTTCGACCACCTCCTCGAGGGCCTCTTCGTCCACTACTTCATCCAGGTCTTCGTCTACGACTACCTCCTCGAGGGCTCCGTCTTCTACTACTTCCTCCAGAGCTTCTTCGTCGACCACCTCCTCCCGGGCTTCCTCGTCGACTACTTCGTCCAGGGCTGTGTCTTCGAGCACTTCGTCCAGGGCGTCTTCGGCTACCACTTCCTCGAGAGCTTCGTCGTCGTCGACGACTTCCTCCCGGGCTTCATCTTCGACGACTTCCACCAGGGCCTCGTCTTCCAGTACTTCGTCCTCAGTCAGGCCGCCTGTCGTTACTTCGTCGTCCACCAGGTCTTCGACTTCTACCACTGCGTCGTCGACCAGCCGTGCTCTCTCCTCGTCCTCCTCTTCTTCGTCCACCGCTACCAGGACTTCGTCCAGCTCCACTTCTACTTCCACCTCAACTTCGACTTCCACCTCGTCCACTAGCACTAGCACCGTGGTCCCCACCCCAACTCCTAGGGTGTACAGCCTGATGGCCAACTACAACAAGGACAACTTCTACAACAACCACTACTTCTTCACCTTCCGCGACCCAACGCACGGTCTCGTGCAGTTTGTCGGTCAGAGCGAGGCCTCCAAGCTCGGTATGATTTCGACGACCAACGGTCAGGTGTACATGGGTTACGCTACGACTCGTATCTACCCTCCTGCGCCTAGCACCACGTCGACCTCGACTACGTCCAGTTCGACTTCGACTTCCACTTCGGCAACGTCGACCTCGACCTCGTCAGGTGCTCCCAGGCAGCGTCGGCAGGCGACCTCTTCGGCTTCCTCCTCGGTTGCTTCGTCCTCGAGCAGCACCACCTCGACCAGCGCTGCTGCGACTAGCACCGTCGCTCCGATCCCGTACATGAAGGCGGTGCGTGTGTCGTCGTTCGACACCTTCACCACGGGTGTCTTCATTCTCGATGCCTCTCACATGCCCGTTGGCTGTGGTGTCTGGCCCGCCTGGTGGACTGTGCCCACCAACCCGGCTGGTGGCTGGCCCAACGGTGGTGAGATCGACATCGTTGAAGGCATCTCGTACACCTCGCAGAACACCTACTCGGTTCACACCACGCCCGGTTGCAAGGTCAACTCGACCACCAACGCCCAGCTCGGTTCGTACCAGCTGCAAAACATCACCCAGGCGACCAACTGCGCTTCGGCAGAAACCTCGAACCAGGGCTGTGGAGTCCAGTCAAACCTCCGTAACGACTTCGGTGTAGGCTACAACAACCAGGGCGGTGGAATCCACGCCATGGTCTGGGACAAGGACTACGGTATCAAGTCGTGGTTCTTCAACCGTGCCAACGCTCCCGCCGATATTGCTGCTGGCAAGCCCGACCCGATGGGCTGGGGTACCCCGCAAGGTAGCTGGCCCGCCACGGACTGTGATCCAGCCAAATTCTTCTTCAACCACGTCAGTGTGTTCAGCAACACCATCTGCGGCGATTGGGCTGGAGACAACTTCCTCTGGAACAACGCCTTCCAAGGTCAATCGCAGAGCTGCGCTCAGCGAACCGGCTACCCCACCTGCCAGGCGTACGTCCAGAGCAAGGACGTCGATTTCAGCCAGGCCTACTGGCTCATCAACTCCGTCAAGGTCTACCAGACCGCTAGAACGTATTAAAGAGGGTTATGGCGAGTCCGGTCGGGAATGGACCAGCGTCAACACCAAGGCTGGGCCTTGGATGAACGCCAGTCCGTTTGCCCCGGATCCCTCCCTCGTTTTTCAAAGTTTCCGGTTTCCCAAGCTTTCTCTCTCATTACTGTAGCATAGATTCTTCTTTTGACCGCGGTTCCGTTGTCATGTGCTCTCGTCATTGGCAGCTCAAGTTCTTCTCTCACTTCGGTGTGCGTGACTGTTGCCGGGATTGATAATCATAAGCGACCTGACGAGGGGAAACGGGAATGATTTACTCTAAGCTGAGGAGGCTACTCCTTCTGATCCGTCTTGGCAAGGACGATATCGACCTCCATCCCGTCCAGAGACCCCTCCGATGTCGAGCCTACTGCCTTTCCACCACCGCCCATCTTCTCGACATCCGCACTCTTCTCCATGCCGCTCGCTGTCGAGCTCTCGTCATCCCAGAGCGCGTCGTCCGGATAGACCGCCTCCTCGACCAGCGACTCGCTCGGCAGCGGCCACACCCACTTGCACAGCACGCCGTACACCACCGCACCAACGCTGAACCCAAAGTACCAGTTGAATCGATAGATCGGGATGTCGAGGTTGACACCTGGGTTGATCGCATTGATGAACCCGGGCAGGTTGGGTACGAATGCGACGGCAAATGCGATGTATGCTCGCGGGTTGACACCCCATTTGCCGTAGCTATATGCGCCGTGTGGATGGACGTACAGCTGTCTCACGTCTAGACGCTGGTGGCGCAACAGGTAGTAGTCGACGAGACAGATGCCTGAGATGGGTCCCAACCAGCAGCCGTATGCGCCGAGGAAGTTCAAGAAGCCCTGTGCGGAATTGACGAGGTTCCACGGGGTGATTGCGACTGCTAGGACGGCTGCGATCGCACATCCACGCCGAACGTCGACAAAGGCGGGCGCGATAGACATAGCATCCGTCGCGAAGCTGATCGCATTCGCGCTGATGTTCACCCCGATCGTAGCGATCAAGAACACCAGAGCACCGAAGAACGTCAACGCCCTGCTGTCCCACAGCGAGATCAGCTGGGCGGGATCCCACGCGGCCTTGCCGTACAGCGTCAACGCTGCGTCCGCCGCAAAGAACCCACATGCACACGGGATCGTCCCCGTAATCGGCAGCAGCAGCACCTGGTGCCACGTACCTTTGGAGGAGCGCGAAAAGCGCGTAAAGTCGGAAATGTTGATGGCGATGGTGCAGAAGATGGTGGTTGCAGCGTTGATAGCTACGACGATGGACCATGCTCCCGCCGTCACCGGGCCTCTGACCAACGCGCCACCTCCACCGGTCTTGACCAGCGCCCAGATCCCAATGACGACAAAAGCGGGTGGGACCACGAGCGCCTTGAAGCGGAAGAAAAACTTGAGCTTGGCCACGGGGATCATGGTGATGGGCGTCTGGACGAGCCAGTAGATGAAGAAACAGAGCAGACTGCGCGATGTAATGTTTGCCCCCGCCGGTAGAGTGTTGGACATGTTGGCGAATCGAGGTGAAAGACTGATGAGCAGCTGCTCGACCAAGTTGCCGCCTGTCAGCGTCAAAATGCTCAACCACATCAACGCCAGGAACGCCCGCGCTACCACGGGCAACAGGCTGCCATACACGCCCCAGGGAGCGCGATTGATGACGGGAAAAGCAACGTGGTAGGTGGCACCGATCACACCAGCCGCCCACATGACGAAGCCAATGACGAGAAAGCCGGTGAAGACGGCCGGGATGGCAGCGCGAGCCGTGACGCCGGTGGCCGCCATCGATGCGCCCAGCTGCCAGGTGGCAGGTGCGAACTGGTCAGAGATCCAGTAGGCGATCCAGTCGAGCGACGTCCATGTTCGTTGCGCCGGCGGCACGGGTTTGAGATCGTGATTGTCAAGGGCGGTCTCTTGCGAGAGACGGAGTCGCGGTTTGGTGAGCGTCAGCTTGGGTCGGCGGTTGAGGATGCCCATCTTGGCAGGAGGGTAGGAAAGGGGTCGCTGCGGAGGGATGCAGCGCTTGTGGGATGCAAGGAAGACATGATGCAGATGAGACGGACGATATATACAAAGAGAGATGTGGACGAGATTGCTGTACCAAGCTCATGGGATAGCGCCACATGGCGCTTAGTACCCTTGCCCATGTAGGAAGCTCGGGATGGAGAGATAAGCGTCTTCGATACACAATCATTGGTCCGTGGGCAAGCTGACAATGGTCCGAGATGCCTCGGTTGTCCTCGAATGGATCAGCTTGCTTTGGCTTTGAGACGCACGGGACTGCTTCCAGAGCTCGTCGGGTCCCTCGCGCAAGCTGCCAAGCCCAGCCAAGCTTCAGCTCCCAATTCTCGACCTCCGAGATGACCTGCAGATGAAGTATACGCGTGCATGGAGGAGAAAGGCAATCGCAATGAACCGCATGCTCGGCTTGTACAGCTCGCTTCTAGAAGCCTGCTGCAACATCATCTTTAGTGTGGGACGCTTCAATGCACTGATAAGGCACGACTCCGCAGTAGATTAAGCGAGGGGCTAAGCTCATCTTGTCGCTCAAAGATTAGCCTTTGCGCGATGGTCATGCTTACCTTTCCTCCGAAGCTCCATGCTCGCGATCAGGCTTCGAAGCGGAGGATCATCCACGCTCATGTGACCTGTAGGGCCTTCAGGAAAGATCAAGGTTGGTCCACGCCGATCAAGTCGAGCATCGAAAGGTAGGAAAGAACGAAGGGCGGGAGGGCTGAGAAGGGTGGCGCTTATCTTGACAGCCGAGAAGGCGATTTCTTTGAAAGTGTGTGATCGAAGCTCATGACATCGCTTAGGAGAAGGAAATGCTTTGTTGGTCAAGCTTAGTAACACGCCCTTCAAGCACGCGATCTGCCGTCAGAAGGCGGCAACAAGAGCGGCAATTGAACGGAGGCATGCGGGGAAGAATGTCCAAGAGCGCTCGCCCCTCCGGCCTGTCAAAGCACGCAATCCAGCTCGGCTCTTACTCACCAGCAAGCCGCCTTCGCACAGACAAAGTCGCCTTGCCTCTTCTTCTTCTGTAGCAATGTCCGACGATGTATAGCCGTAAGCCTCAAATGACGCTATTGCCTTGCCGTTCCTGAATTCAAGCTTTTCGCTTGCTGAGAAGAGGTGTCGATGATCAAATTGATGTGCCATGTGGGCTCTCGAAGGTTGCGTGCTCGTGATGCAAACAGCATCCTCTTCGCATCGCCAACGATTATCTTCTCTTTCTTCCTCACCACCACAACCACAACGAACAAGATTCAACATCAAGATGCTGTCCACTCTGCCTCCCAACGCGGATCATTTCTCCAACAAGTCGTCCGGCGACGGCGATGGAGGCTCTGGTGGCTTCTCGGCCTCCCAGATTGCTGCCCAGCGCTCGCTCAAGTCGTCGATCCAAGAGCTCACCTCTGGTCAGCACGATGCCGACGCTTCGCTGCTGACGCCCTACTCTGAGCTGCCCAAGGAGATTACCGGCCCCACCGTCTGGGACGCCGCCTCCTACAAGGGAGCAGAAAACGCCGCCAAGTGGGTGCACACCTTCAACGAGCACCAGATCTCGCAGCTCGAGTCTGCTGCTCAGCTGTGGCTCGAGTCGGGTCGCGAGCTGGGTGAGATCGAGCGCTCGACCTTCCCTCTGCCCTCTGACCTCGTCGCCACCCTCACGGAGCTGCGCCAGCGCCTGATCACGGGTCACGGGTTCTACCTCTTCAAAGGCCTCCCCACCAAGCGATGGGGCAACCGTCTGTCCGCTATCGCCTACCTCGGTCTCGGCTCGTACCTCGGCAATGTCGTCTCGCAGAACCGATACGGACACATCCTCGGTCACGTCAAAGACCTCGGTGAGGACCCGACTGCCATCGACAAGGTTCGCATCTACCGCACCAACGCGCGTCAGTTCTTCCACACCGACTCCTCCGGTGGCATTGTCGGCTTGCTCTGTCTGCACAAAGCCGTTGAGGGTGGTGAGTCGGACATTGTCTCTTCGCACGCTGTGTGGAACCACCTCCAGGCGAACCGACCGGATGTGGCCGAATTGCTGGCGAGCAACATCTGGCACTTTGACCGAAAAGGGGAGGTTTCGACCCTTAACGGCACCCAGAACGGCTGGGTCACCCGCCCCATCGTCCACCTCCGTCGAGGTCAACCCGCCAACCGCCTCATCCTCACCTACGATCCCTACTACCTCAAGTCCATCCAGCGCCACGTCGATGCCGGGCTCATCCCGCAACTGAGCGACAAGCAGAAGGAGGCTATGCAGGTGTTGGAGGACACCGCGAAGGAGTTGAGCCTGCACATGGTGTTGGATGTGGGAGACATTCAGTTTGTGAGCGATGTGCATGTGTTGCATGCTAGGACGGAGTACAAGGATCCTGCACCGCCCGCGCCTAGGAGACACCTGTACAGACTCTGGCTCGCCGTTCCGACTGCAGAGGGAGGTTGGGAGAACGCCTACCCCGACAACGGCCTCCAGAGACGTGGCGGTATTCAGGTGAACGACACAAAGCCCACCTACCCGCTCGACGGCGAATAGACGAGCCATCAGCTCAACATTTGACCTCGAAATTTCATACAGTATTGTCCCACAAACAGACGTGATGTGTGTGTGTGCTGCGCAAAGTCTTCTAGCATTGCTCTTCCTGAGTCCACAGATGTCCCATGCATTCAGAACAAGGGTCGCTACTCCAACGTCGACAGCTCCCTCCTAACTTCCTCCTCCGCTGCGATCTTGGCCAACTGCATCGCCTCCAACTTCTCCCCACCCGCCTGGCGCAACTTCAACTCCTCGATCGCCTTCAACTTCTTGTTCAAATTACGAACCTTCTTCTCCTGGTTCGCAGCGCCCGCGTTACCCCCCACTTCCGCCGCACCGGAGACGCTGAGAGCAGCGACGTCCTCTGTGACGACCACCACGGGTTCGGGTGCGGCAGCTGCGGCTTGTTTGCCATTCTGCTGGTTCTTGCCGGGCTTTTTCTTGCCGTCCTTTTGGTTGGAGGTGGCGTTGCCGTTGCGTGGCGCGCCGGGTGCGCCGGGGATGGCACGCTTGCGATTGCCCGAACCGGGGGCTTGGTAGGTTCCGTTCTGGGAGGCGGAGCGGGCGAGATCCGGAGTCGAGGCGCCAGATCCACCCTCGTCGATGCGCTTGTAGATGTCGGGTGTACCTTGACCGCGCGCGCCGGGGGGACGGTAGGTTCCGGTGGGACGCTTGGTCGCCGCTTTGGTGGCGAGGTAGGACGCGGCGGCGGGCGAGGCGGCAGGCGCACGTGGGATCGAGGTGGGGAAAGGAGCCAGACCAGCATTGAGACCAGGTCGCCATCCGGCTTGGTAGAGCTCGTCGATCATATCGACGTGCACCAGCTCACCCGTACAGTGCCAGATCTTGACGCCGTTCTCGACACGCAAACGCGGACTGAGCGTGGCAGTCAGGAGGAAGTGGCCGTCGGGAGACCACTGGCATACGGAACTGTTGGAAGCGTCCATGGAGAACACTTTGCCCTTGGACAGGTTCTCGCGGTCCCAAATGTCGACGGTACCGGACAGATTGCCGAAGCCGGCGATGCAGAAGAGGCGACCTTGCGGGTTGAACGCGACAAAGTTGCGCGGTTGCGTACCGAGTTCGGCGATGACGTTGACGCGATGGCTGAAGAGCACCGCTTTGGCAGGCATGTAGCCGTAGATGACGATGAACTCCTTCGAATTGGGGTTCCATTCGAAATCGTGGATGGGGCCTTCCTTGTCGAGTGCCACGCGGCAGTCAAAGTCGCCGCGAACGGACATGAGGTAGAGGTTGGTCTCGCCGTAGTAGGACTTGCCCGTCTTGTCGTGATCCGTCGAGGTCATGAAGAGGAGTGCGGAACCGGCCTGGTTCCACTTGATCTGGATCTTGTCCGCTTTGAAGAAGGTCTTTTGCGAGACGGGCGCGGGGGGTGTCTCAGGGGAAGGGACGAGGGAGGCGAGCGAGTAGACGCGGACGGAAGCGGGTGCACCCTTCTTCTCACCGCAAAAGACGGCGATGCTGGGCTTGTCGCCCGGCCCAACCTCGAAGCTGGTGATGCCCTCGAGCCGCAATCTGCCAATGACGCCCTTGTCGGCGATGTGGCGAGGCTCGTAGATCTGGAGCTCGGTCGAGACCTGCCTGATGCAGTACTGCTCGTCGGCGGTGAATTGGAAGAAGCAACCTTCTTGCGACTTGCGCTCGAATTCTGCGACGGTTTCTCCTGTTTCCGTGTCCCAGATCTTGAGGTTGCGCGTATTTGAGCCGTCTTCGAGCTTACCGGGACGCTCCCATGTGCTGAGGAAACCACCCTTGGGCGAGAACTTGAGGTCAACCACCTTGGGGACGGGAAGATCGCGTTTTACGGAAGAGGTGGAAGCAGCACAGGTGTCTACGAGACGGGTAAAGTCATCCATGGCAGCAGCGAAGGTGCTACCATCGGGGCTGTATTGGAAGACGCGAGTGGCACCTGTGACCTGGTCGAAGCCATTGACGGAGGTGTATGTTGGCGAACCGGTGTTGAGGCCGATGGATTTCTGGGCGCGGTAGGCCCACTGAGTGGTAGCCTCACCGGCGGGAACGGAGACCTCTGATGGTTCCGACATGGTGTGTAAGGGATGGGTCGGCACAGCAAGTCAATGCGTGACGAACTGGACCAAGTAGCTTGTGTGAGGCTGGAGTGGTCCCAGAAGCCGTATTGCCGAAGCGTTGCTTTCGATCTGAGGAAGGCAAGGGCAGTCGTAGCACCTTGTCGAGACAATTCAACGTCCTGAGGCGGGAGAGGCAAAGGAGCGGCGAAGGTGCGAAGGCAAGAAGCCAAAAGGAGGGTTGAGGAGGAAGGAAAGTGGTGTGTGGTCTCTGCGTCAAGAATGAAATGGACTGACGCCAAGCGAGCGAGCAGAGCAGCAGTAGAGCAACACCGCCCTTACACACTGCACTAACAGAGAGAAGAAGAATCGCAGCAGCAGAGTGACGCTCTCAGTGCCAGAAGAAGTGATTTGCCGAGAGAGAGGATTTTGCCTGCCCTTTCAAGTCACACGTGATACTAGATCGGCGATCGCGAGTCTAACAGCTTTACAATTTTCGCATCGAGTGTTGGACTCTGAAAGCGCGCGTGTAGGTGTGAGCCTGAGCCTGGCTGGCTGAGCCAAAGACTGCGCTGAGCTGGCTCAAAGAACAGACCAACACTTTCCTCACTCAGATTGACGCGTTGATGATCAGCACTCAGCTCTTCACCCTCATCATCACCTCTCTTCAGCAGCGCAGACGTCCGCCACCACTATGGACGCTGTTCATGTCGACGGCGCGAGAAAGGCGCCAGGCGATTGGTCACCCGACGCCTGCCGCACCGTCGCTGCAGAGCTCACCAATACCCTCGACCTGGGCGCGAATCGTCAGCTCGTAGTCGAAGCCCTCGTCTTCATCCACTTCTCCGTATATACTTTTGCCGAGAGACTACGTCGACGCCAAGGTCGCAGATATCACCAATCGCCACGTCACTTTCTCAGCTTCATCGAATACTATGTCCAGGTCTCCAATCAGAAGCGCGACGAGCTCGAGGATCAGCAACGCTTCTTGCTCGTCGGTCTCGACAAGCTTCGTTCCACCGTAGACCAGGTCGAAGAGCTTCAGAAGAGCCTCGCTGTCAAGCGCACACAACTCGAAGCTAAGAACGCTCAGGCGAATCAGAAGCTGCAGAGCATGGTCAAGGATCAGCAAGAGGCAGAACAGAAGCGAGCAGCTTCCATCGAAATCCAGGCGGCTCTCGCAGATCAGGAGCAGGAGATCGGTCAAAGGAGGCAGGTCGTCATGGCAGATCTCGCAGACGCAGAACCAGCCGTGCAAGATGCTCAGGCTAGCGTCAGCAACATCAAGAAGCAGCATCTCACCGAAGTCCGTTCCATGGGCAATCCTCCACTGCCCGTCAAGAATGCCATGGAGTCTGTTTGCATCATCCTCGGCCACAAGATCGAAAGCTGGAAGACGGTACAGGCCATCATCCGCAGAGACGACTTCATCGCTTCCATTGTCAACTTTGACACGGATCGTCAAATGACGCGCCAGATTCGAGAAAAGATGATCCGCGACTATCTCTCTAAACCCGGCTACGACTTTGCCACCATCAACCGTGCCAGTCAGGCTTGCGGGCCGCTCGCAAAATGGGTCATCGCACAAGTACGATTCTCCGAGATTCTTGACAAAGTTGGCCCGCTGCGTGACGAGGTGCAGTCGCTAGAGCAGCAAGCAGAAGACACGAAGCTCCAAGCAGGCGAGATCGTCAACATGATCGCAGAGCTCGAGAACAGCATCGCTACTTACAAGGACGAATACGCTGCTCTCATCAGCGAGACGCAAGCCATCAAGTCCGAAATGGAGCGCGTGCAGAACCGCGTCTCCCGCTCGATGCAGCTTCTCGACAGCTTGTCTTCCGAAAAGCAACGTTGGGAGACCGGCAGCCGCACCTTTGACGACCAGATGAGCACCATCATCGGCGACGCTCTGCTCTCAGCTGCCATGCTCGCCTACGCAGGCTACTTTGACCAGCAATATCGCGAGTCCATGTGGCAATACTGGTCAGATCATCTCCGTCAAGCCGAGATCAAGTTCAAGCCAGAGCTCTCCTTTGCCGACTATCTCTCCACCGCAGACGAGCGTCTCGAATGGCAGGCCAAGTCGCTCCCAGCCGATACCCTTTGCACCGAGAACGCCATCATGCTTAAGCGCTGGAACCGATATCCGCTCATCATTGACCCCTCGGGCCAGGCGGTCAACTTTCTGCTCAACGAGTACAAGGTACAGAAGCTCACTGTCACCAGCTTCCTCGATGAAGCATTCCTCAAAGCTCTGGAGAGCTCGCTGCGATTTGGCAATCCTCTGCTAATCCAAGACGTCGAATATCTTGACCCCATCCTCAACCCCGTACTCAATAAGGAGCTCCGAAGAACAGGCGGTCGAGTCCTCATTCGTCTAGGCAGCCAAGACATTGACTTTTCGCCCTCCTTCAACATGTTCCTCACCACTCGCGACCCATCAGTCGAGTTCTCGCCGGACATCTGCAGCCGTGTCACCTTTGTCAACTTCACCATGACACGCGGCAGTCTGCAGAGCCAGTCGCTCGATCAGGTGCTCAAAGTCGAGCGCCCAGACACGGACCGCAAGCGAACCGATCTCATGAAGTTGCAAGGCGAGTTCCGTCTCCGACTCCGCCATCTTGAGCGATCACTGTTGACCGCCCTCAACGAGTCTGAAGGCAACATCCTCGACGACGACAAGGTCATCGACACTCTCGAGACGCTCAAAAAGGAAGCAGCCGAAGTCACGTCCAAGGTCGAAGAGACAGACGCCATCATGCAAGAGGTGGATCAGGTCACAGCACAATACGTTCCGCTGGCAAAGGCCTGCAGCTCGGTCTTCTTTGTGCTCGACCAACTCCACCTTATTTCGCACTTCTACCAGTTCTCGTTACGCTTCTTCCTCGACATCTTCGACTACGTGCTACGTCGTAACCCGCACTTGGAAGGCGTCACAGATCCCAAGCAGAGACTCGACATCCTCATGCGCGATCTGTTCTTGGTTGTCTTTCACAGGACAAGCAAGGCCCTTGCTCATCACGACCACGTCATGCTGGCAATGCTGCTTGCTCAGATCAAAGCACGCGAGGAGGGGCACACCGACACGCTCGACAGCGACGAATACGAGTTCTTGCTCGAAGGCGGCAACGTCGCGGGAGCTGCAGCGTCGACGAGCGGGGCAGCTGGCGACAGCAACACACAGCGACGCGGGGATGGCGAGGTCGAGGCGATGCTGGACGAGGAGCAGCTGGCGCGTGTTCAGGTCTTCAAGCGTCTCGCGTTCTTCCGCACGATCGAAGAGCATATGGAAGCCAACACCGACAAGTGGCTCGCTTTCCTCAACTCGAACAATCCAGAAACATCAGTGCCCGTCTTCTGGTCTGAAGACGAGCAGCAGGACGAAGACTTGGCGGACCAGGTACGGAAGATGCTGGTCGTCAAGTGCCTGCGTCCCGACCGCATTGTCCAAGCCATGGCTGCTTTCGCTTCACGCATCTTCGGCCAGGATGTTCTTGGTGACCCAGGATATGAGCTCGGTCGGATCGTCGCTGAAGAGGTGGACGCCAGCACACCCGTTGCTCTCTGCTCGGTGCCAGGCTATGATGCCAGCTACCGAGTCGACCACCTCGTCAAGCTTGTTGGTGCGCGATGCACACCGGTGGCCATGGGATCACAAGAAGGTTTCGCACTAGCCGATCATGCCATCACATCGGCCGCACGCACAGGCAACTGGGTCCTGCTCAAGAATGTCCACCTGGCACCCAGCTGGCTGTCCCAACTCGAGAAGAAGATGCACGGTCTTAACCCGAATCGCAACTTCCGTCTCTTCCTCACTTGCGAGACCTCGCCTTCGATCCCCGTCAACTTTCTGCGCGCCTCCCGCATCTTGATGAACGAGCCACCACCGGGTATCCGCGCTAGCATGCTTGACAGCCTCAAGAGCATCGCACCTGGCCGCCTGCAGCGTGGACCGGCCGAGACGCCAAGGCTCTACTTCTTGTTGGCTTTCTTCCACGCCACGCTGACGGAGCGATTGCGATACACGCCGCTAGGCTGGTCGAAGCCATTCGAATTCAACGACTCGGACGCCGAGGCAGCGTTGGATATCATTGAGGGATGGGTGGCCCAGGTGGCAAAAGGTCGTGCCAATGTCGACCCACAGCAGCTGCCTTGGGACGCCATCCGATCTCTCCTCAAGCAGAGCGTCTACGGAGGCAAGATCGACAACAATCCGGATCAGACTTTGCTCGACTCGTTTGTCGACGAGCTGTTCTGCGCTCAGGCGTACGACGTCGACTTCCAGCTCGTCAAGGACGACAAGGACCCGCTCGTTGCGCCAGAGGGCACAAAGATAGAGACGTTCGTCAGCTGGGTGCAGGCGCTGCCGGAACAGCAACCACCGCAATGGCTGGCTTTGCCGCCAAGTGCAGAGAAGGTGATCGCTGCGGCACAGGGCACGGCACTGCTGAGCAAGCTAGTCAGGATGAAGCAGTTGGCGGACGACGACGATGACGAGACAATTGGTCAGAGCACTGGCGGCAGCAGCAGCAGCGCAGCCAAAGAAACAGCCTCGTCCACCGCAGCGTCAAGTTCGTCCTCGGTGCAGCCAAGCTGGATGAAGGCGTTACGAGCAAACGCGATGCAGTGGCTCGATTTGCTCCCCAGCACCGTATCCTCCTTTGGCAAAGATGCAGGGTCAGTGCAGGATCCGCTGTACCGCTTTTGGGCGCGAGAGCACCGCACAGGCTCATCGCTGCTCTCCACCGTACGCAAGGACCTGCTCGAGGTGGTTGCCGTGTGCGATGGCAACTCGCGACAGACCAATCACAACCGAGCGCTGCTCACCGACCTGCCGAAAGCCGTCATCCCGCAATCATGGCGTCGATACGCGGTGCCGAAAGCCATGACCCTCCCAGAATGGATCGTCGATCTCCGAGCGCGTCTCGAGCAGCTAGAGCGCATCACACGCGAAGCTGCCGAGGTAGGCGGAGCGTCCGGTGGCGGATACGACATGGTCGAGGTCATCCTCGGCCTGCTCTTCTCTCCCGGCGCCTACCTGACGGCGACACGACAAAGTGTCGCTCACGCTTCCAAGGTGTCATTGGAGAATCTTTCACTCAAGCTGCTGCTCAACGACCCCAAAGCAGGGCTGGATGCGGGCAAATTCGCGATCCGCGGACTGAAGCTGCAAGGCGCCAACTGGGATGCAGAAAGCAAGAAGATCAGGCTCAATGATGGTGCTGTGACCAACCTGGGGTTGACTGCGCTGGTGTGGGACAAGCAGGCGGACAGTCAGAAAGACCAGGCGCAGCAGGGCAAGGTGCTGATCAGCGTCTATCTCAACCAGGACCGAAGTCAGGCGCTGTTTGCGACGCTGTTGGATGTGGACGCGGGGGTCAAGGCGGCGACGGTGGCTCAGCGGGCGGTCGCTTTGCGCGCTGCCTAGTGCACGCTTTCTGCAATGGAATGCTTGAAGCGAGATCTCCAGTTCCATGATGTGGGGTATACGATGTGTGCGATGCTTATGACTCTTTTGACGCGGTCGACCAAAGCTGTGACAACTCTGCGAGCTCTTTCTCTTCCGCTGCTGACGTTTGTTCCTCCTTCTCTCTACTTGATGGTGTTGATGTTGGTGTGAGCTGGTCGAACGACTCCTTGATGCCCGCTGTGACCTTTCGAAAGCGTTCGGCGAGACTGGACCGGGTCTCTCGATTGCCGAGGAAGATTTCGGACCAGGTGACTTCCTTTGGACCCACTGTCCTGCTCTGCTCTATCGAGCCCGTTGTAGCGCTTGGCCCGTCGCTTGGCAGGAGACCTTGTGCGACAGGATCTGATCCGAGCGCCTTCCAGCGTCGCAACAGGGCCAGTCTCTCCTCCTGCACCCACTCGGGATCCTTCTCCTCGACATCCTTCGACGAGGAAGACGTCCCGAACCAGGTCCTCGAGGTCGAAGGCGGATTGAGCTGGTAGAGCAGCCGCGAGTTGTAGTCGATCGTATCGCGCAGTAGCTCGGAACGTATGCGGTGAGTGCGGACGTCCTGTCTGCGCTGCGTGGTGATGAGCGCGTGGTTGAAGGCGAATGATGTGACGACGGTGAGCAGCAAGATAGGTGGAATGGCGGACGGCGCGAACCAGCGTGCGCCCTGACGAGACATCGCCGCGATGTCTGTGGGTCAAGAGGACAGTGAATGTGGTGTTGATGTTGATGAGAAGGAGAAGGAGGAGGACGAGGACCAAAGGGTCCTTTCTTCTCGTCCCAGATTTTGGCCGACCAGGCAGGCCCGAATTCCGAATGTGCCACACACGCGAGTGTTGGTGTCACTTTCCGCCGTTCTTCTTGCGTTCTTGGCCTCGGCCGTTCACCTTATTGGATCACTCACCAACGCACAGCATCGCAGCAGGGACAGGGATGCATTCAAGATGTCGCCCACTCCACAACAGCAGCTGACATCAGCTTTCGAGACGAAAAAGCACATCTCCTTCCTCCTCCGCTGCCTTCGTCTCCTCCCACAACCCTACACGTCGGCGGACGACCAACGTATGACGCTCGGCTACTTTGCCGTTTCCGGCCTGGACCTCCTCGATTCGACCTCCAAGATTCCCCTTGACGAAAAAGCCGAACTGATCGAGTGGGTGTACGACCAGCAACTTCCCACGGGCGGGTTTCGCGGGTCTCCCAGCACTGGCCCTTCCTCGTCTCGCTTCGCAGGCGCAAACGTAGCCATGACCTATGCGGCGCTGCTCATCCTCGCCGTGCTGAAAGACGACTTTGCGCGCTTGGATCGAGACGGACTGCTGCGCTTCGTCGGCGCGCTACAGGATAGAGGGGGAGGAGGTTTTGCAGCGGAAGAGCAGACAGGAGAGGATGGGGTGGTGGATCGGGATCCGAGGTTCACGTATTGTGCCGTGACGATCTGTTCGATGCTCGGAGAGTGGGGGAACGTCGATGTGGGAAAGGCGAGAGAGTATCTGGAGGGATGTCAGAGGTACGATGGTGGATTTGGTGCGAGTAGCGTGCACGAAGCGCATTCGGGAATGACGTACTGCTGCATCGCTGCGCTTCACCTTCTGCCTCAGGACGAAACCACAGCGAGGTGGGGGAGGGAAGAAGAAGCCCTGGCATGGCTCGCGCATCGTCAAGTGGCACCATCGGAAGAGGCCGCGATGACAACACAAGCACAAGACGTTGCAGAGGTATCGGACGAAGAGGAAGCAGAGCTGGCCGGTGGCTTTCAGGGAAGACCCAACAAGCTCCCTCCAGACGTATGCTACTCGTTCTGGAACGGCGCCGCGCTCTCGCTGCTAGGTCAACACGACCTCGTCGATGCGGTAGCTGATGCAGGCTATGTCTTGTCGGCTCAGAGCAGGGTGGGCGGGATAGCGAAGATTCCTAATGAGCATCCGGATCTGTTGCATACCTACTTGGGACTGGCTTCGCTTTCATTGCACCAACCGGATGAGGACGGATCGGGGAACGCGGAGGATGGCGACGGGATCGACTTTGGAGTCAAACGTCTTGATGCAGCATGGAACTGCAGTTTGGGGGCAAATGAATGGCTGCGGGAGCATCTGACCAAGCAATGAAGGCTAGCATCATGTCACTTGTACCTCTTGTGTATCTTTTGATGTGAGCAAGTGATAGTGAGGCTGGAGGAGGGAATCGGGTTGAGCATCCCGATCCACTCTAGTCGCGCCACCTTTTTGGCATATACGCTGCCTGGCTGAGGTGGTCTGACATTTGCTGCTGAACCCTGCGACGCGCGGTTGACACTCAACTCAACACAGCGCACCCACCAATCAGCCTGGCGAGGAGAGAGAGGAAGAACTCACGCTCAGCTACAACCCCACGCTTTTTCCTCGAATCGGTCAATTTCGAACAAAGAACACTCACACGCCGCTAAGCCAACACATCTTCTTCCGCTCACCATCTCTTCGCCATCACCACCGTACTTGGCACGTACCGACCATCGCAATCATGGGCGTACTTTCCCTCCTGCTACTGGGTATTACCCACCCATCCGAGCTGCGTGCCATGATCGGATACAAAGTATGGCGCGATCCGCTCAACGACATCAAGGCCAACCCCGAAGCTTCCGGTTGGGATCGCGAACGCATGCGCGATTGCTGGGGCTTCCTCGACCTCACCTCTCGCTCCTTCGCCGCCGTCATCAAGGAGCTCAAGGGCGAACTCTCACGCGTCATCTGCCTCTTCTACCTCGTGCTGCGAGCGCTCGACACAGTCGAAGACGACATGACCATCCCTGCCGAAAAGAAGATCCCCTTGCTCGTCGACTTTTACAAGTTTCTCGAACAGCCAGGATGGAACTTCAAGGAGAGCGGACCCAAGGAGAAGGACCGTCAGCTGCTGGTCGAGTTCGACAAGGTCATTGCAGAGTACCAGCTGCTCGACCAGGGATACAAGACGGTCATCTCGGACATCACCGCAAAGATGGGTGCCGGCATGGCGAGCTACATCGAGTTGAGCGCCAACAAGCCGCTCAGCGTCAGCACGTGGAAGCACTTCGACCTCTACTGCCACTTTGTCGCTGGTCTCGTCGGCGAGGGTCTGTCAAGGCTCTTTAGCGAGAGCAACCTCGAGCGTCCATGGCTGGGTCATCAGCTCGAGCTGTCGAATCACATGGGTCTGTTCCTCCAGAAAACCAACATCATCCGAGACTACGCCGAGGACTGCGAAGAGGGCCGCTTCTTCTGGCCCAAGGAGTGCTGGGGTGACAGCTACGCCAAGTTCAGCTCGCAACCCGACGTCGCCTCGGGCATCATCGAAACCAAGCCGGGCAGCAACAAGTTCCAACCCGCGGACAACGAAGTGGGTCAACGCAGCATGTACGTGCTCTCTTCGATGCTGCTCGATGCCATGTCCCACGCCACCAACGCGCTCGACTACCTCGCGCTCCTCAAAGAGCAATCCATCTTCAACTTTTGCGCCATCCCGCAAGTCATGGCGATCGCAACGATCGAGTTGATGTTCAACAACCCTGATGTGTTCAAAATGAACGTCAAGATCCGCAAAGGTGTCGCGGTTGGACTCATCCTCGCCGCGGTCAATCCACGCGATGTGGCATACACGTTCCTCAAATACAGTCGCAAGATCCACCGTCGCCTCTCGCCGGCGGACCCGAACTTTACGCGTTGGTCCGTCGAGCTGGCGCGCATCGAGCAGTGGTGCGAGACCTACTATCCGAGCTTCATCGCCGCGCAATCGGAAGGCAAGCCCACCGACGCTCGAGCCTCCGCCCTCCGCTCGTGGTCCGAATCGCGTCGTTCCCACGCGCTCATCCTGAAGCATTCCAACCTCAACGGTCGAGACCCTTCCGCCGAGGACGCACAACAGGCACTCGAAAAGGCCAAAGCCCAAGCCCTCGACCCGCGCGACCTCATGACCGAAGACGAACGCAAAGACCTCGATAAGAAGGACCGCGACGAGATGATCAAGTTTTTCTTCATCATGTTGGTCGGCATGACGGTGTTCATGGCCGTCGTGGCGGTCTTGACGTGGGAAGCCGTGTGGTATTGGACCATGGATGGAGCGGATCCGTTGACGCAGAATGTCAAGTATGCGTGGAAGTTGGTGCAGAAGGAAGGAGCACAGAGTGTTAGGGAGGTGTTGGGGACGGTGAAGGGCAGTTTTGAACATGTTTGGAAGCACGGATTGGGTTCGGGCAAGATCGAGCTCTGAAAAAAGGCCTCTGATGCAATTCTCAACTTTCGACACACCGCACACGGACAGACAAGTTGTTTGAAACGAATTGCGCGGAGACATCTATCGAACCATGAAGACCTGCACGAGCTGCGTCTCGACCTTCTTTTTCCCCTCTGGCCTCTCGGTCGAGGCGGGAACGTGGAGGTAGTGCAATTCGACCTCGAGCTGTCTGCTATGCTTTTGGTCCTGGAGCACCACGATGCGACCTTTGATCTTGTCACCCTTTTGCACGCCTGTGATAGGTTCCTTGAGGACGAAGAGCGTCTGTTGCCAATGGGTCTCTTTGCTGTAAGGTGAGGTGGAGAAGCTGACCAGTTCGCCCTTGCCCTCGTCATCCCCGGTGGCGGTGGTGGCGTTCTTCTTGAGATCCAATCCCACCACGTCTTTGTCCTCGAGCGAAAATTTGGGACACTCCGTCGAGGCGTCGGTGGGGACCCGTGCAGAGGGGAAGAAAAACGTATCGAACCAACTAATGAAGCCGTGCACCGAGCCATCTGCGCTGATGGTCAGCTCGAACGAGCTTTCCGGCTCCGGTTGCTTCACTGGCAACCGCGGCAGATCGAGATCCGCAAACACATAGCTGTCGGATACCACATCGTCCTTGTCCAACACATCGACGAAGGCCTCGTCCAACAACCCCGTGGTCATGCTGGTCATGTTGAACCCGTGGACGTCGTCCCAAAAGCGCAGCTTGTCGTTGATCAACTTGGAGGAGGAGAAGGCGGCGAGGTGCATGGTCATCCTGTTTGGCGCCAGAACTCCGGTTTCCGGGTTCAGATATCGATCCCTAGCGAGCAGCACCGAGGGGAGCATGTTCTCATACAACAAGAAATACCCCATCCATTCGCTCACCAGTACATCCACTTTTCCCTCCCACGCCTCGAGTTCGGAGGTAAAATCCTCCAGCTTGCCACGATGAACCTTGACAACGTGCCCAAAGCCATTTGCCTCGACGTTCTCCCGTGCGCGCTCGACAATCGCCGACGCATCAATGGCGATCACCTGCTTCGCCCCCGCTCTCGCCGCAAAGAGCGACAAAATGCCCGTCCCACACCCCACATCCATCACCACCTTCCCCCGAATCAAATGCGAGTTAGACGGATGGAGCAGGAACTGCGCATAGCTCAACGTGCGTGCTGAGTCGGTGATCATGGTTTGGTGGATGCCGTTGGTCGAGTAGCTGTCAAAGTAGAGGATGTCGTCTTCGGCGTCGTTCGCTCCGCGTTTGGTGCGGGCAGCCGAGGTGGCGAGGGAGGAGCGTTGGTGAGCGGTGAGTTGGGAGGTGGACGAATCGGTGAGGTCGGAGGGGGTGAGACCGAGGGTGGTGGCGTGGAGCGTGCGGAGCTCTTCGAAAGCTGCACGCGCGGTGGCTAGTTGCGACTCGAGCTCGGCGATACGAGACTTTTCGCTTGAACCGGCAGCGTCACTGGAGGTGGGAAGTGCAAGCAGGTCGAAATCCACCTGCAGTAACCCATCGTCCTCGAAGCCGGGGACCGGCTTGAGCTCCGCATCGTCCAACAGGACGCCACTGTCCCGGGTGATCGCGTTGACCTGCTCGGGCGTGAGATTGTTCCGACGAATATGGTTGATGAGACGAATCACCTGGAGTGTGTCCAGCTCGAGGCGTGCAACGAGCGCGGCAAGATCGCAACCCTGGCTCTTAGCGTGAGCGAGCGCCTCCAGCGGGGACGCAAAGGAAGGCCTCGACGTGGAGGAATCCGCAAAGAGCGCAAGGGTGGTAGCCGCGTTGTCATCGTCGGAGCGCCAGTCACCGTAGTCGTTGTCATCGTCGATGGAGGAGGACGAGTCCGAAATGTAGCCCTCGGGATCTTTGTGCACCATCTTGTATGTAGTGCGTTGGAGTGGGCGGTGAGGTAGAAGGTATGGTGTTGAAAGGCTTGAGAAGAAAGTGTGGAGCAGATCAACTTTTTTTTAGGTGACCGGACCTGCAGCTTTCAGGAAAAATTCCTAGAGGCAAAAGGGTGCCAAAAATCCAAAGCTGTTAAGACGGGGGACCTCGCTCACCAACACAAGCGCAATCTCATACCATGCAGCAGCAGCACAGATACAAGGTTTCTATTGACAGCGTTTGCACAAGCAGACAAAGACAGAAGCATCGCACAATCCCCCCACTTTCACGCCTCGAACACGCCCGCCACCACCGTCAGCATCATCACATCGATCTCCGGATGCGTCTTCTGCATCAGCTCGTCCATCTTGATAAACGTCTCCATCGCCGGCCTCTCGGCACCGCGATTCTGCTTGTGCTGAGGATACATCTCGTCTGCTACGAGACCCGATGCGTCGATCCACAGTCTCGAAGGGTCTCTCTCCACCTGCCCTGAAGACTTGATGAGCTTGCCGCTGGATGACTTTGCGAAGAGCGAAGTGATTCCACCGCTTCGCGCTTTGGCAGCGGTCAGCGCCTCGGGTGTGAGTCGCAAAGTAAGGTCGACAGACCACGTGTAGATGCCGTGACGCGCCACGCTCTTGAGATGATGTCTCTGGTATCCCGCCGGAGGGGCGGAGGGAAGGTTCCACGAAAGAATCTCGGCATCAAACGCGACGACACTCCAGATTACACCCGGGTGGGTCATCTCGAGCGTCAAAGATCTCGTTCCAGCCTCGACATCGAGCACCTCGTTCACCGCCTTGACCGTAAAGTGGTTGCTCTCGGGGGCAGGGGCGGCGTACCTGGTGCGATAGGAGGCAGGCGTGGGAAGCTGAAACTTGTACGGCGTCAAAAAGGCCGAGACCGGGTAGAGAATGTCAAAGTCGGAATTGTAGTCGTTCATCTCCATCAACGCTGCGTGGCTTTGGGAAGGGATGCCGAGATCCGACTGCAACTCGTTGGCCAGCGCCCGGAAGCCCGGTGCAGGATCCGCCGCGCCAACGTTCATGAACCATTCGTTCGAAGTGATGTTCTCGACCTGGTGCACGAAGAGACGCTTGGGGTGGGCTTCGTCGAACGGCTTCCAGCCGGGACTGGCAAACACGGCCATGATGGCAGCGGTGAGACCGAGCAAGCCAACGATGGTGCGTTGGAGGTTCTCGCTCGTGTATCGGTGAGAGAGGGGGATGACGATAGGCAAACAGAGGAACGCGAGCACAGCTACGATGCTCGCAATGATGTGATCGGCAGGGGAGATCTCGCCCATCCTACCCGTAAGCGGGACGAAGAGGTCCAAGAAGCTCACCATGCCCTCCACACCGATCGTGCCGGGGATGATCGTCATCACCGGGTACACCCACGCCGAGACCCGGTTGTCCGGTGCAACGAGCTTCTCTTCGATCGCCCCGATACCGATAATCACGAAATCGTTGAGCGTCGTGACGATGGTAAACGTGAACGAGGCGAGAGCCATGAGGTAGGCGCTACCGATGCCGAAGGCGTTCATACCGAGCAGGCCGAGGTTGAAGAAGATGCCGAGACCGGAGAGACTCGATCGCTCGAGGTAAGGTCGCTTGTGCGGCTTGACCAGCTTCGACGTGATCAGCTGCACGGTCAGAATGCCAGCTAAGGCAGGAGGTCCGTACAGCACGATGGGGAAGAATTCGTGCGAATACCACGACATGCCCTTGCCCAGCACCTTGGTCATGATGACAGCGACGATGTTGGCACTGAGTGCCGCACCGATCATGGACAGGATTGCAGAGACGGCACTGAGAATGGTGAGGTTGAGCGCACCGATGGCTGACTCAGAGCGAACCACCGAGGAGAGCTGGAAGTTGATGAAGGCGGAAAGACCCATGACGATGCTCTTGAACGCCTTGTTCTGCAGAAGCACAAAGTATCGACCGGCAATCGAAAAATAGACGGGCAGCGTGTGTCGCGACTGGTGAGGCTCGATGGAGCGGAGCGAGTTGGAGCTGGCGTTCTTGAGGCAGAGGTGCTCGATGATGGCCAGCGTGTTCTCACCAAAGTGTTGGGTGGCACCAGGCTCGAGATAGGTCGGAGTGTCTCTGCGTGTGTGGTAGTAGTACGAATTGCCGACGAGCGCCATGTCGAGACCGCTGAGGTCGTTGCCGTATTCGACAAACTGACGGAAATCAGTATCGGACAGGATGAGGCCAGTCGAGAAGACGTCGTTGGCAAGCACGGTGCCGAAGGGGTGAGGAACGTGAGAGTACGCCTCGATCATCTCTTTGCTTGTGGCTTGGAAGAGCAGTTCAGGACCGCTGGTACCGCAGGCCTCGAGGTTGACGACCGCTTTGACACCCGCATTGGTCTGGTTGTGCTGCGTGATGTACAGGTGGCTGGCATCCTGAAGCGATTCTTCGCCGTCATTGAAGAGCAGTACGACCGAGTTGTAGAGCTTGCGTCCCGTGTTGGGAAGAGTAAGCGTGCGAAGAGCTTCGAGGAGGATAGCGACACCAACACCGTCATCGGCTCCACCGGGACTGGGCAGCGTGCTGTCGAGGTGGGCGTTAAGCAGCAGACTATTGGCCTTGCTTTCGTCCGTACCGTCCGAGATGCGCACAACAAGGTTGGACATGGAGTAGTATCGCTTCCAGACGACGTTGGACATGAAGTCGAAACGATGTGCACCGTCGCCGATCTGCTTGAAGACCTCTACCTGGGTGCGGCCAGGCAGCTCGGGGGTGCCAGTGTTGTGATAGCCTTCATATCGACGCAGAATGTCCTCGAGCCAGTCCTCGGCTTCGACATGCTCCTTGGTGCCTACGATTCGGTAGCCGATGTCGACGGAGAGGTACTGCATCACACCGACGGCATTGCCCTCGGAGAAGAGCTCGTGAAAGTTGTTGGACTCGCTGACCTTGTTGGCAGGCACAACCCCGGGCACAGGAGGGTGGTAGGGAGCGGCATCAGCAGGAGTGACACCGGATGCGATGATGGTGGTCGGGCCACGCGGAGTAGGCAGCTTGTAGTGGAGATAGAGCGACACCGAGCCGAAGAAGGAGAAGAGGCCTAAGAGGATGAGCACGAGAAGGCCCGACTTGGGCGTGCGGGTGTAGTTCTCGGGGTCGATCTGACGAGCACGTTTAGCATCAGCGTAAGCACGATACTGCTCAGCTATGGGCGCCTGTGCTGCCGCGAGGGGTCTTCCGTTGGACGAAGTAGCTGGTGGAAGGGTGATACCGGTGGAGCCAGCAGCCGGAGCTGGAGCAGCAGCAGCAGCAGCAGCTGGAGCTCGAGCGGGGGCTGCCTGCTTCTTGGGCGTATTGCCCTTGCGTTTGGACGGCATCTCTTGAGGACGACCGTGGGCGAGGTGAAGGTAATGGTAGCAGAAGAAAGGGAGGAGAGAGGGGAGACTTGGGTGGTAACCGCGACTGAGTTCTTCCAAAACGCGGTCTGAGCGCTTTCGGCCAAATAGATCCCGCACTCGAGGCTTCCGCAGGATGGAAAAGCGGGGCAAGGCGGCGAAGCTCAACTGTCGCACCTCGGCAACCACGCGTGTAAGCTCGCTCTTCCCGTTCATCTCACACGACATCCGGCCACTATCCTGCCACTGTTCCTCCTTGCTCACGGAAATAACTCAAAAAGAAGGTCTTCTAGGAAGAGACTCAAAAGACTAAACAGTTGCTGTACTGTACGAACAGCAAAAGCAAAAAAAAAGAATGGTGACAAGAGTGGGATTCGAACCCACGCCCGAAGATAGCAGGTTTTCCTGAACACTCAGAATATCTTCCTTAATGCTACGCCTTAGACCACTCGGCCATCTTGCCCGTTCATGTCAGCATGTCTGGGGTGTGCATATATATATCGTGTGTTCTGTCTATGTTCAAGCTTATCTGTGGACCCTTGTCGGCTGCTCGGAAGAAAGTGTTGGTCGCTTCTTGCTCAAGATTGACACTGCCTGACAATCGAGCAGCTTTGGCGAAACTCTGCTGCCATCTATCACTCTGTCACCATCACCAATACATTCAAGGGCACGCAAGATGAGCAAAAGAATCCTTGTCGAGTAAGTCCTCCCAGGCTTGCAGGCAGCAGCCAGAGGCGGAGCCACTGACACCCTTCCGTTCCACCTTCTAACAGCTGTCACACGCACATTTACACCAAGCGTCTAGTCTCGCTTCTGCGCTCGCGCACGGTCAATCCGCGCATCCACACCAACTCGCCCGATGGATCCGAGAAGCTTGCCATCCTGCCGCAGGAGGTGTTGGGCGGTCGAACCGTTGGACCGCAGTACTGGGACGTGCGCAACAAGGCCTCGTTCATGAACCGGCACGCCATCGATATCAGCATCGTCTCGCTCGCCAATCCGTGGTTGGACTTTCTGGATGCACCTCAAGCTGTCACTTCGGCGTACGAGTGCAATGCTGATCTCGAACAGTACTGTGCTGATGCTACGAAGCTGTTCTCCGCAGAGGCAAAGGGAGAGGTGGAGGTGGCAAGGAGGATGAAGGCGTTCGGCATCATGCCTTTGGCAGACGGAGTGGAGCCAAAGGAGGTTGTCAAAAGTCTTGAGGTGATCAAGCAGTCGCCCAGCTTATGCGGTGCGATTCTCGGCTCCAGAGGTCTTGGCAAGGGGTTGGACGATCCGGCCCTCGAACCCGTGTGGGAGAAAGCGGCCGAGTTGGGCCTCGTCCTCTTCCTCCACCCACACTACGGCGTGGGTGCCGACGCTTCCAAGCCGGACGGTCTATGGGGTGCGCAGGACAACGGGCACGTCCTCCCCCTCGCCCTAGGTTTCCCGTTCGAGACAGCTGCCGCGACCACTCGACTCATCCTCGCAGGCGTGTTCGACCGTCACCCAAACCTTAAGCTGCTGGTAGCCCACTCCGGGGGCGCTTTGCCAATCCTTTCCTCGAGACTGGCGAGCTGTGTCGCTCACGACCCACACGTCTGCAATCGCCTCAAACACGATCCTCGCTACTACCTCGGCAAGCTTTACTACGACGCGGTCGCCTATGGGCCAGAGGAACTCGAGGCGGTCGATAGGATCATCGGTCGCGCGGAACGCTACGGGTCGGGCACGGACGCAAAAGGGGGCAAGATTCAGGACATGGTCGAGGTGGGCGTGCAGAGGATGATGTTCGGTACAGACCACCCGTTCTTTCCGCCCACCAAGGAGGATGGCACTGTCATCACGGATGATCAGACCGAGACGTGGAGGTCAGTCACAGAGAATCTCGAGGCGATCAGCGATGTTCCGTCCTGGTCGCAGTCGGCCAAGATGGGCGTTTTTGGCAAGAATGCCGTCAGGTTGTTCGGTCTATAGTGTATTGCAAATCATCCGTATCGTACCGGTGGCTGTGACGAAGCGGCGCCTTTGTCGGCAGGACCGAACCAATCCTCTGAAGAGCGCATCGTCTCGTGGTCTGCGTAGTTGATCGTGATGCTCTGCACTGTGCTGTATGCATTCAGCGCTTCGAGTCCGTTCTCTCTGCCAATACCTGACGGGTTGGCACCAAGGCTCGCCGTGCCACTTCCTGAAAAGTTGCCAGTGGGAGCGATGGCGCCCCACGGGCTCGAAGGGTCATTGCGATGATGCGTGTTGAGCCAGACGATGCCTGCCTTGATACGAGGCACCATCCGATGGAAGCGCGCGTGGTCGGCCGTCCAGACGCTGGCACCGAGACCAAAGCGGCTGTCGTTGGCCAGCTCAATGGCGTGTGCATCGTCGCGGAAGGGCACGACGCAGACGACGGGTCCGAAGACTTCTTCCTGCCAGAGGGTGCTGCTGCGGACGGCTTGCTCTGCTGGCGATGATAGAGAGCTAGGGTCGGAAGACGTGCCAGCAGGAATCAGTATGGTGGGCGGGTAGAAGGCGCCAGATGCTGCCAGATCGTGACCGTCGAAAGAAGCGCCGTTCGGCTTCCGCCCGCCAGCAACGCATTCCCACACAGATGCGGAGCTCCTCCTTGGAGTCGTGACGCCCTGAACTATCGCATCGACCTTGTCTGCATGCGCAGCGCTAATTAGCGAGCCGAGCAGCGCGTCCGCATTCTGAGGATTGCCCATACGGCTGGAGATGTTGTTGGCTCTCTCAGCAAAGCGATCCAGGAATGCCGTAAAGATCTTCTCGTGAACCGATATCCTGGTCGCTGAGACGCATGTCTGCCCACTTGCCACGAATGCAGCGAAGGACGCACCGTTGACCGCCAGATCGACCGGACAGTCTTCCATTACGATCAGTGGCGCTTTGCCCCCAAGCTCGGTGGTGATGGGGATCAGCCGCTTGCCGGCCTGCTCTGACAAAAGCGTGCCGACTCTTGTTCCGCCCGTGAAATCGATCTTGCGAATGTATGGCGACTCGACCAGCTGCTTTGCTGTCTCAGCCGCACCGGGTAGGATCTGAACCACGCCGTCTGGGATGCCTGCCTCTTGTGTCATGGGACCGAGCTCGAGCACGGTGAGAGGAGCCACTTCACTGGGCTTGACAATGACGCTGTTGCCCGCCGCTAGCGCTGCGGCAAGCTTCTTGACCGCAATCAGCAGTGGATGGTTGAAGGGCGTGATCTGCAGTACGACACCAAGCGGACGTCGTGCTTTGTATCCCAGCAGCTGACCGCGTAATGGCAGCGTGCTCCCCTCTCCAACACGGATAAGGGCCGAGTAGTATTCGAACCATTCGTAGAGCCTTGCGAGCTGCGCACGGAACTCTCGGATGCAGCGACCCGTCTGCTGGCTTTCGAGCATGGCAAGCTCTGGAGCCCGCTGCCGTAAGATCTGTGCCAGACGATAAAGACACTCGGATCGAAAGTGGACCGAGTCGGGAGAGGACCATTCGCCGTGACCTGACGCAAAGACCGAGTTGGCGTGATCGAGTGCCTTTTGGACTTGGCTGCTCGTTGGAATGGCTATTGAGCCGATCTGGCTTGCTCTAGCGGGATCAGTGATGGCGAGCTTTGCTGCGTAAGATATCGAAGCCTCTTGATCGAAGCGGCCGCTGATCCATGGGTGTGCATCTCGAGAGCTCGAGGCTGACGAGGAGAAGCGTGCTATCCTCGAGGCTGTGCGAGCCGTCCGTGGAGCTGAACTCATCAGCGGACGGCAGACCCCGCTCTTCAGAGACATGGTGCTTGCCTGTGCTATCCTAAACATGCTGGTCTTCGATGATGACTGTTCCTAGCCAAGCCATGTCTCGTGCTTGAGGGCATCATTGGCCAGAAGGAAGAAGCTCGAGGTTGGTTGCTCCGTGCGCCTCAACGGAAGCTCGGAACGCTCTTTTTTCTTATCGCACAGAAAAGTGATAATGAAAAAGGCAAAACCCTAAAATCACAACTCCAACACTCGGCAACGACAAACCCTAATCGGCCGGTCATGAGCGAGTCTTGGATGGCTCTCTTGCGTTGCTGCTGAGGTGGCACTACGATGGGCCATGCAGGACAAGAAGGATGCTCGGCATTCTGGGCGACGTTTTCTGACACTGAGAAGGAGCGAGACGAGTGAGCAGAGAGCTTTTCCGTCTGCCCGAAAGACGCGGGGTCGATGGGGCACAGTCGCGTGAGTGATAAATGCGCTTCTTGATCCCCAGAAAGGGTCCTCCCCATGCTCTCGTGCAACTTGCCGACCATCATCTCGCACCATAGTCAACAATGATCCGCAGCCTCACGCCTCTTCTCCGCCCGGCGGTCCGTACCAGCATCGCATCGACCTCAGCGTCGGCCTCGAGGTCGACACTGCCGGTCCGAGCATACCAAACTCGCGCAGCGCCCTTGGCAGCTGTAGCGAGGCCGAACGTAGCCAGTCGAGCCTCGCCATCCCTTCAGCCTGCCCTTTCGAAGCGCTCCTTGGCAACACAGACCACTACGCCCCACTTTGTGATTCCAGTGATCGACTTTTCCGCCTTTGTTCGACCCGACGCCACCGACGCAGACCGAGCGAGGACATCACACGAGCTCACCCTAGCCTTCAAATCATCGGGGTTCGCCTACCTCAGCAACCATGGCATCTCTGCCCAGCAGATCGACTCGACCTTCGCTAAATCAGCTGAGTTCTTCGAGTTGCCGATCAACAAGAAGGATGAGCTGGCATGGAAGGATCCCCGTGCCAACCGAGGCTACGTCGCTGAGGGACGAGAGCGCGTTACAAACGCCACTTCAGCAGAAGAGATTGCGGCACTTCGTGAACAGACACCCGACTACAAGGAGTCGCTCGAGATCGGCAACGATCACGACCCAGTGTGGAAGAACGAGTGGCCAGCAGAAGGCGATGTGCCGCACTTCAAGGAGACGATGCGCGCCTTCCAGACGGCTGCTCACGAGCTCCACATGAAGGTCATGTCGTCCATCGCCATTGGTCTCGGACTGAATGCTCAATTCTTTGCCGACAAGTGCAACGAGGAGTGGCACACGCTGCGTCTGCTCCACTACCCCAGTGTCAAGACGGACAAGCTCAAGGTGGAAGGCTCGGCGAGGGCGGGCGAGCACAGCGACTACGGCTCCATCACGTTGCTGTTCCAGGACAGCGTGGGTGGGTTGGAGGCCAAGAATCCGCACACGGGTGTCTACCACTCCGCGGACCCAATCCCAGGGACCATCGTCGTCAATGTCGGCGACCTCTTGGCTCGATGGTCCAACGATCAGCTGCGCTCGACATTGCACCGCGTCAAGGCTCCTCAGGCTGTGGATGCCAAAGCGGAATACACACCAACACGATACTCGATCGCCTTCTTTTGCAACCCTAACGAGAATCAGCTCATCGAAGCGCTGCCCAGCTTCGACTCTACGGATGGCCCCAAGTACGAGCGCATCTGTGAGTATCATTGATCATGGCGTTGCATTCCAGAGAAGCATGCGAGCTGACCGTAGACTTGATTCTTTCCTCACCGTATTCTCCCATCAGTGACCAAAGACTACCTCGCCAAGCGTCTGAGCGAGACCTATGTATGAGCTACCGAGCCCTGACTTCCACTGGCTGTCCCTGAACGTCACCTCTGATTTGTATGATAGTGTTGAAACTGCAGAAGGCTGATATCGACTGACGTTTGCGATTGCTGTGTGCTGAATGTACAAGAGTGGGCGTGCTGAGATTGAGGTCGAGAGAAAAGGGAAATGTACCAACCACCGACCCACTCCCTCGCCCTTCCTCGTAAAAGGGGGAGCAAGAGGGAGCATGGGTGCTAAGACGTTGGATCGCGGACCTACCCAGTCCTCGAAAGCGGTCCCTGCTAAGAAACGCTCCCGAGATGCGACTGGACAAAAGCGGTGCGAGGGCTCAGCAAACATGGTATAGAACGAGCCCCCTGGAGTCGCGAGTTGATCTAGACCACCATTGACGCTCACCTCTTGGCCATGGAAAAGCGAAGAAGCATGTCCCGGAAAGGACACACTTCAGGCCGAGGGAGCAACACTAGGCGGTCAGAAGTTTGCTGCACGAGGAAGAGAAGAAAGGAAGGTTTCGCGGTTCGAGGTGCATCTTTATCCTCACTGACAGGCTTCTTCTCAGCAGGTCCGCAGTCAGAATCGCAAAAAATTCAAAGCGTAGATCACGTGGTGATGCCCAATTCTCAAGAGTGTCAGATCGAGGAATGTGTGAAAGAAGCGGTGGCTAGAAAAAGCGGTTGATGCGGGGTCTGAGCGTTGAGAGTGGAGGCTTGAAGCGGTGCAGCAGAAAATGTGCGGTTGCAGGCGGCGACGTTGACCAGATGCAGCCAAATGCGCGACAGATTTCACGCTCAGCCAACTCGTTATCAAGGGTCCAACACCGACACACTCGACCATCATCTGTCCGTATCCGCTTGCTACGCTCACTCTCTCCACCATCGATTCACAGAGACTGCCTCTGACTCCACGCAAAATGAGCCAGGATGGATCGTGACTCGCCCTTTGCAGATCCAGATCGCCCCGAACAGCCACTACCACCACCCTCAACGAGCAGCCTCAAGGCATCCATATTCGAGCAATCACGCATCGTCCATCCATCCACCAGCTTGTATCGAAGTACCATCCGTCCTCGTCAGGATGACATTCGCGAAGAGTCGTATCATGAAAGTATCCAGCCCAGCGTAGCTTCTTTGGCTGGAGCATCAAGCAGCCAGCACCCGACCCATGGCAGTCATCCGCACAACGCCAATGGTACCGGCAGCCATCGCTCCCATGCTCCCATCCGAGATCACGACGACGGCGGCGACGATGAAGGCGAACAAGATCCCGAAGATCTTCTCTCTGATGAAGAGCTCGGTCTCATAGCTGGCGACTCTCGACGCTCCACCACATCGACATCTCGCGGGTCAAGCAGGTCACGCAAGCAGAAAACCAACCCGTCAGACCCTCGCTCACGGGCTTCCGCCGTCGGTGGTCTCAGTGCAAAGCAGAAAGCCCTCTGGATGTGGGCCAACGTCGATAACCTCGATTCCTTCCTTCAAGAAGTCTACGCCTACTATGTCGGTCGTGGCGCCATCTGCATTGCCCTATCGCGCTCGCTCAATCTGCTCACGGTGGCCTTTGTCATCTCCTTCTCCACGTTCTTGTTCGGATGCATCGACTACTCTGCCATCCGTCATGACGGACAATTAAGCGATGTCATTGTGGGACACTGCGTCGCAGGCTTCTCGCCTTTCGCCACATTCATCGTTGTCCTCTTGCTTGCAGCAGTCGGATGGCAGGTGGTGCAGTTTGTGCTCGGACTATCGAGACTCCGAGCCATGCACCGCTTCTACGAGCAACTTCTAGGCATTCCTGATGCTGATGTGCAGTCGATCCCATGGCATGAAGTGGTGAACCGCATCTCAGCTCTGCGCGAACAGCATCCGAACACCTCACTCAGCTCCGCCGACGAGATCGAGCTGGGTGATCGCGCGTCTGCGTTACGACCTTCTCAACAGCAAAGGCTGGACGCACACGACGTCGCCAATCGACTCATGCGACAGGAGAACTATCTCATCGCCCTTTTCAACGAAAACATCCTCGACCTCTCCGTGCCCGGCCTTCGCAACAGGAGTCCGGCATTGACGCGGAGCCTGGAGTGGAATCTCAACTTCTGCCTGCTTGGCTTCCTTTTCGACTCGAATGGACAGGTGCGACATCAATTCCTCTCGGAGCGATACCGCGCAGACCTGATCGAAGGACTGCGACGACGATTCCTTTTCATGGCAGTGGTCAATGCCATCTTTGCGCCCTTCATCGTGCTGTACCTGCTGGTGTACTCCTTCTTCCGCTATTTTGAAGAGTACCACAAAGACCCTTCCAATTTGGGTTCACGGCAGTACACGCAATACGCACGATGGAAGTTCCGCGAGTTCAACGAGCTGCCGCATCTCTTCCGAAGGCGATGCCATACATCGTACGCGCCTGCGTCCAAGTACATCGACCAATTCCCAAAGGAGAAGACGGCGATCGTAGCACGCTTCGTAGCGTTCGTCGCCGGCTCCTTCACAGCAGTGCTCATCCTGGCCTCGGTGATCGATCCGGATCTCTTCGTTCACTTCAACATCACCCCGCAGCGCAATGTGCTCTTCTACATTGGAGTGTTCGGTGCGATCCTTGCGGCATCACGAGGGATGATACCAGACGAGCATCTGGTCTTCGAACCAGAAGCGATGCTTCGAGAGGTGATCCAACACACGCACTACTTGCCCGAAGACTGGAAGGGGCGCTTCCATTCGGCTCAGGTGCATCAGGCCTTCGGGCAGCTGTACACGCTCAAGATCTACATCTTCTTCCAGGAGCTGCTGAGCGTGGTGACGACACCTTTTGTGTTGTGGCTCTCGCTGCCCTCATGCGCGCCGGATTTGATCGACTTCTTGCGCAAGTACACCATCCACATTGACGGGCTTGGACACGTGTGTTCGTTTGCGGTGTTCGACTTTGCCAGACAGCCAACGGCGAGTACGATGGGCGGAGCAGCAGCGAGGGGGATCCATCAGACGGGGAAGAGCGGCGGAAGGAGGAAGGATCGAGCACTGCGGAACGGGATGCGGGAGGGAAAGATGGAGCAGAGCATCCTCGGGTTCAGGGCGAACCATCCGGATTGGGATCCGGCAGCGCATGCGAGCACAGCATCCATCCATCGTGGTGAAGATGGCTTGAGAAGCGGAGATGCACCTGTTGCCTCGTCGCAGTTGCAAGGATACGGCAACGGGCTCGCCAAGTCAGAGACCCCGACTACGACCGCTGGTGGGGGAGCCAAGGTCAAGGACTTGATCGATCACATCTATCGGGGCAGTGGAGCGGCTGCTGGAGGTGGCAGCAGGTGGTGATTCCATTTGTGTACACCGGCAACAGCAATGGGTACTTTGTCAAATCGCTGCTCAAGGATGATCGCTCAGACGGCAAAGGAAGCGTCCTGTCCACAGATATGTATGTGCACCGGCCAGCTCAGGGTCCAGCAAGAAGATTGAGCGCCTGAGTGGAATGCGTACCGATGTAGCCGCCTGCAGGAAGCAGCGGATGCCGAAAGCAGCTCCTCACTTTGACTGCAAGGCAGGGCTGAGCAGGGACGCGTACAGGCTCTGATTTTCAGGCTCATACACGAGCTGTGAGACTGAGCTGCTGCCGCAAAGACTGAAATGGAGGCCGAAAATGGACGGAAATTCGGATGGAAAAGGGACGTCGCCATCTGCTGCCGGATTCATCGTTGGTCAAGCAGGCTCAGTCAGGCCATCAGAAGTCGAATCGGGCTCAGGAATCGTGGCTCATCGCCTGTCTGGTGCTGCTACTGCTGCCTCTTTAAATCGCGTCTCCAACGCTTCTGAGCGTGGTTGGTTAGCTCGCTCGGCCTTCTTGCCATCTGGGTGACATCCGTCGATCCTTCCCCATCTCGACCACCACCTTCTCGCTTTCACCCACTCGCGTCATCATCTTCTTTTCTCGCTCTTCTCTTTCCGCGATTGCTTCCTTGGTTCCCTCAATTGACTGCGCTCTTCGATCACGACGCCCGACCAGCATTCGACAACATCGCCGCATTCGCGCGCAACTCCCCACGGCCGCAGCCACGTTCCAGTAGACCAACATCATCGCAGCTACCTCAGAAGTCGATCCCATCACCACGCTACGGATTACCAGCTGCGACGGTTCGACCTTTGCATCCACACGTATCGGTCGCACGTATCGCCGGACGAATCCTTCGTCATCTTTCGCAAAGCCGAGGACGCGACTCGCTCAAACTCGATCTCGGAGTCCACCCATGCCTTGCCATCAAGCCAATCTCCTCTTCTAGGCTACTGATACCCTCTCGCGCTATCGGATCGTCGCTTGACAAGGCCTCAGCGCGTCTCGACCTCATCAAGGCTACAACGATTCTGTGCTCGACGTGACGTTCTGACTCGCGTCGCATCCTTGTTCTCCTGCAGCGAGAGACTAGCAGCTTGTCCATCGAGACATCGGCATCCCCCTGATTCGAAAGTAGAGCATCATCGTCGATCAGCGAACGCGCGCTGACTCGGCTTTCTCGCTCTCCGGCGCGTCATGGATCCCAACATGTTCGGCAACAACTTTGCCGGCATGTTCGGCCAGCAGCAACCGCAGCCTAATGCAGGTGGCGGTGGCAGCGGCATGGACACCAACAACATGGGCGGCATCAACCCTGCCATGTTCGGTGGCATCGACCTCAGCACCTTGCAGAACAACCCACAGCTGGCTGCCGCGCTACTTCAACAGCAACAACAGGCTCAACAACAGCAGCAACAGCAACAGCAACAGCAACCATCGCAACCCAGCACACCACAGCAGGCGCGCTTCAACCCGGGCATGTTCAACCCGGCCATGATGGGACTCGACCAGAACAATCCTGGCGGCGCAGCCTTCAACATGCAGGCTCTTCAGCGTGCAGCTGCAGCTGGCGGCGGCAACAATCCTTTGGCTTCCTTCAACCCGCAGATGCTATTGCAACAGCAACAACAGCTCCAGCAACAGCAGCAGCAGCAACAGCGTCAAGGCACACCACAGCAGCAACAGAGCGGCCAAGCGTCACGGTGGCCTCCACAGCAACAACAGCAGCAGCAGCCGCAGCAGCAACAGCAGATGCAACAGAACTTGCTCGCTCAGCTGCAGAACGGCGGAGGTGGTATGTTCAACAACTTTGGCCAGATGGGACAACAGCAGCAGCAACCTCCGCAACAGCAGCAGCAGCAACCTCAGCAGCAGCAGTTCGGAAATGGTCAGTTCAACCCCGCCGCTTTGATGAATCCACAGATGATGGCCATGTTCCAGCAGAACCCTATGCAGGCTATGCAAGCGATGCAGGCGCTCGGTCAGCTCAACCCGGGAGCCTTCCCTCCCGGCGCTTTCAATCAGCTCATGATGCAACAGCAACAACAACAACAGCAACAGAATCAGGCCGGCGGCTCGACACAACAGGGCCAATTCCCTGGTATGTTTCAGCAGGGTCAAAATGGAAACATGGGCGGCATGATGGATCCCGCTGCGTTGATGGGGGGCATGTCGAATCAGCAACAGCAGCAGCAGCAGCAGCAGCAGCAGCAGCAGCCCAATATGTTCCCCGGGGGCACTCCTGCTGCTGGCACTTCGCCGATCAGACAGACCTCTGCGCTTCCACAAGGCCAGCCACCAAACGGTCTCCCAGCGTATCTGCAGGCCAGCAACCAGAATGCGATGCAGGCAGCTCAGTCCTCTCCTGCCTCTTCGCATCAGCAGCCTGGCACCCCTCAGACTCAACAGCAGCAGCTCAACGCTGGCAACGGCCCCGTGCCTTCCACTCCCACGACCGCGACTAAGCCCAAGGCGCCGCGAAAGAAGTCTGAAAAGAAGACCACTGCCAAGTCGCAGCAAGCGCCGAACCAGACCCCGGTCATGCAGGCCGCGAACGCCTCTGGGACCCAAAGCATGCAGCCATCTCCTAGCGCTTCGTCAATAGCTGGCATCCAGGGTGCTTCCCTCCCTGGCAGCGCTTTCGAACGCTCGCGGAGTCACACACGGTCGCCAAGTCTCTCAGTTGGGGGCCAAGGTACACCAGCGCAGATGCACACCCTGCCCCCTGGGATGCAAAGCATGCCGCAGCAACAGCAGCAGCAGCCACAGCAGCAGCCACAGCAGATGCCACCGCAGATGCCACCGCAGATGGTGATGCCGGGACAGCAGGGACAGCCAGGTCAACCGGGTCAAGCACCGCAACAGCAGGTGGTCCCACCCAATTGGATGCCGAGTCTGAACCCGCAGCAGCAGTCCGCTGTCTTGCAAAGAGCGCTCGCCCTCGCCAAAGCGCAGGAAGGCTCCGGTCTCACCCCAGTGCACACGCTCATGCAAATGGGCTATCTCTTCCTCAAAGCTTCAAGTTTGCCCGGCGGTTCTCACCCGTCGATGATGCCAAACGGCGGCATGGTGCTTACCATCAACGAAGCACGTGGAATTGGTCTCATTCCCCAACAAGGCGGGCAACCAGGCGGTCCCTCGGCTCCGAACGTGCCAGGTCAGCAACAGCAGCAGCAACCTCAGCGACAGCCTTCGTTAGGTGCCATGCAGCCTCAGCCTCCCCAACAGCAACAGCAGCAATCACAGCAGCAACCTGGGTTCGGCGCTCCGCCATTGACGCCTCAGCAGCAGCAGCAACAGCAAATGATGCTCGCGATGCAACAGCAGCAACAGCAGATGCAGCAGCAACACCAAATGCACCAACAGCAGGCCCCTCTCGTTGCACCTCAGCTCGGTCATCCACACGGACAGCGTCCAAGCACACCAGCGGGTCAACACGCCTCTCCCTCGAGCATGCGTGCGCCTTCGCCCATGGGTCCGGTCGGAGCCACTTCCAGCCCAGGCATGGCCAACAAGCCGCGACCACGCCAGCCAAGTCTCGCTTTGAGCGCATCTGGTCGTCCAGACTCTCGCGGCGGACCTGTGCCGCCCGGATTCCAGCAAGGGGGGCCGCAAGGTCTGATGGCACCCCCTCCTGCTCCAGGGCAACTCCCTCCAGGGATGCAGCCTGGTATGGCGATGCCGCCTGGCATGGTACAAGGACCGGGTGGTCAACTGCCCCCAGGCTTTGGACCTCCCAGTGGAGCTCAAATGGGCCCAGACGCGACGCCTCCCATGCTGAAGCAGCAAGGGCGACGTCCCTCGATGGCGCAAGATCCATCCCTTGCCGCTACGCCAGACCATAGGAGACCTCCAATCGCTGGCTCTGCTCCTCCCGGCATGGAAGGTATCGCAGCTTCGACGCCGGATCCCATGATGATGGCTGCAGCAAGTGCCGCGGCCGGGCAGCCGTCGGCGCAGGCGCAGCTCATTGGCAGCTTTGGCGGTGTCGCACCCACCCTTAAGGGGCGCAAGGTTTCTCAAGTCGGCGCAGCAGGTCTTTCCGTTGCTCCAGCCGTGCCCGGTGTTGTGGCGCAGCCTGGCGTTCCGACGACGAGCGAAGCACCCGCTGCTCAAGACGCGGCAGCGGACGCCACTGTTGCCACTGGCAAGCCTACCACGCTGGCCGGCAGTACTCCCGCTTTCGCCCACACTGTGCCCTCAAACTTGGCCGACATGCCAATGCTGCTGGGTGGACCTGCGCCCAAAGAGTCGGCGGTTGGCACACCCATTACGCATTTCAATACCCGTGTCACCAAGCTCGACGATGCTATGCGGCCTCAACAAGCAGCCGATGCCAAAGACGACGGGCCCGACTCCGAGGCCAACAAGACGGACGAGCCAGTGTGGACGCCGCTCACCACGGATCAAGAGACCGAGCTGGCTGGCATCATGAAGCGTGATCTGGAATACGAGAAGCTCTTCCGACAGCAGCAGCACGACATGGAAAGGTCGCTCAAGGATCGCATCGACAGGGTCAGACCACCGCGCAGGAAGGCAACGGATGGCAGCATCACCAGGCCGAAACCGGTGGCATGGTGGGAGCGTCCTGAAGAGGAAGACACCTCCGGTTTGGCGCGCGACGCGTTCCGACCCTTCGGCGTGCTCTTCCCCAACCAAAAACGAGCGGAGCTCGACCAGGGCCACCGCGGACACCGACCTCACATTCCACTCAAGCGCTCGCTCATGGAGATGGTCTCGCAACAGGGCGAAGATCTGGTCCCGATCAGACTCGAGATTGATCACGAGCACTGGAGGCTACGGGACACGTTCACCTGGAACGCGCAAGACTCTCACATCAACGTCGAAGCGTTTGCCGTGTCGATTTGCGAGGACATCGGACTGCCGGCGTCCGTGTTTGTTCCACAAATCAAGGAACAGATCAACACGCAGATCCTTGATCACCAGACCACCAGCGCCTTCAAGGCCAAGCCCACGTTCGATTTCGGCCTCGACACGAAGGAAGGCAAGGGCTCGCTGGAGGATGACGATCTCCTTTGGTGGTCCAAGTGGCGAAGCAAGGTCGACTGCGTGCCCTTTGGTGTCAAGCCATCTGCGGCTGCGACCGAAGCAGGAGCCGACGGCACTGACGCTGACGTCGCTATGCACGTGGAGGACAACAGCAGCGAAGAGGACGATGCGCGATCGGAACCTCCCGAGATCGTCGACACGACCCCGGCTGAAGAGCTGCGCATGATGATCAAGCTCGACATCACGGTGGGTGCGATGAATCTGGTCGATCAATTCGAGTGGGACGCCAACGAGACGGACCCTATGGCCGCCGAGAAGTTTGCCGAGGCCTTTGCCACTGATCTCGGCCTTGCTGGCGAGTTCAAGACGGCGATTGCACACTCGATCCGAGAGCAAGTGTCGGTACACGTCAAGTCGCTCGCAATGACGGGTCACACCTTTGACGGCCGACCGATTGCCGATGAAGAGCTGCGTGCTGCTTTCCTCGGTCCCGTCAGCAAGTCCAACCTGTCGAGGGGCGAGATCGAGTCGTATCACTTTACGCCTCGCCTGCTCCAGCTCACCGAAGCCGAGATCGATCGTCTGGACCGCGAGCGCGAGCGCGAGGCACGCCGAAAGCGTCGTCAGACTCGTGGTCGTCGCGGCATCAACCTGCCCGACCGCGATCCCCAAAAGACGCAACGCACGCCAGCTGTATTTGGCATCCAGACGGCACAACCCGATGCCGCCAATGCGCTTCAGAACGCTAATGGTCTCAGCGATCGATACGGTGGCATGTCGACGCGCCGAGCAGCAGCTGCAGCCGCCAACGCATCAATCGCACCATCGCAGGCTCATGACCTGGACACGCCCACACCGGGTCCCGAGGGACTTGGTCTGCCTGATCGCAAGAAGCCCAAGGTCAACCACCACGCCATCCACTTCGACTTTCCCGGTGGTCTGGGTCGCGATTCAGACCCTGGCGGACCCAAGTTTGCCCCTGAGTACACGGAGGAAGAAGCCAAGAAGCGTGCTCGTTCGCCCGAGAACCAGGCGACTGGCTCGCAGGCAGAGAAGCAAGCTCCCAAGCTGGTCTCGCTCTCATACGCGCAGCGCAACAACGTGCGTCCCGAGGACTTGGAGCGACAACATCCCAACTTCCACGAGGGCATGTGGCACTGTTCGAATTGCGGCATTCCTGGCACACTGGCGCCAGGTCGACGAAAGGGACCTCTGGGCGACAAGTCGCTGTGTGGGCCATGCGGCAAATACTACCACCGTCACCGCAAGGTCATCTTCTTGGAGTACACGCGCGATCCGCTGGTCCACTTGAAGCAGCAGCAGACGCTGAACCGCAAGATGGGCATCTCGAACCCGGTCATCGACACTGCGCTGCTCAACGCGCTGGGAGAACAGGAGGACTCGACGGAGCCCGCGAGCGCTGCCGACACGCCCAAGGCGGGCGGAGACGACTCGATGGGCGTGGATGGCAACGGGGTGCGACGAAGAGGCCGACCCCCGGCGTCGTCACGTGGGGTGAGCCGCGGTGATGGCGGCGATCATTCCGACGAGGATCTGCCGTTCGAGATGGTAGGAAGCCCGGACGACAGCGACTCGTCTTCGAGATCGAGCAGTCCCGAGCCAGGGCCGCGATCTCGCAAGTCGGCGTCGCAGTCGGTTGTCAATGAGGAGACCCCTCAGCCTGTACGACGAGCAGCAGCCGAGAGTGCGCGCGACAAGGTGACAGCCGCTTTTGCTTCGGCTGAAGCTGGCACGGAAGCGGGAGCGGCTGCGGCACCGCCGATGGCGGCCAACGACGAAGCAGACGTCAAGAAGGAAGCGGACGTTGCGGGCGAAGCCAGCACTGACACCGTCGACACATCTGCGTCTGCGCTCGGCAACGCTCCCTCTGCTGCTGCGGTAGTCATGGCCGGCTCGCCGTCCGCTCAGTCGGCTGCTGCCGGTACACCGACCATGTCGAACGCCTCGCCGCGCATGGCAGCCATCCCAGGCGCTACGCCTCCCGACTGGCTCAGCCAGTCAGGCGCCGCGCTGAAAGCTCGCTACCCGAACGACCGGTTCGAGATTCAGCAACGACCCCGTCCCGCCGGCGTGCCACCCCCGCCCCAACCCGAGTGGCGAGTCCGCTGTCTCGACTGCCCAGGCAAGCTGTACACGCCCGGACCGGGAGAGAGTCTCAACAACTTTGAGATTCATCTGCGCAACCGTCTGCACCGAGCCAACGTCAACAAGCGGGTGTACGGCAACTCGGGTCCGCCCGCCACAGCATCGCCCGGCGCAGGTGGTTCGCCACATAAGAGCCCGAGCGTCCCACATGCACCGGCACCCTGAGTGGAGGAGGATCAAGCATACCCCAGCATCGTTTTTGTGTATTGTATTGTTGTGTTTCGGTTACATGAATTGACTTCGTTCAACGTTTAATGATTGAGAGAGAGTGTGTGGATGGTTTGGCAGGTGTCCTTTGAGCAAGCCGAAGAGCGGTGAGGGAGGGCGAGAAATTGGAAGGTCTGGAGGGGCGACCGTCAAAGCCGCGTTACCGGCTCGGCTTTGGAGGAAAGCGCAAAAAGGGGAAAACAACGCACAGACGCGTGCCGAACAGCAGTCTGCCCCGCACTGTTGCTGTTGCTCACTTGGCCGGGCCCCGCAAAATCCAGCGCTTTGCTGGTTTTGCCGGTCTTGAAGGCTTGGTGCGTTGGCCAAGTCACAACTTCACGTCCTTTCATCATCGATTCTGGTCAACTCCTCCTGCTAGAAGAACATCACACGATCGCTTGACTCTGGCACCCACAAGCTTTCACTAGCGGCGACAACGACGCAAGTACGAAGCAGAGGAGCGCTCCCCTTTCTTTCCCACCCTCTCCTCTCCTCAACGCAAAAGAGCTCGACCGTCATGCTTCGATCATCGCAAGCAGCTCTCAAACCCAGATTTGCCATTGCACGTCTGGGCAGCACCGCTATCGTCAGTGCCGTCCTGGCAGCTCGATGGAGCCCCGCGGCTCGACAGCTGCACACGTCGTACCCGGCCGCATCCCCTGTCCTTACTCGCGCCCAACCTCATCTGCCCGCTAGCCTCGAGCACCACCGCAACGCCTCCACTGTCACCAACCCTGCGGAAGCGACCACGCTCAAGCCGCTCCCCGCCAAGATCCTCATCGCAAACCGCGGCGAGATCGCATGCCGCATCATCCGCACCTGTCGCCGACTGGGCATCTCGACCGTCGCCGTCTTCTCCGAGGCAGACGCCGCGTCGCAGCACGTCAAGCTGGCCGACGAAGCGTACTGCATCGGACCCGCCGCTTCGTCTGAGTCCTATCTGCGACAGGACAAGATCCTGGACGTGGCGACGAGGACGGGAGCGACGATGATCCACCCAGGCTACGGCTTCCTCAGTGAAAACGCGGGCTTTGCGAAGCTCCTGGAGGAGAGCAACGTGACGTTCATGGGTCCGCCAGCCAGTGCGATCGATGCGATGGGCAGCAAGTCCGCCTCGAAAGAAATCATGCTTGCTGCAGGCGTACCCTGCGTTCCTGGCTACCATGGGGCTGAACAGGACCCCGACTTCCTCGCCAAAGAGGCGGACAAGATTGGCTACCCTGTCCTCATCAAGGCTGTCAAAGGCGGTGGTGGTAAAGGCATGAAGATCGCCGACACGCCCGGAGACTTTGCGGATGCACTCTCCTCGGCTCAGCGTGAAGCGGAAAAGTCGTTCGGCGACCCCACCGTTCTGATCGAAAAGTACCTCACTGCACCACGTCACGTCGAAGTCCAAGTCTTTGCAGACAGTCACGGCAACGCAGTCTACATCTCGGAGCGCGACTGCTCCGTCCAACGACGTCACCAAAAGATCATCGAAGAAGCACCCGCACCCCATCTGCCCGACAACCTCCGCACCGAGTTGGGCGAGAAAGCCGTCGCAGCAGCCAAAGCCGTCGGCTACATCGGCGCCGGAACGGTGGAATTCATCCTCGACGCCAAACGACCCGACAACTTCTACTTTATGGAGATGAACACGCGGTTGCAGGTGGAGCATCCTGTGACGGAGATGGTTTCGGGCCTGGATCTGGTGGAGTGGCAACTCGAGGTGGCGGCTGGCAACCGACTGCCTCTGTTGCAGGACGAGCTGAAGATCGAAGGTCACGCGTTTGAGGCTAGGATCTACGCGGAGAATACGGATGCGAATTTTTTGCCGGATACAGGGAGGTTGGTGCACGTTGCACTGCCACCGACGACGACAGTGACGCACTCCAATCCTGCGCTCACCTCGAGGGGCTCTGGAGAGGTGGTGAGCGGAAACAGGGCCGAGGCGGTGGTGAGGGTGGACACGGGTTTCGTTAGTGGCGACGAGATCTCAGTGCACTACGATCCCATGATCGCCAAGCTCATCGTCAAAGGACGGGATCGCACCGAGGCGCTGCGCATCATGGCCAACGCGTTGGATCGCTACCAAGTCGTTGGGCCGATGACCAACATTCAGTTTTTGAAAAATCTGGTGCGGCATCCGAAGTTCGTCGATGGCGAGGTGGAGACTGGGTTCATCGGCAAGTATGGTGATGGGCTATTTGGCGATCCTCACACGTCCGATGCTCAATTGCGGGAGGCGGTGGCGCAGGGAGCCGTGTGGATGTTCCAGCGCGACCTGGGGGCCAACTCCGTCGACGGAAAAGGATCCATTTGGACCAACACCTCCTTCCGTCCAACGCAGACGAGGTCGTTCAACCTCAACCACAAGAGCCTAGGCGATCTCACCGCCACCGTCACCCCCTCCCCTTCCGCCGATGAGTTCAAGGTCACCCTCACCTCCGGCACCTCCTCCACCGATCTCACCATCCGTCCCCTAGGATGCACCACCATCCCGCACGGCCTAGCACACACAACCTTCCTCCCCACCGGCACATCCACCACCTTCACGCTCACCCCGCCCACCTGGTTCGCCAAGATCTCCGACACCCCCGATGGCGCCTCCACCGACGCCCTCGCCTCGCCCATGCCCAGCAAGATCGTCGATTGCAAAGTCCAACCCGGCCAGAAGGTGCGCAAGGGCGAGACGGTGGTCATTCTGGAAGCCATGAAGACTGAAATTAGTCTCAAGGCGAATCGGGATGCGGTGGTGGAGAGTGTCAGTGGCAAGTGCAAGGCTGGCGCGCTGGTCGCGGAAGGGACCGTGTTGGTGAGGTTCCAGGCGGAACAGGACAAGTAGATGTGGTGTCAATCGTTAGAGAAGTGTTGCAGAGTCGTCGGAAAGTGTGACTGTGACTGGGACTTTTGTGTTTGGGTGTGAAGCAGCAGCGGACGTTAAAGATGCGACAGCATCCCACGCGTGCTGAAGACATGGGCCATGGTTCAACATTAGACACACGACACACGGTGGAAGCAAAGACAGAGTCAACCACACTTGATTGAGCCGCAATCCACCCACTCCAACCTTCGATTCCCTTCCTTCCTGCGTCTCCCATCACACGCGATACCTCTTAGTGCTCCCCCTCTCGAACAGCGCCCTCACAATCCACACCTGAGCAACACTGATCCCAACCATCGTAGCGCTCTCCACCACACTGTACCAGAAGATCTTACTCTGCGTGCTCCTCACCGTATCAAAGTTGCGATTCTCCCTCACCCTGAAGTACCTCTGTGTCCTTCCAATCTGTTCGAGCTTCTCGCCCAACCCGCCGATCCCTTCTTCCAACGGTGCACTGTGTTCCTTCAGCAGTTTCCCCGCTTTGATCGGCAAATCCAGTCTCGGTTCGCTCTCCACGGTGATATCGAAATCCACCAGCTTCTCCGCAACGCTGCTCATGGAGTTGTCAAAGCAAAACGTATACTCGCCTACGGTGTTGCCGGTGAAGATGATGTCCAGTTGACGTTCCTTGGTGCCAGAGAGGATGAGTTTTTGATCCGGATCGTGGATGGTGTAGTCGATGTCAAAGTGACCACCGGATTGAACGGCGAAGTAGAAGCCGACTTTTTCGAGAGCTGCGTCCACCCAGGCGTAGTAGCACGTGCGCTCGTGGGGTTCGATCAGGGTGGTCAGGGCTGCAGCGCGGGTGGTAGGGGTGAGAAGGGAGAGTGTGAGGACGAGCAGCGCGAGAAGTGGCGCGAGCGAGAGGGTTGGTGTTGATTTGGGCATTGTGGGCGATGAGAGAGTGTCTGTTTGAAGACGGGGGAGGAATGCTGCGTTCGTCGTTGTTTCGCGGGTGTGCTTCGTGAGGTGAGATTCAGAACGTGCGCTAGCTTCGTGTCTGTCGGACGTCGTGATATGAGGACCTAGAGGCTACGAATGTCGAGATACGACGGCGGGCTCGAGCTTGAGAACGATGACGGAAAGAGGCAGCCAGCTGCGCGGGTCGTCGATGCGGGTGATGGTGTTGGTGTGTAAGATGGAACACGCGATGCAGGTGCGCCATGTCTCAGCGTTCTTCCAGCTCACCGCCTCATCGGCTTCAAAAAACCCCAACGCGCACGTAAGCCCTCGATGTAACACTCTCCGCCAAGAATCGTGCTTACTCCACTCTTTTGCTTGCCACCTTTCACCCCTCACCCCTTCACCACCGTCCCTCACACCATCACGTTCGCTCACTTACACTGCAAGAGGAGCAACCCACCATGTCAGCGCCATACAAGCCCACCGCAGAGGAAGCATCCACATCATCCGCCTCGTCCTATCTCTCCTCCTCCCCCTCGTCCAAAACCCAACGCCCGACCTCCTCATCAAATGACCCCTCGCAACCGGAAGACTTTATCAGCGTCATGTCGCACAAGACCCCATCCAAGTTTACGGATCCCTGCGCACACGCCGCCAAGCTCTCGATGAAGTGCCTCGACGATCATGCCTACGACCGGAGCAAGTGCGGCGACGTTTTTAATCAGTATAGGGAGTGCAAGAAGGCGTGGATCAATCAGAGACGCACGGATCGGCTGAACAATCGGCCTGGCGCATTCGATTGATGGCTGCGACAACCAGGAAGGGGAGCTGGGAGCTGATCAGGGTATGGAAGGGTTGACGAGGTTGTGATGACTGCAAGCAGAGGACTGTACCCGATACCACTTTCAGTAAAGGCAAAATGTTCAGCTTCGATCCGGACATTCGCAGCTGTGACAGTGATGGCCTTGTATGGTGCGAGAAGACTTGAGCAGTTCAGAGAGGCGACGATGGGCAAAGCAGGAAGACAGCGATACAGCGGCGAACATCAACTCATGTCACTGGTTCAGACTTCGACGAGACCGTCCAGAGGGTATACGATTTGCTAGCTTTCACATCGGGAGTCGACCCATCAATCATCGTCCTTCTTCCTCTTGGCCACCTTTGCCGTTGGTGTAACCGCCCCGCTCCCCGCACCGTCCGTATTCTTCCTCTTCAACTTGGTCGCTGTGCCCCCCGCGACGGCCTTTCCACCCCCCGTCTTGGTCGGTGTCCCTCCCGCACTGCCACTCTCCGTGGCATTCTTCCCCCCACCCGTGCTCTTGAGATTCGGCGTCATACTCCGTTCCTTATCCTTCCCTTTTCCTTCCTCTTTATCCTTCTTCTTCTTCACCACCCCTTCCTTGCCGATGGCGGGTGTTGCATCCTTATCCTTCTTCTTCTTGCCCGTTGGCGTGGCGGCATCGTCGGTAGTCTTCTTGGGCGTATTTCCCGCACTCTCCCTTTCCTCCTCCCCCACCAACCCTTCGTTGGCTTTCTGCTCGAGACTCTTCTGGTACGTCGCCGAACTCAACGAGAAAATTCGATCCTCCACAGGCACTTCGGGCACCACCGCGCTCGCTCTCCCCGTAGAGCCGGTCGACGAATTCTTCAGATACGCATCGAACCCTTTGACGATGTTCCCACCAGAGGAAGAGGTGGATTGGAGATAGGAGCCTTCAAAGAGGTAGATCTGGGATTCGAGGTCGATGAGCGAGCGATCGATGATGCGTTTGTTCGCGAGACCGGTTCGGACGGCGAGCTTGGTGGATTGGTAGCGTTGGGTGGCTTCCTCGAGACTGCCTGGGACGCTGACCGAGGTGGACGCGGTGGAAGGGACAGCAGCCGCAGCTGGTGTCGTAGAAGTTGATGTCCCGGTCGCTGTGGGCGCCATGATGGATGTGACGGCGTTGGTGAGGAAGTTTGGTGGTGGTAGCAGGAGAGAGAAACAGGGTTCAACGTGAGAGAGCCACGAGAGCTGCTGAGACGCGCAGATACCGCGCCGACTTCCGTGAAATTTCGTTGAGCTATCAAGGCCACTTTTGGAAACCTCGTCCTCCCTTGTTCGCTGCTCAACCTCGTTGCATCCAGCTCGCAACCAGTCGACTGAGAACAGCTCAATCCGCTGCGGGTGCGAGACCCCTCTCGTAGACTCAAGCTCGTATCCACCACCTACAGCATAGAAGAGACATCGAAAGCGTGACCAACATTGCAATCTAGATTAAGAGAAACATCAAGACATGAATAGGAACAATCATAAAGGTGAACGAAGAATCTAAAGGAGGCGATCAGGCAGCCGACTCCGCCGCTCTCTTCTGACGTCGCAGCCCCACCGTGTGTCTGAGCATCAGCCACACGCATCCGCCTATCGCCAGCGCGGCGCTGATGAACAGGAACACGTCCTGCACCCCATCGGGCAGCAGAAACACCCATTCCGTGACGAGTTCCGAGCTGTTCGTTGCGGCGAGGATCGAGATCATGACGCCGATACGATCCCACTTGACGGCTCTGACCGAAGGGATGGTGCTTCGGGCTGCGATGCTTGCGCGAGTCTCCACGTTCACTGTACCGGTGCGGCCAAGTTCGGCGTCGAGTACAGTGTAGATCTGGAGGAGGGCGAGGGGGAGTTGCGGTGTGCTACCTGCATCAGCGACGATGGTGGCTGCGTACATGACCCACACCCCACACGTACCGTCAGGCACAGCAGAGTTGGCGAGAACTGCCAATCCCAGACCTATGAGCGTGACGACCAGGCAAGTCGTGAGCAAGGCTGGCACGTACCACGCCTTCTCCCTCCACCCCCTCGGCCCCCGGGTCGCCAACCAACACCAACCCACACACGAGACAAACCCTCCAACTCCACCCACAAGCATCGGCAACCCCGGCAGCGCAGGCACACGAACCAGATCCACCCAGTCCGGTTCGTGCGCCGACCTGAGCGGCGCAATCAGCGACACAACCGCAAGCTGAAGAATGACCGTGTTGGACACGACGAGCACACCACAGATGAACGTCTCGCGCGACGACATGCCTGCGCTGATCAGGTCGAACGCCGCATTGTCCACGCCCATGCCGCTGAAGATCAAGATGGTGATGCGACGGAAGAGGTCGTCCATCCACTGGCCGAATCTGCTGTGCCACGGTAGGGTGGCGGGTGCAGGGAAGGCGACCGGGTCTTGTGCGGGACTGTCGTGTTTGAGCACCGGCATGTTTGATAGAGGAAGCTGGTCGTCTGCAGACTGTCCGCGAGAGGATGCTGTAGCAGCGTTGACTTGGATCGCATCAGGATCGGATGCCGGTTGGCTGGTGCTAGTCTGGGCAGCGTTGTCCGATGATCTCTTCGAATCGACCTCTGACATTGACTCGTTCGTAAATCCCGCCTCGACTGCGTCGGTTTGCGACGCTGGAGTAGCAGCACAAGCGTCGCTACGACTTCTTCGTCGATGTGCAAGCCAGAGCAGAATCCCGATCACCGGGTAGAGCGCAAGAAAGAACAAACCCTCGAGCACAAAGATGCCTCTCCAGCCGTGACCCTCTCCATGCCCCGCGCCAGCAAAGGTGATGTTGTGTCTCTGCAGCATGTGGGCCAGCTGATATCCTGCGAGATCCGAGGTCGAAGCGAACAGCGTACCCAGCCCGTATACGGCTGCAAAGGTGTTGGTGGAGAAGCCCAGGACTCCCTCTTCACCAGACGGCATCAACTCCACCGCCTGCACAACCACTCCCAGCGCACTAGCCGTCACCACCGCCGCCCCCACCTGGGTCAACACCACCCCCACAATGCTTGTCCCCACAAACGCCTCGAGCAGCGTCATGAGTCCTACCACCGCCACGATCAGCATCAGCGCCAGGATCAATCCTTCCACCAGCCAGTTCGACCGCACTCGTCCCACTAGCAGCACGAACTGGAGGATCAGCGCCGGTCCGGCCAACAACGCGAGAGGGAGGTAGTACGCCGATTCCAGAAGCACCCATCGCACGTGGTGGTCGTGCTTGAGGAAGTGGTCCGAATGGAGGGTCTTGACGTCGGTCGGCACAGACAGGCGGAGATGGACGAGACGGACAAAGTCTAGGTTGGACATGTCGGCTGTGATGACGCCTACCACTAGCGAGAGCGGGAGGATGACGAGGAGGAAATGGAGGAGGTTGGCCTGCAGCTTGGCCATGGCGGAAGTGCCTTGGGTGACCATGCCGGGTTTGCAGGCGGTGGTGGAAGGTGAAGAGTCCGCGACGGGCGCAAGAGGCGAACTGCTCCCCGTCGAGGCTTCATCCTTTGTACTTGCGCAAGTCTGGCTCTTGTCCTCGTTTTGAGGAGGTGAAGAGCTCCGTTCCGCGGCTGGTGAGTCTGGCAAGCGTGCCGACCTTGGCGCTTCCGACGGAGGACGATACAGGTCCTCTCGCGGAGGCTGATGTGCGGCTAACAATGGTGGATTGTAAGGGTGAGATTCGTTGGGCATAGTAGACTTGTGAGGCAAGGCCGCGAGACTTCAGCATTGAGGGGAGGAGAGCCTTGCGACCCAGTTGACAAGAGGCGCCATTATAAGCCTGCCAGGGCGTGCGGAGTGCGGTTGACCTTGTGACGGTGGACTGACAGAGGAAGCATGACTTCGGCACGGGCTACAATGGAAGCCTGAACGGAAAGGAGGATCCGTCCGAGGCAACCAGTGACGTTTCGAGAGGCCCGGGAGCAACGGCTTCCATTGTTACGTGGTGGGCGCATGCATGGACAACGAGACCATGTGGGGTTTTGGCTGTTTAAGTTCGAGTTGTTCGACAGCTCAGGGTCCACAAGCTCAAATTCGCGCGGGCAACCGAGGAGAGCATCGGTTAGGGAGAGATGGCGGGGCAGTTATAAGTGGCTCGCTGGCCCAAAGGCCCAGATCGAGCGCACGCGACCTACTATCGGAGCGACAAAAGGGCAGGGTTCGGGCGGGAACAGAGCAGATCAAGGGGCAGAAGAGGCGGGCGAAGCACAAAAGAGAAGAGAGGTGTAATGCACCTCGTGAAATCTCCAATTTGCTCTCAGAGAAGCTATGGTTGCTACGCGCTACGCTCACCACCGAAAGCGATTGCACTGCGAGCATGAGCGTCCAGGACCATTTCTCGGCTGATGTTACAAGTAGTGAATGACAGATGCCGAGCAAAACGTTAACATGCTGTGATGGAGACGTCTGCTCAAACTGCGCAGCCTAAGCCAACGTCAGGCACGTCCGAAAAGAGCTAAGACCGCGCATCTGATAGGCACCGCTTCGCGAACGAGCCCCTGAAACGCAAGCGACGCGTCTCATAGCATTGATGACGAGGGGAGTGGGAGAAGCGTCTCGCCGGCGTGCGTATCCGAGGAGCCGGATAAGGCTGCAGAGGGATCAGCTCTCCATTGTACATCGCGACAATCGCCGTGGAACGAGTCCTTCTCTCCAGGCATTGTCATCTGGCCGATCTATGAGCTCGCGTGTGTCGAGGAGTCGCGATTCGACAAGGGGGAGCGCTGCCCTGAGCATACTAGAAGTGACTCGCGTGGGCTGAAGAAGTTCGTGCGCCGTCAGGTAACTAAGCTCGAGGTCGCATTGTTTTGAGTTGCCGTTGACCCTCCCGGCCTCGAGAAGAGCGCGCTTGGATCTAGCTTGACTTTCGCCAGACCGCTTCGTTGACTAAAGACGTGGTTCGGACTGAGCAGTAGCAGTACCGAAATCGCGAGCACCAGAGCGTGGAGCAGCAGCAAGAGCCACGCTACGATGCGGTCCTTGCTCTTGATGCCTGAGCTGCTGCGGAAGGCGGCAAGCATGACACAAGAGGGAATGTTCGGAGCTGTGAAGATCTGAACAGCGACACGAAGCAGAGAATGGGACGGAGAAGGCGACATAAACCCCTCTTATACGTCTCTCGTCTCGACATCCGCTTGCCCTTGCTGTCCCCTGTCCCTTAGACCTCCCTTTGTTCTGCTCACTAGAGGGGCTCATTGACAGGTCCTGTTCTCCGTTGTTCTGCATTGGCGGTATTGTGGCAATGTCGGCGCGTCGATATCCGTATGAAGTTTCCTTTGTTCCCTCTACGCCACAAATTCGAGCAACACCGTCCCACTCTTGCAGAGATGAGCTCCCCTTTGTCCGTGTCGGCTGTAGTTCAGACATGTTTGGCGTCAACGCCCCACATGCAGCTACAGAGCCTTCAAGCTTCGCGGATCAGATGTCTCCCTTTGTCTTGATCATAGGAACGTCCCTACTGAGCTGACCCCTTTGTCATTCGGCTTCATCCACACGACCATGAAAGGGAGACAAGCCCGTTTATCAACGCGATGTCCAGTTCAGAGCGTGGGGAGAGAACCTGAGCTGCACCAACTGATCGATCAAAGAGCACAGTCCTGACCAGACAGTATCGTTTGCTCCTCCCTCCTCGACTTGTGTCTAAGCATCTTCTGCGGGCATCCTTCTCTGCGCGATCAACAAGATGAGCACGACGATACCCAACAGCACCATCAGCGCATCGCTGGCCAGCGCGTCCATCAGCCCTGGGAACATGACCACAAGCAACGTCTCTGCCAACGCTGGGCCGCAGATGAATTCGACGTTGACCGGTGCTCCTGCTCCTCCCTCAAATGGCATTCAAGACTCGATGGTGACGCTGCTCACTTTTGGCCCGCTATCCTCCTGCATCGAGCTGCCAGACCTATCCGGCATCACTTCACCGCTCAAACCCAACCTGTCTGAAGCTGTTCGGGCCCAAGTCTTGCACGACTGGCTCGTGTCCTTGCCGACAAAGCCTTCGTGCACGTCCTTCTCGTGGACCTTTCGACCGGACTATTTTCTCCATCTCGATGCGATGACGACTTTTCAAGCCGAGCTCGAGCAGCTCTTTCCGTCCGTTAGCAACTCAACCGCAGCATCGACATCCACGCAAACCAACAGCACCTTCTTCAGCAACATCGCCGATACCAGCGCGCCAGCGGCGACACCGACCGGCACACCGTTGCCCGAGACGCTGCCGCTCTGGATCGGAATCACCATCGCTTGCACCACATTGGTGCATCTTCTCGCGCTCATCCTGCACGTCTGCTCCGAGCTTGACAGTCTATTCCCTTCCTTTGCTGAGAAGCTCGAAGCCAAGCCCGAGGAGGAGACGTTACCGAGTCACGCGGTGAACGAAAGCTTGACCACGCTCGTCGAAGCCAAACCCGACGTCAGCACCGACGAAAAGCCGTCCGATCCACCACAGTACACCGCTCCAACATCGGACACCGTCAAGCCTGCCCCGGAGAAAAGCAACCCGATGCATGGCGGGCTGCAGGAGACACCAAGCTTGATCCGCATTTCCCGCCAGGCCAAAAGGCTGGTGGTGCCGCTGCTGCTCGTTTCGGCACTGATGCTGATCGGTGTGGCTGTGGTGCTCAACGCCAAGTTTGCGGTTGGGCCTGTAGCAGGATTCTCGAGCTCAGATGGCAGCACAGGGGTTCTCACATCGAGTCCCGGGGCGACTTCGAGCGTCAGTGCTGCTGTGCCTGTCTCGAGTGTCAGTACGGCTTCAACTGTCACAACGAGCGATGTGATCAACTCTACGAGGGCCAATAGCGACGGTGCCCGTGACTCTAGGCCTGCTGCCAGCAACGATGTTGCGGCGCCTACTCCCGCAGCAGACGCTGTCACAAAAAGCCCAGCACCACCCATCGACATGCCCTCGCCGACGGCTAGCATGGTACGCATCGTCAAGCGACAAACAAACTTCTTCCCCGCCCCTTCTTCTTCGGACTCACCCGTGCCACCTGCTCCTACACCCGTCTCCTCCCCTGCTGCTCCTTCTGAAGCTGCACCCTCGAGCTCACTTCCCAACGCATCGCTCTTTCCCACCACTCTGCCCTCCACTTCCCCTTCACCCACACCCACTGCACTCTCAAGCACCACCTCTCCTCGACAGAGCACCGAAAGCAGTGGAACCCCAACTCCCGCACCCGCACCGGCGGCGCGCTTCGTGCTCCAGCGTGGAGATTCGACCCACCGCCTCTGGTGGATCGTCATGCTGGATCTCCTGCTGTGGTTTGTCCAGCGTCGTCGCACGCGCACGCAGACCGCAATGGACAAAGCGAGGAAGGTCGTGTTGAAGCAGCTCGGCGGTCGGCATGTTGGATAGGTTCTGAGCTGGAATTGTGATCTTTCTTTAATTCGATACGAATCTTTGCTTCAGTGTGGGGGAGGGACCGCTCAACGGTGAGATCAGGGCGACATTCCGTGTGTTCATATTCGTTGCATTTGCTGTTTTGAGACGTTGCATACATGCACCTTGTCGATGTGATGCGAGACAGCAAGGCGCCGCCAAGATTCGCACCAATGTTGCCATCAACTTCGTAATGCTGATTGCATCCAAAGCACGTCATCTGCCAAAAGCTCCTTGGTGCAACGCTGCAAGTCCTTCGCCTCCCGCTTGAGCTGCACATCATGCAGGCAGCTCGAACTTTTCGCCCTTCATCACTTTTGTAAAATACACTATTGGCAGCAATGCGGGACAAAGGTGTCAGTAGACGTGCTTCCTGGGTTGCACATCTGCCGGGCAAAGTATGACGAGGTCTGCGAGACGTACCATAGAAGAAGTCGAGGTAGAGACCGGTCTGTACGAGACCCGAGAGGATCGAGATGGGGTCGATCTCGTTGTGTGCGATGTACCTGTTTTGAGCCAAGAGCCCGATTCTGGTCAGTACTGCTTCTCTTGCGCTGTGGTATCTGTGATGCTGGGCGCTTACCTGTAGAGCCAATTCGGGATGTACAACGCCCTATACGCTCCAAGCGCAAAGATGTAATGTGTCGTGATCGCCTCTGCCTCTCCGGTCCTCTGCAACATGAACAGCTGGGGCAAGATCGCCACTGCCTCCAAATAGATGCTGAACGTCCAGAGGATCTCCATGAAGTCGAAGTGATAGTGGAACAGCAACGCAAGCACGAAGCTAGGACCCATCAGATACTCCAACTTGATCGTGTCGATCGCAGGATCGTGCGTCGGTCTGAACTTGATCTTCATCAGATACAGCACATAAACGCTAGACCCGATGAAGAAGACCTTCATGAGGAATCGATAGAGCGAGTTTTCCTTGAACAGATCGAGATAGCGCGTGACAAAGACGACCGTGTAGAGCAGCTGCGTCTTGAACGAAATGCCGCGACATGATTTCGAGAGCTGGATCTTGTGCAGCAGAATGAAGATCGAGGCGAGATGGGCAAAGTCACCCGCCAAACGAAAGATGTTCATCGTGGGAAACCGAAGAGTGCCGCGATCGAGATAGAGGTAGATGGTTGATGGTGTGGGTGTGGCTTGGAAGGTTTGAGAGTTGGTGTCGCGTTCCGAGAGTGATGTGCTGGACTGTGCCCCACGCCGACTTCGAAGATCTGCCAAATCGCACGAAAGAAGGCGCGTGAGTTGGCAGCAGCAGCAAGCTGCACGCCAAATCTCGAAATTCCCGACCTGCAGGTCACACACGGCAAGCTGCATCTCGCCCCGTCGACAGCATGGCCGAGATCGGGTAGGTATATATCGTATCGGCCAGATCTCCCCTTCCACCTTGCCTTCGCCTTCTTCAGAGCGACTCTCGGTGTGCATACGTCCTTCCCACTCACAGCGTAGCCCCAGAAGCGGACTGACCACAGCATACACATCATTGAAATTGTACTAGTGAGCTGGATTGACAGTCACGACGCTCTAGCGCCATACAAGCGGCGTCTTGAGTCCTCGTTTGAGGGCCGGTAGCTTCAGACCCTCCTCCCATCTCATCACCGTGGACTGACCAGGCGAGGAGATGAAGCCGTCGGTACACGCCAGCTTGCACTTCTTCGCGCCTTCCTCGTCCAGTCCTTCGACATCCGGCAGGAAGCCGAACCCTTGACAGCGAAAGTACTCGACCATCGGTTCATCTTCCGCCTCCGAGTAAGTAAGATCGATGTGCTTGCCGCCGTTGTACATGCCGGCGGTGATCTCGCCCAGTCGAGTGGTGGCGAAATGGACACCTGCTGTCTTTTCATCGCCCTGATCCCTCGAGATTGTTGGATCCCTGAGTGGGCGTATCGCGACGACGTCGATCGATGATGACGGCAGGCGATCCGAGTGGGAGAATGCGGAAGAGAGAGGAGCCGGGATGAACGCAGACTCCAATCGATCCGTCACCATGGCGTTGAGGTACAGGAAAGGACCAGCCAGCGTCGACCCAGATTCAGGCACGGGCTCGAACTTCCGAGTCCTTGTCGAGTATCGCAAAACGGCACCGCCGCCCGTCTGAGATGATCCTGGTGCGAGAGCGACAGAACCGTGCGTCCACCGAGTCGCGTTCATCTGAGCAGCAGCTTTGAACCGTTCAATCCCCTTGTGCTTCGTTCGCATCTCCGGCGTATCTGCATCGTGCAAGATGGCGGCATGCAGAGCGTGTGATGTGACCAGATGGCTGATCGATGACTTTTTCGTCTCGGGGAAGAAGTTGAGCATCATCGGCAGCGGCACTAGTTGCTCCTCTGCATCAGCTGCTTTCGAGGGGAGCGACGAGGCGAGCAAGCGAATACTCTTGAGCATCACTTCAAGCACCTCTGCATTCAGTTCATGGACAGTTTCGGCTGCGGCCACTTGCTGCTGGACCTCTTGCGTCCACGCGCCCGGATACATTGCCGAGTAGAGGGCGTTGGCCGTGCCGCCAGGTACAATCGCCAGTCTGAAGCCTAACGATTCCTTCTTGCGTTTCCTTCTCGGGTCGACGTCCTGTCCATCTTGCTGCAAGAAGATGCCGTTGAGAAGCTCGTGCGTTGTACCGTCACCTCCAATCACGACGATGTCTACCTCGGGCTCCACGCCATCGCCCGAAACAGGAGCCAGATAGTCGCGAGCGATCTCGTCGCCGATCCTGATCCCGTCACCTTCGCTCTCCGTCTGCCGTATTCGGACATTGCTTGCGTCCGAAGAGCCGAGAGCTGAGATGAGAAGAGGCTTGACGTGCTCTTCTGCTAAAGCGAGGCCGAGCTTGGAACCCGACGCCGGATTGACTACGATCTCGATTGGTCTTGTCATGACGTGAAATGCGAAAGCCTCGGCGGGAGCGAGGTCGGTGTTGTGGCGGTGTCTGCTGAGCTGCTCTGCGTGAAAGCAGAGGACTGTGGTCGGTGAGAGAAAGCGAGCTGCGCAGTACGGGATTTGGTGGCGTGATGCGAACGGTGGGGACCCTCTTCAATTTAAGGTTTTCAAGGGTCCAACTGGCTCGTGCGTCAAGGCTCAGGACTGCCTCCCAACTCAGCACTTCTTCTGACTCTATATCACAGATCGAGGATAAGGTTGACTGATTTCTTGGACTGCTACAAGAACAAATACATTGGAAACTCCCTCTCACCTTCACCTCAACGCGCAGGCTCCGTGGTCGCAGCAGCCTCGACAAACTCGTACGCCTCGTCCCTGGTGATGCTCCTAATGCTGCTGACCTTGTTGGCATCGAAGAGCACACCGTAGTGCTTCCTCGCCACCTGCACCATCTCCGGTCGGAACGTGGTGGTGATGAACTGCGCGTTCTCCGCCAGCTCGCGGATCATGTTGGCGACCGCCGTCCTGTAGAGCGCGTCGAGGTTGGCATCGATCTCGTCGAAAAGGTAGAAGGGCGCGGGGTCGCACTTCTGGATGGCAAACACGGTCGCCAGGGCCACCAGCGACTTTTGACCACCAGAGAGCTGCTGGATGCGAAGACCTTCATCGTGTTTCGAGTTGAACGAGACCTTGATCGAGACACCCGTGTAGTTCTCGACCGGTCCAGCCTCCTCTTCCGAGTCATCGCCTGCTGCGGCTGCACCCGCTCCAACAATGTCGGCACGTCGTTGCATGATCAACCTTCCCCTTCCGGCAGGTACAAGCTTCTCGAAGACCTCCTCAAAGTACTTGCTCACCTGCTTGAAGGTGCGCTCAATCGCCTCGTCCTTCCTCTGATCCAACACGTCGATCAGCTCCTGAATGCTCTCTGCGCTCTGCTCGAGCTCTCCCCTTCGCTCCAGCAGCTGATCGCGCTGCTTGGTGAACGAGTTGTACTGCTCAACAGCCTTCTTGTTGACGTGCGAGAACTTCTTGAGACTCTCGTTGACCTTGTGCAGATTCTTGAGCAACTTGTCTGCGTTGGTGTTGATGTACTTCTCGAACGCCTCTTCGGGCAACACGCCGAGATCGCGGATGAGCTGGTTGCACCTGTCGCGCTGGTCCAGCAGACGCGAACGCTTCGAGAGGTATCGCTCGACGTTCTTCTGCTGGCGTGCGATGCTGCGCGCGTCTTCGGCCTGGTCGGCCTTGGTCTTGTCGTGCTTGGCCTGCGTGTCTTGCTGCGATTGCAGAAGACGATCGAGCTCCTTTTCGATCGCCTTGATGCGCTTCTCGCGGTCGGCGATGCGACGGCGAAGCGTCTCGATCTCACGCTTGCGCGCGGACACGTCCTGGACACCGGAGGCGGTAGCTGCGTCGTCACCACCGAGCGACTCGCCAAGCGCCTCGAGCTGCGATCCGATCTCTTCTTGGCGTCGACGCAAGTTCTCGAAGAGATCGATCTCGAGAATGGAGCGGCGCTTGGAGAGCTCCGCGAGGGAGTTGGATTTGTCGGCCCATTCACGCTTTTGCTGGTCCTCCTGCGCATGGAGCGTATCGAGCTGTGCGGCTTCTTGCGGGGTGAGGCCTTGTGACATCGGCGTGCGCAGTTCCTCTTCGAGACCCGCTCGCTGGGTCTGTGTTGCCTTGAGCTCGAGCTTCTGGTCGGCTTCACGCCTCTCGATACTCTGTAGTCGTTGCGCGAGATCCTCGACCTCGGTACGTGCGCGCTGGAGCTGGTCCATGAGCGGCCCACGCGAGTTTCTGGCTTCGTCCCGGCGATGCTGCAAGGTGTACATCTCGCCCATCAACGCCGTGACCTCCTGCTCGATCTCGGCGATACGGCGCTGCACTTCTGTCTGCTTGGCCGAGTCCTGCTCGCTCTGCGTCTTCCACTTGCGCACGTCAATGACCGCGTCGAGACGACTGCGCCTCGGATCCTGGTAACCACCGGAAAGCGCACCCTTGCGTTCGACCTTGTCACCATCGAGGGTGACAGCGTTGACTCCGTGGCTGCGCACGTAAGCAGCGGCGATCTCGAGATTCTGGCAGACAATGCTGCGGCCAAAGATCTGCTGGAATGCAGGTGTATACGCCTTGTCGAACTGAAGCTTCTTGATCAGGGGAATGGCATCCTGCGTGGCTGGGAAGTCGATTTCCTTAGGATGAAGGCGATTGAGCGGCATGAAAGTGACACGGCCCCGTTTCTCGCGAGTCATGACTTCGAGCAGCTTGGCCGCCGTGTCGTCCGTGTCGACGACGACGTGGAAGAGCGAGGTACCGGCGACCGACTCGACTGCGGTCTTGTATTTGTCATCGACGGTGAAGAGCTGATAGATAGGTCCCTTTACGTTGTCCTCCAGGCCGAGCTGATCCGCGATCTTTTCGACGGCGAGCAAACCCTGGACGGTGTTCTTGTCCATCATGCCGACGAGCTTGCGCTGTGCATTCGAGAGCTCGTTTCCTGCGTAGGCGAGGGAGGACCGAAGCGACTCTTCCTCCTTCCAGAGGTCCTTGCGTGTCTCTGTGAGCTCGTCTCGACGGTCTCGCTTGGCTGCGTACTCGATAGCCAGTTGCTGAACGGTGTCCTTTCGGCTCTCGAGGCTGGCTTCGGTCTCTTCCATGCTGCGAAGCGTGGCGTTTCTTCGCTCCGAGACACTGGCACGCTCACGACCAGTCTCTTCGATACGTGTCTGCTGTGACTGGATGAACTGGTCCAGGCCTCCGATCTGAGAACGCAGGTATTCGTCACGCTCGCGTTGGGTGCGGAATTGAGCCGAGCGACCCTGCTTGGAGTACAGCGCTGAAACGCGAGCCTTGGTCTCTTCGAGTCTTGCACGGAGCTGCTCGGCTTCGGTCTGGATAGCCTCGAGGTTGGGTCGCAGCTGTTCGAGCTGCGCCTGCTTTTGCTGGATCTCGGCACGGATGCGGGTCAATTCGGCTTCGAGCGCACCTCGTCGATCGGCTCGCTTCTCTCCGACCTCTTCGAGCTCTTCGACGAGCGACTCGATCTGGGCCAGATGCTTTGCAACCTCTCGCCTTTCCTGCTCGAGCTGATTCCGCTCGAGATTGCGCTGCTCGACCGTTTGGTTGGTGGCTGCGATCTCTGCCTCGAGGCGAGCGAGCAGCTTTTCGCGATCGTTGAACTCGGTCCTACGTTCGTTGGAGGCGTCGACGTCGCGTCGTCGCTCGTCTTCGAGCTTTTCGAGCAGCTCGGCGCATTCGGTGAGCTCACGTTGGTGAAGGCTGTACTCGATGCATCGGCGCTCGCGGTCCTTTTCGTAGTATTCGCGCAGCTCCTCCTTCTCGTCATCGAGCTCGCTGAGACGGTTCTCGATGTAGGCGAGGAGGTCGTCGATCTTGGTCCGCTTGGCACTGGTGTCTTCCATGATCTTGATGGACTCGGCTCTTCGTTGTTCGTAGACACGAGTACCCGCGACCTCTTTGAGGAGGCCGAGTCGCTCATGATCCTTGGCGTTTGTGAGGTGGGTGATTCTGCCCTGAGGGACGATATAGTATGGGTTGCTGCGAGAGAAACCGGCGGACTCGAGCAGGTTGGCTACGTCGGCTTTTGACGCCGACTTGCGGTCGATACTGTATTCATCCTTCTTGAGACCGATTGTCCTGCGGAGGATGACCTCGGTACCGTTGGTGGGGAAGCGGTTGTCGCTGTTATCAAAGACGATCTCTACGAAAGCTGAGAGGGTGGCCGAGGTGGAGCTTGAGCTGTCGTGAAGTAGCGACTGCCTCTCCTCTCGAGACATGGAAGTGTAGGCATCGGAAAGGACAAATCGGATGGCCGAGAAGAAGTTGGACTTGCCCGAACCATTTCGACCGACAACGACATTGTGGTGTGGCGAGAAGGGCTCCACGGCGGTCTGGTCTCGATAGGACTTGAAGCCCTGGATTGTGAGCGTCTTGATGTACATCTTGAGTTGTCTGAGCCTCGAAGTCCTGAAGTGAGGGGTGGAAGTGCTGATGTGAGAGTCTGTCGATCTGTGCGTTTGAGATCTAAGAGCGGCCAACGACCATGATCGCGTTCGTGGAGATTGCGACGGAGACGCTTTTGAGACTGAAGGGAATGGGTCTTTGAGGCGACGTTGAAAGCGGGGGGAAAGGGAAGATTGACAAGGAGAGGGGAAGAGAGTGAAGGAAGCGCAGCCAAGCTTGAAGAAGCGCAGCCGGAAGAGCAACACGAAGCGCAAAAGGAAGCGCAGCTGCATCTCTGGACTCCCAGCTCTACAGCAGAGGAAAGCCCACGTCCCAGCTCGCTTGCTCAGATGCGTGACAATTTCAAGGAGTCTAGACAGGCGTAAAGTGGCTACGCGACGCGCGCGTCTCCTCCGACTGCACCTTTGTTCGGCAATCTCACACCCAAGGCCGAAAAATTCACCTCATAGCCTCGACGACATTGATGATTGGGTTCGTGATAGGATGGATCGGAAAGCCTTGTTACGAGAAGGTCTAAGCAGGTTGTGGCTCGGAAGTTGCACAGGCACTCTTCTGGTCTATCCGTCGAGATCCATGCCACTGCTCTTCTTTGCCTTCTTGGCCTTGACTGCGTCCCTTCGTCGCTTCTTCTTCTCCGCGGCAGCCCGGAGTGCGCTCGCATCCGATTTGGGCGTTCCTGCACTCTGCACCAGCCTTTGCGCCAGTGGCAGTCCGCCAAGTCGCTTGCCCAAAGCAGTGTGCTTGCCAGTGGCCTTGATAGCCTCGGCGCGTGCATCATCTCTAGCCTTCTTCTTGGCTTCCTCCGCACGCACTTTTCGTGCCTGTTCTTGCGTCAATAGGCGGTTGGCGAGGGGTTCGGGAATCCTTTGAGCGAGTGGCTTGGGCTTGGCCGCAGCTACGCCCGTGACCGAAGCCTTCTTCGGTCCTGTGGGAACGGCGGGAGCATTGGCTGCCTTGCCACCTTTCCTGTTGTTGTTGGCGGCGGCAGCTGCATTGTTCGATTTCCTCGCGCGAGGTTCGACGAGTGCAGCCGTCTGAACTCGGGATCGCATGCTGGCAGGTCCAGTGGGGATGGCGGCGGGAACGGCTGGAACAGGAGCAGGTGTGTATGGCAGCGGAGCAGGGACAGAGATCATGTTGGCTGCCTTTTCCCGAGGACGCTGTGCGACGGCTTGCGCTGTGGCCCTGTTGAACTGGCTGTAAGCATCGCGCGGTGTCTCGGGCTTCTTGACCGTCACTTGCAGGATCCTACCGTCAGCCAGCGCACCGTTGAACTTGTCTGCGGCGTTCTCTGCATCCTCCTTCCTCTCGAAAGCGACCTCGAAGCCCACCGTCGGGTGGTTCGCCGAAGGGGCGGGTCGCTGCTTGACCTCCTCGACGCGGCCAAACGCGCCAAACGTGAGACGCACGTCTTCGTTTGAAGTGCCTGCGATCAGATTCGACACCACAATCCAGGTAGGACCGCTGGATCCACGAATGCTCAGCTCGGGTGGAGGATAGGACATGCCGGATTGCGATTGGGCAGGCTGCGCAGAAGTCGAATGAGAGCCGTTCTGTCCACGGTAGGACTGGTTGGCAGCAGCGGCGTTAGGGCGTGCTCTAGAGTCGCGCGCGTAGGGGTCGCTGCGTCGTGCAGCGCGAGCATCCGAGGGACCATTCCTGCGTCCACCGCCTCGTCGGTTGGCGTCGCGCATGTTTACATCCATGGTGAACACGAAGGGTTTGTGCGTGGTTTTGACGGAGATGAAGGATCAGGAAAGGATGCGCTTTGACGGGCGGTTGAAGCGACTGAGGGCGATTCCAGCTTGTGGGTCGAGAGATGGAAACGATTCCTGATGTAACGACGCAGGGACGAAAGCTGAGGGGGTGGAAGACGGTAGCGGCGCGAAGGGGCTTGCACAAGAAGCTCGTGTTGGTTGTGGTGAAGAAAGCAGACCAAAATCTGTCTCGCGGATCAGACTTGGTCAGAGCGTGTCTTCGCGCGCCAGATTGAGCGGGTGCTGAAATCGGGCCTACAGTAGGCATTTCGCAGATCTGAAAGACTTGGGGAAAATAAGATCTTCACCGAAGACCACCCTGCTCGGAGCCGAACTCAGTGACTGTTGCCATGCTCTTTGAGCCGCAGGTTCACTGTTCGGCACAGACGGAACGGAAGTCTATAGTTTGCACGGTCTCCGATCTGTAGCGGGCGGATGAACTGGATAGTGAATCATGATCGTAAGTGGTATCAACGTGAGCGTGCATAGCGGAGACAAGTGTTGCTACAAAGAAAGAGAGGCGCATAGAAGTAAGTGCGGAGGGACCGATCTTGAAAGGCCAGAGTTGATGCCCGAGATGACTTCCAATTGTCGCATCCCAAGTCGAGCACAAGATGGCACGGGGCTGATGCCCATCACACGAGCACCGGAGCTCGAGAGCATCGAGGCTTGCTTAAGGCTTGCCTGGGAGCGCCGCACCCAAACGAGCGAGATCTTTGCCCGCCAAGATCCATGCTGTGAGGCCAACAAAGACGACGCCCGCAGCGGCTAGCGTTTGTGGACCCACGACACGCTCTTGGGCACTCCGACCGGTGGTGTTGTCGCCGCCGCCGTCGCGGCCATGACGTGTGTGAGAAAAGCCGTGGTTCTGCTTGAGCTGCGGTGTTTCCAAACCGGCTGCATCGCCTCTCGTTGCCTCTGGCCCAAGGTCCGGTGTGGTCACTTCGGTCGAGGTGGAAGGACGGGTCGAAGTCGAGTCGGCTATGCTCCGCACAGAGTGACTGGCGGACAAAGCATCGTCGTCTGGACTCGAGTGCGACAGCCTTGCACGCGAGCCGAGGCCCCATCGCTCGTCGTCTTCCGACCCCCTTGCGTCTGCCTCATGCAAGAGTCCTGCAGAAGAGCTGCCGTAGAGCAAGGAGCGCAGCGCGCTGTTGACGTGGCGCTTGTTGCGACGGCCATTGCCCCGCTTTGAGCGACTGCTTGGTGCAGACGAGCTGGCCAGCAACGAGGAGGGTCCAGCTACATTGTTGGACGCCGAACCGTGCTCCTGCGAGGCATCGAGTTGCGGAGAACGTGCTGTGACGCTTCCGCCGTCTTGGCCGTGCTCATCCGATTCGCCAGAGGCATCTCTGTTGAGTTCGTCTTCCATTCGACGATTGGCCTCGTCCCAAGCCTGCACCACCTGTCGAAGCTCGTCCCGCTCCGTCTGCATGCCTTCGCGCTCCTTGCGCCAGCTCTCCTCAAAGTCGCTGCGGAACTCGGTCCAACGCCCCTCAATGCCTTTGAGCAGCGCGGCTGTCGTCTCTTCCGACGATCCAGCCGTCGGGGCTGCCGGAGACGCCTTTTGCTCGACCTCCTGCTCCAGAGAGTGGACGCGCTGCTCCAGAGTCTTGACCGTATCGGTGACCTGGGCGTGCTGATCCTGCAGCCCGCGACTGAGCGCCAAAGCCTGTTCGAGCTGTGCAGCCAGCTCATCGAGACGTGCTGAAAGCGCTTCGTTCTGTGCGCGAAGCTCGACATCTCGCTCGTCGTTGGTCGATGCTAACGCAGCCTCGGCCGCGCTTGCGCCCAACTTGTGTGCTGATGTCACCTGGGGTGCACGTGAAGATTCGAGATCAGCAGCGTCTTCCGACAGGAGGTGAGCGGGCATGTCGGGCGGTGCGCGGGGTCCAATATGGTGGTGTGTGCTAGACTCTTCGTCGTCATTGCTCTGGGTGATTGTCTCCACGCTGGCCACGCTGGCACCATCGTCAAAGTCGTCGTGTTCCAGCGAGCGGCCAAAGTTAGATCCGCCGCGGATGGTTCCGAAGCCGTTCAGGCCGTGCCTTGAAGAGAAGGAGGAGCCAGACGCCGAGGCGACGGCATCCATCTCGCGTCTGGCCTCTTCCATCTGCATTTTGATGGTGCTGACTTCGCGCTTGATCGAGTCTTGCTCGGAGAGGACGGATTCGAGACTGCGGATCTTTTCGACGTGTGCGGCCAATGAGGACTGCGTTTCTGAGAGCTGTGCCTGAAGCGCCGAGATGGTGGCAGAGTGTGCTTCGGTGGCTGCTTGTGTTTCGGCGTCCTTTGCGCGCTGCTGTTCTTGCTGCTCCTGTTGCTGTTGCGGGTTGACCGCGCCGGGAAGAGGAGGCACGAGGTGCGGATAGGGCGCGGAAGAGAGAGGCGGTGCGCCGCCGCCCAGCGTCTCGTGAATGTCGTTCATGGTTGCGTTAAGGCTGCCGAGGTCGTTCCATTGCTCTTTGCTCCTCTGCAACTCGCTCTGCAACTTGCTGAGGACATGATCAAAGCTGAAACCGGCTTTGGTCCTTCGAAGTCCACCTTCTGCACCTGGGCCAACTCCGTTGCTGCCAAGAGGGCCGCCGTGCATCCCGCCGCGATACAGACTGGCAAAGTCGTGACGCAGGCTGAGAGCGTCTTCCGCAGTCAACACAAGGTATACGCGGCAGGCGACCTTGTGATGAATGATGGTCTTGTTATCGTCGCCAACAATGTCGATACCAAACTCGACCATGTCTTCGCTGTGCAACTCGAAGACGTCCGACTCTTGAGCCTCTGGCGAGAGACGCTCGCCGTTGATGAAGGTACCGTTGGAGGATTTGACATCCTTGATGTAGACCTTGCCGTTCTGACTCCATACCTCGGCGTGCATACGCGAAAGCACCTTGCTGTCAAAATAGCCATTGGTCGGGTTAGGGACGGTCTTTGCGTTGGTCTGTCGTCCGATCTTGATGCGGTTGTTGGGACCTGGCGGGGCGAGGCTGATCTGCTTGGGAGCAAAGGTGTCGTTGAGTGGATGCAAGTGCAAAGCAGGATAGACGAGTCCCTGCGCATTGGCTGCGGCCTCTGCGCTGCTGTAGAGTGGTGGGTTGGCGGGCTTGAGGCCGTTCGAGATGGCAGCAGTGGAGGGAGCGGATGGACCGGCAGAGACGCCGAGGTTGGATGGAGCGTTTGCCATGGGAGTTCCGCCCATCAAGGACTGCATGGTGGGCGACCGATCTTGAAATTGCGCCAGCGTTCGAGAGAAGGCTGAACGATGTTTGTGATGGTGGTGGTGGGCGTGATGAGGTGCGAGAGTGCGTGGATGAAGATGCTGCTAAGACGAGACCAGGAGCGCAAACGAAATGCTACAACGGAAGCTGAAACAGGATGCAGAGGCAGAGAGACTGAGGCCGGTACGATTGCACAAAGGATCCGAGGGGATCAGACCGGGTTCTCGAAGCGGAAGTTACTGGCACTGGAGCGCTCCTTCAGACCAAATTGCAAGAAGTTTTGCTGGCAGTCGAGGTTGTAGCCCTAAACCTAGTGACCGAGTGATGGCCGGAGAAAGTTTGTACCGCAAAAGATTGAAGAGAGAAGCGAGGCAGGTCGATATAAGAGAGAGTGACGGAGAGAAGAGATGGATGCGAACGAGAAGATTGATGAAGGTGAGCGTAAATGTCGAGACGACGAACGACGAGGGTACCAGATTGGAAGCTGCTTGGTCCATACAGTCTCACCCACAGACACACACCAACAGGCCGAGATGTGCTTGAGCGCATCATCGATCGCAGTCTGCGACGTCGCTGTGTGGAATTTTTGGTGATTTTGTTACTTGGCTGGCTGGCGGGCTGGCTGACTTGCTTGTGATGAGACCAAACTGCCTTCTCAAGAGACCACACGCGCTCTCACACGCTCACACGCCGGGGCCAGCCTGTGATTGTTTGCCAAAGGGCGCGAGTCTGTTTGGCGGTCGGCTGACTGTTGCCTGAGGCCCCTTTTTAGAAAATTTCGGGAAAGCAAATCGGTCAGGATCGAAATCGGGCAACGCGAAGGAGAGCGGGTCGTTGCCGATAGGCTGGTTCAGCAAGGCCATTCTGAGCTTGACACGACACATTAAGCACACAGCATGGAGACTGAACTCATTTGGCATGCCTTCCATTCAAGACAAGAGGAGTTGAGAATGCATCACCGGTCAAGATGCAGCGTTGCTGCCGTAGTAAGTCTGAGCTCGGCGCCCCGTGTAGACCTCTGTCTCTGTCTCTCTCCAGAAGGCGTCTGTTGGTGGCTTCGGCCAATTCACACCTTTTGTCGCTTAAAATCCAATTTACGGTTGTTAGACGCAGGCTGCATGCCCGCACACGCCGCCTCGCATCGTCTGGCCTGGTCTTTGACAGTTTCGGCTGCAGCAGCTGTGTTGGTTGGTTGCTCGTCCCCTTTGTCAAAGCAACTCTCACTCGAAGAAGTCACGCTTGCGTCCCCCTCCTAGACTTGTGACTTAGCTCGCATGGCTAGATCCGGCTGCTTTTAGTTGCAGTGCCGCGCGCGAATCTCAGAAGGGACCGGTAGACATGGCCAAGGCGATCCCAACTCGAACCGCGCCGTGAACGCTGCCTCCGAACATTGATCCTTGCCTAGCCATCACACCATCCGACCACTTAAGACGACCCAAAGCCAGACGAAAGCGTCTCCTCTCCTCCCCTCTCCGCTCAGTTGCACCGCCACCAACGCCTTTCACTGGGTTTGCCCTCAGCGACAGCGCACCGCTCTCGACTGAAGGTTACGGGCATTTCATTTGCACCGCTGTATTCCGTTACAACAGCGACAACGACGTTGATTCTACTTCTGTCTCTGCGCTGTCACCAACAACGCAGAATCAGCGACATAGCTGCAGTCATCAAGCACGAGCATCCGCAGCTCATCCGAAGACTCGGGATCGTATTCGGCTCATCCGAGGTCGGGAGTGTCCCGAAGCTGAGTCGTCGATGCTGGCCTGACTCAGCCCATCAGACCGCGAGCATCGCGATCACAGCTCGGTCCGTCCGATAGACACACCGCCATATACAAAGCACGGCAAGGAATGAACAAATGAAAGCTGGTTGCCTTGCTCCCCCATAGTGGCACTTGCGCAGTATGCCGTCCGCCAGCTCAGCCACCCACGACGCATCAGCGGCACGCCCGCCATCGTCCGCATCGATGCCTGCGCTCAGCTCGTTGCAGCATGCGTCATCGTCGCGCAACGATGCCGACGGCTCATTACCCGGTCACGGTCTGGAATTCATCGCCAATCATCATCGTCAGCACAATCTCAACGACCCGGCACTCAAGGCGAATCCAGTCAAGTCACGCCGTTCTTCGCTCCTCCCTTCGGTGCTCAAGCCAAAGTTCAAAAGCGAGTCTCGCCGATCATTGAAACCCCCACTTCGATCCTCAACATCAGCTGCTGCTGCGCCACTACAGCCACGCAGCTCCAGCAGGTCTGTCCACAATTACTCCCAATCCTTGCCCTCATTCGCTGCTGCCACGGTGCCTCGCCCCAGGCTTGACGCCAACATGTACGAACCGTCCGTATGTGATCCGAACACGGCCCAGCATCATCGCTCCAACGCTCAGAGATCCGCTCCCGGCGCGCACCCAGGGCCTGACATTGCCGACGGCATGGAAGCCAAAGCGTCGGTCTTCCGCCCTGCTTATTCGCCTTCCACGGCTTTGTTGTCTTCTCCTGTTGATCAGCCCGAAGCGGACGGCTCGATTTGCTCCTCGATACACGCAAAGGGCCTCACCTTTGCCTCCATGCAAGTCATCCCGCCGGCTTCCTCCTCCCCTACTTCATTTGACTCGACATCTGCACCCAACACCCACTCCGCTTCTCGCAGACAACCTCTCCGCAACGCTGCGTTTGTAGAAGAGGATTTTGCGGGCTCAGAGACGCCTATCGACAATTGCATCGACTCCCCAGCCGCCTCGCAAGGGCACGCAGACCCGTCAGAGCAGAGTAATGACGTTTCCTCGGTAACCGCCGCTGCCTATCCAACTCCACAACCTGCATCTAATCCCGCACCTCCGATCATCACGCGAACCGATGTCTCGGACGACAACGTCAGCCATCAAGTCGAGATTGCATCCTCTCCTGATTTGGTCGCAGCATCCTTCACGCCCTCCGTTACACCTCCTTCGATCTCGACGTTGGGTGCTAGCGCCTCAGAGACTAGCCTTTACCCGCCAATCCAAAGACTCCCGCAATCGGCTTCCGCTCCTGTCATCTCGCCACGACGCTTTTCAAGTCTGGGTTTTGCGTCCGCGAACAACCTGGCAAACCAGACGGATCCGCAAAGCTCGTCTTCCGCATCTCGCACTGCTGCGCGCGACGTTACCGAAGAGCTCGATTCGCCCAATTCGCGCGAATCACGCAGCGTCCGAGCAGATCGACGAATGAGCATGCTCGACTTTCTCGCCGCTGGGCCAAGCGCTGATGCTTCGCCCCGTCGCATTCAAGCCAGTCTGTCGGCTGAAGACCTGTCACGCTCCGCACACGACACCTCTTCCCTCCGGGTCAGGCCCTCTGCGCTCACTCCTCCCTCCGTGCCCTTGTTTCAAGCCAGCCGCCAGTTTAGGCTAGGAGCAACCGCAATGCAGGCTCGTGCCCCCGTGTCCAAGACGTTCGACCTCTGCGATCAAGTCCGCGTCAGCGTCGAGCCGCTAGTCGATCGTCTCAACATGTTTGGCTCCATGCAGTCGAGTTCCAACTACTCGCTCGCAGGCTCCGTCGTCGTCGAGATCCCCAGACTCAACATTCCACGACTCTCTACGGCTGCCGGCCTCGCTCTTGACGGCTCGACCACAGAGTCGCCATCGGTGCATGTCGAATCGCTTACCGTCCGCTTCATGGGCTACTCTATCTATGTCGATGCTACTGGAAGGTACAACGCCATCAAGCTGACAGAGACTTTTCAAGAACTCCTCCCGCCAGAAGGGCACTCGTGCATCGTCGAGCTCAACGAGACCGCAACCTCGACAGTACAGATCGCGAGCAACGAAGACGATCATCAGAATCTCAAATACGAGACCGAATTCGATCTCTCCGTTCCTGGCTGGCTGCCAGCTTCGCAGCGATCTCGATTTGGCGCGACCTTCTACTGCGTCCAGGCAACTGCCATTGTCCAAGGTCAAGCTGTTCTTTCGGCTCTCTCGGGTTTTGACGGCGAATTCAGCCAGACTTCACCCAGCCAGTCCTCTCCTCTGAGCCCGCCCGAGTCTCTCGAGTCCGAGTTGCGGGAGACAAGCATGGGCACAGGCGCTGGCTCTCTGAGAGACGCCAATTTTGCGACCCCTGCTACAATCGGCCGGAGCAAGAGCAGAAAGACGTGGCTCAACAAGACGGCAAGACAGCTGCAGCTCCGCACCTCGAAGAAAACCACTGGCACCCATTCCGAACAAGGCGGGTCGGCCTCCAATAGTCGTCGCGGCTCCGGCTCCAAGGACGCCCTTCAGATCCTAGACCGTCAGGATCCGCTTTTTGGCAAGACGACGGAGGTCTCGAATCAGGTCATGCCGACAGGTCAACATAACATCAAGAGCGAGTGTCTAAGTATCTTGGTGAGGAGATGCAGGGACGTCGTCCCTGTTCCCGTGGCTAGACTCGCTAGGCTCGCTACAGCCAGCCAATTGATGCGCGACGCAGGCACGACGCCTTCTTTGACGCAAAGCATGGTTGCTCTCGCTGGCCTCCATGATGGGTCCGCTCATGACGGGCGTTCGCAAGCACGTCTGCAGTCCTCGTTGGCCAGTCAGGGCGGGCTCCATCTTCCGGCCTCTGCGTCTATGCCAGCATCGTTGGGCGGAAGCGCTTCATTACCTTCACAGCCAGTTGATCGCGAAGCGGCATCAATGGCAACCATCATGGACTCGGACTCGGGCGATCCAGCCCAAGCGGATCTAGCGCCATCGCCTCGCATCGATACGCATCCGCCAAATTTCGTCCTTGATCCAGTACCAAGGGACGCCGAGCACGAAGCGGCTCCCAATGCGTCGAACGAGTCGAGCTTCAACATGCCGCCCGCGCCGAGTGCATTTGATGCACCTCGAGATCCCGCCAAATTGGCCGCAGCAACCTCCTCACTCACACCCTCGGCTACTTTGCCAAATCTGCCGACTTCAATGAGTCGAGCCTCGTCGCTGCTCGACTCTCGCTACGGGAACGCCAATTCGCCGCCTCGCACATCATCAAGGACGATGCCGCTGAGCCGCTCAGCCGCGCCGCTGCGACACTTTGTTCATCGGCCAACTTTGCACCTCCCCCCGGAGCTTGGCGTCACGCCTGACACGAATGCCGCCGACGGTCTGAGCTTCTCTCTGACGCTGTCGCTACCCTCGCACGTCCACATCACAGGACCAAAGAGTGACGTGCTAAGCTTTGGCGTCCAGATCGAAGTAGGTCGCACTCAGGCGTGGGACGTCTTGAGGAAGTGGGGCGGACTTCGGCTCAAGGACATGGAGATCGTATGCTTGCAGACAGAACGGCACAGCTCGATGCCCTCCCGCTCCTTCTGCGCTACTTTCCCCGTGCCGCCAGCGCCAAACAAGGTCGATGCGGCCGACCTTCCCGTCGTGACGTATGCACCCAAAGCGGCGTCCGCCTCGAGCAACCTCAGCCATGCGCAATCGGCGATGGAGAAGCGTCTCCGTCAGAGCTACGATCGGTCACTGGTGCTCGGCCACATCACGCTTGCGAACCAGGGCAAGGAACCGCATCCAATCGAGAACAACGTCGAGCGTATCCGTACGACCATCGTAGGGCCGCCTCCTTTTGCGTCCCAGGACCGACAACAGGATTCCGACAAAGTCAAGGAAGAGGTTTCACGAAAGGGAAAAGCCAAGTCCATTGCTCGCGGCCTGGACAGGCCGGATGGTTCCTCCAGAAGCCCGTCCCGTGGCAGTGCAGCAGGATCCGGAGCCAACACGCCAGATGGCGGTTCGCAGAGCGTAGGGCTCGGTGTTCCTAGGGCCGCCTTCGCCTCCGCTTCGCAGGCCCAAACGGGCTCGCGTACGAGCGTGATGCAGCCTGCGCCCCGTGCGTTGACTCATTCCCGAGGCTCCAGCAGCTCTTCGTTGAGACTGGCGTTCCAAGGAAGCGATGGCTCTGCTGCCATGCAGCCTCGCCCGAGCACCTCTGGATCGCCAGTCGGCGGCGCAGTATCACCTGCTGGATCCAGCGGACGTAGCAGGCGGCCCATTCCTTTCGATCTCAGCTCGGCCACGACTCCTGTCTCAACGAGCCGCAATGTGCCTTTCAGTGGCCTACAGTCGGACTCAACGGAGCCCACAGCAGCATCAGCGTCGGCACAAGCAGATCATCAAGCGCGTGGACAAGCGGTCAGATATGACTCTGACGAGGCATCGACAAGAGACGCTGCTGACACGGTCTCGCACCCTGGCGTAGCCTCCGAGTCTGATGCCATGAGAATGGGTGTCACTTCCAGCGTCACGGCTAGAGGAAATGCCCGGTCGAGGACAGCCACCGCGCCCAGGAGAAGTCGTTTCGAGACTGCTATCAACAGGCTGTCGTCGTTTGCGAGCTCGATGATCGATCAGCCCACCGAGGCGTCCACTTCAGGCTCGGGTGCAGACTCGCGGGGCAGTGCAAATGCAAGCAGGGCAGCTACCAGCCTTCGAGCCACGTATGCCTTTTCCGGCGATGACGGGCAAGGAGTCGATCTCACCAAAGGTCGTGTTCGCATGACGATCAATCTGCCTCTCGTCTCGAGCGATTCGGAGGCAGCTCGAAAGGCAGGAAGCGCTCAACTCATCTCGGACTTTGAGAGCCCGTATGTTCGCATCCGACACAAGCTCAAAGTCAAGCTTGGATTCGGCCTCAAGGCTGATGTCGCCTCAGGCAAGGATGGCGAAGATTGGGCGCAGGCCTTGGTCTTGTGCGTTCCCGTGCGATTCACTGAAGCGCCACCGAAGGAGGTGCAGGATCAATTCGGTCCGGTTGACCTCCAGCCTTCGTCGCAATCCGAGACACCCTCTGCAGATCAAACAGGCGACGCGGCGACAGCATCTACGCCAGCGTCCGAGGACGTCTCGTCCTCTGGTCAAGGTCTGCCTGTCCCGTTCGCGGAGCCACTGCTGCCTGCGTACGCTCAGCTGTTCCGCGAGGATGGCTCGCGGCTTGCAGATGAGGGAGAAGATCTTCCACGCTATCCGGGCAGAATGTCTGTGGTCGGTGAGATTGACGAGCATCCCATCTCTGACCTGCCTGCCGGTCATGATTCGGAAGCGGAGGGTCAAGATCATTCGCAAGGCGCAGCTCAAATTTCAGCTGCAGAGCAGCCGATCGTCAGTCATGGAGCGGAACCTCCAATCGGTGCGTCCGAGAGACACGAGAGCCGGGAGCTGCCTCGTGCCGAAGTCGTTACACTGCCTAGGCTTTCGAGTCTCGTGTCGATGCCAATGCCGATGGACCGAACAACTAGTCTGCCTGGTCGTCGCCTGCTCTCGCTCAGTTCGTCATCTGGCATCTATGGGCTGCGTTCGGGACCGCCACGCCCCAGCTCTGGAAACTCGAGTTCCAGGGCTGTATCCTCGCCATTTGCGGAGGTCAGCAAGGACGTGGACACCAAGCCGCGATTCGGTTCGCCGGCGTTCGATCCGCTACCAGCCCGACCTGGGATGCGACAACGCTCTGCGACCACGGCATCGCTGGTCACGTTCAGCCGGATCATGCCAGCAGAGGTGCTGGACGAGGCGCTGGTGACTAGCGCGCTCGACGATGAGGAAGATCGCATGGACGGTATGCAGCCATCTGACACTCTTCGCAGTCTCAATGATGGCCAGCGAATCGAAGGCATGGACGAGTCAGGACAGGAAGACGATGCGGGAGACTTTGACGACGAAGTCGAAAGGGAAGAGGACCTCGAGGATGAAGCCTTCGAGGAGCTAGATGACGGGATCGACAGCCACGGCGTCAACAGCGAAGCGAGTGAAGCTGGACATCATCGACTTCGGGCACTCAGGCAGCTCAGTGGGAGCGAAGGTAGTGAGGTGGAACTGGTCGAGGGTGAGATTGGTCGGGCCTTCTGATTCGGGCTGGGCACCCCTTTGCGATCCAGATCGTCAGCATGATTCGCACAATCATCTCTATAATCGAAAAAGAACATTCCTTATCGGTCCAGCCTGGTGCTTGAGCTCTCTCAATGTGTGTTGATCAAAGTATAGACTCGACGGGATGAAGGCGTTAGAAGTGGAAGCTTTGGCAGTTGAACTTCCATTTTGTGGGGAAGGAAGGGTTCAGCAATTTGCCGAGGAGCAGCGATCCGTGATTTCTTGGCATCCCTTCCTCCGGGTCGCACGTTCCACCCCCACCACCATCATCCTCTCATCCTCTCCTTCCCGCACCTGGTCGAGAGGCCACAATGTACATCTACGACCTGCCCACAACAGGCGCCGTGTCATTCAGCGACTTTCTCGTGACCACCGACCTCGTCTCGCAGGTATCCCAAACAACGCAGTTGCGCGCACGACTGCGTGCCGTGCTCAAGGAGAACCGTGCCGGCACATCGTCCACCTCTACCAAAGACGGCGCGAGCAGCGACCTCAAGAGCACCGATGCTTCTTCTTCCACCCCTTCGAACGCTGGCTCCGCCTCCGACTGGCTCCTGATCATCAAAACGCTCGAAGAATACCTCCCGCACCTCCTATCCGTCTTCAACAGCGTCCAGACGGACGACCTGATTCTGCGCTACGAACCGGTCTTCTCGTGGCGCACCTCGGTCTCCACCACCCGTTTTCGGGGTGCGCAACGGGTCGAATTGCCCGGATTGTACTACGAGCTAGCGAACACGTTGTTGACGTACGCGCTGACGCTGAGCAACTTTGCCAGTGCGACGGTGGCCGGTCTGGGATCGTTCGAGCGCGACCGCAACAGCTCAACGGAGGAGAGGAAGGTCAAGGATGAAAAGCTCCGATGGGCCGCAGACACACTATGCCGGGCAGCAGGCATCCTGGCATATCTCTCCGAGGATCTCCTGCCACGGTGGCGCGATCAAGCGGGACAAATGGACAATCTTCCCCCCGACCTCACCACCGAGGTCACGCTGGCGTTGAGCAAGGTGTGTCTAGCCGAAGCGCAAGCGTTGGCGATAAGAAAGCTGGTCAGTCCAAGTGTGGGGTTGGCGGTGGACACGGTGACTCCGGGGCCGCCGTTGGAGAAGGGACATCCGAGCGCGAGTCTGTTGGCGAAGCTGCACCTGTGTGTGGTGGAGGAGATGGAGAGTGCCCTGGGGCTGATGCGGACTGTTGGGGAGCGGAAGCGCGGCAAGGGTCGAGAGGTGGATGCGGCACGGCGGTTTCAGGATGGTGAGGAGGACGCAGTGCTTGACTCAAACCCGGGGGGTGGGGGTGGGAAGGGCAAGAAGCTACTGTCGAAGTTCAAGATGGGCAAAGACAAGGAGACGCGCCATTCCGGTCCACACGACATCACCCCCTCAGCGGGCAATGCCACCTCAACTTCCTCGGGAAGCGACCTGGATCTCGCACCCTCGTTGCTCAAGTACCTCAGCTTCAGCATCGGCTTCCACAAGAGCATGGCGTTCAAGTGGTTAGGCATCGATCATGGCGAGTCGACGCGTGTTGGGAGCGGGATAGCTTTCCTGTCTCTGGCCTCGTCGTTGTTGACCTCGACCAAGGACCTCTCTTCGGGCTTGACTGGAAGTATCACTTCCTCGTCGCTTCTGCCTTCGAAGAAGCGGTCCAGCGCAGTGGAACAGGAATTGGCAACGATCACACACTGGTTGCAGGCGTATCGAAAGCTCAACGACACGGTTGCGTTTCAACCCGTACCCAGCAGTGCCGAGGTGACAGCCAAAGTGCCCGCGGGAAGGGCAGCACTGGGTTCGAAGGCGTGGAAGATGCCCGTGCCTACCTTTGGACCGGGGAGTGAAGGGTATGCGGATAGGAGCGGCGATACGGGTCTCAGGCTGGACCAGCTGCATTTGTTAGAGGGAGATCATCCGGCGCGGAGGGGGTTGGTGGCGCTGCAGGGCGGCGAGGGAGGTGCCAAGGGTGAATATGCTGGTCAGGGGGCGTACTACTGACGGACCCCACATCAAAGGAATGGAAACGGGGCAATGCTCTTTCTCATCAAGCAGAAAGGCAAGCGTGTGTGTCAAAGGCTGAAGGAGTGCCCGATCAATAAGAGCGGACCGCAGCAGACACGTCTGATTCACGAGAGTCGAAACAAGCGTGGTTGTATGAATGTGGTTTCTGCGCATTGCTAGTGATGGTTACAAAACGATAGTGACATGGTATGATGCTGTGTGTCCTTGACCAATGGGGATCCAACCTTCAAGGAGAGTGGGTTCTAGGCGCGTTGGGCACGCTGAGCCTTCATCTTGGCCAAAAAGTCAGCCGCTCCTCCTCCCGCCGCTGCTGATCCCGCTGATGCACCGAGGGCCTTCCTCTCCTCGCCCTTCTTTTCGGCAGGCAGCAGGGAGGTGGCGCTCTTGACCTTCGACTTGAGCACCGGCTGCTCGGGATGCGAGCCGAGCTTGGAGCTCAACCTCGACGTACCGCCCGCCGCAACCGACAAATTGGTCTTGTCGCTCAACAGCGGTTTGATTGGCGAGGCGGAGAGTCGAGCTGCGATGAGCTCGGATGGGTTTGAGGTGGAACGGACCATCCCGCCCTCGGACGAGGTGGAGGTTGAGGTGGGGAGCGTGGAAGGTGTGCCGTGGCCGAGGACAATGGGTTGGGACGACGTGGGGACGGGTTTGGTGTGCGAGCGCGAGGCGGATTTGAGTGCCGACCGGCGGAGCGGGGTGAAGGAGGAAGGGGTGCGTGTGGCCGTGTGGGTCGAAGGAGAGGGTGCGTAGACTGCTTTTACTGCGCTTTCCCGGGCTGGGGTCGTTGTCTCGCCCGCAACCTCTTCCCTTGTCGATTGCCCACCAGTGATATCCTCATCATAATCAGGCTTGGACCGTTTGCGACCAGCCAAGCTCTCTCCGCTTCCGCTCCTCACCATCCCTCCCACCTCCTTCCGACTCTGCTCCCTCCTGGCCGCGCGCACCTTCTCCCGCTCCTTCTCCAACTCCCCCTCGAGCAGCGTCACCTTCTCCTGCGCGGCCCCAACCTCCTTCTGCAGCCCCTCAAACTTGGCGCTCATCTTGTTGTACCGCAGCGAGTACTTCTTGCTATCCTTCATGGCGTCCAGGATCTTGCTGTCAGCCTCCTCGATCTCTTCCGCCTTGCGCTCCAGCTCCTCTTCGAGCTCGGCATTGCGTGTGCGGAGGTCCTCGATCTCCTCTTGAATCTGAGCGAGCTTTTGCTTCGTTTCTGCATCCTCTGCGGGTTGGCTCGGGAGGGAAGATTCGAGCTGTGAGACGAGGGTTTCGAGGTCCTTCGCCCGTCGTTGGGACGCGTTGTACTGCTCATTGAGCATTTCTTCTGTCGATCTGGCAGAAGTGAGGTCCGATTTGAGACGCAATAGTGCCGACTCCTGCGATGCGACGCGGTCTTCCAGCTCGACCTTCGCTCGGGTTGCCTCGCCGAGCTGGGCCTGAAGCTCGGAGAGTGCAGCAGGGTCGACGTCGCGACTTCGCTCCGCCTCCTCCTGCAGCTCGGCTAGCTCCTCCTTCAGGTTCCAGTACTCGGCGTTGCGCGCGGTCATGGCGGCGTCCCGCTCAGCGAGGACGTGCTCCAGTTCGGTGTGCTTGGCCACCAGCTCGTCGAGTGCGAGAGTCTTGGATTCCAGCTCACTGCGGGTGGACAGAGCCTCGTTCTCGACAGCGGCGAAGCGCGTTGTGAGGTCGCTGATCGACGCGCGCGTCTCCTCGAGCGCCCTTTCGCCCGCACCGGAGGAGGCGATGAGAGACGTGTGTTCCACCTGCAGCGTCGATAGCTGCGTCTGAAGGGTGCTGATGAGCTCCGCGTCGCCAGAGGCGGATTCGCGCTGCTCGGCGAGCGTGAGGTGGAGCGTGTCGAGTTCGAGCTGGGTAGAGGCGAGGCGGTCTTCTGTCTTGCGGAGGGTGGACTTGAGGGAAGCGAGATCCTGATCGTGTTGCGATTCGGAGAGTTGGGCTGTCTCGATGGCGGCAGTGAGTTCGTTTTGGAGGGAGGCGACTTGGGTGTTGAGGGTGGCGATGGTGCTCTCGAGGGTCTCCTCTTCGGCTTGCATGCTTGCGTTGGACCCTGACAGCTCTTCGATGCGAGCGGTGAGGGATGTGATTCGCTCGTGGGCTGATGAGAGGGATGCTTGCAGCTCCGACACCCCGCCAGTTTCGGTCTCTGAAGCGGCGGTCTGCATTGCAACATCTACCTGATCATGATCTTGCTGGGGCGCAGACGACTCGATCAAAGCAATGCGCTCCTCGAGCAGCTTGATCTGTGCCAGCTGCTCCGTCTTCTCCGCGTCCAGGTCCATCACCGTCTCCTCTGCGAGCATTTGATTGGTGCGTGTGCGAGCGAGGTCATTCTCGGTGTTCTTGAGCTGACGTTGAAGCGAGCCAATCTGCTCGTTGCGACGGAGGACTCGCGCTTCGAGCTCCTCGATTTGCTCCTTGAGCGCGGCGATGAGGTCGTCGTTGGATTCGGTGGGCGCGTTGCTGGACTCGACGGCAGAGTTCTCCGGAGCTGCATCCGTCATGATAGCTACATCGACGCTCTCCGGCTTCGGCTCCTCAGCGTCGGTCATGGTCGATGTCTCCGTCCTCTCTTGCACCGCGATAGGAGCAGCTTGCGTCTTGAGCAGAGCAAGCGAAGCGCTGAGTTCCTGCGCATGCGCCATCCACTCTCCGCTCTCGCCATCAGCGGGTCGCTCGAGCAGATTGACGATACGCTCCTGCTGGGCAAGCACCCTCTCCAGCGACCGAATCTGACTGTTGTGCAGTTGAATCGCGTGAAGGCGCTCCTTCTTCTCTTGCAGCTCCGTGAGGATAGATTGCAGGTCACTGGTCTTGGATTGACGCTGTGCAAGATCGGCTTCGAGCGCGGCGATGCGTGTTTCGGCTTCTCGCCCTGCTGCGTCTCGCTCGGCCTGAAGTCGCGTCAGCTCAGCGCTTGTACTCTGCAGCTTGGCTTCCAGCTCTGAGGTGCGTTCTGACGGATCGGACTCAGGAGCAGGAATGACGGCAGTAGAGTTGCCCTGCTCCTCAAGCTGCATTTCCAACGCTTCGATCTGCGCCTTGAACTTCTTGGCTGCAGCCGAGATGATCAGCTCTTGCTCTGCTGTGATCTGGTCGAGTCTCGCCTGTGTGTTCTGAAGTGTGCCTTGCAGCTCGGTGACTTGTGACTGCGATTGCTGCAGCTGAGACGCGAGGTCGCCCTCACGCTGTTCCGATGCGGTGAGCTCGGCTTGGAGCTGGTTCATGCGAGCATCCTTTTCGCTGCTTGCTGTTGAGTCGCTTCGCGCTTGTTCGAGCTCAGATTCGAGCGCTTGTGCACGTGCGATGAGCTTCTCATTGCGAGAAGAGACGGCTGCGAGCGCTACAGATTGTTCTTCGGCAGCAAAGGATGCTTTACGTGCGTACTCCTCGAACACGTTAGCGGCAGAGATGACGTCGTCGACAAGGTCGCCTTCGAAGCTTCTCCCTACTTTCGTCTTGCCGTTGGGAGTGGAGAGGTATGTCGAGGATGGGGCCAGGATCGAGCGCTCAGGATCGTGGAAGAGACTCTGATCGAGGTCAAAGAGCCTGGAATCGTCCGCTGCTGCTGAAGATGACGACGAGGGGTCGTGTGACTCGATGCGCGCAATCAGCCTGTGTAGGATCCTCTTTGCGCCTTTCTTCTCGGCGCTGAGCTGCTGCGCTGCTGCTGTGTTCTCTGATCCTGCTCCAGCAGGCTCGGTCGATACAGAGCTGGAAAGCACCATCATCTGCTGCGTAGACGAGGAGGACGAAGCGAGCTGGGACTCGAGCAGCTCAATCTTGGCCTGTGAAGCTCTATCCCGCTCTTCTAATTGCGCGAGCTCCTCTGAAAGCGCTAGATTGTCCAACTCTAGCAGCTGTACATGCTTGGCTGCGGTGGTCGGTGATGAAAGGTCGGCATGGCTGATTGGGAGCATGCTGATGCGCCTCGATTTGGCTAGTGGTGTTGAGACGCCAAGCGTCGAGCTGAAGGAGATTCCGGATATCATCGTGCTGATGCTCTCTATACCTGCGTGGAACGTGGACGGTAGTTGCTGGTGAAAGACTGGAGCGCAGAGAGCTGGAGTGTCGGTGAATGATTGAAAGGTCCCTTCACAGCCGCAGGTCCCATGCGTTCTCGTAGTCGAAAGGCGCGATTATCCGTGCTGAGGCTCGCCTGCGTGTGTTACTCGTCCGGAGATGAAGAAGATGTTCTTGAAGTGGGTGGTGATGAACGTCGTTGGCTTGTATGCAGTCTTCCATACTGTCACATGAAGCCAGTCTTCTTCCTCCACCTTGATGAAGGCTCGAAGCCTTGTCCAAAAAATGCGCAAACAACACTCCGCAGGACCCTTCGGCGCTGCGCCAAAACAACGTGTTTGGGATCACGTGCAGCCGAACTCCAACTTATCGATCTAACAATTGCGGAATTTCTCATCTTCAACCATCAACCGCAGCTTGAGCTTTCATCACTATGCGCACAAGAATATGGTCTAGCGTCTACATTCGTTTGATTCCGTCGTTCGCACGTCATCTACTGTCCACTCGCCTTGGCAATCGTGGTATCGTACTTCCTGATCAGATCGGCGCTCCCCTCCGTCTGACTGAACGCAAACCCTCTTGTCCTCCTCATCCTCTGCACCGCCCTCACCTTGCGAATCGCCTTCTGGAACTGGTCCATCCTCGGCCTGTAGTCCTGCAGATTGTACTTCTGCACCTCCTGGACGATGTGGTAGCTCTCGGGGCGGTAGGTGCGTTTCCAGTACTTCCAGCAGAAGTCGCGCGCGAGGCAGATGGGCGGGATGACGAGCATGGCGAACCAGAAGTCGCTTAGTCCGTACAGTCGAGGGACGATGCCGTCGTACTCTTTCGAGAAGCCGAGTCGCGGCGCGATCAGCGCGTAGACGACAATGAAGCCGATGGTGAACACGAGCGATCCTGGAATGGCCGCAAAGGTGTACTTGGTCCATACGTCCGAGATGAGCGCCGCCTTGCCGAGCACCGTCACCAGCACCACCATGAACAGCGTCGTGCCCCAGATCCACGCGTAGCTCGCATAGCCGTACGACAGCTGCGGCGACCCCCAAAAGATGATCGTCGTGAAGAGGTACGCGATCAGACTGTGGAAGAACGCGTTGGCCGTCCACCCCCAGAATCGCTTCTTGTCAAAGTACACCTGGCCGTACAGCTGCGGGTATCGATCCAGCATTCGCGCCGACAGGAACTGATCGAAGACGCCGATCACCAGTGGTGGGAGCACGGTGAAGATGACGTTGTAGAACGACAGCGTCCACGATTCGAACGCGACTTGACCGGAGAAGGAGTTCTGGAACGAGTACCAGAAGAGTGTCATGTACAGCGTGATGTTCTTGTAGAAGCTGTACAGGATCATCTTGCTCAATCGAGCGTACGACCAGCTTCCGTGGACGAGCAGCAGCTTGCGCAGGTAGCGGAATTGCGAGATGGCCACGTCGGCGGATCGAGCGGCCTGGAGGCCTTCGACACCGCTGATGCCGACACCAACGTGGGCGGCCTGAATCATGCTGACATCGTTGGCACCGTCTCCGATGGCAAGCAGCAGCGAGGACATGTTCTTCTTGACTAGCTTCACCACCAGCGCCTTCTGCAGCGGCGATACTCGACAGCAAATGACGGCTTTGCACGACACTGCCAGCTCCAAGAACACTTTGGAGAGTTCTTTCTCGAGGGCAAAGCTGAGCGACTTGCCGTCAATGACGAGCGCCATCTCCTCTTGTTCCACGCCCGCCGTGTTGCGCTGGTTCTTGATGGCTTGCAGTCTCTTGTTGAGCACCTCACCGGTATCGTGCAGGTTCTCCTCGTTGATGATGACCAGATTCATGGACTCGCTGATCAGCCTGCATGACAAGCCGATATTGATCGCCGTCTCCTGCCTGTCGCCCGTCAGCACCCAGATCTTGATGCCTGCCGATTGCAGCGTGTGGATGGTGTCTGGCACGCCGTCCTGCAGCTTGTCTTCGATGGCCGTCGCACCAAGCAGGAACAGGTTCTGCTCGATCATCTCGGCCGCTTTGTCCAGCGCCTCGCCTCGACCCTGAATGGTCGCAGCAGCTTGGTCATAGATCTTGGACCATTGTCGGTACTCTTGCTCGCTGACCTCGCGCATGGCGATGCACAGGGTGCGCAGACCTTCCGTTGCGTAGTCTTCGAGGTGGATCATGGTCTGGTCCGTGAAAGGCTGGTTTTCGCTCAGACGAGCCAGAATGACTGTGTCGGCACCCTTACAGTAGATCTTGATCTTGCCATCAGGGCATCGGACGACGGTGGACATGCGCTTTCTTGTCGAGTTGAACTCGCACACGTTGAGAATCTCCCACTCTTGCTGGGTGCCACGGATGTTGACAAAGACCGAGCGAGGTTTGCGGATGGTAAACTGGTAGCCGAGCGATTCGGCTCCGGCGACGAGCGCAGCTTCGTCCGGACTCGAGGCTTGGAAGATGACCTTGTCGCCCTTGCGCTCCGGGATGACCGTGTGGCAGACAGCAAGCAACGTGAGGAACTCATCGATCACAGCGCTGCTGCCATCATCGGGGGTGCGTCCATCCATGATGGCTTTCAATTCGTGCCATGTCCTCTGCCCGCCAATCTCTCTGCCGTCAGGACCGATCTCGCCTGTGCCCTGCTTGCTCTCGTCAATGACATCGGTGAATGAGATGCCGCCGATACTCGCCATTTTGAACTCCATCTCGTTCCTGGTCAGCGTGCCCGTCTTGTCCGAGAAGATGTAGTCGATCTGGCCGAGCTCCTCTACCAGACTGCTAGTGCGGCAGAGCGCCGGCGTGTCGGTGGGCGCATAGTACATGTCGAGGTCCGAGTTGATGAGCATAGCCTGCTGGTACTTGACGACTTCGACAGTGACGATGAGCGAGATGGGGATCAAGTTGTTGTACGCGATGACGAAGGTGAGAATGTCCTCGATGAACTGCGTTGCTCTGCTCTTGCCCTCCTCGGCCAGCAAGAGATACTTCATCTCGGAAGCAAAGGCCGTGTTGCGGACGATGGCGCCGATGGAAGAAGCGATGGACAACGCGAGGAGTAGGATGAAGAGGTACAAGATGAGCACGTTGACCTGCTTCTCGACAGCGGTGCGTTTGATGGGTGTAGCGGTGGCGTTTCGCATGAGCTTGGTTTCGTGACCAGTGAAAACGACGATACCATACACCCATGGCGTGTTGCGCAGCTGTGCGCCTCTGAGCAACAGCTGCTCTGGACTGAGAGGAGCCTTGCGCATCGGTGTTCCGCTGAAGCCGGGTGTCGAGCTGAGCTGGATATTGAGTGTGGCATCAAAGGTGTATAGGCTGTTGTTGGGCTGTTCCGAGGTGAGGTTACCCCGAAGTGTCGAAGCTGCACCGGACGAAGTGAGCTTGGCCGTGTCAGGCGAAGCCTGCTTGATCTTGAGATTGGTTTCTCCGTCGAGATTTGCCGTTTCGATGTAGCAGAGGCCTTCTGGCTCAGAACTGGAGATGAGAACAAGATCGGCGGGGAAGAACTCGTTGTTCTCGACACGAATGATGTCGCCAACACGGATGTGACGCCATCTCCGTGGCTCAAAGGAGCCGGTGCCAGCTTCGAGGACGTGGCTGATTCGCGCGTTGAGCTCTGAATCGGACTGATGCCTCTTGATGTCCTCCTTGATCTCTTTGAAAGCGGAAGCGAGCAGTACGAGCGCCAGCGGCACGATGGTGGTGTATCGATTTGTCGGCGACACGCCCGGGATCTGCTGAATGCAAGCGGTGAAGAGGAAGAAGACGTTGGCGTACTTGCTGAACTGTTCGACGAGGAACTTGGGGACAAATGTGAGGATGTTGTACTTGGAGGTGCTGACGTAGTTGTCCAAGAAGTCGCTCTTGTCGTTGGCGAGCGGGTCGTTGAGTTGGATGATGCGATCGCCTGAACGCTTTTCCTGCTGTCTGCGACGACGGAGCACAGTGCTGGCCTCAGCTTTAGCGGCCCTCATGCTCCTTTTGAGACTGTCCATGAGACCGTCGCGTGGTGGCTTGCGCCTGGATCCCGGGGTGAGACCTGCTCCCCGGGACCCTGACTGTCCGTAACCGGAAGCGCCAGCGGATGCCGTACCAGATGAACCAGCATAGGGCAGGTACTTGGTGTCATCCATAGGTGAAAGCTCATCGTCGGCTTCTATGCTCTTGAAGCCACCCTTTGCTGCGTAGGTATCAGCGAATGGACCATCATTCGAGTAGCCTCTCTGCTGGTAGCCTGCGGGAGCCTGTGCGCTGGCGGCCAATGGCAGACCGGACTCCATGCTGCCTTGGTTGTGGGAGCCAAAGTTGGGCCTGGGAGCGTCGAGACCCATGGCAGTATCATGGTGGTCGAAGGAAGCGGTGGACGCGAATGGGTCGGTAGCGTAGCGCGTGGAAGAGGTGGGCGGATATGGCTGGTTGCGAGATGAAGCTGGGGCGCTGTGAGCACCCGCGTAATCGTCGAAGTCGTCGCCCATCAGGTCGGCATCGTCTGCATCGACAAGTACATGCGACGGACCAGAGGCAGATGCATGCGAGCTGTGATTGACGCCAAAGGGATCTTGAGAGTGGTCGAAGTCGGCGAAGGGATCGTGTTGGACGGGTTGTCGAGCACTCCTTTGCTGGCCGGCAGACGAGCCGACGAAATCGTCAAAGTCGTCATTCATAGTAGCGAATGCTCGTGAGAGGTGCTTGGCTGCAAGTCTATTGTTGCGTCAAGCGCAAGGGATCCAAGGGGTCCCAGCGCGGCCGAGAGGAGAGCGGAGCAGCTGCACCGAGCAAAGGCTATGACGCTACGAGCGCGCCCTGCTTGATGCGTATATTCGCAGGTCAACAGCGCACCGCAGTAGACGATGCGACGAAAGATTCGCCTTCGAGGTGTTCCGGGCGCTTGCCGGACAGGATGGTGATATGGAAGCCAAGAAGAAGAAGTTATGGTGCGCACCGAAACGCGCTTTGTTTCGCAAGAAGGGTCCGACCGAGTCCAGCTCGGGACAGCACAGCACAGCACAGAGCACGTCGACTGAGCACAGCCTAAAAAAGGCCCGCTCTGAGACATCACATCTGCAGCCCTGTCAAGCGCGCTCCGAATTTTTACAAACTGTTACACCGCCATTTTGCTAGGGTTTGTGATTTGCGGGACTCGGCGCAGCATGCAGGGGCCATTCCGCTCGACTTCTTCCTGCTTCTTAACCACCTACGCTGTTTCATGTCGATGCAGCTGTCCTGACTTCGTGTCATACGATGGTGGACATGGAGGAGGAGCGCACTCGCTCGCCCGAGGCAGGACCCTCCTCGCCGTCACGGCGGTCCTCGACGCATAGCGAAGCGGCACCCGATGCCAACCGACCGGACCCCATCGAACCAGAACGTAGCCCCTCACGCAACCCACATCGCTCTCCGACCCCGCACTCGCATCCCAACACAAGCCCATCCCACTCTCGCACAGCGTCTCGCAGCCCTTCTGCCGCAAGACGAGGCTCGAAGCGCAACAGCACCTTCTCGCCTGTCCCCGAGGAGCCTGTCCACTTCGACAACAGGGACCCTCCGTCCAAGCGCCCACGCCCACCTGCAGACCCAGACACTAAACGTCGCGGCCAGCGTCTGTTCGGCGTACTCAATTCAACCCTGACGCAGTTCAAGCGCGAGTCTCAGACGGACCGTGCTGCCTCCGTCGCAGCAAAGCGAGCCCAGATCGAGGCGCGACTAGCGACCAAGGCCAAGGAGGAGGACAAGGTCATCGATGCCGTCCAGCGTCGAAGAGCGCTCGTGTGGGAAGCGAGGGCGTTGGCGGAGCAGATTGTCGAGGGAGATGTACAGGCAAAGACGATGAGAGGGCTCAAAAGAAGGATGGCTAGCTTTTTGTATACTCCTGCTGTGCAGCCGAGAAGGACAAGAGCAAGGCTGGCAGAGGATATCCCGTCTTCAACCGGCCCAATGGCAAAGGTCGATGATAGGGAGGGCAATTATGCGCTTTACTTTTTGCCAGGCAAGACTCTGCCGGAGCAGGAAGACAGGCTGAACGAGCAGGAGGATGATGTCGATGAACGCATCGACCGCTTTGACGACGACTGGGTTGCGGAAAGGAGTCGTCTGATGGAGCAGTTGGAGGAGATCAAGGCCAAGATCCGGGAGGTCTGAAAGCGAGCGATTTATACCCATGTCGGCGCAGCTAGGCCGCTGACGATGTTCTTGTACGAGCAACTATAATTCTAGCAAAGCACGCAAAGCAGTCACGCACAGGTCGGTCAGACGAGACGAGGGTCCCCTTGTGTGAGAGATAAAGCATGGGTATCATACGAAACACAAGAACAAGTCCTGACTATGGTCCGGCGTACACTCTCAGTATCCCGAAGGCTTGGCCTGCGGGAAGCCGAAAGGCGGCGCTTGCCCTTGCCCCTGCTGCTCGCCGTATTGGCCGTATCCACCCTGCCCCTGTCCAGCTCCTCCAAAATGAGGATTGGGCATGGCAAATCCTCCCGCGCCGGGCACAAACCCGCCTCCACCCGGAGCAGGATAGCTCGACCCTCCGCCCGGCTGCATATCGCGTTGACCGTACTGCGGCTGGTTCTGGTATGGGTTTGGGTACGGTGGTGGTGCGCCCTGAGGAGCTCCGTACGGCGGGTAGCTGGTGTTCTGTGGAGCAGATGGGTAGCCAGCGGTGGGGGGCGGGCCGTACGACGACTGCGGAGGAGGATATGGCTGCTGTTGCTGATATCCACCTGGCTGAGGGTACCCACCTTGAGGCTGGGGAGGACCCCCAGCCGGGTACGATGGCTGATGGGAGTATCCGCTCAAGCCAGCATCCGCGCCTTGTGGCGGCAAAGCACCTCCTGCGCTAGGCAGTGGAGTCGCTCCGTTCAACGCTGCATCCCTCTCCCTCTTGAACGTCTCCATCTGACCCCTGAACCTCTGCTCCTTCTCGCGCTTCTCGAGCTCCTTCTTCTCCCGCCTCCTCTTGGCTGTCCGACTCCAGCTGCTACTCTGCTCGTTCTCGTCGCTGGCATCGTACGACGTGTCGATCGGTCCCAGCAGCAGCTTGAGGCAGTACAGCTCGGGCGTGAGCTCGATTCCTGTGCTCTTCTTGACCTGTTTTGACTCGACCGCGATATCCGAGCAGACGTCGATGAGGTCTCCTACAGTGGGGTCGTTGTCGATGGAATCGAGCCATTCCTGCGCCTCTCGATCGTTGCCAACAGCAGCAATCTGGAACGAGATCGCGTCTTCGCCGTATCGAGTCGAGGCCAGCGTGCGTTTGGCGCTTTGAAGCACACGCACGATCTTGTTGTTGCTTTCAGCCGAACCTGTGGGACGACCATCGGTGATGATGAGTACGAAAGCGGGCTTCTGCAGTCGACCCTGGGTAGCAGGCGAGAGCACAAGGGGCTGAAGAATCTTGGCTTCGAGAGAGGAGCCCATGGGAGTGGATCGACCGTCGTATGCACAGCGAGAGGTGAGCTGGTCTGCTTCGGCGACGTTGTGGATGCGTTGCTGCGCGGGTGCGTTCATCCAGGCGACTTCCATTCCGTCCGGGTCAAAGCGAGCTGCTGCGTCGGCGGCGCGTTTGAGGATGCCAGCCAGAGAGTCTCGTCTGCGAGTGCCCTCAGATCGCATGGAGGCAGAGTCGTCGAGCAAGAACATGACGTCGAAGAGTGCCAATTTGACCAGATCCTGAGCGAGATACGGCGGAAGCTGCCAAGAGTCTGCGCACTGTTGCAGCGCACCGGAGCTGGCAATGTGCTGAGCGATGCGGGCGACATCAGCAAACGTGTAGAACGGGTAGAGGTACTGGTCCATGACACATGCAGCAAGCAAGCTGGCAATGTGCTTCCAGTCACGCAGCGATTCCCAGCCCAGGTTGGGGTTGTTGGCAGCGACCGCTGCAGGATTGGCGTTGGGGTTGGGAGGTCGGTTCTGCTGCTGTTGATGGTGATGAGCAGCGTAGGCTGCACCGGCAGCGGCGACAGCTGCACCACCCACTGCAGCTCCGCCCCACGAAGAGGCGTGCGAGCTGTGACCCGAGGACATGGGAGGAGCGGCGGCGATGGGTTGGTAAGGAACTTGGTGTTGTTGGTTCTTCTTGGAAGCCTTGTAGAGCATATAAGCTGTCACGCCGACAGCGAGACCTGCGAGTACGAGCTTCTTATTGAATCCCATGACCTGGCGAAGAGGAAGGCCAAAGCGGTGTTTTGACGGTTCCTGCTGGATGATAGCAGCGAGGATTTCTGGAACAATGAACAAGGCTGTGGGACCCATTGTCTGTGTTATATACCCACTGCACTGAGCCTCGTGTAAAGTGCTCCACAACGACGTCACTTCACGCGCTCTGCAGCCTTAAAGAAAGGCGGTGCAACACGGGCCACTTTTGGAAGCAAGGCTGTGTGTGCCATTCAGGAACGCCTCTTTTTTGTTCTTAAGAACCGAGGCGCATGCTGCTTTGGTCTTCAGATACGCAGGGCAGAATGAATCGCTTAGCATTGAGCCGAAAGTTGTGCGCATCAACAGAGGCTGATCACTCGGCTTCCCATTGTCCAGCAGCAAGTGTTCGGCCCAAGTCGTCCCGAAACACGAAAAGGCGGGTCCAGACCATGGAATGAGGCGTTCACAGTCGCTCCGCCGCTGATATGACTGAATGTGAGCACGTGCAAGAGAGCATCGTTCAAGTACACAGTCTGGTCAAGAGGAGTCTGTTCATGATGGTGTTGCTTGTAATGATTGCTTCTTTGCAGTACACGAGGTGGCCTCAGCGATGCTGACGATGCATTGATGCCCGCTAAAGTAGCGAGGAAAGCGAGAGCGAATGAAAACCGCCTTCACAGCCCGTATCGATCGGCCAGCCTCTGCACGATGACGGGCGGGAACTGCGCCTTTTGCACCTCCCACTGCGGTCCGCTCATGTCCCTGAATCCTGTCAAGATCTTCCTGAACATCTCGTTCAGCTCGGCACTCGGTGTCGACCACCTCACCACCGCATTGCAGAAGTAGACAAAGCCCTTGGCCGCACCGTTCGGATTGACCTGGATCATCTCGCAGAGTCCGCGGAAGGCCGAATCCTTCTCGTCGTTGTCCTTGATGTCCCACAGCGCTTGGCACCACGACTCGATGAATACCTCCAGATGCGGCGCCACCAGCTGCGGTTGCACCAGACCCAGTCGGCCGATCGTCACCGCTGCATTCTCCGAAAGCGACTTGACCGACTTTGTCGAAAGAAGCACGGGCACGAGGCGCTTGATCAGCTCGTCAACCCACTGCGTCAGTTCGGGGTCCGCACCGTACTGCAGCGCGATCTCGCCTGCTGCCCATGCTGCATTGTTGCACACCGAGACGTTCTCCATCTTCGGCTCGGGCTCGATTTGGCGGATGAGCTCTGGCATGATCGATGGCAGGAATGGCTTGAGCAGGTCAAAGCACGATATCGCCAGATCACCCAGCAGTGCGTACGCCGATTGACGAACCGGCGCCTCGACGTTGGTGATACAATGGCCCAGCAGGGGCAGCAGCGATGGTTGCGCACCTGCCACCAGATCGCGCACCGTCGTGTTGAGACCCTGCGTCAATCCGCTGAGCAGATCCAATGCGACAATGATGAACGTGCGATCGGGCACATCCTGGTCCACGGCGGCCTTTTGCGCCTCGGCCTCTGCTGCCATGAGATTGTCGTGGACAATGCCGACGCAGCGTTGGAACACTGGTGGCGAGTATGGCAAGAATCCGGGTCCCACTGCGATTGTCACCGACGACATGCATTCCAGCAGGGGAATCAGATCCGGATCCGTGTCGTGCAGACCCTGCCATTTGGCGATCAATGGCGGCATCACGATCTCGACGTATTCGGGTCGGTTCAGTGCTGAGCCTACCGAATCGGCAAGAGTTCCTAGCGCATCATAGAGGATGAGCAGGTTCTTTTGTTGATACTTGTCAAAGGCGAAGACGAGGGTTTTCAGCACGGGCTCGAGGAACGGCTCGAGGTTGCGACCGGCTTCTTCCTCGAGTGTGGCAAAGGCACTGCAGCCTGCTTCTTGCACGCGCTTGTTGTTGTCGAGCACCATGTTGAGCAGGCCTTCCATGGCTGGGACGAAGAACTGCTGTTGGTGTTCTGGAGTCTCAGCGGCGACGCACCAGCTCGAGTATCGACCCAGTGTCCAGCATGTGATGGAGCGCACCAGCGGTTTCGAGTCCTTGAGGCTGTTGATGAGGAAGGGCACCAGAGTTGGCAAGTGGGGCTGGATGCCCCCAATGCAGCCTTCTGCGATAGCACCGAGGGCGAGGATGCCACATTCACGTTGCAGCCAGTCCTCGCTGAAGAGGCGCTCCTTGAGATATGGCAGCAAAATCTCCAGAAGTTCGTCGCCAAAGTTGACCGCCATGACGTCGAGTGCAGCCGCCGAGCATTTGCGCAGGTTCCAATCTGAGATGCCATCGTCGTCCTCCTCGTCATCATCCTCATCGTCAAAGTCATCCTCGTCGTCGTCGTCCTGCGCTTCGATGGCGGCTCGTGACTTGCCAGTGCCGGACGCACCTCCGTTGGCAGCATCGTCGAGGTGCTCGTTCTTATGCGCGCCACCTCCGTAGTGTCGCGGCTTGATGTCCTCAGCGCGATCTGGTACCGCTGCGTCATCCTCGTCTCCGCCGAGCATGAGCAAGTCCAGCTCGTTGTAGACCATTCCTTTGAGCAGTACCGGCGCAATCTTGGAAAGGTAGGGGCGCAGCTTGTCCTTGAGGGTCGGCTCTTCCGCGAACTGAAGCCAGAATTCGCAAGCTTCCAGCGAGACGTCGTCGTCCTTGTCCTGTGTTGAGTAGAGCATGTATTCTACGACATTGTCCATTTCAGGAATGAGCTTGTCGGGTCGGACGCCGAGGATGAGCACGAGCGCTTGGCAGACGTATCTGCGCACGTTTGCGCTTTCATCGCTGGCGCGCTTGAACAGAGCGGCAAGGAAGGTGTCGATGTGGTTTTGCAAGGCCGCCGAGCCGATCTGCACGAACTGGTTGAGGCAGTTGAGGGCGTGCATGCGGATGCGCGAGTCGTTATGCTGAGTGGCTTCGATGAACTTGGGGATGAGGATGTCGATGGGCTTGACGCCGTTGATCTCGCACATCTCGAGCTCGCGCGGGATGTCTTCGCAGATCTTGGCTAACGAGCTGAAGGCGCCTTCTGCCTCGTCGGTGTTCTGCGATCCCATGAGCTCGCCGAGCTTGGAGAGACCTTCTGGCCATCCTTGTGGTGTGAGGATGGTCATGAGCATCGAGACGACCTGAGTGGCAGTGCGACGGAGCATGTCTTCTGGCAAGCTGAGCGCGGGGATGATGGCTTGCTTGACATACTCGAACGACTCGGGAGAGATGAGGTCATTGTGGAAGAGAATGTGGTTCTTGAGGATGAGACCTGCGACGGATCTTGTTGCGAGGTCTTCGGTGGTCAGAGACGTCAGGGCAAAGACGCAGTAATTGGCGTAATCTGGAATCTGGCTGACTGTGTCGAGGCGCTGTGGTCAATGAAAGGAATTGTAAAGATGAGCGTATGATGGTCAGCAGTGCGATCACATTGGTACAAGATTGATCAGGTTGGAACCTACCTGGGCAATTCTTTCCTGCACATCCATCTGTGGGCTCTGGGAGTCGCGAAAGAGCTGTACGAGCTCGGTGAGCCCTTCTTGCGAGGGCTGCCAATTTGATGTCATATCGGGCAGAGTATGTGATGAGGGTGCTGGAGAGCGTGAGACCGAGAGGGCGTGTTGGTCCGGGCAGGAAGAAAAACGAAGCTAAGGCCGAGCTCGAGTTGTCAACTGCAAGCGACGCTCTGAATGACAGGCGGCCAAAGTGAGCTTGACTGAGCAGCTAGAGAGGTGACGACTGGTCCTAGAGATCAGCTGGATGCGAGACAGGAAAGTCGCGAGTCCTCACCAAGATGCTAGCAGTGATCGGCGGAGTATGCGCTCGTCCGCCGATACAGCTGTGCTGCTGAGAGATGCGTGCAGAGTGAGAGCAACGAGCTGATCTTACGTCTAGCAGGGACCTGTTGAGGCTTGGGGTGCTCAATGAGGGCCGAGAAGTGTTGTAGGAGCGGCCAGTGTAGCTGCCTTGTAGAACCCTTGGTCGAGGAAGACGCACGGAGGGTGGCAGGATGCTGATATCGTCCAACGAAGAAGCAGAAGGAGAGTCGAAAGGAGCGTGACGAGAAGAAGTGGTGGATGTGACGATGTGATCGAATCCAGCTCCAGTCGAGTCGAGACGAAACGAATCGAGGGCCGAAAGTGATGTGCGATGAATAGGGTGATCGTGATGAGAAGAAAGAATCCGACAAAAGAAACACACTCAAGAAGCGAAAAAGTGGCTGCAGAGCCAGTGTGTGTCTGCTGGACAGAGCGACACGGCGTGCAAGCGTGCGAGGCAGCGTGCTTGGAAATTTTGAGTGGGACAGCTGCGCAGCCCAGTCTGAAAGAGCCTTCCTTCCAGCGAACCCTTTCGATTTCTGACAGCCCAAGTTTTTCCGAGGCTATTCTTTAAGAGTTGCTGCAGGGCTCGAACCTGTTCGTACGATAATTTTATTGTGGATCATCTACCCCGTCAAAACTGCCCATAGGTACAGTAGCTCACGCTCTGCGTTGCTCCTCTCTGTCGAAGCTCGGTCTGCGTCGTCGGTTCAAGCTTGAATCGCCACAGTCAGTGCGGGAGAATAATAGCATAGAATGGCATGAATATGTGTGCCCCTGAGCCAGTGTAATGCGCGCAGGCTTGTCGCCAGGAAGCCTCTGATTTCGACTGGAAGCGGCGCCTGACCCGGTGTGGTGACCGGTGAATCTTGCCATCTATTCTGTCGCAGCTTCCTCCTGCGAAGCCTTGTTCGTCGAAGCTGCTCCTGCTCCTACTGCGGCACCTGTGCTCGTGTCGCCTGCAACCGAGCTCAAATCCTGCACCGATTCGCTCGCCGTCACCATGGTATCGTCTGCTTGGCTCTGCACCATCGAGACGTTGGGCGACACCGATCCGCTCACCTTTCTCGAGCTATCGCCGTGGCCAGACATGTTGTGGCCCAGACTGCGCGGTGGGTTGCCGCATCGATCCTTGCCGTACGAGATCTTAACGTTCTGATAGTCCGGATGACTCTTCATCCCTTCGATACACTTGATCGCCGACTGGATGTTGGTGAAGTTGGCAAACGCGCAATTCTTCTCGCGCAGGCTGTTGACCGTCTCGATCTCACCGTACTGCGAAAAGTCGTTGCGGATTTTGTCCTCGGTCAAGAAGTCTGGGTCGTCAATGTTGCCGATGTAGACGTTGCGCGAGCCTCCTGCCTGAACCGCGAATTGGATCGCTGGACTCAACGGCCCCGAGTGCTTGCCCCATCCGATCTTGAGTCGGCGATTGTGGATCATGATCCCCGAGTAGGACGCCAGGTGAAAGAAGGCCAACGCAGCGTTCGGGTCCACAAACGTGACGAATGCGATATGCTTCTCGGGAATGAAGCGGATGTTTTGCAAGATGCCTCCACGGATGTGGTTGCAGATCTCGGCCGTCGTGGTCTCGGGATGGATGTTGCCAAGGTAGATGGTGCGATTGCCGAGCTGCTCGAGCGCAGTGGCGTTGGCACCGATCATGGCAGCGGTGGGGCCAAACACCGAGCTGGCAGGCGAGCGTCCATTGTCAGGTACACCTGCGCCTGCTCCGGCGAATGCCGCAGTGGGATATCCGAGCGAGGCCGCCGCCGCAAGACCCATCGCAGCAGCTTGGTTGTTGTGCGCCTGGTTCTGCTGTTGGCTCTTGGGCACGTATGCACATCGATCCTTGCCGTAGCTCACTCTCTTTCCTGCCCATGCTGGCTCGGTGGGCAGTGTCGCGACCACCTTCATGGCCGTTTGGATCGAAAGGAAGTGAATGAAACCGATGTTCTTGTCGCGCACAATCTTGACCTGGTCGATAGGACCAAAGCGCGAGAGATCGTCTCGAAGCGACTGTTCGGAAGCATTCTCGTCGAGCTGGCCGACGTAGACATTTCTCGACGCCTGGTTCTGCTGCACCGCCATCAAGACGGCAGGATGGCATTGTGACGGCTTGCCCCAGCCAATCTTGAGCTCTTGATTGTGCAGCGATATCTTCTTGACGCAAGCATCGGCGTGGAAGGCTGTGGCAATGGAGCCATCAAGGAACGAGATGAAGGCGCAGTTCTTCTCGGGCAGGATGCGCACGTTCTCTATCGGACCGAACTTGACGTGATTTAGCAATTCGTCAACCGAGGCGTCGGCGGGGAGGTTGCCGACATAGACGGTTCGGTTGAGCGGGTTGACCTGCCTTGGCATGGCCGCCATGACGCCTACATTGGGGACAAAGCCAGGTGCGTTGGCAAAGTTGGCAGCGAAGTTCGGGTACGCATTGGGCATCAAGAAGGGTGCTGAGCCAGCAGCATCAAAGGTCTGGCCGTTTTGGGCGCCGAGCAGGCCGGCATGTCCGAGATTGCCAGAGAAGGAGCGTGTGCCGTTAGTGCCATTGCCTGGAGGCTGAAGACCGGCTACGCCTGCAAACGGCTGACCTTGGTGGAGGGGTGCGCCGTTGTTGGCGAGGTAAGAGCCTTGAGCTTGAGACGATGCGCCGCCGACGCCTTGCGAGTATGCACCGAGTGTGGCTGCCGATGCGTTGCCAAAGTTCTGCTGAGCAAGACTCGGAATGTTGCCATCCGAGACAAAGCGGGCCTTTTTGGAGCCTGCATCCGGCATTTGTGCGTTGGGAATGGAGGGCAGTTGGCCCAGGTTGGCAGTATGTGCGTCGTAGGATTGGGACGGAGCGCGCTTCATCATCTCGAGCGGATCGAGCGCGAAGCCTGGCGCCGCGGCGGCGTTGGACTGGTTGCTATTGGAGAAGCCGTTGGCAGCAAAGTTGTTGGAAGCAGGCAAGGAGTTCTCTTCGTGCATGGCCGTCGATTGTGGATCACAGAGTGTGATTGAACGTTCAAGGAGTACTTTCGCTAGAGCGCGATCGGGAGTGCTTTCAGGAAGATTGGACGCGAGCGCGTCGCTGGGTTGCGAGCCGTGACCTGTAGACGGAGCTCAGAATTCGTAGTGGAAGAGAGGTGGCTCGGCGTAGTACTCGTCGATGATCGCTAGTTGAGGCGATTGGGGGAGTTGCTGTGTGCGATCAAGTGTCCTTGGATGTAAGTGAATGTTGCAAAGGCAAGAAAAGACCGTCACCAGTGTCGAGCGTGAAGAGCGAGTTGCAGAGCCGATGCGCGAAAAACGATGACTTGACAAACAGGGAGCAGCGAATGAGGGCTAGCCGCAGTAGACAGACGATAAATGACGAGAAGGCGAAGATGAGGCAGCCAGAAAAAGGACTGGAATGGAGCGGTATAAGGGAAGATAGGTAAAGGGGCGCAGGAAGGAACAAACAAAGGATGGTGTGAGCGGAGATTGGAGAGGCGAGGCGCTGTTTGCTCAGGTACACGAAACAGGGTTCTCGAGTGGCTCGCCAGCATGCACGCCGGCGCGCTCGACGTCCGAGAGCGCTAACTCAGTTCGAGCTTGTTGCGCCGTGCACTCACTCCGTCGACCCTCGCTTCCCGCTGCTGCCTTAAATCGCTTTTGTTCAAAGGGTGCGTGAGAGCGTTGTTACGCGCTTATACACTCGGGAGGCTGTCCTGACACACTGGCCTGACTTGCACTCCAAACATTTGCAAGCACCTTGGACATCGACACAAGCTCGCATCGGCCTTGGCTCTCAACGTGAAATGCCGAGCCAAGATCCAGCCTGAAGGTGTTGGTTCTTCTTGGCTGCCCTGGGCTGCACAGCCGCCTCGCAACCGAAAATAGACGCGCCGATCCGTCATCGTCGCGCTCTGATCGGGAGATCTCACCCCGCATTTGGTTGATTGGCGTGTGATACGGGAGCATCCCCATTCACAGCAGGAGAGCTGGCGAGCAAGACCTGAATCTACACACAATCACACTTGGATCAATGGAAGCTTCTCTTGCGATTAAACAACATGCAGTTTTGAGAGTTGAACAGGTCCGATGAAGGTGCAGGAGGGGGCAAGATGCCGACAGGCAACGCATCTACTCGTCGGATCGAGTGTCGGTCAGGCTGAACTCGCCCTGCTTGGCTGCCTCAATGTAGCCCTTGACCTTTTCGTAGATGGTGAACACCACGGCCTGACCAGGAGCCACACGTGCTACACGAGGAGTGATGCCCTTCCAGAAGGCGCTGGCCCCCTCCTGAGCAAACATGTCCTTGGCTACCTTGACCACTCGGCTGATGGCCGTCTCGCCTTCCACCTTGGATGCGCGCTGGATACGTGTCTTGATCGTGTCGATGGGAGCGTTGGAGAAGGGACCCAGAGCACCCGAGATGAGACCAATCACAGCTGTCTCGTACGAGGGCAGCTCCGACGTGCCGTGGTACTTTTGAGCGAAAGACTTGAGCTCCTGGTAGGCGGTGAAGTTGGCAGCCTGGTTGGTGGCCTGTCGAGCAGCGGTAAGCGCGACACCACGGTAGAGCGTCATGAACCCTTCCTCTCGGATGATCGTGTAGAGTGCATGTGCGGCGTTGCGGTATCGAGGCACCTCGAGAGGATCAGCGAGCGAGTGCTGCTGCGCTTGCAGACGAATCTTGACCACCTCCATGGGGTTGACCACAGCGACAGCCTCTGTGGTACCAGCACCGAGACCGGCAAGGAAGACGCCCTGCGCCGATGTCTTGCCCGTGTTCTTGTCTGCGAGAGCGTTCTTGTACTGCTCGAAACTCATGAATCGGATCGCCATCTTGGGCACGATACCAGCCACGACGGCACCCAGACCCTTGTACAGACCCAGGGGAGTCTCGCGCTTGACAATGTGGGCACCGGTAGCAATGAAGCCACGCGGCTTCTCACCGGCTTTCTTGCCTCGACGCGAGAGCTGCATGCGCACCTTGATCGTGTCGAGAGCTGCGGAGAAGTGCAAGAGAGAAGTACAGTGCTGTCAGAAGGTCGCCTCTTTGGAACACGGGACCTGCAGAAGATCTTTCAGGGAAGCTACTTACGATGACAGGTACATGCTTCCGCAAAGCCTGCAATACCACCGGCGATCAAGTGGGTGGAAGGGGCCACCTTCTTTCCGTCCGCTTTTGACATTTTGAGAAGTGTACACTAGAGGCAGACCAAGTCTTGACCGGTTTGAAGATAGGCTGCAAGGATGGCGCGAGACGTTGAATGCTGTTGCACTTTCTTTCGTTCGTGTCGAGGAGATGGAGGGGCAGCGAGAGGCAAGTGATGTAGTCGAGAAAGGAGGAGGAAGATGCAGTCGCGCGACCGGACACTTGTACGAGGATGCAAGAGGACTTTATGAGAAAGGCATCCGATGCTCGGCCTTCTCGCGGCTTGAAGCCGCAGAGGCCGCTTCTCTTGGCTGAAAGAGAGAGAGTCACGAGCGTCTCGTTGAAAATCGACATCGGAGCACGGCTAGCTGCAATCACCGTTGCCCGGTTGAAAACGGAAAAGGTGGAGAAATCCAGCCCTTCTGGCCCCGCATTTCGTGCCCTTCTGCAATTGATTTTCCAAAGAAACGCAGCCAAAAGGGGCCCCGTGTCAGAGTCGACCTGGCCTGCGTGTGGTGACTCAACTGACGCACGCTTCCTCTTGCCTGCAAGCGGTTGCAGGTCTCACCCGGCTTTGGGCGTCGTTGTGAAGCGGGCGCGGAGCTAGAAGGCTGCTGTGCCTCCGGCAAGTACGCCATCCGAACCACGCTGAAACGGCTCACGGTTTCCGATCTCACTGGTCACAGCTTCGGAACAATTGACGTCTCTTTAGGATGAAGGAGGTGTTTTGGGATCGGGTCGTAAAGACGAGATGAGTAGACAAGCTGGTGCGACCCGATCCTGTACCGGCTTTCACAAGCTCATGTCGATCCCTTGAGTGGACCCTGTCAAGTCGAGCAACGCAAAGTGACGCAGCAAGCGTTGATCCGGCTGCCTCGAGCAACGTCAAGACCGGGGAAGCCATTGGCCTCGACTGCTTGGTCAACAGAACGGTACGAACAGCCAAAGCTGTCATGGCAAGAGAAATCAGAGTCTGTACTCCGTAGAAGACAACAGGGAAGGTATCATCTCGAAGAGTGAATGGCAGTGTCTCTTTGGCCCCTGACGTTCAATTACGTGACAAAGTATGTGGAGCGATGCATACATGGAGACAGCCAGAGTCGGAAGCATGAGATGATGAACGCTCAAGAGGTCCAAAGAGCCGGCTTCCATGATCGATATGATGGAAGAGTGAGCCTCTTGGGCCCGGATGCGCCTCGAACAGACAAGTCTTGAGTCCGCTTTGTCCGCTGTCAACCCGGCCGGTATATTTTTTCACAAAATGGCCGGCCTGTCGATCTCACACGTCAAGCAGGCCGATTCGGCGGATCGGGTCAAGATATGTCAGGACAGACAAGCCGTCGAGGCAGAGGTTACCAACTGAACTGGCAAGCTGCTGCGCCACCATCTAGGAACGACACTCACAGCTGCGAGATTCGAGAGCCATGCAGTTGGAAGTTGATCAGAGGTCAGAAACTGTCGAACGCATGGAAACGAAGGTGCGAAACGGCAAAGTGTAGAATCCCAAGTCAAGCCGCGCCGCGCCGTCTGAGCTTCAAAGTGAGCCGTTGAGAGCGTCTACCCCAAGCTGGGTCAGCTCGCAAGGCTGACGTCGGCAAGGCCATTGAAGGCGCCACACTCTACGTCGTCGTGGCAGACATTGGCTACACTACAGAGTCAATAGAGTATGGCTGCCGCGATGGACGATCGAGTCGGTTGCGGCAAAGAGAACGGGTCGGTGCAGTCAAAGAGCCGCGTCAGCCTGCTCACAAACGCGGCTATGGATGGACCCTGTTCTTCAGTTGCATAAGGGCTAAGCGAGCCTACCCACACTCTGCTCGGTCGTCTCATTCGAGAGAGTGGGGCAGAGAGGTTGCAGCTCAAGCAAGCAGAAGTATTGAATGGCGCACGAGGCTGCAGGAGAGAATGGGTTGCGACCACAGTTGATCATGAGCAGCCGTTCATCAGACCCTGGCCAGCAGGGGACACAGGAGCTCGCAATCGCGGTGCTCGATGCGGTGCGACGAGTCGCTGGCTGGACGGGTTCTGAGCCCCTCTGTGACCAAGGTAGCGTGACCCAAGCCCAGAGCCTACTCAAAAGAGAAAGGGGTTGCCAACCCTAAAAGCGGACAACTCGATTGAGCCAGAGCCCAAATGGAATCGCCAGAGTAGAACTTCAAGCCAAGCCGCTCAGACTGTGTGTGCTTGAGCGCCGAATTGAATTCAGGAATCACAGAATGCAGCTTCTGCCTGAGAGAGATGCGCGATGATCGACCTGTGGAGTTGAGATTTTAACTCAGCCATCCAACCAATTCCCACATTCGGGCAGCACACCAGTCTCCCGCATCCAGATAAGGGTCCGTCGCAACCCTGTCCAAGTCGAGGTCTGAGCGCGCTGAGTTGCTTGCTCGACTCAGGCCGCTCTCTCCCTCTGCAGTTGCACTATCTATCGCCCCCTCTCTCTCTCGATCAGAGGACCCTTGGCTCGCCTGCACTGCCTGTCTCGAGTCGTCAGCATCCACGCCTGCGTAATTGACCGCTCCTACTTCAACTCGATCCAGCCCTCGTCGTCTCTCCTCCACCATCACCACCTGACACCACCCAACCCCACATCCACGCCTTGGGTGCTCGTGCTGCCTCTTCCTACTCTCTGTATAACCACCTCATCGCTGCTTGTCCTTCTCTCAACACCACCACATCCACACTCCACACTCAGCTCGCTTCGACATGTACACAAAGCGATACTTGGGCCTCCTGGCTCTGGCTCTCAGCCTCCCTCTGGCTGCGCTCGCCGCTCCCACTCACCAGCCTTTCGTGCCTGGCTCCAGCGCAAACGCATACTCGCCCTCCACCGAGTTCGCCCCCCTCACCGCCAACCCTGACCTCGAGACCATCCCTGGCTCGTACATGATCGTCCTCAAGGACGGCATCAACTCCAACGATTTCTTCGCCCACCAGAGCCTCATCTCATCCGCACAGCTCTCCGCAAACAGCTTCCACGGTGAGGATGCTCAGGGTATCCGCCACGTCTACGATCTCGAGGGTCACCTCCAGGGTTACGCCGGCAAATTCACCGATGATGTCCTCGACTACATCCGCGCTCAGCCCGAGGTCGAGTACGTCGAGATGGACACCCTCGTCTCCGTCGAGGTCATGCCCCAGACCGAGGACAAGGTCTGGGATGTAGAGTACGACGCCAACCTCGAGGATGCTACCCTCGCTGCCATGAACGTTGGCAAGCTTGACGCCAAGGACACACAGAAGGGCGCCCCCTGGGGTCTTGCTCGTGTCTCGCACCGCAAGCGTCTCGGCCTCAGCACCTTCAACAAGTACGTCTACCAGGGCGACGGCGGTGAGGGTGTCACCGCCTACGTCATTGACACTGGTATCAACATCAACCACGTCGAGTTCGAGGGTCGCGCTCGCTGGGGTAAGACCATGCCCCAGAATGACGTTGACCAGGACGGCAACGGTCACGGCACCCACTGCGCCGGTACCATTGGCTCGCGCAAGTACGGTGTTGCCAAGAAGGCTGAGCTCGTCGCCGTAAAGGTGCTCGGCTCCGGTGGCTCTGGTTCCATGTCCGACGTCACTGGTGGTGTCCTCTGGGCTGTCGAGGACGCCAAGAGGCTCACCGCTCAGTACCGCGCAAACCCGCAGTCGGCTGCTGCCAAGAAGCACAAGGGCTTCGTCGCCAACATGTCGCTCGGCGGTGGCAAGTCGCCCACCCTCGACAAGGCCGTCAACGGTGCCGTCACCAGCGGCATGCACTTCGGTGTTGCTGCCGGTAACGAGAACCAGGACGCCTGCAACGTCTCGCCCGCTGGCGCTACCAACCCTGTCACGGTCGGCGCCTCCACTGTTCAGGATGAGCGTGCCTACTTCTCCAACAAGGGCAAGTGCGTCGACATCTTTGCTCCTGGTCTCAACATCCTCTCCACCTGGAACACCGGTAACACCTCGGTCAACACCATCTCGGGTACCTCGATGGCCAGCCCTCACATTGTTGGTCTCCTTGCCTACCTCCTCTCCATCTACGGCACCGACGACTTCAAGCTGCTCACCGGTGGCTCCAAGCAGCGCTCCATCGCTGAGGTCGAGGACTCCCTTGCTGCCAAGCTCTCGGGTGTCATGCCCATCCCTGCCATGGCTCTTGACCTCGTCTCCAGCGTTGCCGGCTACTTCACCGAGGACGCCGCTAAGCCCGACATTGACAGTGTGCTCTCCACCACCGAGATGAAGAAGGCCCTCATCAAGCTCGCCTCGCCCGGCGTCTTGACCGGTCTCGACTCGGACACTGTCAACAAGCTCGCCTTCAACAACGCTACCACCACGGCCTAAGCGTCCCCACCGCGCACATCACCAGAGCATGGCTCCACTGTCTTCTGCCGCATCATCGACAACCTGCATGACATGTGTTTTCTCCCTGTCCCAGTTCCTCTATCGCAAACTCATTCTGTTCATAACGCTCGCATTCTCGTAGTCTCGTAATCACGCTTCCCCACCAACGGCCATGATGACGATACACACCCAAAGGCTTTTGTATTCTTCTCACTGCTTTCTCATGAACGTTTCCTATCAACCAGTTTTGCTTGAGATTGTGTGTGATGTGGGTGTCTTTCGACACCGTCAGAAGCAGTTTTCCAGAGTGAGCTGTTCGTTGCGTCGCAAAATGCAAGGCGAGGCAAGCGCACACAGTTGTCATGGCGTGCGAAGAAGGTGCTGACCGACATTGGCAAGGCACCGAGCTGATCCCAGTCGTCGCTGTGACAAATGCATCGCAGTCACCGAGCGCAGATTGGAACAACACATTTCGAGACGATGGACAAGCAAACGATGCGCAGATGTGAATGAGATTGGGCACACTTGATACAAAATACACATGCTCCTTTTGACCTTTCCTTTGCGCCTCTAGTCGTCGTCCCAGTTGGGATTCGCCTTGGGCGCCTTGATGCCCGCAGGCTTGGACATGATGATCGAGTCGACTGAGAGCACGCTGATGGCGGCGCCGGTGGCGTACCTCAGTGCCCACGACTTGGCGGCCAGCACATCGAACACCTGGTTCTGCGTGGTCGACATGGTGCCGTCGGTCTCGTTCTCGATGTCGACGCCAACGTCGGCGCCTGCTGCATCGACGTGCTTGGCGTAGAGGCGCGAGACGGTCTCTGTCGCGTCCAGACCGGCGTTCTCGGCCAAGGTGCGCGGGATCACCTCGAGCGCCTCGCCAAACTTCTTGATCGAGTGCTGGTTGAGGCCGGGCGTCTTCTCGCCCAGATCGGCGATGCGCTTGGCGAGCTCGAGCTCGGTAGCGCCTGCACCGGGGACGAGGCGTGGATCGCGCGTGAGCGACTTGATCACGTTGACGCCGTCATCGATCGCACGCTCCACATCGTCGAGCAGGTTGGACGTGGCTCCGCGCAGAACGATGGTGCACATCTTGGGCTTGGCCTTTCCACCGGGCTGACCCTCCTCCTGCTTGAACACGGTCACGCGGTCGCCGCCGATCTCTGTCGTCTCGATCGAGTCGATCCATCCCGCCTCTTCCGGCAGTGGCGCACCCAACCTCGCAAGCGGCGTCGCACCGAGCAAGCGGCAGAGACGACGGAGCTCGAACTTGGACAGAATCTTGATCACCAGAATGCCGAATCGGTTGAGATAGTGCTGTGCGAGCTCACCCACCTGCGACTGCGTCACGACCACCTTGACGCCCGAATCGGCGATCTCCTTGAAGTACTTCTCCAGCTGCTGCTCCTCGCCTCTCGAGAAGCTCGAGAGCTCGTCTGCGTTCTTGAGAAGGACGGTGCCCTTGGTTTCGGTCTGGGTGATGTCCATGCCGCACGTGTAGACACCGACCTTTGCCGCTTTCGCCTTTTTGATGACTCCCTCTGGTTCACGACCGAACACCATCCCGCGCACCACCTTGGACTGCGACAGACTGCCACCCATGATCTTGACCACACGGACATTGTCAACGCTGAAATCGGCCAGGCCATTCTTTGAGTTCTGTGGCAGCACCATCGAGACTGCTTCTGCGACGAGGGGTGCAAGGAGGTCTTCGTTGCCGTACTGTTTCGACGCGAGGCATGGCTTGAGGGCAAGCGCGAGACTCTGCGTAGTGGGAGGGTTGGAGAGCTGCGCGACCGAGAGCTGCTCGAGCTCGGCGAGACACTTCTCGCGTGCAATCTCGTAGCCCTGAAGAATTTCGGAAGGATGCAGACCCATGGTGATGAGGTATTCGGCCTTCTTCAAGAGCTCTCCTGCAAAGATGAGGACGAGGTTGGTGGAGTCGCCCATCTCTGCCTCCTGCTGCTGGCTTGCCATGACAAGCAGCTTGGCAGCAGGGTGAACGACATCGAGCTCGCGGATGATGGTGGCTGCATCGGATGTGACGAACAGCCTCTCGAGGTGGTTGATGACCATCTTGTTGCGCCCGTTGGGGCCGAACGAGGTTCGCACGATCTCGGAGAGTTCATTGACAGCCTGAATGTTTCGAAGGACGGCCTCCTCGATACCCTGGAAGTGCTTGTAGCCCTCCTTGAAGAGGTTCGGCCCGCCGGCGCGCGGTACTTTGAGCGACATGTTGGTGCTGTAGTTGGTTGCAGAAGGTGATGAAGGACGCTTCTGATGATGAGAAGAACACCTGCACTCGAACTGATGCGCATTCTTCCAAAAGGCACACACGCTTCGAAAGCGCAGCTGAATTGATACGCGCGACAATTTTGTTGGTCTTGAAAAGCAAGGCTTGGTCGCTCTCTCTCTAACACACACAGGCGCGCGTTCTTCTCCCGCCTTCGATAGCGGCTGTTTTCCCCACGGCGCGTTAGAGTTCGATGTAACACCTCTGCTTCGGCGAAAAAAAAAAACTGCAGGACACCGCATGTTGAACTCAAACTCGTCTGACGACGCACATATCAGGGGACACGGCACGCATGAGCTTCTGGATGGTGACGATTTGGCTTTATGTATGATTCCGCACTGCCAGAAGAACGTTAGCAACTAGACGTTCTGCGATGCTTGTCCTGCTTCATCAGGCTGTACAGCGTATCGCCATAGCGCGGCGTAGTTGGAAGGTGTGCATCCGGGTATCGACTTGAGTGCCGCCTGTACAAAGATAGAATGATAAACGAGACAGGAAGAAGGTCAGCAACGAAAGATAAAACGATCCCTCTTCAGCCCTCAGGCCCTCAAGTCTTTGTCACTTACCAACGATGTTGGGCGCAAAAGATCCAGCTTTTCTCGCAGCTGCGGATTGAGGCCTGGCACTGAAGCAAAGTTGAATCCTTCCGGGAAGCGCATCTGTGTCTCCTTGTTGAAAGCTGCGATCTCCTGAGCTTGCCTCTCCAAATGTGGCATGTATGTGGCCTCTATCTCTACTCTATCTGTCACCATCTTGCTCAGACCCGCCAACTCGGGAATCAGAGGAACGAGATCGCGGATGCCTAGCTGTGGCTGTCGAAGCATGTCAAGTCCACTTCGCTCGTGCGAGTCGCCCGAGCAGTGGAAGCCATGCCGCATCCAGGCGTGTGGGCTCATCCGCGTTGCTTTGAGCAGCGCAAATGCGTGTTCCATGTCAGCCTGCATTGCGCAGAAACGTTGCCAGCGTCGTTCGTCTATTGCCGAAGCGCGGGACGCTCGCAGGAGCGGAGTAAGCCGTGTGTCTGCGTTGTCGGCTCGAAGCGTCATCCTGTACTCGCTGCGAGAGCTAAACATTCGATACGGCTCTTCTACGCCTTGCATGACCAAATCGTCAATCATCGTCCCGACATATCCACCTGATCTACCAATGTCGAGTGGCGCAAGACCGTTGGCCTTGAGACCTGCGTTGAGCCCGGCAACGCATCCCTGAGCTGCAGCCTCTTCGTACCCTGTGGTGCCATTGATCTGGCCTGCCAGCCATAGCCCCTCGATTCTTTTCGTCTCGAGACTGTGGCGCAGCTCTCGCGGGTCCACATGATCGTACTCGACTCCATATCCTGGACGGATCATCTCTGCATTCTCGAGCCCTGGGATACTACGCAGCAATTCTTGCTGCTCTTCGGTCGGCAGCGTGCAGGACAGCCCATTTGGATACAAAACGCCGCCGTCCTCTGTGCCCGGTCGACCTTCCGGTTCAAGCCAGACTGGGTGACTGTTTTTGTCCTTGAAGCGGATCACCTTGGACTCGATCGATGGACAGTAGCGTGGCCCTCGAACGGTCTCCTTGATGTGGATCGACTTGCCAAGATTTTGTCGTACAATGTCATGAGTCGTCGCCGTCGTTTGCGTGCCCCAGCACTCGACTTGGTGAGCGGGATCGATGTCGGGTGCATCGTTGAGGAAAGAGAAGGCTGCCGGTGTAACGTCGCCGCGGATGACGTCAAGGCGAGGATCGACTCTGCTGCCTGGTTGCCACAGGCTGCCAAGACGAACGGACGACGAAGCGATTCTTGCAGGTGTGCCGGTCTTGAGACGGCCAAGTTCGAAACCGGCGCGGGCCAGACTCTGACTGAGACCATCGGAGGCCGGATCGTCGTACATTGAAGGCAGAGGCAGCATGCGCCCAGCTGGCCTCGACTCGAGACCCAGGTGGATGTTGGCGGACAAGAAGGTGCCGGTGGCGAGAATAACTTGGCTACACGTGATCGTTTCGCCATCGGTCGTAGTGATACCGCGAACAACCGCTCGAGTGACTTCGCGCTCCTTTCCCTTTCCGTGTTGAGCAGGGTATCCGTTCGACCAGTCCAGCTTCAGACCATGGACCTTGGCCTCGTGTATGGTCAGATTGGGATAGGTCCGCAGAGCATGTTGCATGTGGCGTCGGTACAGAGACCGATCGATTTGCGCCCTCGGACCATGCACGGCAGGTCCTTTCGACTTGTTGAGCATGCGAAACTGGATTCCTGCTTTATCGCCGACCAAACCGCACAGTCCGCCGAGAGCATCGACCTCGCGCACCAAGGTGCCCTTTCCGACGCCGCCGAGACTAGGGTTGCAGCTGAGCTCTCCGATGCTTTGCTTGTTCGTGGTGACGAGGAGCGTGCGTGCTCCCGTGCGAGCTGAGCCTGCGGCCGCCTCACACCCGCTGTGACCGGCACCGACGACCACAACGTCAAACTGCAGGTCCGATCGGCTAGGTCCCGCCAGCGGCAGGTCTTGAGACGCCGTTGCCAAGTGCCTGCATGACTGTCGAGCCGATTGCCGACGGGCGCTGGGCCCTGTCACCACGGCACCGAAGCTTCGCCGCAACATCCGCACGATCGTGCCGTATTGGCCGTCTTGTGTGGCAAGGAGGTCGACAGATTTTGTGTAGCGATGGTTGATGGAGGTGTCTCCATGAGAAGATGGCCACAGAAATTTAAGGTTTCAAGACGAACCCTGAACAAGAAGAAAGCTCACCTCCATGCACCTTCGTCTTTCGGCGTGCAACGGAGAGTTTTCTTCCTTTTTGGTGTCACCTTTTTTCTGTGCCCTTTCCGCGCTTCGTTTTTGACGTCAGAGATCCTTACGATTCGAGCAGGGAATACTCTGAACACTTGCTCGACACATGATCTCAACACAGACGAATCATCATAGGAATCGAAAAAATACATTGTCCTGTGTCTTTTGCGTCTGTGCCAACAGTTTGAAGGCGCGGCCGACTGCGGAGACGAGCCCGCAAGAAGGTAACATGAAACCGAATCGCGTATCAAAAATCAGAATGGCCCTCACGGGACCATGAGAAAAACGAAGAGGATAGAGAAGCAAACAAAGATGCCTGAGACCGCTTAGCGTCGTCGAAGAGGGGTGAGATCCTCCGTCCGGGAACGAGCATGTCCAGCACGCTTGAGCCGATCGAAAGCTGCACGATTCGAGCCATCGTGAACGGGCGTTCGGATCATCGATGCTGGCCTTGGTGCAAGTGGCGAGCCGCGAAAGGAGGCCAAGCGCTGTGGCGTTGCGATGGATGTTGTGAGATTGTGCGGCGCTCTGACAGGCAGTCGCGAGGGCGTGTTGTTCTGCGACATGCTCGCAAAGGTCGAGATGCGCTGATCGTGCCCGACATTTGGAAGTCCAGAACGACGTTCCGGCGAAGGTGTGTGCGGGGCAGCTGGCGCCGATGGAGGAGTCGCAGGTCCCTCTTCCGGGACCGTTGGCACTGGCTTGCGCGATTGAAGCAGCTGCTGGCTCGGCTTGCGTGAGATGGCATCCGTCTTGCTGGTCATTTGCGAGCCAACCGCCTCCAACAGCGCTTGAGCCCACAGCGGATTAGATGGTACCTCGCTACCGATGATGTCTGAAATGACCTTGACCCACTGCGCCATTTCGCCTTCCGTGTCGGCGAAGAACGTGATTCGCTCTCCGTCGGCAAATGTGATGCGGAAAGATCGTTCGACGTGGTAGTTGGCATCTGCGTCCTCCTCTTCCGCCAGCGTTGCCGCTGTAGCGCACGAAGCCATCGTCCTCGACCTTCCCAGGACCTGACTTGCGCCGGAGGAGAGGACCATGGAGCCTGCATTCACATGATTGCCCAGCTCTTCGATGCAGACAGCCTTGGAGAGATCGATCTTGACAGTCGGCTTTTTCGTGACGGCATTGAAGCAGATCAGATGCTGACCCTGCGCATGCACGGGACGACGACGCCAGCTGGCGCAGTCGCCACCCAGCTGAGTCAACGTGCCCGTCTGCCATGGCTCAGATCGGTGCCAAGCTGCGTTCTGCATCCCTCGGAGACACTCGCCAAGGTTCTCCGGGAGACCATCACGAGGGATATTCGGCAGCGGTGGAAGGTAGAAGAGCTTCAGACGAAGCGTTCCGCGCACCTTGCTGAGGTTTTGATGGAAGTCCTGCGAGAGCATCGAGACGTGCGAACGCGATGCGATGCTCGAAGGGCCCGAGATGCTGCCCGTCGGGTTGGAGACGCCATGGACGGGAAGATCAAGAACCATGCAACGTGCGAAGCATTGGCTGGCCACACGCTCGAAAATGACTCCAGTTCTGCCAAAGGCGCCCTCGCGGTTGATGTAAGCAAGCATGGGCTCGGCTCGCGAGGCCTGGGATGCCAGCTCCGCGGCGGCCTCGCGCTCCTGTTGCTCCCGCTTTGCTGCTTGCTTCTTTGGACTGCTGAAGAAGCGACTGAGGCCCTTGAGCGTCGGACTACCCGGTTCGCGTCGAATCGGCGACGACGGACGTTGAGGCTCCACGAGATGAGCATCGCGCTGCACGACGAGGGTCAAGCTGAACTCGAGATTCTTGTGCTGGATCAGCTCAAATTCTTGCGCGATCTTGCTGACTGTACCGCGACCAGCTCGAAGGGGCACGGTGGCCGTTTTGACCATGTGAAGTCCGTTGTCGAGGATGCAGTGGAACGAGGTGGGACGCGACGGCACAGGAAGGTCTGTGGGTGTGAAGGAATCGACCATGACGAAGACCTTGCCCGCAGCCTTGCGGCCACTGGCACCTTCCTGGAACTCGCGCATCTCCTTCTTGTACTCGTTGATATCGCTAGGCCTGCGCAGCTTCTTCCAAGCTTTTCCGCTATCGACATCGCCCGCAGCTGCCGAATGTGTAACTTTGTCGTCGATGCCTTTGTAGAGACCGCGGTCGTTGACGTTGTAGTTGAGATCGACCTTCTCGTAGATACGAGACAGCTCTTTTTCGATGTTGTTCTGGAAACCGCCTTCGACAGCGCGCTGGAGGCTGGCGTCCAGCATAGCTTTGCTCTTGGCGAGATCTGCACTGATGCTTTGACGGGTTGGGAGCTCAGCCTGCTCGGTCTGAGCTTCGCTGGTCGATTCAATAGCGATTGATGCGCTGGTGGAGTCAACCTCGACAGCATCAGCCGCAGCTGCAGTGAATGTAGCCCGTGCGTCGCTGGTGCTCATGCTTCGTTTGCGACGAGCTTGACCATCCTTGCTACGACGACGGGCGATGATTTGGTCGGCTTGCTGCTTTGGCGTGAGGCGCGATGCCACGGGATTGGCAGCGCTGACTGGGGCAGTGGAGTCCGGGAGAACACGTGGGAAGAGGCGGTCGTCATGGTCAGAGTCGAGCGTGTCGAAGTTGGGAAGCTGGATGGCGTCTACATCGGCCTCTGCATCCCGAGACGTGGGTTGGCTGAGTTCAACTTTTACCTTGAGCTCTGCGCCCAGCAAATCAAGAGGACTCTCGAGCTGGCCGAGTTCTTTGACGGGGCTCGGAGGCGGAATAGGCTTTGTTTCAGTCGCCGCTGGCTCGGTGCGAGCAAGATGGAGAGGGACACTTGGACGTGCCGCAGGCAGTGTCTTACTCTGCCATTGAACCGTGTCTTGCGCCGAAACCAGTGATGGTCCTGGCTCACTGCCGCGTGGCATGCGCTTCTGCTGCGACGTGTTGCGTTTGAGGGCGGAAGAGTCGATCGTGGAGATTTCCTCGCCCGAAAGACCTTCCTTGTGCTCCTCGGTTGCAGCGCGTCCGGCTTTTGCCTGCTCTTGGTTGAGCTTCTCCTTTGCGACACGCTGAAGGATGGCGTCACGCGAAATGTGCGGTCGACCACGAATGGAGCCGTTGCGGCTGGCGGGAGGAGGAACGGTGCTTGGTGTTGGGCCCATCTCCGGTTGTGTGAGGCTTTGAGCAAAGTCGCCGAGGATAGGTGTGGGCATGTCAACGTCCAAGTTAATGGGATCCCATGCGGGAAGCTGCGGCAACATTGCTTGCTCCAGGCGTGGAGCGTCTGCAGCTGTCTCGACCGAAGCTGACAGAGGCTGGAGAATTTCTTGAGCGTCTGGGTCGCCTTGGCGAGTGCGCATGCTAGGACTGTTGAGAATGTTGTCGCGGAGAAGCTCGTCCATCATGCTATCTACGCGATCAACCGCAGAGAGACGAGCAAAGGAGTTCTCCCGCTCAGGTGGCATGCTCGGTTCGTCTGTACACGCTTGCTGACGCCCATTCATCAACTCGACAGAGAGGTCCTGTAGCTGAAGGCTACTGTCACCAGGGGAAGGACTTGGTGGGCCCTCGATGGACGAAGTCTCGTTACTGTCGTGGGAAAGATCTGGCTCTGACTCGGCGGACAGCGCTTCGGCGACTTCGGTTTGGTTGACTACTTGAAGCTGACGCATTGGACCCTGCGAGTTGACGACCGCACTGCCGCGCATCCAGAAGTCAGCATCCTCCGGGACATGATCATCATCATCGTCGTCATCGTCATCGTCGGCGACGTCGAGGCTCTCAGTATCGAAGCTGCTCTCCTTGTCGAATTCCTGCACGTCGAGGATCTCGTCAAAAGTGACCGTCTTTCTGCGTTCTGTGCGGAGAGGGCTGGATTCGATGCGGGAAGACTGCGGCGAGGCGTGCATGAAGCGTGGGCCGTGCAGACGGTTGGAAGTGAGAAGACCTTTCGAGTTGGAAACAGGGCTGCTAGGCGAAGCGGTCTGCGCTGTCAGGCGAGACGGAGTGAGCGGGGAAGAGGGAAGCGGAGCGTCATCCGAGATGCCACCTTGCTGACGGAAGACCGAGTTGCTGACGTAGTTGGACTCGTGGAGCCTGCCCAGACTTTTGCGAGGGATCTTGCGTCTGGGACCTTTGGCGGCAGTCCCGGCGGTATGGAGGTTGAAGGGGTTGCTATTCTCTGCGTCCTCACCGGCGGGACTTAGCTCTGGTTTCAAGCTGTGCTGTCCAGCCTTAGGCGAATCAGAAAGGCCGATGCCTAGCCCCAAGGAGGGAGAGGGTAGCGCTTTACGTGGAGAAGTGCTGACGGGGGAGCTAGTGAGTGAGCTAGGCTGACTTCCTCCATCGATTTGTTTGAAGATGCTGTTGGATACGAGGCCGTGATTGCGCAGAGACTTGAAGTTCTGCGTCTGCTTCTTGGGACTGTGGAGGGAGGGATGTTCCTCGACGGCATGCTCTGGTGTCGACTGAGAGTACGATACAGTTGTGCCTCGCTTTGCGGTCCTGAGAGGCGACCATCCTGATGTAGTTGCGCCAAGAATGGCGGATGTGGTCGTGGTCGTTGTGGGAGAGGCGAGAATGCTGGACGAGCCAGCATCCGCTGTGTGATCGCTCATTGCGATTTGCTATGCACCTTGAGCTCGCTATGTGGTGAAATGAAGAGGTGCGGATCGGAGAGCTGAAGTTGACTTGCTTGTTGCTATTGTTGCTAGTTGTGGATACTGTCGGGGCAGGGATCAAGTGGAGATGAGGGAAAGCGATGGGTGATGTGGTAGAAGAGAGGAGGCTCAGTCGCCGATCAGGCTCAGAGTCAGCTCTTCGAGCCGGGCCAAGGCGCAGGAAGGCAGCTGGATAGGCAAGACGAGCCAAGGCAAAATAGCCGGCTGCTTTGACTCAAAGAGAGTGTGATAGGCCAAAAGAGGGTCCCGTTGACAGCTCTCTGCGTCTGTCACTTTTTCGACTGCGCCGCCTGCGGATAACCAACATCTAATTTGGTATTTGTCCTTCACCTTGCGCTCTTGCGTGTCTGTGCGTTGTCATGCATGAGCCGAATCATTGGCCATCATCCCCTTTCCAATGTGTCTTGCATTGCGGCGGTCGGCAGCTGATCCGATCACAGGCGTCTCTCTGCAGCCGAGCAGCTTGTCGTGGCTCTCCCGATGCTCGACCGTGGGAAAGGAGTGCTGTCCAGCGCCCTCCTTTTCTAAGATCACATTCTTGGCCAGCAAATGCTCACTCATTGATGTCCCCTTCAGCCGCAATGGACCGAGACCAAAGTCAGCCCCCAGCCTCAGCCACATCCGCATGCTCATGCTCGGTGGAGTCATCGATGTCCGCTCTGAGCTTGCTGCGAGCCAGTCTCGCAAGCCTTCTGGCTTTCGCGTGGACGCGTTCACACACGAGAGAGTCACGTGAAGTTATGAAAATTCCTCTGGCGTGGCTGCTGCCTGCCTGCCTCAAGTCTGTCCAATTTCAGGCAGAGGTCCTCAATTTTTACACCCACAGCCCTGCGGTCGTTCGACTCATGGGAACGCACACCTCCTTCATACAACTTAGTCCTCAAATTGAAGGGTTCGCATTGAGCCTAATCGTCTGCGTCAGAGTATATGGCCACGGGAGAAGGCGATCGGTTCAGCGCAAAGCTGCTTCGTCCTGCGAAGGAGACGCAGCGTTCCGCGATGCCTGTTCGGTGTCCCAGCAGCTTTGATCCTTCCTGCGTCGGCGATTCCATCACCAAGCTGTTGGGGTATACAAGCTTGGGCTTGTCAAATCGCGCCGACTGACTTAGGCTGAGCGTCTTGATGACAGGCTCCTTTTGCGGCGTCGACATCACCAGCAATCGCTTCGAGTTGGGCGCGGACGACGGTGGAGAAGCTGCAAATGACGGCATCGATGGAAGCATCGGCGAGCGCAACTTGACCACTTTCTCCACCCTCTGCGACGCTGATCGACCGTTTGCAGAGCCATTCTCGACGCTACTCCGCGCATGCAAAGGCTTTGCGACTCCCAGACCGGCAGGTTGAGAGTACGCCGCGTTCGTGTTGCTCCGTGAGAACACGCCCGTCGGTGCTCGCATCTCCTGCACCGCTCCAGACGTCGCGCTGACGCTCCGAGACAATCGTCGACCCATGTCCACCTCTCGCCCACGCCCAAGCATGCTCGATCGTTCCGCCATAATGTTTCGTTTCACCCGTCGACCTGCTTGTTCCTTCTCCAACACATCCGAAAGGCCCCCGGTCGCTGCCAGTGACGCCGATGCACCACCGAGCGGCGCCACACTTGAGCTCCTCTTGAGCACGCGCATGGGCGGTGACCCCGACGAGCCTGTGCGCGCACTCTTGGTTGGTCTTGCTGGTGTTCGAGACTGGAGTGACACGAAGCATTTGCTCCTGAACAGCGAACATTGTCGAGGCAGGCTCGCTTCGAAATGCGGCTCCACCACGCTCGAGCAAAGCCATTGTGCATCGTCCATATCGTCATCCTCGAGCAACTTGCGCACTGACGATCCCAGGAGAGCGCCGCTCGTTTTTTTGCCCCCTCGATCCATAGTCTTGTTGTCGTTTATCTCTGTGTCTAGATCCGACAACAGATCGGCAATTTCTGAGCCAACACCCGCTGCGACCTGTCTCAGACAAAGGATGTCCACCAATGCCTCGAGCCTCTTGCTGAGGTGGTCCACCGTGAGCACCTCTCCGCCTTGCACCTCGAGCACCTCGACTTCTCCGTTCTCGCCATCGTCGTGCGACGAGTCAGTGGCCATCCGTCTCCGTACTTGTTGATTCCATGCAAACGCGTCGCTAGAGTCGAATTGCGGTCGTGTGCCTCGCCATCGTTTGGCCTTTTCGAGTTTTCGCGACCTCTTGCGCGGTTGCTCGCTCTCCGTCTCCATCGATGTGCCTGTATTCACGCCTGACAGAGGATTGATGGTTTCTTCGGACGAAGTCCCAGGCAAGCGAGAACGTGCAGTTTCCAAAGCTCGCGGATCTTGAGATACAATGTGCAACAAGCACATGGTGATGAGGATTTGAAGTTGAGTCCTGTTGCGCAAGCAGGCAGTCGTTCGTCAGTCATTCCCTGACCTCGCTTGGGCATGCTCACCAGCTATGTTACTTACTCTCGACTCTCCATGGACGAGATCCAGCGTTTGTGCATTGAGTCTGCTTCCGTCGAGGTGATATTCGAACCTGCTGCCTCCACCGCCCGCTGAGCTAGCAGCATCTCGTACTCGGACGCATCGAGCGTGTCTTCTGAGCTGCATTGAGCGCCAGGGTTGGCCGCAGGCAGCAGCTTGGTGGCCATGACTTGATGTCGACGTGAGATGGCGCTGTTGGACCTGATCAGATGGCAGAGGCCAAGAAGGACATCTTCGACGTCATGCGATGACCGCAAGCGGTCGATGCAGTTGAGGAAATGCGCAAGGCCGCTGTGGTGCTCTCCAAGCCAAAGCGTCTCTACATAGCGATCTGCGAGTGATTCGTCGACGGGAATGCTGTGTTGGTCGCTCTGTCCACTTGGTTGGATCGAGTCCTGGCTGCCAAACCACGATGCGGCGTCCGGCTGCTCCAAATGGCATGCATGTTGGATGCGAAGTGGTCTAGAGGTCACCGTGGCAAGCCGAGATGGACCAGCCTCGCAATAGAGGTTGCTTGGCTCTGCCACGGCTGTGGGCGCCATCGAGGGTGTTGCGGTCGAGGCCAGTTGTGGGTGTCGAGAAGAACCTTTCTGCTGTTCCTTGGCTTTCGACTCTTTGCCGCGCTTCTTGCAATTTCATGCAACACCTCCACTCGCCTCATCAACGCGAAACGCGCCACGCGACCCGCTGCGTCCACCACCCTGCCCACCCACAATTTCACACAGACACATCGCAGACGAGGACAAGCCTTCTCATGCTAGCTGCTGGGAGGCAGTCTTGTCGCCTAACAGCATATCGGCCACGTATCGCATCTGTGCTCGAGTTTCTACCATAGATTGGGATACATTCGGATACAGAGTGAAGCTCAAAACTCGAATTCGATCGTCCAGTCGGAGATGACGGGAACTGCAGGGTCCTTGATGACCAGCTCCGATGCCGTGTTGGATCCCAGTCCGAAAGGCGTGCCCTTGCTGGACGAGCTTGTGCCGCTCTTCCAGCTCCACTCGAGAGCAGACGACGGATCGTGCTGGCCGATGCGCTTTCCTTGAATACGAACGGCTTTTGGCTCCCGTTCCAATCCGAGCACGACAAGCTTGGATACCCGGACGCTTTCAATCGACTTCGCAAAGGCATTCTTCTCCTGGTAGGGGCGCAATTGCTTGCTGTCGCCCAGAATCAGGCCCCCATCTGCCAGCTTGACACCAGCTTCATCGACGCTTCGCAGCGTCTGCGTGCCCGATGCACTGTTCCGCGTCCACTCGAAGCGACGCCAGACGAATTGACCCTCTTCAAAGTCGTATGTCTGGCCGTCGTCGAGGTACAAGCTTCCTTCGGCGAGAACATTTGTCGTGCCGCTCTTTCCTGTGCGCTCCTGCTTGTCCAAAGCAATAATCAGAGTGAAAGGATCATTGCGACCCAGCTCCGCAGCGCGCCTAGCTCTCTCTCGCAAAGGCAGAATCGATCCGCCCCGGTGAAGCAGCGGCAACTGCTCGGTCAGCGGCGCCGGCACAGTGACGGTGCGTCCACGCTCGGAGCCGTGGTAGACCTCGTGCGTAAAGTAGTTGTAGTACGGTCGATCCTCAGCCAGGTAAACCTGCACAGAATCGACGTCCTTGTCTACCGCAGGACGCACAAGTAGGCCCGAGTCGCCAACGTAGTACTGCGTGTCGATCTCAAAGCCCTGTGGATCGTTGGGGAACATCAAGTACTGAGGACGCAACACGGGCATGCCGGTGACGGCGTTGTCCTTGAAGGCAGTATACCACATTGGGAGCATCTGATATCGCAGCTTGATCAGATCCCTGACAGCGCTTCGTAGTGGCTCCTCCAGGAGATACGGCTCTCGTCTTTTTGTATCGATATGCGCGTGAGCACGGAAGAAAGGCTCGAAAATGCCCGCCTGGTACCAACGCACCAGCATGTCTGGCGATGGGTTGCCAAAGAAACCGCCGATATCGGCACCACAAAAACTCATGCCGCCGATGTTGTTGGCCAGAATCATGGGCACGCTGACAGCGAGATGCTCCCACGTTCCAAGATTGTCTCCCGTCCAGATGGCGCCGTACTTTTGCGTTCCCACCCACCAGGCACGCGAAAGCACGAAAGGCCGACGTGGCTTGCCGCCGCCCAATGAGGCAGGGACCGTGAGTTCTCGATCGCGCAGCGCCCGTGCGGTCTGGTTGTGGAAGAGGATGCCGTTGATGTTGTGCAGGTCTCGGTGCTCCCACCCGCCGGCGTGAATCACATCCTTGGGCGAAGTGACCTCGGGACCGTTAAAGATAGCGGGCTCGTTCATGTCGTTCCAGACGAACACGTTGCGAGCATTGGCGCGGATCTTGCCAGTCAATTTGCTGCCTGCGAGAGCGAACTGGTCAGCCCACCATTGCCAGCTGGCAGGCTCAAACATGTCAAGCCAGGAGGCGCTTCCACTCCAGCACCAGCCTTCGTACTCTCCCTGACCGTTTGAGTCTTTGACGAGTAGCTTCTTATCCTGAGCTTCCGAGTAGAGCCAATAGTCTCGCGTTCGCTTGAGATGAGGATCGACGATGATGACGAGCTTGCGACCCTTGTCGTCGAGCGCTTTGACCATACCTTCGGGATCCTTGAAGGCCTTTTCGTCCCAGACACCGTACATGTGGTCCTTGCTGTATTCGATGTCGAGCCACATGACGTCCATGGGGATGTCCTCGTCGTCGAACCGCTGGCTGACGTCTTTGACATCTGTGTCCGTGAGATAGTTCCATCGACACTGGTGGTAGCCGATGGCAAAGTACTGCGGCAAGACGGTGCGTCCGACCATCTTGGTGAAGTGAGCCATGTTGGTCTGAGCATCAGCGGACGTGAAAATGAAGAGGTCGAGAATGCCGGATTCCGAGAACAAGTGCGAATAGGAGTCGATCTCGGAAGACTTGGACGTGGACGACTTGGACTTGTGCAGATCGATCCAAGTTTCTGCGCCATTGAGCCAGAAGACGCTGACCGCTCGATCTTTGCTCTGGGCGTGCAGCACCGGGACGCTGCCGTAGAGACTCATCGGAGAATTGGAGTCGTACTCGAATACGTCGGTGTTCATGAGTCGGTAAGGCTCATTGAAGCGATCCTTCTCGTCCTGAGCGGCATTGTGACCGACTGGAGCCCTCGTCGATCGCAGAGACAGAGGGGAAGCGTGCTCAGGAAGGCCAAAGAGATGCGAGTACCCGGGGAAGGTCATGTCCAACGCCAGCGCCTCTGGACCTTTGGGCTTACTGTCGCGACGAGAAGCCCAGGTCTCTTCCCACTCGCCGTTGTCTTCCTGCTCGAAACCAGCCCACTGAGAAACGAGCGAGTCGGCGTACTGACTTGCGGATGACGAGCTGAGGATGGATCTTTTGTTGCGCTGGAAGACGAGTTGTTGGACCTCTTGATCTTCTTGCTTGACCGTTGGGAAAGGTTCCGGCTTCTTTCGATAATGCTCCATGTGCATGAGACCACGGTCGTTGAGCACGACTTGGGCCTCTCCGTCGCGCAGGACTTCAACCCTCAGCGGAGAGTAGGTAAACTGGACCGAACGAGACAATTGAGGTCCGAAGTGGACCTGGAAGCCGTCCTTAGTCGTCTCGATGCGGGTGTCAGAAGGATCCGAAGCTAGCTCTGGCAGCTGTTCGATGGCCCACTGCGAGGCTTCATCGTAGCGCCTCCAGCCACCGTACCTCTGTCCCACCTGGTCCGCTCGGATGCGGGCGGTGCCGTCTTTGAAGAAGGTGAGGGAGAGCTCGAACTCGACATCCGGGTGTAACGCAGATGACAGAGGCAGGTTGATGCTAGCGTTGCTATGCACGAAGTTGACACTGTGATTTGAGACGGAGTACGGCGAGGCGAAGCGCTCCTTGTGGTCTTGTTGCCATTGCTCGACATAGTCCGACTGCCTTCGAATCCTACGACAGAAGGACGAGTCGCGACACTTTTTGAAGTCGTGCTCTCGTACCGCCTGAGCCTGCTCAACCAGCAGAGAAGCGAGGACCAGAAGGCAAGCGCACAGCAAAGGGCATGCCCATCTTCGCGTGCCAGCCATCTTGGATATGGCTGCTGTCGAGCTGAAGGGATGATGGTGAGAGCGGTACAAGAAGAAATGTCGTGCAGTGCTTGTGGTCAAGGCTGCGTCGACTTCCAAATCAAGGTCCGTGCCTTTGGGCCTCTCGCACGACTTGCCAAGGCGCCTTTCCGGAAATCGGCTGCACAGCAAGCAGCCTTGTTGGAATTTCGTGTTGGACCCTTTGCTTGCTGCTTGAAATCTTCTTGTTCGCCATCAACCAAATCAGCTCGCTTCAACCGACACCATTTTCGCTTTGCTCAGTTCACCGACGCACAGCGTAGCATCAACGAAATGGTCCTCTTCGTCATTGGCCTCGGCCTCGCTGATGAGCACGACATCACTCTCAAAGGATTCGAGGCCGTCAAGTCCTCCGAGCGAATCTACCTCGAAAGCTACACAAGCATTCTCATGGTCCCCGGATTCAAGGAACGTCTCGAAGAGCTCTATGGCAAGTCTGTCATCATGGCGCATCGTGAGACCGTCGAGCTCGAAGCAGAATCCATCCTTGAAGGCGCTGCTACCTCTAATGTAGCGTTCCTCGTCGTCGGCGATCCCCTCTCAGCAACAACACATACCGACCTCATCCTCAGAGCAAGGCAGAGCTCACCTCCCATTCCCGTAAAGATCATTCACAACGCCAGCATCATGACCGCTATCGGGTCCAGCGGCTTGGCAGGCTACAACTTCGGCCAGACTGTCAGTATCCCCTTCTGGACCGAGGAATGGAAGCCAGACAGCTGGCTCGAGCGCATCGGTGAGAACCTCAACATCGGCTTGCATACGCTTGCGCTCTCCGATATCAAGGTTCGCGAGCAGAGCGCAGAGGACATGAGCAGAGGCATTCTCCGCTATCAGCGTCCAAGGTACATGCTCATCCCTCAGCTCATCTCACAGGTCGTCTCGGCAGCACAATCTCACAAGGCAGATTACCTCCATCCCGAACGCACTCTCGGCATCGCCCTTTGCAGAATGGGCTCAGAGGAAGAACGCATCGTCTCTGGAACATTACAAGAGCTTTTGGACATGGCCAATCCGACGCCCGAGCAGGCGCAAGCCGAAGAGGCAGAAGACGATGCAGATGAGCTGGCCAGCGAGGCTCAGCTCGAAAAGCGTCGTGCTGACAGAGCTGAGGAGCGTGCCAAGAAGGCATTCGGAGAGCCACTACACAGTCTCGTCATTGTTGGCAAGCGTCTGCATCCTTTGGAGCGCGATTACGCCGCCAGCTACGCGTCTTCCGGGAGCAAGTTCCTCGAGGTCGCCCGGGAGGTGTATGGTTGCAAGGAATAGTCGGGGCACGCACGCAAGTCACGACGATTGCGATGGCGCACCCGCTCACGAGCTTCTCTCGATTCGTTCACTGTCGGATTGAGACGCAAGGATTACGCGAATGTCACCCGAATCAGGACCTGGACGAAGATGCATTGCAGTCGATTTGAGAAGGAGTTAAGCGAGTCTGACATCGCGAATGGTGTCTGGAGTGCCACTTCGCCGGTTCTGTTGCGGGTCTAGGCTTGCATCGGGTGTGCTCGCTCGCAAGAATCTGTTGAATGCTGGCTTGCCCGACCTGAATGGGTTGATGTGAGCCGAAGAAGGTCGTGCACTTGCTTGCCGGTCTGACGCTTCTGAATTTGTCCTACCTCTGCCCTCGCCTTCGTTCCTGTGCGTCTTGCCGTCCAAGGTGGTCTGCCTGGCTTTCCGAAGGCTACTGCTGTGTCCAATGCGTCTAGGCAAAACCCTGTGCCACGCTCCTCCTTCCGACTCCGAATCCGAGCTGGACAGATGACCGTCTGCTTTCGCAATGCCGGATAGGTCCGTTGCCCTTGCTGCAGCTCGCTCGTCAGCCGGTGTGGCAGCCGCCTGCGTCTGCACCGGAAAAGGGACAAGGACGTCGTGTGCGGAATGGGCCGGTGTATCGTTGCTCAGTGCACGTTGCAGTGGTTGCGCAAAGGCGATGCGACCTGGACTGACGTTTGCCCTGAGATCCTCACGAGGATCAAGGCTGATTTGATCCGTTCGTGCTGCACGAATCGCATGATCCTCGTCGTCCGAAAGATCTACCGCGTGCTCAGAAGTTTCGCCATTTTCTGATCTCTCTGTCCAGTCCGAAGACATTCCTGCGAGATCGTCAGTCCCAAAGGCGTCCACCTTCTTGACCCTTGCAGATGCTCCATGACGTCGGCCATTTGCGAGATTGCGGTCCTCCTTGGTCGCGAGGTTGGGTCGGTGTGAACGTGAGGCACCCCTGACCATGGCGGGCTGTACCACTTTACTGGAATCTTGGCTCTGATGCAATGCAGAAGCCTTGTTGCTCGCCTTGGGACGAGAATACGTTGCTTTGCGCTGCGTCGAGTACCTTGTAATCCGTCGACGATCTGTTGCGCGATTCAATGCGTCTAGAGCTTCCAGTAGCATGATGAGGCGGCTTCCAGCTCGCGGGTTCGAGAGGATGTCGATCAGATTCTCGTCGCGGCGATCGATAAGTCGCCGGCGAGGAGGATCGTTCCCCTTCGAACCACGAAGCACAGCTGTGTTCGGACTTGCGGCGACACTTGAGCTACCTGGCCTGCGAGGCAAAGATCCGGGTTTCACCGACCGATGTCCGCCTTCGACATAGCGTCGTGGAGGCAGAGCTAGGGTCGCGGCGCCCAGATTGTTTTCCGTGACTGTATCTGTGTGAGTCTGTGACGGCATTGCTCCTCTGGAGGGGTCAGCAGGAGACTGTGCGGCATCGGACTTGGGGTCGGTTCGAGCGGTGGCTCTGTTTGGCGAAGCCGGAACAACCAATTTGCTGTCGATTTTGCCTTCCGACCGCTTGGAGCTGCGTCCAATCTTTGTGAAGCCGGCATGCAGCAGAGGCACTGTTCTCGATCCTCGCGTCAAGCCTATGAAAACGAACACGGCCAGCAGCATGACGAGCTGCGCAATGGAAAGCCTCTTCTCGAGGAGCACCTCTTCGGCCAAGATCTGCACTTCGCGAAGCAGGGCCCGGCGCTCGTTGTCGGCTTGCTGACGATGGACATCGAATTCGAAGATGGCGCGTTGAAGATCAACGTGCTGCCTTCGCTTGAGCGACTCGATCTGTTGCCAATTACTGGCGTTCAAAAGTCGAAGCATGTCGGACATGCGGCTCTCTTGTCGTCTTTCCATGCGCGAGAAAACCTCCCGCAACATTCGCCCGCTATGCTCGATGTAGCTATGGCTTAAAGTAGCGTTGGACTCCAGAGCATTGAGACGCCTGTGAATGGCGCGGTAGACCGATTCGCTGCCGGGACCGCCTTGCTGGCCCGAGTGCGCTCCGCTAGGACGTTGGCCGTTTGCGCGACGACTGCGATCAGCTTCAGGATCTGCCGCCGCTCGAGCTTGAGACGCGGAATCCGTTTTGATCGGCGGACTGTCTGGAGCCATCCTGCGTTTAGCAGCTTGGCCGATGCCAGCTGGATCGTTAGCAGGGTTTGCTTCACGATGCGGGACAGCCTGCAAATGAAAGGAAGGCTTTGATCTTCCTCGAGGTACGACACACACTTCGCTTGCCCTTTTCTGAGCGCCAGGACTTTCTTCTGGAAAGCACTGTGCCGTATCTTTGATGCCCGCCGCTGTGTGGTAGGTCGAAGGTCGCGGGCGCGGATCGGGCTGCTTGACAGATTGCTCAGGTACTTGCGGCGAGGCAGGCGAAGACAGATTATCGTGTTGCGACACGAGATTCTCCGATGCTTCAGTCTCCGTGGCCGAAAGGATGGAACTCTGGTTTTGTAGCTTGCGTTGGAAAGCTTGCTCGTGCTTGCGCCAGATGTCCTCGTCTTGTGCCGTCAGATCGGGAGTGTCCCGGATGGAATGGAACTGGCCCGGTTGTGGTAGGTCGACTGGAGCAACGTCCGCTGAAGTGGGCAAAGGCCGCAGCAAATCATCAGTGCTCTTCAGATCGGCCCCAGCGATCTCCGGAATGGGATCCATGTCTCCGCTGGGTTCCTCGAACTCCCTCTTGTACTCTTCCATCTCAGTGATTCCATAGACGCGCAGTAAGCTGACAGGGCAATAGTACTCGCTGCCGAAATGCTCGAGAAAGTCGATGCGTACGTAGCGGAAAAAGGCCTCGGACCGAGGCGCAGAGGGAATCCTGAAGACTTGTTGGCCTCGAATGTTGCGAGCGCGAAAGACACCAAGCTGCGTCCAATCGCTTTCTCTACCAGTCAGCTGGCGAGCGGCTGTAATCGTGAACTTCTTGAACATGTTGCTGAAGAATTCGTAGTTGGCAAGCACGATGGTGTCGATCTTGATCTCCTCGCAAAGCTCGACAATGACAAATTGGCTGCCGCCTTTGAGCTTGCCTCCGGGCTGTGGACATGGCGAGAGCATGTAGCGATCCTTCTTCTCGCTGAGAATCGAGCTGGCGAATTTTGCATCAGGATTCGTCCTGTGCACAACCGCAGCACAGTCCAACGAGGCGAAGTTCCATCGGTGTTTGAGTTTCGAGAGCTGTGAGCCTGTGTTGCCTGCCGCCACGCTGGATGCCACTTGCGAAATCTTGGGCATGTCTGGTTTTGAGGGATCCGGCGACCTTTCGATGTGGGTTTCAGCTCTGGTGGATGCGTCGTGCTCGCTTGTTGGAGACCTTCCCGCCAGACCAGACGCCGAGGCGTGCGACGCAGAATGAATCGAACTAGGGCCGGTGCCGCTCGAGTTTGCCGTCTGAGCAAATGAGTCCTGCTGCGGATGTCGACCGTGATTTGAGTCTGAAGCCCTGGCTTGTGTCTGTGTGTGCTCCGGAGCTGCGATTGAATCAGATGAAGCAGGTGGTACGGTCTTGGCTCGCGAGTTTGCTGTGTTCGAATTCGGTCCACGAGCTTGGCCAGGATCCTTCGCAGCATGACGTTCCGTCCACTCTTTGAAGCTCAGAAATGCGCCCTGATCTTGCTCGGCCGACCAAGCATCGTATTCGCTCGATGGAGAAGCGTCTGATTGGCCGGGTTTGTGACTTGCGCCTCGCTTGGGGTCGTGAGCGGTCTGAGCGTCCACGCCGCGATTCTCTTGTTCGTCTTGAGATTGTTTGACGACACCATCTGATGTGGGGTGCCATTCGTGCTGCCCTTCTCTCTGTCTCCAAAAACCATCATCGTCAGGACCCGGGAAGGAGGCATCTGGTCTGCTGGCAGATCCTTGGTCGGCAGCTTGACCTGATCCCTGTGGTTTGTCGGTATACGCGGGGGAGGTCCCAAGTTCTGGAAATCGATTGGCTTCCGGATGAAGCTGCCCCGCAGCTTCGTCAAGTACGATGGTGCCGGAGACGGCGTAGGTGGCACGGACTCGTCCCTCGCTTGGTTTGCCGTCAAGGTCTGGTCGAATCAAGGGCTCGACTTCCGGTAGGTCGCATACAAGCAGGTCGGCGGTGACACCAGGTGCGAGTGAGCTCGAGGCTGAACTGGCAGCATCTTCGGAGCCTTTCGATGGATTACTGCAGACCTGGTCAAAGAAATCCGTAGACCTTCTGCATCCAGGGCGAAGGCCGATCTGTTCTGCATCCTGGACCACCAGCGAGTCTGTTGGCACCAATGTGGAAGCGACCATGCGCTCTCGACCATCTTGTCCCACAATTCTATCTCTGACAGCTGCCAGGCTCTCTGCATCCGATGACACTCCGGAATCGAGGAGCGAGTGAGAAGGTCTGACGAGCAGCAGCGACGAGAACAGGAATCCTGGCCAAGACCATCGGGGACGCATGATGTACCGGAGTCAGTCGCTTCGATTTAGCGCCCAGCCTGCTCTCCTGTCGTCATCACAGCATGGGCCTTTCGGATGGTGGCTGCAAGCTGATAGCTGTGGTCGATGTAGATGGTGGTGCGATGGTGGATGTCATGTGAGCAGGTGTCAAGCAAGGGTCTCGAACAAATTGGCCACCTTGACGTGGAGGGCGCGGCACGGCACTTCTTCCGGTTTCCGAGCCTCTGGCCTTGACGTCTCCTTTCGGCCTTCGGGTCCTCACCCGAGCATCGGAATGGCAGGCACTCGTCTTCACTTCCTTGAACAATGCTCACCTGGTGTGAAGCAGCGCTGCGGCTACGGCAATGCTTGAGATGATGCCCATCGTCTGGCCGCAGCGGTATCCGCACTGCCCGTGAAATGAGGCGGCCAAGTCGATAACTCTTTTGTTCGAGCTTTTTGTGTGTCAAGGTTCAAATTTTGCGCTCATTGGTCTGACCCCGTGGATTCGCTGCCTGGCCTTCGATCGGATCTTGCTGACGGGCCTTTTCCGGCGGATCTAGGCATGACCTTCAAGACAAAATCGACCAGATGTAAGTTAAGTTAGACAAGAAGCCCATTTCATGACACGAAAGACAGCTTTTTGATATTTCTTGGGCCTGATACACCAGCCCCGCATCAGGGAATCTGAGTGGTCTTTCGAAAGCATTCGCCTCTCCATTTGCTTACAAATTTGCGGCTGACATTGGACCAGTATCAGATTTTTGCAATTTTCTTTGCCATTTGACATTGTCAGCACCGCATCTTTGTCGTTTTGGCGGGCTAAACCAGCACAAAATCAAGGTCACAAAATTAGTTGCGCCGCAAATAGCTCTGAACTAGCCTTTTTCTTGCGTCTTTGTCGAAAAACATCGGTAACGACGCTTGAGAGCACAACAGCGACACTCGTGGAATACCCGGCTTGTGCCTTTCGACAGCGCGAACGCAATGCAGGACGTTCAATCGTGTCTTAATAAATGATCTAGAATCCCAATCGTGCTGCTTTCATCCTCTCAGCACCACGGAGGACGTTTATATCGAGCGACCTCGCCCGCCGTCATCGGTGAGCACGGAGAAAGTGCAACGTGTGGATCTTCGCAGTATTGGGTTGGCGCGATAGCCTATCTTGCCCGGCATGAACAGACGACGCTGAGCGACAGTGAGAGAGCCATCCCCCACATTCTCGGCCCAGGGACTCATTGCAGGCGTTTGAACCGGCTGCCACGGCGGAGAAGCTCGACGAAGAGGCAACGATGACTTTTGGCATGACGATAGCAAGGTGACCCAGACACGAAGAGGGCAGCAATGCAATGCAAGAAGCCCGTCGTTGCTCGCAGAGCGCGTCAGGCGGGTGGCCTTCGAGGGCCAGCACAGCTCTCACCAAGCCGTCGCGAAGGGGAAATGCTGCGTGCGTCAAGGGGGAAGTCATGGTATATTCGTAGATCTGGCGGTAGCTGACAGACTTTGCAGGATCACTCTGACTGATCTCAGGTTCGTACGATGCTCATACGATTGTGCACATCGCTCTCAACAAGTGGGGGACACGATGCCCAGTTATAGTGATCGTGACGAACATCAATTTGGTATTATCATGTTACGACTTGACAAGTGATGGAACCTTTTGAATACAAGACTGACCCCTGAGAAGCAGACGGAGCAGCGCGATCACGCACTGAGACAGGGAGGGGGAGGGAAACGTGAGACGGGAGAGGTAGGGCTCGGGGTGTCCTGTGATCATCTATGACAGCGAGGAGTCCGATGCGGCAAGAAGCCTACTGCTTGCCGAGGGAGCTGTCCGAAGACTCTTCGGTGTCTTGGGACAACCGCCTCATGCCGGCGAGCTCGTTGCTGACGCAGTTCTGCTTGTCGTTGAGCTTGCGGTTGTTGATGATGAGGCCGAGGATGATGGGCGGCACGGACAGGACAATGGCAACGATGAGGAGGATGTGCATGTAGTCGTTGTAGGCGTTGATGATTCCAGTGCGTTCGGGGGTGCCGATAGGGTAAAGGGTGGGCACCGTGAAGGGGCTGGCGAAGATAGCTGCGCGCTCGGTGGCGTCGAGCATGGGGAGGTACTTCTCGTAATAGCCGGGGAGCACGTTAGTCTGGACGGCACCGATGAGTGCGTTACCACAAGCGCCACCGATCTCGGTGAGGAGCAGGAAGTAGGCGGTGACGGTGGCAACATCCTGGTGACGAACGCTCACCTGGGCAGCGACCTGCAAGGTGATGCCGAGGAAGCCACCGCCCATACCCTGCAGAACCTGAGGGAAGACGGCCTGGACGTTGGAGGAGCCAGCGGATCGGTACTTGATCATGAGACCAATGCCGAGCAGTCGGATGCAAGCACCCGAGACCATGACCCACTTGTAGTTCTTGGTGCCGAGAGAGATGAAGCCGGCAGTGATACCGAAGACGGTCAAGGCGAGAGACTGGCAGTTGGAGAAGTAGAGGGCGCCGGTGAAGTCATAGTCCATGACGAGGATGGCCCAAGTGTAGGCGGGTACCCAAGAGGCGTAGAAGCTGAAGAAGTCAAAGAAGCCGATGGCAGTGGCAAAGTGGACATCCTTGTTGAGCCTCCATCGCCTGTTGAGGATGGGCTTAGGGGCGAAAATCTCCCAGACGCAGAAGGCGATGATCATGACACCGCCAAGGACGATCATGGCGATGATCCAGCTGGTAGACCAGCCGTTGGTCTGGAGCTTGGCCAGCTGAAGGGGCAGGAGGACGAGGAGGAAACCACCGCAGAAGAGGAAGAGGCCTAGGGCGTCAATGTCGACGAGGAAACTCCAGAGGGCGGAGTACCAGGACATGGTCTTGTAAGGGTGGACGGGGACAAGACCCTTGGCCTTGGCCCTCCTCTGGTTGACGGCGAGGGCGAGGATGATGGAGAAGGCGGCGACGGGAGCGCAGATGCTGAAGAAGCCGGGGCCCCATCGCCAGTTGACGGCAACGACCTTGGGAGCAATCTGACCGGCGGCCCAGAAGTTGATGATGTAGGGCAGACTGACAAGGCCGATGGAAACGCCACGCCATTTGGTGGAGATGTAGTCGGCGAGGACGATCTGCTGCATGATCTGAACACCGGTGTTGCCAAGAGCATAGATGACGGTGCCACCGGCGACGTCGCGGGTGGTCTGGGAAACGGCGATGATGATGAAGCCGAGGACCCAGAGGACGATGGAAAGGGCATAGGCCTGAGCGCGACCAAAGACATCGGCGAACTTGGCGATGGGGAACTTGCCGACGGCGATGAGGACGGCCTGAACAACGGTGACGGCGGTGTATGCTGGGTAGTCGTTGAAGGCCGAGGTGGCAGCAGTCTGCCATGCGTACATGGTGTTGTTGTCCAGACCAGCAAGGTAGGCAACCAGAGCAATGCCGAGAATACCGACCCAGAGAGTCCAATCGGCTACGGAGCGACCGGCTTCGGCGGCCAGCACGCCGATCTGCTTATCATCGTGGTGTTCCGAGTGGTCATGAGAGTCTTGGGAGGCGCGCTCAGACTGCTCGACGTCAGTAGCGGGCGCCATGTTGAAGTGACGTTTCGAGTAAGGAGGACAAGATGGAGGGAGGGAGGATGTGGAAGGAGGTAGAGGTCAAAAGGGAGGAGAAGAACTTGGACCGAGACGGGGGATCCGAAAATTGGGGTGGAATGCTTATCAGATTGAGCGTCTTAAGTATGCTTTGGGCCAAGCAAAAATCAAAGAGCCACATGACGCACGTCCATCGTGCTAGATACAAGAGGCGAGGCGAAAAAAAATCTTGCCGACCTTGTGTCTCTGTTAGCCGAGGTGTGCCTGCTGGGAGCGCACTCAATGTCTCACTTGTGAGCATGGGACTCGCGACCGAAGGGTGGCGACCGGCAGAATCCGGGCGAGCGCACTTTCCTCGCGCGTCAGGAACAGCGCAGCATGCAGGCGGCGCAGGCAAAGTAGAACCGAAACAGAAGCCAAGAAGAGAAAGTGAACTTCATGCTTGGCGGAAAGCACCAACGAGACGAGCGCGCCAGAGGCCAAGAGGGGAGATCATTACGGCTCAAATCAACGCTGTTGAGACTTGCGAGGAGTATCGACGCCTACGAAGAGGAAGCAGAACAGCCGCGACGGCAGACGGAAAGTAATGCTCCGAGGCGTCCAAACCACACGGACCAATCAACGACAAGCTGGCAACCGAGGGGCAAAGCGAGGCAGACAAAAGCATTCGAGAGCCGATGGGACCACAAGCCGAACAAGCCAACTCGCCAGTAAAAAAGACAGGCTCGTCCACGCCATTCATCCGTCTGTGCGAGCCGGTTTCATCAGATTGGCGGATCAGATAACGAAGCTGCATGCAATATTTGCACTCAGAAGGTGCAAAACTTTTGCGCACTTCAATTTCAGACACGCGCTTGAAATTGGTGAAATTCAAGATGAATTGCACAAGGCGTGCCAAGAAAAATCGCCCGGTGGAAAAATCTTTTCCATGTGAGAAGAGGCGGGCGATTGGCTATCAGATAACCCTTTTTCCTCCGCGTGGTCCTACGAACACCGTTCGTGCTTCGTCCCGTCTCGGTCTTTCACTTTGCGGACATGCAATGCCCTGATCGGACAGCGGTGAAATGAATGTATATGTCTGCTGTCTCGCTGCATCGCTCTCGGAATCTCATTGCGTGCTTTGAGCCGACGACGGCCGCCACGGGAGGTGCTTCATGCTCGCGAAAACAGTAGCGGACACCGAGGAGATCCACAGTCCGGCTAATCCCCTGGGAACGTCGACAGCCACCTCGTCGCTCCTGGTCAAGCCGCACAATGCGAGCCGCATCTTGCTCGCATGGACCGCCAACACCGACGTCGCGAACATCTTAAGTTATCTGATTGGACAAGCTCAATAGCCTCGACCGTCGTAAAAAAGCAATTTTCCCACACTAGACATCGACTCGAGGCGGCTAAGAACTTGCCCAGAGTCCGAGTTCAACCGACCATCTGTAGCTTGAGACGACGAGAAATGCCTAGTTGTGCGCTGAGACCCAAGACAAGTACATTTCAGCATTCATACTGTATATGCAAAAAATGACCCGTGGCGACGTCTGCAAATCTGTTCGCCGTATGAATGGGGCTCGCTGTCTTCCACGCGGCGGCTGCTCGGCTGACCTGCGTGCCGTGTCTCGATTGCTCCGACTCAAATTTAGCACTGACTCGTTGATGCAATCCAACCACCCGTCTCTTCTTTGCCGGAAGCATTGAAAATTCTTCGCGTTCAAGTACGAGGCGCATTTCGTGAATGCATAGGTAAAGAAAATGCATTTGATGGGTATACTGGCAACTTTCGGCCTCATTCGGAGGGTCCGGTGCAGAGGCAGTGGCTCCGATCATTCAGCGAGTGCAGCCTCGTTGAGAGCTTCGGCCTGGCGCATGTTGACCTCCATCTCGAGCGTCTCGCACTGTTTCTGCAGGGCGTTCCTCTCATCCTCCAGTTCCTTGAACTCCCTTTGAGCCAGCACCTCGCGACTGGCCAAGCGGTCCACCTCCTTGCGCAGCGAATCAAGTCGGTCGCCTCTACCCCCCTGTTCTTCCCGACGCAAGCGCTCAAACGTCTCGCGCGAGATGGCGGCTTCTTCCAACGCCTTGAATTGCTCCTGGGTCGAAGCAGAGAGTGCCTCGCTTCTCGCCTTGTAGCCACCCAGTACTTTAGAGAGCATCTTTTCGCCCTTGGTTGCCTGCGACGCAGCTGCGCCCATCCTGACCCGCGCCGATGCCAATTCTTCGGCCAACTTGGACTGGTCGTTCCGCGATGCAAGCCATCGTTGCTGGAGCGCAGCCTCGAGCTGTTCCAATGCCTCGTCGTCATCGTCGAGCGAAGCCCCGACCAGTCGCTTGAGGGCGTCTTCGTTGGCGCCGGGGAATCCGAGCTGGTCGGCCAGCTCTGCACGCATCAGCTCTCTAGCTGCCGAGAGGGAGGCGTCCGAAAGCGGTTCGAGTTGCACTGACTCGGGGTCGGGATGTTTGCCTCCGGGAATAGGATGCATGTTGACATCGTGATGCAGGAGTCGTGCGGACTCGAGAGCGACAAGCAGCTCTACTGGGTTGTGGTATTGCGATTCGACGTGCTGAATCACGCGCTCCAAGTCGTACTCGGCTGGCCGTGGAAGGTTCCGACGCACGACCTGGCTGCGGCGTGCCTCTGCCTTTGCCTCTTCCTCGGCTGCCTGACGGGCAAGTCTGGCATCACGTTCGGCGGCATCCTCTTCGGTGAGAGGCGCGCTGTCGTCGAGCACGCTCGTGGATGCATGGGGCTCGTCTTCATCCTCATCGACCACGATGTCAAAATCGTTCTTCGGAGCAGGCAGCGATGAGAGGCTCTGCCTGAGTTGAGACTGAGCCAGACTGCGTGCTCTCTTGAGGTCTCTTGGCGTCTCGTAGCCGGCTTGCTGCTGTTCTTCAGCATTGAGACCCAGGTTGTCGCGCAAGGGGGTTCTTTGTGGTGTGCTGGCACGCGCATGAGACCGTGACTGGTTCGCAGAGTCGGGTGTCTCGCCGTTGCGAAGCCCGGGAGTCAGAAGAGGGTTGGGTGTCTGTGCCACAAAGGAGCCAGGTGTCTGGGCTACGGATGTTTGTGAAGATGGCAGATCCACATTGGCATCGCCCAACAGCGGAGTCTGGGTCGAAGAGAGCAAGCGCAGATTCCTGGCCTCTCTCATGACCGAGTCCTCGTGTGCTGCCACTTGCGGAGTTCGAGCTGTCTGCGCTGCTTCGAGCGCCGAGTACTTTTCGAGCAATCCATCGGTAGCATCACTGGATCCATCTTGAACCAAAGAGCGTGCTCGTTCACCTGCTTGACCAATTTTGACGATGGCTTCCAATTCGTCTTGATCGACCTGAGCCGCAGGAAGGTTGAGTTTGCGCCTTTTGGTGATCTGATCAGCCTCTTTGAGCTTACGAACCTGGTCCTCGTTGCGGCCGGCCATGGCTTGCTTCGCTTGCTTTGTCTTTTCATCGGCTTCGCGCTGGCGCTTGTTTTTGGTGGGGTCGTCAGGACCAGCGTTGCGATTGTTGAGCTCCTGTAGCGTCTTGCCGACAGGAGCTTTGTAGGACTTGGAAGCCTCTGCACTCGTGTCATAGAAGCCTGGAAGGGGTTGCTTTTCGAAAGGAATGTCGGCATTGTAGTCGATGACGCCCTTTTTGGGCTTCTGCTTCATGGTGATGCCAGCTGCCTTGAGCTCGCGGCGCTTCTGAAGCAAGGCGAGGCGGCGCGCTTCCTCGAGAGCACGCTCTCGAGCTTTGCGCTTGGCCTTCTTGCCTTGTGTATTTGCGAGACGGGCACGAGCTTCGGAGAGCATCTCTTTCTCATCCTCGTCCATATCGATGGGGTCGGGCCGGGCGGGCTTTGTCTCTGGGTCCGGATCGATCTCTCCTGGGCGCAGACGACGAACGTCGTCCGCGCTGGGGACGGCTTCGCCTGTACCAACGAGACCAAGCGTGCTGGTGCCTGGCTGATTGTCTTGGGCTTCGGCCTCATCGAGAAGCTTTTGATATCGATCGAGACACTGATTGGCGGTCCTGCCTACGAGGGGAGCTATTGTGCGCCATTGGGTGGGCATAAGCTTGGCGAGGTGAAGCAACTTCTCGTCCTCCTCGCGAGACCATTCTGTCTTTTTTATGGATGGATCTAGCCATTCGTACCATCTTGCCTTGCACTGCTTGGGAGTCTTGCGGACCAAGAGGGAGGAGATACGAGCCCACTGGTTTTTGCCATACTTTGAGATGGCGGCCTTGAGAATCTCGTCTTCGGTGTTCTTCCAGACACCGCCCTTGATGATGACGCGAACCATGATGACGATGAGCCGATGCAGCTGAACACGAGGTGTGGCACCTTGTGTTGGCTGTTGTATGCCGACTCGTGTTAGGGATGGATCGCGGATGAAGAGGACAAGAACGAGACTTGGCCATGTTGAACCCTTCCTGCGAAATTGCTCTCACCAATCCGGCTGTATTATGTCACGCTTACTACATTGACATTGGAGTATGTTAGACCGCAAATTGAATCTTGTCAATTTGATTTTAGCACAGCCCTTCTTTTTGAAGGGAATGCGTTGCCCTGGGAAAACGAGGTTGTATGCGCTTGGCAGCAACCATGTCTGCCCTTGATACGCAAGCTTCCATTTGACCGGCGCTAGCATGTTCGCTGGCGACCAGAGCTATGGTAACAAACAGATTGAAATATGGGGAGGGTGCATACTTGGGACCCTGACATCCAGACGATGGTGTGACAAGCTTTTCGATCAAGCGCTGAGGCAGGCATCGAGGCCGAAAAGCCCCGCCCGAGAGAGAGAGCGTCGTTCCGATTCGTTTGGCTCCGTGAAATGATTGAAAGAGGGGCGCGCTGCAAAATGAGCCTTGCCTGCATCAAGACGTTGTCTTGGGCTCTGTCTGTGAGGCCCCTCTATCTCTCTGTGGCCACAAATTGGGGACAAGCTCGGTGACCAGAGCGTGGGAAAAGGGAGGGGGCGGAAGCAGAGGGGGCTGTTTGACACGCTTGCCGAGCCGAGCCTGACAAAGGAATTTTGTGGAACAAGAGCCGTCCAGCCTTTGAGTAGTCTCGAATACAAACCTCGAATACAGCAAGCGCCACCTTGAATTCGGTGCGCATATGATACAGACGTCAACTCGTACTGTATCAAGTCCCGGCCCTTGGCCCTTGCATGGAATCAGCCGTCGAGAGAGGAGTGCTTCCACCAAGAATGCTCGGCTCGAGCAAGATGTTGGTCCCGCATATCTTTCGGCTGATGCTCGTAGCAAGCCAGAAGAAGGGTGGGATCGGCCGCCAGAGGGTACGTACGGACCAAATGAGGGCAGCAACGAGGGGCTGTGGGATGCGAATCACCGGGGGAGCGCTCCGGTGGCTCGATCGATCAAGGCGGAGTGTGATTTTAGCGAGGCAGAAGCGAGCCTGTGTTGGTCTCAGAGTTTCTTTCCCGCCGTCACGCGCTGACGCGAGGCGGAAAAGAGGGCCGCCGTTCTTCACCCTTTGATCACTGCCCTCTGCCACTCAACTCGCCCACTCTCACTCCAATCACGCACTCCCACACGCACGCCCATATCTCGTCTTGCCCTCTCCCTCTCTCAGCATCCTGCTCTATACTCCCTCTTCCATCTTGATCCTTTTTATTGTCTCTGTCCCTTGACTCTCAACCATCTCATCCCCACCTCCTCATTTCGGCTTCCTACATCCCGTTCTCTTGCAATTCGCATAACCCTCGCGCGCTTGGTCCGCCTTCTCCTCGTATCCATCCCAAAGCTACCTCATCAAGCCCACCTCTGCATCGCATCATCCACCATCGTCATCTTTCACCTCGGCTTCATCTCGCGCTGTTTCAATCGCCGGCATCGCTTCCAAGTCACACATTTCCATACTTCTTGCAGCCGAACGACTGGTTCTTTCAGCTCCTGACTCGCTCCGGTAGCGAATCTCTCCTACTTAAACCAACGCCGCTCTGTGCTCTGGTAGTCAAAGCGTGCATCATCCTTTTCAAATCTCTCCTCTCCATTGCACACAATGATCAACAACTCGCCCTCCTTCTCCGCCCCTTCGTCGTCCCCTCAGGCGCCCTCGTGGTCTCCTACCGACGCTCAGCATCACGCAGGCATGTCTCACGCCATCATCGATCACCACTTCTCTGCAGAGCACACTAATCCCGCTGCTTTCCAGCCCATGTTCAACCCTGCCTTCCCAGCTCCCTTCCAGCCAAACGCCGGCGCCATGTCTGCACTCGAGTCTCATGCCGGCATGCTTGCTCAGCCAGCCATGTATGCTGCTCAAGGTATTAACGCGTTTTGGAAGCCTTCAACCTCCGCTCACCTCGTCAAGATGGAACCCGGCTCCGAAATGTTTGCTCCTCACGACTTTTCATCCTACCCGACCTCGCACGCCATGACCGCCAGCATGAGTCTCCCCAACTACGCCACCTACACCCCGGATAGGCGATTCAATTTCTCCGATGCTGAATCTCTCAGCTCGGTCGCGTCGCCCACCTCCACTCCCGGTGCATCCTCCAGACCTACCTCGGCCAAGAGGGGTGCCAAGCGCAAGACGATGCTCGACGTGTCTTTCCAGTCGCCTGCAGACACCGACAGCCTGGATGGCACCGCAGATGCAGCTAAAGCCAACAAAAGAAACCAAAAGCAGGCAGGTCAGCGACGACCTCCTCCTTCCGCTTCTCACATCACCGAGTCCGGAAAGCCTTTCCCCGTCATTGACACCTCGGCCAAGCACTCGAGCCTCTTTGTGCCTCCCGACACTACCGGCCTTACCAAGCGCGAGGCGCGACTCGTCAAGAATCGTGCCGCCGCGTTCCTCTCGCGACAGCGCAAGCGCGAACAGTTCGAGGAGATGGAGATCAAGTGCAAGGGCATTTCGATGCTTGTCTGGCGCATGTGGGAAGCCATCGCTGGTCCCGAGGCTGGTCTCGAGCGCGTCGACGCGACTCCGCTCGCTGCCGTGCTTGCCAACGAAGATCCTGCCGCGCGTCTCGTGCTTGAGGAAGTCATCACCAAGAAGGGTGCTTCCATTGCGCCCACTTCGGATGAGCTCTATGGCACGCCTGGCCCAGAGACACAACCTGAGGCCATCGTTCGCCCTACTGCTGATGCCTCGGCTCCGACTGTTGACAAGCGCTCCAACGCTGCTGCCTCTGCTGAGCTCGAGCGCGCTCGATCCGACCTTGCCGCTTCTACGCAGCGCGAGAGTCAGCTCCTCGCCCAGGTTGAATCGCTTCGCGCAAGCGTCGCTACCGCACAAGCCTCGATGGCTGTCAACGCCATGCCCGTCACTGGCTTTGGCGCCATGCACGTCAGCGCCGCTCACGCCGGACTTGCCGCCAGCATGGACATGGGCTCGATGCCTTTCAAGGGAGAGCAGGGCGCCGAGCTTCCCCTCTTTGTACCAGAGTCGCCCCTGTCCAAGTTCACCGTTGGGGGTGATGCTTCCAATTCGGCCATGATGCTCGATGCTTCGCACTCCGCTGGCTTTGACTTGTCCAAGACCCCGACGTTGGCCATGTTCACCGAGAATGCTCTGCGCAGCCGATCGGCTCAGCCATTTGACATCCACGGCAAGGTCGCAGCAACGGGCATGGGGCTCGGTCTTGACTACCGATTCCCTTGTGCTTCTGCCCCTTCGTCGCCGTCCACCGCCTCGTCTTCCTCTATGTCTAGCAGCAGGTCGCGCGCCAACTCGCTCATCTTCAACAGGCGCGCATCCACTGGCAAGCCACCCAGCACGCTTGCTTCCGTCTTGCTCTTGGCCGGCATGTCGTTGATGGGTGTTGGTCCTTCGGCACAAGACTTGGCTGCCGTCGAGGCATCCACCGTACCCGCAGCTGCTTCATCGCGGAAACAGGCTCGCGCCGGTCGGAGCTCCATCGCGGGCGCCAAGTCAGCTGTCCGCGCTGCACCTTCGCACACTCCTGGGCAGCCGTCGTCGCATCTGAGTGATGACGACCTTCTCATGGAGATGGGCCTCGACGCTGCTTCGCTCTCCGATGCCGAGGACCACGGAGTCGATGTCAATGGCTCCTCAAGCGTTGCCGCCTTCCAGTCTGCTGGTGCAGCTCCGGTGTCTTGTGTCTAAAGCAGCCGCCTCTTTTCACGACCATCCTTAACGACGACAGAGTCCGGAACGCCTCCTTCCCGACTCACGACCAAGATCTCCTTGTATCATGACCCTGCATCCTCCTTGCTTTCGGCTTCCTTTTTGCATCGGTCTCGGAACTGTATTCTTGTTTTATCTGCTTCTACTGCATACACGCACTAGCGGATTTATCATTCCGCCTTGCCGCCAGACACGTGCGCACAGCTGTTGTATGCGCTGGGTGGCAGTCCTCTGGGGGAGCTGGTCTCCTTCGATGACGTTGCCGCCGCGCGTGTCGGGCTTGCGATACGTGGCTCCGTCCGGCGAGGCGATCCTCTTTCATTCGTCTTTCATCTTTCTTTCAAGATCCATCCCTCTACCTGCCTTTATTTGGATTGAGCGGTATTGATCGGGCAGATCTAACCTATTGTCTAATGTTTCACATCTTCGGACCAGCTGCGGCATCCTCTTTGCTTTTGTTCGGTGTTCCTCGTTCCTTCCGTGTCCGTCGTGCATCCAATCGATCTTTCTTCCATCTCTTGTTCAGCGTGCGATCGGACGTGTCTGAGAGGGCCTGCATGCACGAAGTTGTCGATTGTCTCAACGATCGCGTCACACCATCACAGTCACTTGCCATTTGAATCAAATTTGTTGCGACACGGACCATCAATCCACATCGTCGTTCTCCTCGTCATCGTCGTCGTCGTCGTCGTCACTGACCTCCTCACCCTTCTCGCGCAGCTTGGCCTTGTCCTTCTTGCGCTTCTGCGTGAGCTCCTCGAGCAGCACCAGCAGGTCTTCGTTCTCCTTGCTGATCTCTTCTTTCTCCTTCTTGAGTTTCTCCAGCTCGTCCTTGCTGTCGGCGTTCTTACCGCCGCCGCCCTTCTTGGCTGAGGCGGATTCGAGCGTCTTGAGCTTGCTCTCCAGCTCGGCCTTCTCCTTTGCGCTCGAGCTTTGGAGAGCGGAGAGCTTGGTCTCGAGGTCCTTCTTGTCAGAGGTGAGCTTGTCGAGGTTGGCGACCTTCTTTTCGAGGTCCTTCTTATCCACAGTCAGCTTGTCGAGATCCTTCACTTTCTTCTCGAGCTCCTTCTTTTCGCTTGTGAGCTTGTCGAGGTCCTTGACTTTCTTTTCGAGATCCTTCTTCTCCGAGGTCACTTTGTCGAGATTAGCGACTTTCTTCTCGAGCTCCTTCTTCTCCGTCGTGATCTTCTCCAGGTCCTTCACCTTCTTCTCGAGCTCCTTCTTCTCTGCTGCAAGCTTGTCGAGGTCCTTGACCTTCTTCTCCAGCTCCTTCTTCTCGTTCGTCGCCTTCTCGAGATCCTTCGCCTTGGTCTCCAATTCCTTCTTCTCCGACTCCACCTTCTCCAGCTTGGCGAGCTTCTCCTCAAGCGTCTGCTTCTGCTGGATGGCTGTTTCGAGCAGCTTGCTCTTCTCCGAGTCGGCGGCGGTGCCTGCCTCTTTGGACGCCGAAACCTGCTTTTCGAGTGTGGAGAGCTTGCTTTCCAGCTCGCTCTTGCTTTCCTTCAAGCTGGCAAGCTCGGCGAGTTGGGCAGTGGCGGACTCGAGTTCAGCGGTGAGCGTGGGCAGGCGCGAGACCTGGCCCTCCAGCTCGGCCTTCTCGGCGGTGATTTCGTCGAGCTTCGACTGCAGTTCCGTTGTCTCCTCACCGCCACCGACGGAGACAGAAGGAGGCACAGCAGCCTTGTCCGGTGAAGAAACAGCTTCCAGAGAAGCAACCTTGTCCTCGAGCTGAGCGATCTTCTCCGCCCGCTGGCTGGCAAGCTCCCGCGCCTCGATCAGGTCTTTCATCGCCGCACTGGAGCCACTGCCACTCTCGCTAGCGTTCGACGACGCAACAAGGTCGTCGTGCTTCTTCTTGAGCTCGTCGTGCGCCTTTTGCAGCGCGCCAAACTCCTTTTGCGACGGCTTGCCGGCCGAGATGCGTGCCATTTCAGAGGTGAGTTGGAGCACTTTGCCGTTGCTATCATCTTCTCTGCTGCGGGTCTCTTCCAGGAGGCGCTGCAGGTCGTCGTACTTCGCTTGCAGATCGGCGAGGGCGGTGGTGTGGCCGGACTTGATCTGCTCGAGTTCGGTGCGGGCGGCTTCAAGCTGCGGAGCGTGGGTCTCGACTGCTTCGTGGGCTGCGCCGAGCTGGGCTTGAAGCTCGGCCACCTGCTTGGAGTGCGTCTCGGTGAGCTCTTCGACACGCTTTTCGAGCGTCTCGATCTCGCGCGCTTGCTTGGCGACTGTATCCCGCAAAGCCTCGGCCTGGCGCTGCGCATCCAGCAGCTCTGCCGGCAGCGCAGCTTGTGCCGCCGAGCTGGATGCAGGGTCGACGGTGATAGACTTGGCGATGAGGGTGGCGTTGGCGCGCCAGAACTCGACAAAGCTCCAATCGAGCCAAAGACCCGCGCGGCGACGTTTCGAGAGATGCCCAAGTCCGTTGACCTCGAGGTCCTTGTCTTTGGCCTCTTCGTCTGCCTTTTCCTTGTCCTCGGGCGTAGCGGCGTCGACGGCGGTGGCGGCCGAAGAAGCATCAGAAGAAGCCGCTTTGGCGGCGGCGGCAGCTGCAGCAGCTGCAGCCGCAGCCGCTTTGGCTTCAGCGATCTGCTTGGCTCGGAGCTCGTCCGCCTCAGTCTGCTCCTCGACAAAGATGAGCTTCTCCAGCACATCAGGCGTTACCTCGCGGAAGCGCACATCCTCCGAGACGCGATTGATGCGAACAGCGAACTGATCCGCGCCGATCCTCGAATGCAGAATGGGATGCATCGTAGCTCTTGTGACCGCGACCTTGCCCGGGTCGGTGTCGAACTCGTACGCGACACCCAGCAAGAAGGCAGCCAGGCCTTGGATCAAAGGATCGACGCCAGAAGACTGGGCGACGGGCTGGACGATGGCCTGCAGCGTCGCTGATTCAGACAGGAAGTCACGCACGCTGAGCGGCGACTCGTGCAGCCATACTGAAAGCAGAACGAGGTAGCCGACCATGATGCGGGTCCAGTCAGCCGCAGAGTACGAAGTGGAGGCAATGGTGGCACCCATAGCCGAGGCGCGTTCCTTGCGGACAGCATCGGCGAGTTCCCGCTCGGACATGGTCAAGTTGCCGACGATGGCCTGGATCAGCGACGAAGGCGCATCGTCGTCATCATCGTCATCGTCGTCGTCCTTCTCGACAGGCGTGTGCTTGATGATGGTGCCATCCGGGTTGATTGCAATCGCACGGGCAGCTGCTTTGGCGGTCTCGCTTCCGCGAACGATGTAGGAGAAAAGCATAGCAGCCACGAGATGCTTGTAAGCATCGGCGTGATCGGATGCGGCTTGCGTCGAAGGGCTCTGGATGATGGTGTCGACAAGCGTCTTGCCTGCGGGAGACTTCTGCGAGGCCTCGCTCTCTTCAGCCACAGGAGCCATGCCGTTGATGATGGCAAGGCGCGCATCCATATTATCGGCGACGTAATCACGGAAGCAAGCAATGGCAGCAGTTCTCAGGCCGAGGCCACCTTTCGCACCCGACGTTCCAATGGCGATTTCGACAAGGCTCACGACGGCGGGTCGAGGCTCCGCACGGGTGAACGAGGCCTCCGGTGCCGCTGTGGACGCTGGATCTTGAGCAAGACTTTGCTCGCCGTCATTGCCGTCGGCGGCATCCGGCTTCGGAGCGTCGACGATCTGGATGGGCTGCACCAGCAGAGATGACAGAAGGTCCTGGTTGGCCCTTGATGCTTGCATGAGTGAAGCTGACACGTGCAAAGCCTGCGCCTTGAGGGAAGCAGGAGCAGTGGAGCCAAGTCCGAGATCGAGGAGACACTTTGTCACGCCGCACTGCAGAAGCGCGTTCTGATTGGCACGTCGACCGTCGCCCTGACCACCGATGAGAAGGGCGGCGATGTCAAGTACGATCTTGGCGTTGACGACCTTTTGGTGGTCCCAGTCTTGGAAGCAGAACGCCTCGAGCTGGCGCGCGTATTCGTGCTCGGCATGTCTGGAGGGGAACTCGTTGTTGGCTGGAGTGGGCGGATAGAAGAGCAGCGGTGCAAGCATCGGAATCGAGTTGGTCTCGCGAAAGTAGTTTTGGTTGGAGACGTTGTACCGCAAGAGGGCCTCGAGGCCCTCCAGGGCATCCTGAACAATGACACCGCCTTCGATCCTACCTTCGGCGGCGCAGATATCAAGAAGCTTCTCGAATGCACCTTCGAACGCGACGAGCTTCTGAATGTCTGCATTGCCGTAGACGAGATGCGGTAGGAGCAGCAGCGCTTCGTTGCGGACGATTTCTGCCGAAGAGCCAGCTCCCTCTGCGAGACATTCGAGAATGGCTCCGCATCCTCCAGGCGCTACCAGAACGTGGTCCTGAACTTTGTGTGGTCGGTTCCGAAGCAAGGAGCCGAGCAATTGCAAGGAAGCGAAGCGTGTGTAGAAGGCGCGATCAGGTGCAAGGAGAGGCAAAAGGCAATGCAACGGCCCGGGCTCGCGCAAGAAGATGTCGGTGTGTTGGAGTCCAGAAGGTGGACCCTGATCGGGCTGCTTGCGCTTGTTCTGTGCTTGCTGCGGTTGACCTGATGCCGATGCTTGAGCGGCCTCTGGCGACTGCACCTCACAGAGCGTGATGCAGCATTCTATCAGCGCTCTCGCGATGTCCTCGTCCTTGGCGTCCCGTTGCAGAGAGGTGAGCAAGGCCGGGAGAGCGTGTTCACCCACGGCGCGGTTGTGATCCCTGCTGAGACCCTTGAGCGCTAGCACGGCCGCTCGACGATCCTCGATGGAGAGCTGAGCCTCGTCGGCCTTTGTGAGTCGCTCGGCGAGGGTCTGAATGGCGTTGATAGCCGATTGGTTCGCTCCTCCTGGCTTGGACAGCTGCGAGTACTGCTGACGTAGGATGTTGAAGCCGTGCAGCATGATGGCAGAGGCAGCGGTTGCGGTGAAGCAATAGGGTCGATGCTTCCGGCTATTGGCTCAGTTGGGGTGTGCGTCGCTGAAAGCGACGTGAGTAGGGTAAGATGATGATGGACGAGAGAAGGTACCAGCTGCAAGGCTTGGCCGAGGCTCGAGCTGGAAGATCGACAGCGAACGCGGGCTCTCGCAGCCTCTGAGCTTCAATTTCAGGGACGAGCCCGATTTAGCGATCCCGCCGATTCGGATCGGGATATGACGATGGGCGTTTGACTCATAGTCGTATTCATCACGGAAAGCACCGAACTTAGTTGTGCAGGCTCAACAGAAACACACCCAGGCTGTGAACAGACTGGAGCGAGTGAGATGCTATGAGATGGGTTCATTCACAGAGGTGACCATGAGGTGAGAAGAGATATGCAAGCGAGAAGGACACAATGACGGACAGCAAGAAACAAGGATCGGAACGGAGACATGCAGCTTTAAGCCTCCATGTCGGCGTTGGTCCCTGTGCTGTGGGCAGGCGAGCCGGGCACAATGGCCTGTCTCAAGCCGGACTTGTTGGCAAAGAGCGCTGTAGGCTTTGCCTTCATGTGGTGCTTCCTCTTGGCGAGGTTGAGCTTGGACGTCACTGGGCTCATCTGTGCATCGGTGGGAGAGTAGAAGCTGTTGGCAGCTGCCGCCCTGGCAGCCAGGGGTGCAGTGGCCTTTCGGTGACCCTCCTCCTCGGTGAAAGCGGAGATCTTGCCGTCAAGAGCCTTGCGCTTGATGACGACGAGCGAGTGGATGTTCTTGACCGTCTGACCGTCTTCGGAAGCGAGGCTGAGCACGTGGTCGAGCACAATGGTGCGTTGAGGCAGCGACTCGGGGGTGACGAGCAGGCGCTGACGAAGAGTGCGCTGAGGGAAGGGCGCGAGGAGCTCGGCAAACTTGGACTTGATGCCGTTGGGACCAACGACTACGTCACCAGTTGGCAGAGTGAGGATGGCCTCATTGGCGAACAGGGAGAAGCATTCATCGCTTGGTGTGACGGACGTGTAGAGCTGTGGAAACAATGTAGGAAGGTTACAGCACAATGGTCAGTAAGGACTTTGCCGGTGACGATGATGACCCAACCCGGCGCAACTTACTTGGTGAAGGGAAGCGAGGAGGTTAGCTTCGTCGTCTTTGGGCTGTCGCTCTGGAAGCAGCTTCGAGTGCTCGGGTGCGAGACCGGCGGCGTTGAGTCGAGTGCTGGATGCGTGAAACATACTTGACGATGATTTGCGATGACGAGGAGCTGATGTGGCTAGGTTCGGATCTTCGATAGACTAGGTGGGTGCTGAGGCTGATTGTGATTGCTTCTCGAAGAGCTGTTGACGAAAGATGTGGAAGGTGGTGATGATGGCGAAGGGTTTCTTGACGACGTTGAGTTGGTGATGAAGGTAGTCAGGTCGAGACTTGACTTGACTTCTTTAAGCGGAGGACGACGCTGAGCAGACCATCAGAGTAGAATCTATCCACCCGCCCACCTCCTTTCTTGACTCGAGGGGAAGAAAGTGTCATTTGGACCCTGAAGGCTCAATCTTGCTCAAACGCTCGAACGGGCAACGCAGATTTCAATAGACTCTCTCACAGCAGCACAATGGAGCGGAAGAGCGTGATGTCATGCAGGAGGGCTGCAAGAAGGACGACTGTTGAACATGACCAAGTCCGACTGTCGTGTGCTGCTGCCTTGAATTTCTTCCCGCGAAATGTTGAAGCGGTTGATCAACATCTACTCGCCCACTTTGCAACGCCTGTCCAAGACGCCGCCTGCTCGGTCTCTATTTCCTTCTCGCACGATTCTGTTTGATCGCCACGTGGTCTCTTCCTTCCGTTGCTCCTGAGCAGTATTGCCTTTCGGGTCCCGAGCATTGTCATCTCGAAGCATGACAGTTGCCCGGTCCTGTGATGTCTCGATGTGGACCAAAAGGCGTTCATGGCCGATAAACACTCCGCCATGTGCAGTTGGATTACTGGCGCTCCGCCGTGTCACCGTCACGTGAAAATCCAGAGTGTTAAAGCAGCATTTCGAGTGAGCACCAGTGGGCGCGCAGCTGTCACTTTCTGCAGAGGCCTGGTGGGGAAGGAAGCGCACGCACACATCTTGACTGAGCCTCGAGCCTCTCCCACATCTCATTTCGTGACGCTTTCTTGATTGTTCCTTTCCGCTACCGCCTCGCTGAGCGTCTGAGACTGAGCTGAGTCGTCTCTGATCATGGCGCGACAATCCGATGTCAAAGAGAGGGTGGAGCCCCTTCTTGCCAAGGGCACGACCATCACCAAAGTAGATCACCTCGCAAAACTGTGGAAAGGGTGAGTACACGTACCAGCCACCTGTCAAAGCGACTGAAGCTTCATGCTTACGCACCTGATTGGCTTTGCAATGGTGACGCCATGACAGATACGGCTCTATCTCTCGCATCCACCTGGACACGTCCAAGTGCAAGGAAGCAGATCTCAACCAAACCTACATCGTCAAAATGGTAAAGACACAAAAAGAACAGGATCTGGCATATGACGAGGATCACGCCCGAAAAGTGCTCTCTTATTCCGTGGAAGCCAACTTCTACCGCGGCTTTCAGGTCAACAATAGGGTTGATCAACTCTTTATACCCGACTACTTTGCCGTGGACGTACTCGAAACCAAGGACTTTCTACATATTGTACTGGTGCTCGAAGATCTTGATGTGCTCTTTCCGGTCATGACCGAGAAGAGGGAAACGCTCAATGATGCGCAGGTCACCAAAGCTCTCGACTGGTTGGCCAACTTTCATGCGAGTTCGTGGAGCTCTCTCGGCGCTCTGGGTATCGACGCTCTCGGTAAGCTGGAATCGTTCTGTCCGACCCCTCGCAACGCCATAGACATCGCTTGGCGAGGAGACGGCCTGTGGAAGCAGGGAGGCTACCACTACCTCTCAACGCGGATGAAGGAGCTCGAGTCCATCAAGCTTAACAGTCGTTGGGGCAAGCTCGGTCTGCACGCCGATTCAGAACTTCCTTTTGCAGTGGACTGGTGTCTCAACAATCCAACAGATCGCAATCGGATCAGTCTGGTCCATGGCGACGTCAAGGCAGCCAATATGGCCTTTGACGGCGAAGACGCGGATAGTATGGTCATGTACGACTTCCAGTACGTGGGCCTCGGTCTCGGAGTTCAAGACCTCGCCAAATTCCTCACCACCTCTATCCCAGAAAGTTACCTCGACAGCCCGGACGGAGAGCAAAAGCTTCTGAAACAGTATCACACTTTCTTGCTGGCCAAGGAAAGCGAAGTGGCGGTCAAGTACGAGTACGACGCCTTGATGAAGGACTGGGAGCTCGCACTCGTCAACTGGGTCAGGTTTTTGGCGGGCTGGAGCGGCGGCTTCTGGGGCAACGTGGATTGGCTGCAGAACAGGGTCGAAGGCTTGTTGAAGGACAAGGAGTGGGTTGATGGAGTCGTGAAGCGATGGAAGGAGGGTACAGAGGAGCCAGGAACTTCTAAGAGGCGCAGAACGAGCAAGTGACGCTGAAGACGGACCCTCGAATATCATTCATTCTCATAAGACGGCGCTCAGCACGCCCACTCCGGTGCTTTTCGATGCATCAGAAGAGATTTGGATTGCTGCTCTTGAGAACCGAGTGTGGCCTGAGACTCAGTCCTTTCGCTTCTTCTTCGGCCTCTCATCCCCATCATCTTCGTAGCCTCCATCCGCGTCTTCATCCGAGCTCGCTTCTGACGGCGAGCCGCCGTCCGAGTCCGAGTCTGCGTTAAAGTCGGCATCCTCTTCACTGTCCTCGTCTTCATCAGCACCGCCTGCAGGGCCCATCTCTTCGTCGTCGTCGCTGAGCAGACCAGCGGCAGCTGCTGCTGCCAATCCACCCGTCTCCTCGGCCATCTCATTCTTGACCCTCACCTTGCGCTCGGCAAGCCACGCCTTGAGGCGGTCGAGCTCCTCGCGCGAGATCGACTGGAACGTGTGATCGGTGCCGCTCTTAGTTGCGACGCGCAGATCGAATGTCTTGGAGGAGGCCACCGCGCCACCGACACGAGAGAGGATGGCTTGGTGGACCTCGGAGTAGGGCACGTAGACAGGCTGCTTTGAGACCCAGAGCAGCGACTTTTCGAGTGGGTACAGGTTGCCATCGGCTGCCTTGACGTTGCACTTGATGCTGCTCTGCCCGGAGGAAGACTCAAAGTCGGTGGGAGTGGCCACCTTCTGCCCCGAAAGCACCTTGAAGATGTTGGTGACGATGCGGAAGGTGGGCTCCTCGTAGCGCTTCTTGAGCTTGCCATCGTACTTTTCTTGGATAGTCTGCTCGTCGAGGTTGAGCTCTGCGTCCATCTCCTCTTCGCGCGGAAATTGGAGCACAAGGTAAGGGTATCGAGTCTGACCCTGACGGATAGGTGGGTCGAGACCAATGACGAGCATGACGTGGATCTCGTCGGCCTTTGGCAGAAGGAAGAGCTTGTTCATGGAGCTGTAGAGGATCTTGTAGTCGTACGTCTTGCCGCGCAGACGGATGAAGGTGTTGAAAACGTCGATGTCGTAACGACCACGTGGTGTGAGAACCAGCACTTCTTTGAAGACGACGATCGAGTCGCCAGCGACTTGGCCGATGTCGGCCTTTGACTTGAGTGCTTCGTGGAACGCTTCTGCTGCTGTTTCGTCGTTGTTGTCCTCGCCGTCTGCTGCGCTACCAGCGTCACTGGCGTCGTCCTTGGTGGCTTGACCAGGAACGTAGAGACGCATTTCGACGAGCTGATCTCCCTTGCCGCGCCTCGACTTGCTGCCATTTGCATCTGATGAGCCGGTGTTGGCACCTGGCTGTTGTTGTTCGGGATTCAAGAACTCCATCGACACTTCTGTCTTGGCGATGTTGCTGTTTGCGAGATGTGCGAGTGGCAATTCGAATGCGAGCTTGTCTCGAACCAAGAACTGAACGTCGTGGTTGCTGATCTTAGCCTGGCCCCAGTTCCATCCCCGTGTGGAGACCTCCTTTGTCTCGAGCGGCTTGTTGAAGTACTCTCGAATGTGAGACGAGAGACCCTCGTAGTCGTCGCGGACAAAGCCGTCAAAGTTGGTGCGCCTTGGGTTGGTCTGAGCGGACGAAGGTGTGTCTCGATCCTTGTTCAGAGAGATCGCGAGCTGATAATTCCGTGCGACTCGAATCCACTGGAACGAAGCCATCTGATCGGCAGGGATAGTGATGGTGCTGCCCTCACCGACGGAGGGCTTCCAGCCAAGGCCGCCCTGGGACATTCTGAGCTTGCCCGGGGTAGTATCCAGACCATGGAAGATGTTTTCCCACTGTGTAGTTCCCGACATCTTGAACGAATGCGCGATGACCGGTGAGAGGTGAAGTCGGCGGTGATGGACAGAGAGGCGAAGGGACAAAGCTGAGTCGGACTTGGCCAAAGCTTTGCTGCGCCGACATTGTGATTCTTCTTCTCGAGTGCACAGCGTCGAGTGCTCTCAACGCGACACGAATCTTCGAAAAGCAACACTCACTCACTCAGCCGCGCTGCCACGCTCATTTTTGGGAGTCAAAGTGTTACGCCGAGCCAGGGATGAGACCAATAAATGCCACACGGTCGCACGGATCAGGGATCAGCGGAGTCAAGAATTGAGCAGCGCCGATTCAGAAGGACGAGGTATGTGTGCGTGTGCCTACCTTCCCCTGCTTCTGGCATTAGCACAGCCGAGATCAGCTGCTTGGTCCCTTTCTTCTTGCTGATCTCCCACTTTCATCCCCCTCCATCCATCCATCCAGCCATCGACTCCCTAGAGCTCTTCAGCCTCAATCGCCAAAATGAGTCGCTTCGTTCGACCCTCCAAGTACCGTCACGTCTATCCCAACGTCGCCAAGAAGGAAGCCTGCTACGAGAACGTCAAGGTCTCCAACAATGCCTGGGACACCAACTTGCTCGCTGCCAACGGCAAGTACATCTCCATCAACTGGAATGCGTCCGGCGGCGGCGCTTTTGCAGTCCTCCCCGTCAATAAGCCAGGCAAGCTCGCCGACATCTATCCGCTGTGCCGAGGTCACACTGCTACCGTGCTAGACACCGCCTTCAGCCCCTTCGAGGACAACTTTGTCGCATCCGGATCCGACGATGGAACCATCGGTCTGTGGAAGATCGATGATGCCAAGTTCGACCAGCTCGATTGGTCCGACAAGGAGCGAGAGCGTAATGGCGGTGTCAAGGACTTCGAGCCCATCGCTCGCGTCTCTGGTGGAGGCAGGAAGATCGGCCAGGTGGTGTGGCATCCTACCGCATCCAACGTCCTTGCTGCTGCTACCGGCGACCACGTCATCAAGCTTTTCGACGTCTCGAATGCCTCCACTGCCTCCTCCTCGCCCAGCATCAGCCTCCGCGGATTCACCGACACCATCCAGTCGCTCGACTGGGACTGGACGGGTACCACGCTCATCGCCACCTCGCGAGACCGCAAGATCCGCACCTTCGACCCACGTCAGGGAGAGAACCCAGTCCAGGTCGCCGACTCGCACGGCGGTATCAAGGGCGCCCGTGTGATCTGGTGTGGCGACAAGGATCGTGCCATCACCACCGGCTTCTCGAAGATGTCCGACCGTCAAATGTTCCTCTGGGACACCACCAACCTCGCCAGCGGCCCGCTCAAGCAGGTTACACTCGACACGTCGAGCGGCATCATCATGCCCTTCTGGAGCGACAACAACATTGTCTTCCTCGCTGGTAAGGGCGACGGCAACATCCGCTACTACGAGCTCGAAAATGACGAGCTGCACTACCTCACCGAGTCCAAATCGAGCGAGCCGCAGCGCGGCCTGACTTTCGTCGGAAGGAGATTCCTCAACACGGACGAGAACGAGATCGCCAAGGCGTATAAGATCACGGGAACCACCATCCAGCCCGTGTCATTCTGCGTGCCGAGGAAGGCGGAAGGATTCCAGTCCGACATCTTCCCGCCTGCGCCGAGCGCCGAGCCGGCGCTGACGCCCAAGGACTTCTTCGACGGTAAGAGGGCCGCGAGGAACATGGTCAGCTTGGAGACTGGAAAGGGCGTTAGCAGCAGCGGCAGTGTCCCGACCGCATCTTCGACGACGACGGCAGCACCAGCGAGATCAGCAAGCCCTACCAAGTCGGCTTCGGCACCGACACCCGCTCCTGCCGCCGCTCCCGCACGCTCCGCTTCGCCAACTAAGCCATCCCCCGCCCCTGCTGCCGCCGCTTCGCCCGCACCAGCCGCCGCCGCGTCCCTGCCACCACCCACTCGCGCCGCCGAGCCCAAAGCCAACCCCACCCCCACTTCCACCAGCACCTCTACCTCTAACGGCACCTCCTCCAAAGAAGTAGACGAGCTCAAGGCACAGATCGAGAAACTCCGCACCGCCGTCGAGGAGAGGGATACCAAGATCCGACACCTAGAGCAGGAGAACGAGACGCTCAAGACCAACCAGAAGAAGGCGCGGGAGGCGCTGCTCAACTCGCTCTGAGCGGTTGGCGCGTGGCAGAATGACGAAATGGTAGACTTTCAAGCTTGCCACTGTTTCGCTGTGCGTGCGTCTGCAGGAGGGATGTGTGCGTGCCTGCGTGATCGAATTGTGAGAGTCTGCGTGATTGAATTGGGTGGCTTCATTGGTTGCAGTGTATGCCATGTGAGTGTGTCTGCGGGGAAGCTTTTGTGTGATTCTGGATCACGCTGCAATCCAGCGCCTCACTTCGAAGGCGCCTGGAACACCTTCTCCCTGTACCACTTGAGCTCGTCAATACTAGCCCTGATATCGTTCAAAGCTCTATGATCCCCCTTCTTCTCCTCCCCTTCCTTCCTGGGCCTCCACGTCATCCCCTCCTCACTGCCGTACCAGCGTCTGACAAGCTCCTTGATCGAGCTCACATCCACGATCCTGTAATGCAGATGTTGAATGAGTTCAGGCATCTCTTTGACGAGAAAGACCTTGTCAGCGTGGACCGTGTTGCCGGCTAGGCAGGCGGCGTTGGGTACCGGGATGCGGTCGCGCATGTAGGCCAGGAGCGCTGCGCGCACCGACGCGTGCGGGTAGGAGGTGGTCGAGGAGAGGCAGGCCGAGGTTAGGCCGGAGAGGCCGTGTTGGTTGACACACCTGTGAAAGAAAGGAGAGGAGTCAGTGAGATTGTCACGGGAGGCAAGGGAGGGGAAAGGGGAACACGTACCAGGCATTCATAGAGTCGAGCACCTCCTTCGACGTGCTGATCACGTAGCTCACGCCTTCGTCGACAGGGTTGAGATCGCCGTCCGTGATGATACACGCCACTTCCAGTAGCCTATCGCCTCGATCGATGTCCAGTCCCGTCATCCTGTTCAACCAAAGCAAACGCAAGTGTCAGTCTCCTTGCCACTACCGAGACGAGTCAGGCGAGGGAGGGCGTATACATACTCGCAATCGATCCAAACGAGTGGGCCCTTGCTCGCATCCAGCTTGACCGTCGCCGGAGGCGGCGGGATGGGCGACATCGCCTGCTCGGTAGTGTTCGACATCTTCTTGGTGATAGTCGCTGTGGCAGAGGCTGCTTTGACTGCTTGCCGTTTCGACAGGCGAGGATGGTTGTGCAGGAGGAACGCCACTAGTTTGCGGAACACGGATGCCTGCGGGGACGTGTGGTGCAGCGCTCGACGGTGATGCAAGAGTGCGGTCCGCGCGGAAGTCGGGAGAGCTTGACGAGTGTATGCGGATGCCAAGCTGAGTGTGCGATGAAGGAAGCCACCCCTAACGGCAGCGCTCGGAGCTGTGGACAGAATCTTGTCGTGACAGGCCCACCGGGAGCAATTGCGCCGCGCAAGAGTCGATCTTCGCTGTGGGTCGGAGCTATTGTGAAGAGGATGGAGAAGCTCGCAGAAGTGAACAGGCGCACTGCGCAGATGTGGTTGAGGAGAAGAAGAACAATTTCGCGCACACTCTGACATGAAATGCAGGGTCCACCGAAAGAGTGGGCACGCGCTTCTGAGACAAAAGGACTTTGTCGATGCCACACTCAGGACAGCGCAAGCGTCGCTCCGAGTCTGTACGCACACCGACCTTTTCAAGCGTAGCGCTACCTCTCAGATTGCGGCCCCCTGAAATCGAATACGTGGCCCCGTTCAGATGATTTGGCGGAGCCTCACAGCTCACACGAAAGTATGCTGGTGCTATGTAACGTGAATTGCTGGCGAATCTGGCGGTCACGTTGGAAGAGACGCCCTGACAGGACAGACCCGGCCTACTTGCCGCCCTCGAGCAACCCCTTCATCAGCTCGATGCACCTCTTGTTCTCCTCTTCCGTACCGACCGTGATTCTCAAGCATCCGGCACAACCCAGGTCCTTCGCCCTGTTCCTGACTACCAGGCCCATCTCCTCTGCCATGCGCTTGTAGACCATCTGCGCCACGTCGTTGTCTGGCTTGGATCGTGTCTCGAGATCGAGCATCTGGACGAGGACAAAGTTGGCTTCGTTGGCGCCCAAGATCGCGCCCGCACCGGGCAGCGTTTGGAGTGCCGAGATGAGCTGGTCGCGGTTGCGAATGAGCGTCTGTACGTTCTCGCGCATTTGCGCGATGCCCTTTGTTGAGAGTGCGAGCGAGGCAAGGTGGGCTGTGGGCGAAGAAATGTTGTAGGGCGCTTTGGTGTTGTTCATGATCTGGACCAATGGTGGCTGGGCGAAGGCGATACCCAGGCGGATCGCAGCGAGACCGAACGCTTTGGAGAGCGTCTGTGTGACCATGAGGTTCTGGTACTCGTGGACGAGGCTAACGGCGCTGACGATCTCCTCAGCAGGTCGCTTGCCCATCCTCTTCTCCTCCTCGGCAAAGTCGATGTATGCCTCGTCGACCACGACGAGACCTTTGAACGCTGGGTTGTCGAGGACTTGGCGCACGTCGATGGGTGGGATGAGAGTGCCTGTGGGGTTGCCTGGCGAGCAGATGAATGCGATCTTGATGTCTGGGTCTTCGGCGAGCTTCTTGTTGACTGCCTCTACGTCAAGTGCGAACTTGCCGCCCTCGGTGATGAGGGGTACCTTGACGACTTCGAGGTCGTTGACGGCAGCGCAGACGCTGTACATGCCGTAAGTGGGTGGGCAGATGAGAATCTTGTCCTTGCCAGGACGGCAGCAAACTCGCTGCACCAGATCGAGCACCTCATCACTGCCAACGCCGAGAAACACGAATGCATCGTTGGGAACACCACGCAGCTCGGCGACAGCATCCTTGATGCCGAACAGTCCAGGATCAGGATAGCGGTTGAGCGAGAGCGGGTCGTCTGCTTCCGTTGACTGGACTGGTGTCGCGCCATTCGAGGAGCCAGGGTTGTGAGGGATGACGGAATTGGGTGGCAACGAGTGGCCGAGGCTGTTCTCATTGGCATCGAGGAGAATACCGGACTGGTAGTCATCTCGTGCACATCGGTAGGGCTCGAGCGATAGGATGTTGGGTCGGATGAGGTTCTCGAGCTTGAAGTGGGCAGGCTTGTGAGCTGCCGCGGCCGAGTTGGCGGCACCGTCGAGACCTTTGATCGTCATGCTGCTGATGCGTATCTGGTATGGAACGTAGGAAGGATGCGATGATGAGAGAGCTATATGAAAGAGATGCGGATGACTCAGAAGGTGAGAGGTTGGGTTCTGTGCTGTCCAAAGATAGCCGGTGGCTATCTGAAATTTAGGTTGCCGAGTCACTGTGGCTGCTTCTTCCAACCGGCCGAGTCAAATTTAGTCCCGAGACGATCCTCCACACATGGCCCACCATTCGTGATTCTTGGCTTTCACACAGTCGGAACGCATCTTGTTCTCTCAGGATCTTCACCATCGACGGTCACATCAGCTTGATCAGCATCGACGGCAACTCCGCCATGAAGCTTCCGATGATGCTTCGAACGACGACTCAGCGAGGAACGTTCGCCTCGGCAGCAGTCCGACTCATTCCCACGCGTTCGGCCACCGCCGTCGCTGTTCGTGCCGTCTCATCAACCGCACAAGCGAGCAATCGCCCATCGACAGTGCAGGCCCGCGTTCAGCTTATCTCGAATCGCTCATTCAGCACATCACAGAAGTGGGCGCATCCTACAGCCAAGTACACGGCGTCGCCTTTGACCGACGGCGAATATCACAAGCTCTCTAATCACGTGCTCGACTCTCTCACCGAGACCTTTGAAATGCTGCTGGAGGAGGCAGACATCGAAGCACTGGAAGAGGATGCAAGGTCAAAGAATCAAGGCGCGACAAGAGGGTCACCTGCCTCTGAGTGGGATATCGAGTGCGCAGTGAGTATCCTGGATCGAACGCATCGGCGCCTCTGACTTGATTAGCCTCAGCTGACACTGACGCCCGACTTCTTCCCACGCCCTTTCGGTTCTGCGACCCTTCTCCCACGCTTATTCAGTCTGGCGTGATGAACCTCAGGTGCGGAGTCCACGGCATTTGGGTCATCAACAAGCAGCCCCCCAACAAGCAGATCTGGCTCTCGAGTCCGAAGAGGTACGCAATCAGCCAGCACGGACTGACGCCGACAGGCTGGCGTCTGAATAAGATGCATCGGTGCCATTCCGAGAGAGTGACTGACAGCGATATGAATTTCATCGTTTCTCGACATACAGCGGGCCAAAACGATTCGACTACGACGCAGACAGCAAGACATGGTTCTGCCTCAAGGAAGGCGAAACTTCGACGCTTCATGAGATCCTGCAGGAGGAGCTATCGCAGGTGTTTGACACTGATGTGGAAGTCTTGCTTGAGGATGAATGAATCCGAGATGCTATCGAACTCACCTATCTCGTCAAAGTGTGGGGCTAGTTACATTCGTCCGCTCGTGCTGCGCCGTGTGATGTCAAGTGACGAGGTCTGAGGATGCACGTGAGGCGCGACTAAGCCAAAAAGTGTTGGACTCTTGGTGCCTGCAGCTGTGACGTTTGCCGCCAATTTTCGCACCTCCGCCCTGTCACTTCTCCATTCACAAGCTGTGAGAGGCCCTCGGGTGGAACCTTCCCCTCTGACCTGAGAACTCAGCCAAAATGACATGCGCTCAGGCCTCAGCTTGAGGCTCCCCTCCCCTCCTCCATCATCCGGTCAGGCGGACATTCCCTTCGCATAAAAGGGCCGTCCCCGCCGCCCAACGGCTCATCCCTCGTCAACCGCTTCATAGGCAAAACTCGAACGCATCAAGTCACCTCGCCTCTTCATCACCCTCTGATCTGCAACTTAGCATCAGCGCACAGGTTGGCTCGATCAGAGACGCGTGTGGATCTCACCGCGCCCGCAATTCCCCGCGATGGTCGATCTGCGCTCGTCGATCCGGTCAAAGACCGGTGCCGGCGCGAGCGTGCAGAAGGCGGCCGGTACTCAAGCATCATCCTCATCAGTCAGAGCATCACGCGCCTTTCAATCGGACGAGAACGCTCCGCTTGGAAGACGAGCGCTGGGCGATATCAAGAATGTCGTCGCTGATCGGAAGCCCGCCGCCGTCGAGGTCAGCACATCGCGTCGAAAGCCACTGACCGATCGCAACGCAAACCTTCAAAGCGACCTTTTTCTCTCTTCTGTCAAGGCCAAGTCTACCAAATCTTCCAAGCAGGCACTCAAGAGCACCGCCGGTTTGTCGAATCGAAGCAAGACCATTCGACCAGAAATCAAGACCAGGTCGGCAACCGCGTCGAAGGCAGCAGCCTCAGCACCACATCGCGAGGCGCATCTGCCTACTCCATTGCCGCTGCAGACCAAATCAGCTGATCGAGCACCTCGTCCCATGCCTCCAAGTGATGAAGAGCTCTCTCGTCTCTCTCCCAACCTCGACAGCGACGATCTCGGATACTTTGACGTCGACATTTTGGAATCGAATCAAACGGAGCACGTCGCTCAGAGGCAAGGCAAACGCGACCCATCGCCGAGATCGAAGGATGATTCTGACACCGACGCTTCGGCATCTCATGGATCTTCGGACAAGGAGAATGTGCCTCCATCGGCCGCTGCAGCCAGCAAGGGAGACGGTTTCCGACAGGCGGGACGTGGTCGCACCGGAGTGCTCAGCGAGATCGAAGATGGTCAGCCAACGCATTCCACCCCGGTCTCCCAGAAACGCAAAGGCACCAAAACGCAGGCTTTCAGCTCCAAGTATCTCGATGAAAACTTCCTCGACAAATCCGACAATTCGAGTCAGGCCGACTCTCCTGGTGTTCCTCGTCGAGCTGAGCCGCTGAGCGATTCCACTAAGCAGCTGCAGGACTATCAGGATCAAGGCGTCACCAAAGTCATGGCTTGGAAGGCTGAAGGCCACCATCAAGCTCACCAGTCCCCCGATGATCTGTCCCTCGAAGGTGAAGATGACCGTGCTGCTTCGTGGCCTACCGATGATGATCTCGGCCCCTCAGCGGCTGAGCAGGGTCTCGGCATGGATGACGACTTCATGGATGACTTTGGCTTCCTTGTGGCCGACCGCAACATTCGTCTTCGACAGGCACAGGCACTCGCTGCTGAAGAAGAGGGAGGAGATCTTGATGAGGGGGACGCCACCGACGTGATGGAAGACCTTCCCTCCGATCCACCCGTGAACACCACGAGCGATGATCGTCGTCTCGCCGAGCAGGTGTTTGCACGCATGTCCTCTCCGGCAGCTGGCCAAGGTGATCGCAGATCCACCACCACCGAGTCGAGCTCCATTGCGTATATGGGTGCGCAAAGGGTCGATCTCCCGCCGCCTTCCGAGGGCGAATCCGAAGAACAGGAAGATCTTGATGTCAAAGTCAAAGCTGAACTGCCCACGCAGCGACGCAAGACGGCGGCGGTCAAAGCGGAAATCACCTCAGAGCGACGCATGACTCGAGCGAGCGCAAAGCGAAAGAGCGATGCTGCTGCGGCTGCCGAAGACAATGGCTCGCGGGAGTCCTCTCCGATGCTGACTCCTCCGCCAGCCCACTCTACCCGTCAGGCTGCTGCTCGCGCCGCCATGAGCCGACAATCTTTGACCGGCATACCCCTGAAGAGGAGCGAAAAGAAGGAGCAAGCCATGCTCCAAAGGCTGGCCGCAGAGGCAGCGTCGTCATCCGTGTACTCTTCAGCTCCTCCTTCGCCTCAAAACAGGGGCTCGAGCAAGAGAATCCGCATGGAAGACATCGTGGCTATGCTGCCTGGTAGAAAGCGCCTGGCGAAGGCTTCCGCACGCAAGGCCAAGGCTACCAGCAGAGTATCCCACTCGAACGCTAGTGGCAGGTCTGCCAAAGCGAAGGCGCCTGCGTCCAAGGACGACTCTGACGAGGATTTCGATCAGGTGCCCACGAGCAAGTCGACGAAGCGAAGTCCTGCGCCCAAGCCAAAGAAGGGCAAGTCCCGCGCTCAGCTCAAGAGCACGGACGAAACAGAAGACTGGAGAAACCTCGTCCATTCTTCCCAGATCCACTCCGACGATTCGGAGACCACCAAGAGGCGAAAGGAGTACCTCGCAGCCGAAAACTACTCCTTGGAGGTGGAGACCGTTCTCTGAGCGTCAGAGAAGGTTGTACTTTTTCACATCAAATGTCTCCCGATTCGATTGTATTGTTCCGATGAAGTCCCGCTTTGTACGATCTCGAAGCTCGACCTGTACTCGTATGTTACCACTCACTGTTCTTGTATGATTGTCACTGTTCTTGTACGTTGATTCTCACGATGTTCTCACCCTCAGACGGCACTCTGCGCTTCGACGAACGTGGCAGCACGAACTGAATCGATTGAGACCGAAACACGACATGGCGGACCCTTCACTTGGTCTTCTTGACCTCGTTCTCGTCAAACTTCTCCGTTGTGATCTCGAACTGGCTGAACTCGACGAGCCTCTCCGCCAATCTCTCCGCGCCCACCAGTGCGGGGGTCAGCACACCACCCTGCACACCAGCCTTCTCGAACGGGTTCTGCTTCCTTCCCTTGTCATCAATAATCGTCAGTGCGGTCTCGACGATCATCCTCGCGGTGAGCAAGTATCCCGCGTGACCCTTGGCCTTCATCCTGCAGATCGCCTTGGTACCATCGTTCGCCGTGGCGACGGTCTCGACCTTCATCCTGTTGTTGACGAGACTCTTCTCGCTCGGCCCTGAGTTGGCGGGCATGCTCTTGGCCGCGAGCGATCGAACCAGGGCAAAGTTCATGAGGAACCAAATCGAAATGGCGTTCATGTAGCTGAGCAAGATGCCTGCGAGCTTGAAGGGGACGATGGTGCCCTCTTTGTAGAGGAAGGCCTTGCCGTAGGATTGGGGGGAGTGGTGGTGTTCCAGGAGACCCCAGGTGCGGTTGACCATGCGGGTGTTGTGAATCGAAAAGGTGTTTTGAGCACCCCAGCGTTGACGTTGGGGGAACCAGCGGACGGTGTTGAAGCTGAGCGCGTCGGGTTTGGCGATGGGGCTGAGCCAGTCGCCACGGACGCTGAACATCTGCTCCTTCTCGCTGGCCATTGCGATGGCGCTGGCGAGGGTGCCTGCGGACAGAGACTCAGGGAGGTCGTAGGCGCACTCGGCGAGCTTCACGTCGCTCTTGCCGCCCGTGAGCTGCTTGACCTTCTGAGCGGCGAGGTACGTGGTCAGGTCAAACGGCAGACTGTCGAAGCCCACACTGCTGGAAACGGTGACGCCCTTGGCCTGGGCGGCGAGGTGGAACTCGTCGATGATGTCCTTGTTGAAGCCCGTTTCGCCAGAGAGATCCACATAGTGCGTGCCCGTCTCGACACAGGCCCGCACCACTTCCGAGGCCTTGAAGGGTCGGTAGGGGCCGACGATGTTGATGAGCACCTTGGCCTGCGCGGTCATGGCGGTGAGGGATGCATACTTGGACGTCTCCGCCTCAATTACGCCGACCGACGAGGGAAGGCCGAGGTCGGACTTGAGTGAGGAGAGGCGCGAGGCGGAGCGACCGGCCACGGCCCAGGAGCGCTTCTCTGGGTGCGAGAGGAGGTACTTGCATACCAGCTTACCGGTGTAGCCGGTAGCGCCGAAGACGACCAGATCGTATTGCTTTTGCGACATTGTTGCTGCTTCGCTCCTGAAGTGGAAAGGTGATTAGATGAAGTTTGGGACGATGGAAAACGCTCCAGTAGATATAGCTTCTCGAAGCGGCTGCCCTTGCTTCAGGAAGCATTTGGAATGTGCGTGTGAAATGTGCAACTCAGCACGCCGGAAGAGCGTGCATCTCGACCAAAGCACACTTTGACGTCAGCTAGGGGCGGTAAAATTTCCAGAAAAGCGGCAAAACTCTGGTCGTAACGCGCTTAAGGTTACCGCTTTCCGAGTGCCGGTCACCACTTGTTCTAGATATGGTGGTGTCCATGAGTTTCTTCTTGACTGTAACTCCGCGTTCGAACTATGGCGGTGGATCTCCATGCTGAAGAGACCGTCAGTCGGAAGGAGATAGGCTTATGTCCGACAGCACACGTGGCCGCGGACGTTCGGCATTGGACGAGACCTTCTAGAATCATCCTCGAGGCCGACATCCGCACGCTGGAGGATATGTAGGGTCCTGAAGACCCTGCACATCACATCGCTCTTCACCACAGATCTCAAACCAACGATGCAGAGGACTGTCAAGGAATGCAAAAGAATGACCAATGCTATGCTCGTGAATGTGCTTCGTCATCTGGCACCTGTGCCGCCCGCCGCCTCCTTGGCAGCCTGCACGACGCCTTCCATACTGATCCCACCCGGCTCTTCATACGCCTCCCAGGCATACACTACCGCAAAGACCAAGAACAGGAACGCCCCGCCCAGCGTCACATGCTTGACACTGATCTTCTTTGCCAACCAACTTCCGCAGATCACCGCCATGCTCGTGCAGCACGCGTGCCCGACGATCGTCCCCACGCAAACCAGCGTCACGTTGTGCGCAGCGGCAAGCGCGATGGTTGCGATCTGACTTCGATCACCCCACTCACCCAGGAACGTGAGAATGAACGCCTGGGCAAAGACAGGGCTGAAGCAGAGTCCGCAGAGGTTCCTCGTTCCTTCTCGTAGGGTGTGTGTCATTCCACCTTCCTTCTTGCCGACACTATGCGACGGTGCGTGGTGACCCTGTTCAAGGCTGTCCATCTCATGCGTGTCGCCTTCTTCCTCGTCAATCTCCCGCTCCGCCTCCTCCCACTCCTCCTTGATCTCGTCCCCCGACATCGCCAGTCCGTCTTTGACCATCTTGAGCCCGAACACGAGGAACAGCGCGGCAGCCATGAGGTTGGTGAGCGATTTGGGCAGGAGCGTGGGGAACATGACGCCCAAGAACGCCGAGAGGATCGACATGACTGCCAAAGAGGCGAATGCACCGCTGAAGACGATGAGTTTGGACTGACGCATCGAGAGGATGGCTGCTATGAGGAAGGTCTTGTCGCCGATTTCGGAGACCTGTGGGCGAGCGGCAGCGAGCGTGCGTATGGTTGACGAGAGAAATGAGGTAAAAGTCAGTTAGCGCTCCTGGACGGATGAAGGGGTGAAGGATTGCGATACGTACGATGATCATGGCAAAGCTGGACCACAGCGCCCGCGGGTCGTTCTTCCACGCCTGATCGAGCGAGGCAAAGGCAGACGTGTAGCCTGCTAACGAGGCTGCCACCGCCGCAGAGCCGGCCGACTCGCCCGTACCGCCCATCAGCATGCTCAGGTCTGGTGCATTGCTGGCGTTTGCTATCGAGTCACCTGCCGCTGCAAGTGCTTCCATCGTCGACGCTCTTGTGATGCTCTGTTGATTGCGAGGGTGTGTGCGGCTGTTGCGTCGCAGAGATTATAGCAAATGCCACTGAGCGTTGTTTGGTGCGTGCGCGGCTGTGCTTGGTGTCTATTTGGTGCTTGCAAATGAGTGATGGGCGCTACTGCAGCCGGCGGTTATGCTGTGTCAATACTGCTCTAGCACTTCGAAAGATGAGACCGATGTAAGAGCGATGGCGGTGGGTGATGGTGGATCGGTGACGAGGGAAAGAACATCAGGCCATGTCAGCCTCGGCACGTCACCCCAACACTGTGAAGCAACACAGCTCTAAATCCTTCGCTGTCCCCGTGTCCGTGTGTTTCCTTCGCGTGGGGGTTTGGCTGTCGGCGTGTCATCCTGCCGAGCCAGCCAGCCAAGCTTCTCAGCCTCTCTTTTTCTTCTTGGTCCCTCACTGTCAGGCTGACCAATCAACATTTTTGAGCTGCGCGGAATTCGGCTTGAAGCTTCTCGAGAATTTTGCCTGAGAATTTCGACCCTGCCTCTCCTCGATACCCTCCAACCCCACCGATACGCAACGAGCACCAAGCCACACATCCACAGCATCCGCACGCTCTAGCACCGATTCATCATGGAGCCAGCACTACCTCTTCCCCTGCGCCTGGACGTGTCCCATGCCTCGGTACCCACAGAGCATGCCGCAGTCTCAGACGCCATCTCGCACTTCCTCACATCCTACGCCGCCCGCACTGGCACATGCAACGCCGCCTCCTCCTCCGCGGACGACACCGCGACCGGCTCCACCGGCGGTGTGGTCGCAGCGCAGCTCACGCGCCTCATGAACGGTCTCGCCGGCAAGATCGACTATGACGCTTTCACGCTACTCACCTCCTCCGCAGCGGTCGTGGCCGAGGACGACGACGAGCCGATGAACGAGGAAGAAGAGACCCCCGCCGAAGTGCTCGATTCCAACCCCCCAGATGGAGACACAGGCGATGGCATTGGCACAGAAAGCTTCTCCAAAGCGCAGGAGGTGGTTGACGGAAGCACACCAAACATTGATTCCAGCTTGAGGAGCGATCCCATGGACGAGAGCCCGCGTAAGAAGGACAAGAAGGATAAGAAGGACAAGAAGGAGAGGAAGGAGAGGAAAGAGAAGAAGTTGAAGAAGGAGTCCACCGCATAACCTCGGCTCGAACCGGCACCATTCGTCTCGCACATTCTGTATTTGTACCCCCGTCGTCGTTCAATCTGCATCATCCCCACGCACGCAATGGCTGCATGACTGGCGCCCTTCAGATCGTTTCTTGAACGACGAGACGACGGACATTGATAGATCGTGATCATAATATCATTGCGAATGATCCCTGGGTATGCGCATCGATCAATCCGCCCCGCTGACAGGGGAATGCCGTCCGTTGGGCGTCGAGCAGCCCGCAGACTGCGCCACTCTTCGCTCTTTGTCCTCATCCACCGCGCTCTGAGGCGATTCCCGTTCCTTGCCCTTGACACTCGCGGTGCTAGCCTCGCTGCTCGCCTTGGTATCCAGGCTCGACGGGGTCAAGTTGTCGCGCTGGGCAGGACCAGCTGGCGGACGCGGCGACTCGGATCGGCTCTCGCTCATCGGCGTAGCACCCAATCCGCTCGGCGTCTCGTCGATCGCAGTCAGTGGGCCTGGCGTGCTCACCATCATGCCGCCGAGAATGCCACCTCCGGTGCTGTGACTCGGCGGTGGTCCGCCTGACGAGTAGATGCTCTGATGGTGCAGCGGTAGACTGCTCGGCGGGAGTGTCAGCGTGAAGCTCCTTCGCGGTTCCTGCACCCCGAACTCCGCAGGTGCCGTTGTCGGCGACAGCGGCTCCATCGCAGCAGGCGGCATGCTGCTTCGTCTCGCATTGGTCGCCGGGCTCAGCGCGAACGACACACCAGATTGCGAACGTTTGACGCTCGACATTCCGTTCTTGCTGCTGGCGTTGCTTGTGGTGCGTTGGCGTTCCACCGCGCCTCCAGCAAAGACCGGCACCGTCGTCGCGGCTGTCGGATCGGCGACGAAGGTGCTGTCCCGATCCCAGGTGTCGTCGAGATGCGAGAGGTCGTCGTCCATCATGTCCTCCTGCTCCAGCTCGGACGGAAGCAGGATAGCGCGGTCGATGGCGACGGGCAATCCTCGATGTCTGCCTCGAATCATCACCGCGCACACCACCAGCTTCGACAGGGTGTGGAAACGCCCTGACAGGCTGAAGTTGTCGAAGGGCGTGCCGAGACTCAAGCCGACCGTGCCGTATGCCGAAGTGAGCTCGAAGAGGCAGCTGAAGATGGTGAACCATCCGTTGGATTCCGGGTCCACGATGTCGTTGCGTTCGATGATGCAGATGAGCCAGAGCGCGAAGCCGAGCCACCAGATATCGAAGGCCAGCTGGCGTCGAGCATGCGATGCGAGGAAGGAGCCCCACACCTTGGCATCTTTCGACTCTGACGGTGCCGTGCCTGGGTCTGCTGGCTCGTCGACGTACACGCCGAGCGACTTTTCTTCGTAGACGTTGGTGCTGCGCACCGAGAGCGCGAGTGGGAACGCGGAGAGATACATCATGATGACGTAGAGGAACTGCACGGCAGGTGCGAGCGCCAACAGGCTGACCACGGTGAAACCAGCTGCGCGGACCGCAATCGACTGGAAGAGACCGTCAAAGACGCGGATGCTGAGCGTGATCGATTCGATGACCGGATTGCCAATGTCGAGGATTAAGAACGCGAGCCAGTCGATGCAGTTGAACAGGAGCAAGATAAAGAAGAGGAACCACGTCTGGCTCGAGGGGAAGAGATAGACGAAGCATCGACGCGGATGGTCGAGCAAGAACCGCAGCGTCTCGTAGATCCTCGACGTGGACGGAACGCAGATCGAGATGGTCCAGATGAAGAAGCGCAGGAGGATGGGAAAGCCCGTGTTGCCCGCCAAGATGAGGAAGCCCATGGGAATGAGCAGGAAGTAGGCGTCTTGCATCCGCGTCATGCTGGTATCGACCAACGACATGCCCGTGTTTGAGTAGGCCGAGATGACCTGGAAGAACCAGAACCATGTATAGTCGGGCTTGTTTTCGCCCTGTTCATCGAAGGGAGGTCGATACTTTCGAAACGCGTTGCTGCTGATGTAAGGGGCTACCAGCGTGACCATGCCCAGGTTGACAATAAGCCAGTAAGCGGGGACGAGCTTGGCGAGCAAGTCGAGGGCACGATACTCAACACCTCCCAACTCGTCGCGCTGTGTCTCTGTGAGAGCGTGGAAGCGCGAGTTGCCTGTGACCGTGGCGTCGAAGGTGAGGTAGGGAGCCGGCTTGTTGCCGCTCTCCGTGATGCCGCCGCCGGACCGCACTGACGTGAATGTGGAGGTGCGAGGCATGGTCATTGTGCGCTGCAGTCGCTCCTGCACACCTGGGACTGCCTTCTTGATGGCCATGCCTGCGATCTCGAGCGGGGTGGGGAAACCACCAAAGCCTCGTTGTTTGGACGAAGTCTGGGTGCGTGCAAGTGGCACGCCCGTCCTGCCGGTGCTGAGGCGGCCGGAGACGCCCGAGCGTGTGGTCACAGTACGGTTGAAGGTAGTAGTGCGCTGCCTCAAACCGCCGGGACCGTTGACATTCATGCCCGTGGTGTAGCCTTGTCCCCGTTGGAAATCGACTGGAGACCGATAGTCACTAGGTACCGAGAACTCTACGGTCTGCGCACGAGGGAACATGTCGTGCTTCTCGTGCTTGCTGTATGCTTGCGCCAGACCGCTGTCGGAGCCACGGCGTGAGGCAAAGCCGGGTGGATCCGAAACACGTCTGCTGCGCCCATGAATCTGGTGATCCGGAAACCTCGCCCGAAGAGGCGGCGAACGCAAGGCTTCTTCTTGAATCTCTTCCTCCTCCTCCTCTTCTTCATCTGCTATCGCCTCCTCGTCCGAGTCGGCGTCAGGGTCGTGACGATGATCAAAGCGTGGTATGGAGAATCCCTTGCGTTCCGAGTTGCTTGCCCTCGATTCGGTGCTCTTCTCACCAGCCGCATCAGAAGCGTTGGTCTCATGAGGTAGTGCGATGCGAATGTTGGGCTGCTGCCCTTGGCCGTCCGATACAATGGACGATTGCCTCTCTTGATCGGTGTTGAGAATGCTAGCACCTGGCTGTGCAGCGGGTATACGAGGCGAGCCGACTGAACTCGCCTCGCGCGGGAGCGAGTTGCGATGCTCGTTGGAATGTTCAGGGACCGAGTTGACACGATCGCCGGCCGAGTTGATGAGAAAGGCGGGCCCATCGATGCGGCGAATCATGTCTGCACGCAATGGTCCGCGCTTGGCCTTGCTCTTTTGCTTATTCTTTTCCATTCGACGAAGCTCGATCTGGTCGCTGGAGCTGGTGTCGGTGCGATCTTGATCCTCGGTGTCGCTGATGGTAGTGGCGCTGTCGGTTGATTTGAGTCCGACCATGCGCTGGATCTTTGCAATGTTGTGACGTCGATCTCTGCGCTCCTGCTCTTCGACATCGTGGACGCGCTTGCGTGCCTTTGCACTGCGACGAATGACGCGATCGAACTTCTTGCGGAAGAAACTTCTTCGGATCCAGATCATGGTTACACTGACGGCGGAGATGTTGCCGAAGCACATGAGGATGAAGAGGATGGCCTGCTGACCGCCGTTGGCTGTGCTGATGTTGAAGGTGACCAGGCCTGTGACGGTCATGGCCGAGACGCAGACGAAGAGGCAGTCGATAAACTTGACGTGCGTCTCGCCATTGCAAGCGTAGAAGATGCCGGCGGCGATGAGAGGGACGAGAGTGAAGACCATGACGTGTACTCTGTAGAAGTTGAGGTTCTTACCGCACCAACGACCGAAGGAGCCGAGTCTGTTGCGTGCGGCAGTCGCCTGCGAGCTGGAGGTGATGGTGCGCAGCATGATGGCGAGTCTATGCGGGTGCGATGAAGGTGGCTTGTGTTACGGTGATGATCTGCACGGGCGCTGTCCAAGGACGACAGCTTTGAATGTTATTGGGCGCTCGACATGGTGTGTATGACGGTTGAGAGGCTGCTTTGGATGCTAGCTGAGTTGGCCAGCAGAGGATGCACGCTTTGACCGTGATCTGCACAGGTGGTCCTGCAGGCAAACAGGCGGAAGTGCGGGCTAAAGTGCCGCTGCGTGAGCAGATGCAGCTGCTGCGCTGTTGTAGTGGAGCTTCCGGGGATGAGGCTGGCGTGGGAATGTGATGTGATGTGATTAAGTCAGGATGGTGACGAGGTGACCCGAGACGGATGGTCCGAAGAGCGAGACGGGACAAGCCGAGGCAGAGTGACCGTCAAGAGTGTGGGATGGAGCGATGATGATGCTCGATGGCTCCTCAGGATCTGTGACACAAACACCTTTTTAAATTCCAGACGCACACCGCTCGTTTGCGCCAGCCAGCCAACCACTTCTACCCCTCTCACAACAGCACTAAGATGCTTCCATGTACAGGAGCATAGCGCAGACATGCCGCCAGTGATGATCTCGCCGGCGCAATCTCTCGCTCGCATCTGCGTTCGTTCTCCGTCTTGTCCATATGCATGAAAGATCTGAGAGGCATGGCGCTGCGTGGTTTTGACTCTCTTAGGAAAGATACGCGCTGCCCTGCCCTGTGCCCATCTGATGGCTTGGCATTTCAGACTTTCCTGCGCGCTGGTGAATCGCCGGCCAAAACCGCGCATGAGGCGGGCCAGCACTTGCGACCAAGCGCCGCTGCCACGCCCTTCAGATCGGAGAACTAAAATCAATCTTCCGATTCTTCGACATACTCGAGGGGAGACCCTTTCCCCCGTGAACTGCACGTTGGCCTGTCCGCCCGGTCGAGACTGCTGGGCATTTCGATGTGTGACGACGCCAACGTCTGCCGTCCCGTTTGGAGATGACCGCTTCGTACTGAGTGCTGCGTCGGAATACGGTCCAATCACAGTAGCAGACTGAGCAACCCACCGCCTTTGTGAAAAGGATAGCCTACGCAAGGCAACGCGGACCGACCGAGACAATGCCGTGCTCTTGCTTGCATCGAGCCGGTTGTGGTCATCCTTGGACCTGCGTCACCGCAGCAGCGGGCCTCAGGGGGCTTCGTAGGTCGAGGCACAAGTATTGACTTTCTATATATCACTAAGGACTACGTGTAATAAAGGCTCAGTCGCTCACACCTTCATCACATCTCTCCTGGTCGAGGTCATCACTCGCAATCCTAACTTCAATCTCTTTCAATTATCCCATGCCTCTCTTCAAATCTGATCGGCTTTGTCTATGAGGTTGAAAGTTGCGTGAACAACGAGTCTATCCGATTCCGTCTATATGAATCTATGTTGCGTGCACAAGCTTTCTACTGCACCGATATTTAGTACGATCTACTGCGTCTTCCTCCCTCTCTTTCCCGCAGCCGTCGGCTTATACTCCTTGACGCGAATCACCACCGGGAACCACCCCTTCTGCAGTCTAAAGTTGTTCACATCCTCCTTCTCGCCCGCTGCCAACTGGCTTCCTGCCGTGATCAGACAGTAGGCGCCCCACCCGGTCAGGATATGCCACCAGCCGTGTCCTTGAAGTAGGATGGCCCAGGGCTGACCGACGCGCGCACGCGCCTGTCGCAGCTGGTAGCAAAAGATGTTGTCTACGTTCCAGATGGCGAAGCCCGTCAAGAAGGTGATCGCGCCAAACAGGTAGAGTCTGAGGATCTCGCTCTTGCGCTCCTTGCCCGCCGGGGTGTTGAGCGCTGATGCGGGGGATTGAAGCAGATATACCACCCGAACGGTGGACACGAGTTGGATGGATCCGTACGCGACTTGGTGGAAGACAGGATTGCCGTTCCACACGTACACCACGGTGATCCACGTCACGAGCAGCACCAGCGTGGTAGGTAGCAAGATGCGGAATCGTGGCTTGCCGTAGCCTTTCGAGGTTTCGCAGACACAGTAGGTGAGCCAGGCGGAGGTGTAGATCATCGGCAGCTCGTCGAGCAGTTGCGTCCAGTACATGAGTGTGCCGTGGAACAGGGCGCTGCCGAACCCGACGAGCGCTACGCCCAGATGACATATCGCATAGCGCAACGGAAGACGCTCGCGGACCGTGACGCGATACCCGTAGAGGGCAAGAACGATGAAAAAGACGTTGGTCACCGTGTTGATCGGTTCCGCGACGTAGCGAGACCAGCGGTACTTTTCTTCGCACCATAGGAGCGTCGAGGTGATCGGGCCCCAGTAGCCGGTGGGAAGGGGGTTCGGGTCTTTGTACCACGACATGATGCTCTGCGTCCTGTATTGCGATGAGGTGCTCGCTTTATGGGGGTGACGATGCGGTGGTGGAGAGACAAGATGGAGGATGATATCAAGCAAGATGCAACCTCACAAGCGCTTTCACGCTTCGGCTTGATTTGACCGGACAGGAGCACACAAAAAAGTAAGCCTTACTTCTCCACGTGTTGCCGAGGAGGGAGAAGAATCGAAGGACCCTTAACGAAAAGTCAGCCCTTCGGTTCGGGATTCGGCATGCTCGATTGGTGGTGAGCTTTGTTTTTGGCGACCGTCGGTGTGCGGGGTAAATCCGGTCTTCTCCTGCCGTCATCTTTCAATTCGTAACAACACCATCATCATGCCGCGCTCAGAGGCGTCCGCATCCGCATTCATCTCGACAGCTCGGACGAAGCGCAAGCGTGTCTCGCGAGCATGCGATCAGTGCTTCCTCAAGAAGGATCGGTGTGACGGTCTTACACCCATCTGCACCTTCTGCTCACAGCTGCAGCGGACGTGCACATACGACCGACCAGAGCGCAAGAGGGGCCCGACGCAGGGGCTCAGACCGCGACTAGAGCAGAGGATAGCCGCGTTGGAGACTGTATTGGGTTTCGTGCTCGAGCAGACGGGTGAGGAGGGGTTGAGGGTGGACCTGCTGCAAGGGGCGCGTGAAGAAGAGAAGAGGAGGTGGAGACAGGATGGATGGTGGGAAAGCGACATGCGAAAGGAACTCGAGCGGGAGTTCGGGCTTGAAGAAGATCTTGCCACCAGCGGATCGGCAGTCAAGGGCGAGGAGGCTTCACCAACGGCAGCCCTTGAGAGGGAACACGACGACGCAGGATCCGAATCAGACTACTCAGAGGTCGACCTCTCTCTTCCTCCGACACATAAGCCGTCAACAGACAACAAAGGCCAATCTTCACCACGTCACAGCAAAAACGCGGTAGAGCATCACATCGACGACGATGCTGCGAATCTCGTACCCATGCCGCTGCTGTCCTCGGGCGCAGGTGGCAGCTCTCTGAATCGTGGTCTCGTTCCGCGTGGCACTGATCCAAACACTGCTCTGGGCGGGTTCAACATCGAATTTGGTGGCAACCAGACGGATATTGATTGGGTGGAAAGCTTTACCGCCCCAGCTCAATCGCGAAATAGAAGGCAGGCAAGTCAAGGGAAGGGACAGCGACGGCAAGAATGAATCGCGACATTGATCCGCAAAGCTAAGGAGTAGATGAGTGGCAATGGAAAAGTCTTTGCATTCATCATGACTGCTTTTGGTTTGCCAGAATGGCACTACAGGAGTGAGCTCTGATGATCTTTCGTTTGGGGTCAACGGTTGAGTCTAGGCCTTTGTGGGCGTGGTGGGTCTCGCGAGCTCCTGAAAAGCCTTCCATTCCTCCGATTTCATCTTGTAGGCTTCCACACCGTCGTCCGGGAATTGCCGATGTCTGACAGCTTGTGTATAGGCCTGCACAGCTGCCATTCTCAGTGCTCCGATCGACGTTCCGTGTTGCAGGCTGAAGTTGCGAACAAATTTGGGTGCTGGTGGAGTCAGAGGGCTGTGTTGCGGGGTAGTTGCATCGGGTTCCTGGCCGTCTTGAGTTGGCAGAGCTCGAGCTGGAGCTTGAGCTAAAGCAGCCAACACGTGGCCTGCGCCCGTCAAATCGCCAATCATGTCGTTCATGACGAGAATCTGGCCGTCGGTCTTGCTGCCGGCTCCGATGCCAATGGTTGGGATGCTGAGTCGCTGGCTGATGAGCTCTCCGACCCTGGTCGGGATGCATTCGAGTACGATCGAAAAGCATCCGGCTTGCTCGAGAGCCAGGGAAGCGTCGAGGATCTCCTTAGCCTGCTGAGCTGTCCTGCCTTGGAGACGATATCCTGATGTCGAGCCAACTCGCTGCGGCTGCAGACCGAGATGACCCATGACTGGGATGCCGTGTTCTGTCAGACGTCTGATGAGCGGGACAGCTTCGTATGAGCCTTCGATCTTGATACCGTCGATGCCTGTCTCTTGCATCAGACGCACGACAGCAGCTACGCCTGAGTCGACGGAGCCAAAAGTTCCACCGAAGGGCATGTCTGCAATGACGAGCGGGGGTTGCGGTAGGTCAATGCCGTCGAGCAGGCTGGCGGTGGAGAAGAGGGGTGCATCGAGACCACGCTTGACTGCCTGGCAGTGATGAATCATGGCGTCGAGCGACAACGGCTGAGTCGAGGTGAAGCCAAGGGCGACATTGGCGAGCGAGTCTCCGATGAGACAAAGGTCGATGTCGGAGGATCGAACTGACAGAGCAGTGGGGAAATCGTAGGCCGTAAGACAGACAATGGGAATACTGCCGTCTGGATGATGCTTGAGAGCGTGAAGGTCGGCGATCGTCTTGCTGCGAGGTGGGGAGGGGATGGAGGTGAGCGCCTTTGCTTTGCCTTTGCCAAGCTTCGAAGAGGATGGAGACGATGATGACTCGTCGGCGTCGGCTGTTTCCACCGCTCCCGCCGGCCAAGAGCTGGAATTGGCGGCGGAGCCGCCGAAACTACGCTGTTGAGCATGAGAAGTGGGAGTCAAGGAATGACCCACCTTGCGAGGCAGCTTGGATCGACCGGATTGATGCGATTGATGGGTTGCCTTCGCTGCTCCTCGGTAGGCAGCCGTGGAGTAGGAGCACGAAGGTGTCGAGGTGATGCCTCCCTTTGGCACAAAGGAACGGAGCTGGAGCCGAGCCAACCCGCCGGCTGTGGATGCCATGGTGGCTGACTGAGGCTTTCGATCAGGTCCGAGATGAGAGCCTTGGTGCGATGTGCTCTTGGCGCGGGCTGTGTCTGCGAATGGTGATGGAGAAGAAGGAGGACCCGATTGAGGAAAAGCTGATCCTTTCGAAGCGCAGAAGCTGCTTTCGGATTGGCCGTGCTCTTCGTGTGATGCTGCAGCTGCGCTGTGAATTGTGATCCGGCTACGCCGCACTCATTATTTTTCAAGCACAAAGCTTTTTTTGGTTTCATCTCTCCACATCCCGCAAAGAGAAAGAGTGTCGGCAGAGTCTCCCCGGAAAAGCCGAACAGGTCTGCCTTCTTTGACCTTAAGCTCACGATCAAGCTCAGCACCACTCCGCAGTCAAGGACGATTCCCATGCCTTCACTTTGACGCCATTAGAGATGTTCACGAGAAATTGGGCTGCTGGATGTCTGCGCGCACAGTCATCGAACAACAGGCACAGTGCGCAGAAGATGGGAGTGCTGCTGAAGCTGCGCACACGGACTTCATTCGGGAGCATGCTTGCGCAGCCGCTGGTCCCCTTGACGAACTCAGCCGTGACGAGGTCTGTGATGAGCTCAAAATCCGTCGGAATCGCAAGCGAGGCACAGCCGAGATACCAAAGCGGACGAGCCAGTCACTTTTCGAAGTGTTACTAGCTGTAGGTTGTACCGCTGAAGCCTGCATGCTCTTGGTCGCGGCACTACCGTAAATTGCCTGGAGAGCGACTCGACAAGCCGGATCATAGATCAACGAAGTTCAGCGTTGCAGATGGAGGGGGTCGAGGGCTAGGAATCATTTCCAGCCGCCTAGTCTGCAGCATGAAGGTCGCTAAAGCAGGGAGTTGGCGTAAGGCGGAGCTTTGAATTTGACCCGCTGCACAAGTCAAGGCTAAAATGGGAACTGGCCTGTTGGCCCGCGAATATACGTTAGTAAGAGCGCTTGGACCTTTCGACGTCTCTGACACGTCGACACGATTCTTCCGCTCACTATCCACGTTCTCTCTCATCTTACCATCTCTCAAGTCAGCAGCTGTATCCTTCGACAAGCGGCAAAGCGTACAGCCCATTCTATCCCGCACATATCCTTAAATCTGTTCATCCCTGCATCACATCTTCCGGAGTCGCATCAGATTCCCTATCCTGCTCTCGAACCAGGTCCCGGCGCAATTGCTCTTCCGAGCTCATATTACTACACGACGATCAGCCATTCCGCAGACACCATTCGAACAGTGTCAGCACATCTGTCTGCTGATTCGCCACCATGGCCGACGCAACCAACATCGATTACCTCCACTCGCCAGGCTACCGAAACAATCTCACGCCATCACAGACCTTAGCGCTCTTCAAGCTCTGGCGTCGCTTCCTCCGACTATGCGAGATCACATCACATTCCACCGATTCGATTGGCGTCGATGTCGATGCACAGCCTCCTCCTATCGCTTCTCGCAGCTCGACCGATTCGAGAAAGCGCGGTCTTGGTCGGAAAGCGCGCACCACTGCCTCCGAGCCCTTCTCGAATCAGTCTTCGGCATCCGCATCGGCAGAGAACCTCAACACATCGGATCGGCTCGATCCGAATCAAATACCAAAGGATGACAAGCTCAAGGAACACTTGCGCCACCTCGAGGAGAGCAAAGACATGCATGCCTTCCTGCTCAAACACGGGGGAGCAGCCTTGCGGCGCGAGTTCTGGGCTATCGTCAAGGGCGAGCATCCAGATGCCTACATGCTGCGATGTCTACGTGCGCGCAAGTGGGATGTCGACCGCGCGCTTGCCATCATCGGCTCAACGTGCGCCTTCCGTGTCCAGTATGACATTTCAGGCATCATGAAGGAAGCCGAGCTTGGATTGACAAAGACAAGAGGCGGCTTCAACATCATGAACAATGGTCTTTCCTACGTATACGGCGCAACAGCGACAGGCGAGCCTGTCTACTTCATCGAGGTCGGCTCCCACTACTCGTCGAATCAGACAGCCGAAGAGCTCAAACGGGGTGTCATTCTGCTGCAAGAGAGCCTCCAACTTCTCATGCCTCCGCCCGTCGAGCGCAAGATTGTCATCTTCAACCTGAACAACTTTGGCCTTCGCAACATGGATTGGAGCGTCGTGCTGTTCATGGCCAAGACCATGGAGTCGTTCTACCCAGAGACATTGGCGAGAGTCTATGTACACGGAGCACCATGGATCTTCAAGCCCATCTGGAGCATTCTCCGTCCATTGTTGGATCCCGTCGTCAGAGACAAGGTGCATCTCACATGGAAGGTGGAGGAGTTGGCAGACCACGTACCTGCTGAGCATTTGCCGAAGAATACTATGCACGGCGAACTCGACTGGTCATTCACCTATCCCTTCCCTCAAGAGGACGAGAACGACATCCAGAATGACACAACAACGGCCGACGAGCTGGCGACATCCTACCGCAACGCATGCATGGAATTCGAATATGCAACACGTGCGCTCGCGCGAGCCTATGGAGACGCTGCGCTTTCGGATGCCAAAGGCGATGGTGTCCGAGCACGTTTCAGTCGTGCTCACAAGGAAGGTTCTGTTGAAGACGTCGAAGAAGACCCGGACTGGGAGCCAGAAGGCGTAGCTAGTCTGCGCGCCAACCGAGACATTCTGGCCACCAAGGTGAGAGTCGCCTGGCTCAAGCTCAAGCCGTACGTCATTGGCACCATCAAGTACGATCGATGGAACGTGGTAGACAAAGATGGAGTGATCCGGTGGAAGTATGACACGCTGAATGGAAGGCACGAGGAGCAGGTGCTTGGTGAAGGCACCTCGCTGTCGGCCCTTGAGCGCAATCTTGCCGAGCTGGATGCGATCACATCACAGGCCAACCGCAGCTCGACAAATGGCAGTGGCAATGGTGCAACAGCGGCAAAGGTGCAAGCTTCCAGGGCAATGCTCGATGACCATGGCGAAGCGAGACGTTCGCGGCGAACCCGACCGCACACCAACGGAAGCAGCAAGGCTGTGCCAGCCGATCATACCCCCATTCATTCGGCAGCAGCGAACGATCTCGCAGGAACAGAGGCGGAGGGCCGACGCAGCTCAGCCGCTTGGACAGCAGCGTCCAAGGTGGGCAGCACCACAGATACCACGTTTGAAGAGACGATACCGATCCATCCTAGTCAACTGGAGCAGATGGCAAAGGCGCGCAATGCGGACGCCGAGGTGGTTGAGACTGGCAAGTCTCACTGAGCAGCGCGGGCAACGCTCGCTGACCTTGAAGTTCCTCGAAGCATGTATTCTAAGTCATCTCATTTGCAACCTGCAACATTTTTCTAAGGGATGACGACGTCCATCACGATAAGCTGTCCGTGAGGCTTGACTGGGGCGCCAAATCCTCTGAATGTCGAGTCTTCTGCTTCCGCATTGCTGCTCTGACCTCAACAGAGCTGAAACTTGAGATCGTGATCGTTGATGGTCCAACTTTGGGTCCACGACACAAGGCAAGAAAGCGACTCTCATTCATTTCAGGCGAATACGTCGAATTGCAGCTAAGATTACTGTAGGGCTGTATCTTTCTGCGGATCAAGCCTTCAAGAACTTGGCATGGAACTTGATATGATCCTCAGCGAACGTCGAGATGAAGAAGTAGCTGTGATCGTATCCGTCCTGCAGGCGCACCTGAACATTCTTGAAACCCTTCTCCTCGGCGACCTTCTGGAAGTTTTCCGGGAGCAGCTGACCCTGTTTGTAAAAGTCATCTGCGGTGCCGCTGTCGATGAGGATGCCGGGCTGGTCTTGTGCGTCCTTGAGCAGGAGCGTGGCGTCGTACTGTTCGCCCTCCTTGAGGCCGTTTTCGAGGTAGCCTTCGAAGGCCTTTTTGCCCCAAGGGCAGGCGGTGGGGTTGCAGATGGGCGAGAAGGCCGATGCGCTCTTGTACTGACCCCGATTCTTCAGGTAGAGCGTGAGCGCGCCGTGGCCACCCATCGAGTGGCCGAAGATGCTCGCCTTGCTCGTGTCAATGGGCAGTTCACCGAGCTTGGAAGGAAGCTCCTTGACGATGTAGTCGTACATGTTGTACGCAGCGGACCAAGGCTGCTTGGTAGCGTTGAGGTAGAAGCCTGCTCCAGAGCCAAAGTCGTAGCTCTCATCCTCGCCGTCGACCTTTGCTCCACGTGGTGAGGTATCTGGGAACACGAGGGCGATCTGTGCCGCCTCGGCAGCGTTGAAGAAGCCCCCCTTCTGCGCAGCGTTGTCCTCCGTGCATGTAAGACCAGAGAGATAGTACAGCACGGGTACTTTTGAGCCGCTCACAGCGGAAGAAGGTAGAAACACGTTGATAGCGGTTTCCAGCGAGTTGAGCGACGAAGAAGTGAACGAGTACTTGGTGAGTGTCCCGCCGGAGACCTTGTTGGCCGACTTCTTGTTGAGCGACATCCTGACGATTGTGCGAAGTAGTGGAGTGTTTGTGGAAGAAGAGTGAAGCGCTGCTAAGGAAGGTACCGCGACTTGGTGAGGTGGTGGTGGTGAGGAAGATGCAGATGAGCACGAGGGAAGGAGGGAAGTGCTATGTCTGGTCAGTGCGCACGGAGGTGGAGGGCAGTGCGAAAAAACGCAACAGATATATTGCTTTCTTGTAGTATTTTTGATTTGTTAGCTCCTTGTTTGTCGAACAGCGTCTGCCTTGCAAATCTAGGAGAAAGCAGCATACAGTAGATCGGGGTTCGACTCCGCGGCGCGCGATGCTATACGCGACCGCCGCTTCGTGCGTGCTTGACTCTCTGTCGAGCGCTCTGCCTGACGATCAAGTCGAACTTGGAACTGGCTCTGGACATGCGAGATCTGTCATCCTTAGTAATTTGTAATGAAATCCTCAGGGTTTGCTCTTCGCCGCCCAGCGCCAATAAAGTGTGTGGCGACGGCGAGACTGCGCAGACAAGAACACGTCGATCGACGAGGGAAGAACAAGCTGTATCAATGGCGTTTTGCGAGCATGAGTCGTCTCAAAAGATCCATTGAAAAGTCCAGAGCGCACACATTTTGAGGACACGCTTTCAATGAACATTGCTATAACGAAGCGGACGAGTTACATTGTGACTGGCGTACATGCCCCATAGATGAAAGCCGTGCACAAGATTATCAGCTCTTCCGTCCAAAGAGTGAAAGCGTTCCCTCCACCATGGATGAGCAATCGGCAGACCAAACAGGGGCACCTGCTGCTGAAAGGGAGCGAGCGACCAATCGCCCACCGACCATGCACCGTCGCTGACGATGAGGCATCGTGAGGAAATGCGCAGGCGACCAGGCTGTGTAAAGCGGGGAAGAAGAGTGGTGACCTCGTACCTTCCGCCATAGTCTTGACACAGGATCATGGCGACTTGAGTTGCGTCGACCATGAATTGGACGATATCGTCCACCATTTCCATGCCCATGTCAAAGCATTCGAGGGCAAAGTCGAGCATGTGTTGCTCGTTGGCAGGGTAGATCCGGCGGTAGTCGGCAAGATGTTGGGCGAGATACTCGTCCAGCATCTGGGTTGGCATGGGCACATTGAATGCGACGCCAAGTGCCTCGTAACCGTCACCATTGCCGATGATCCAGCGGTCGAGCTGGATGTGTCCGACCTCGGCTGGATCGACAGGCCGGCAATCCACCGCTCTGAAGCTGGCAGGACCGAGATCGTCCAGATGGTCCACCGTCTCCAGCTCCCTGTTGACCACCTCATCAAAGTCCAGCTCTTGCGTCCTGATCCAGGCCGCATGCGAAACACGCGGCCTTCTCACCGGCAGCGCTTCTCCCTCCTCGTGTCCCCTGAGAGCAATGGAATGGATTGTCAGTCTTGTATCGTTTTGCTAGGAGAATGAAGATACTTACTCGTGCTCGGGGCGATCCACAGCAATTTGCCATCGAACGTCGACACCGGAAGTGATCACGATGCGAAAGGGGCAGCCAACCCTTCGATGATGACTGCAGCTGAAAACGACGCGGCCTGGATTGAGCTGAGTCCGGACGATGGGCACATCGACTTGTGCAGCAGTGGTGCGAACAAACTGCATTGCCTCATCACGACTGTCAAAGGTCCGTTGACCCAAGTAGGCCTGCGTGAGGCCGATTGCTGCCATCTTGTTGCTTGACGAATGCGAGGCGCAAAGATGGTGTGCGGGAGAGACGAACAAAAGGGCTGTCCAACATTGCAAATCGACTTTTTGATTCAGAGGCATTTTTGGCATCGGTATTGTCTCAAACGACGAGTTGTGGCGCTGTTTCGAAGGACGACTTGGACAGTACTCAATCGACTCATGCGACGACCTGGCTGTTCGTCGTCGCTGTTGCGACAAGGTTTGAAATGATGCGTGAAATCTATCGACGTTGCAAATGTGCCGATCGCTGAAGGGATTGATTGGAAAGCATCTTCAGGTCACCGATGCGGCTAGCAAGAAACACAGGCGCCGTACACGCTACCTTTTCGACGACAAACAAGTATCTCTCGGTCACTCATCGACCCTTTCAGTATCAATCTTATACTTTTTATGAACCAGATTCAACAGTCTGCGAGACGAGAATGAGGATACGATTGCGGTAGCAATGTTTCATTCACGATGAGGACATATTGCGGGCAGTTCTTGCGCGAACAGATCGACGACTTTGAGACGTTCCCGCCTCTGTGGAAGTGCGTGTTGCTGCTACAACCTGTTGTCCTGAGTCATGCGGCGAGTCGCTATGTAGATATCGAAAGACATGCTGGATCGCGGGTTCTAGGCGATCAACGATCCCCTTACGCATGAAGCAGGTCACCGCAAACCGATGCATAACATCAGTGCCTCGGTACGACTCGTGCTGGTATGAGCGATGCAAGATCTCGTCCGATCTGAAGAGAACGATGTCCAATGGCTGCAGCTCCAGCCGACATCGATACGTCGGCAGCTCAAATACCGCATGCTGTCCGAAATTGAGCAAGATCGAGACGCCTTTGTCTCTGACATCGCGATGTGCCCCACCTGAAAAGCCTCGAAAGGCGAGAAAGGTAGAATACAACGGATGACAATAGTGTGCCAGCCCGGGCACACGCTTCTCGGCCCAGGGAAAGTCATCTGCGATGCGAGTCTGCAGCTCTTCCCGAAACTGCTCGCAAAGGCCTGATTCGCTTCCTAGCAGAGGGGCTACGTACGCCTGGACATACTCTTTCACCCAAGCACACATAGCACCGACCGCGCTTTTGCCTTCGGGATGCTTGCGCTGCTCGGTGTCTTGCGTGATCAGTAACCGCTGGTTACGCTGATCATACCACGCTCCCAGATGCAGACGATTGAAGGCAGATCGACGCTGTTCTTCTGCCTCGGGCGACAAATCGGTGTTTGCCGCAGCTTGCGCTGCAGTTGAGTCTTCCAGGTTTTGTCTCGTGCTATCGCTAGGGGGGCCTGTTGGCACAGCTGAATTCGTCATTGCAAACAGCCTCTGACTTCCATCTGCGGCTTTGCGACGCATGGCATAGTAAGCAGTGCGATCTGCTGGTCCGAACCGCTGCAACAGAACCCGACCGTTTGTGTCTTTCAGTGTGATGTTGCGATTGTAGATGACATCGCGCCGATCCTCGTAGGAGGTCACCGCACGTCCTGTAACGTAGCTCGTTTTGACGCTTTCGTTGCTATTGACACTTGAGACTCTGCGTCCGGGCTGCGACAAGCGTCTGGCGGTCAGAACGATGGTTTGCATATTGATCCTAGCCAACTGATAAATGTCGCGATCAGTCGCTCGACGTTCGCTCTCGTAGTCTTGGGGCGCTGGAGGCAAATACATTTCTTGGATGAGACCGTGCTTTTCTTTGTGTAGACAAATGCACGAGATGCAGTCTATGCTTGATATGAAGGGGTAGCGACTTATATTATACTGTAGAGAAGACAGGTCTGATAAGCTACAACAAGCGAGCGAGTTCAGTTTGCTCCAGAACCGCCTCGGTTTTTGGACCCACCCCTACTGAGCCATACCGTCTCGGTTTTTCAACATCTATCGCCGCGTCGTACCGAGGCGATGTTCATGCTAGAGTTTTTCCCTTTTCTTTTTTTTATTTTTTTATTTCCGGCATCGTTGCCTCACTTTGAACGTTGATATCTACTCAACGTACATATCTTTCGCTTCTGATCTTCCGACCCGGGTGTCGTGAGACTCTATTGAATGTATTGGCACTATTTGCGGCGCAGTATCAGACGTCGAAGAATGGTTGCAGCGAACGAGCTGCTTTTTGGAAATAAAAGAAAATCGATTTACTTGATCTTTTTCCTTTTTCTTTGGCAGCCGCCTTTTTTCCCCCTCGGGCGCTCCATCCAGCCCTCCGTCTCTCCTCATCCCGCTTATCGTTTTGGCTCGATCTTTCGAGGGTGATATCGTAGATTTATTCGTCATGCTCAGGTATAGTCGTCAAAGTCAGGGGATGCGTCCACGGATGATGGCAGCGAATGAGCTGCATTTTCTTTTCTTTTTGAAAAAGGCAAAATAGAATTTCCACGAGCGACAGTGGGGGACACGAGTGTGACTGAATTGGGTCGGGGACATGACGGTGACAGGGGAACCTGATGCGACGAGAGCAAGAGCGAGGACAGGAGAAGACATCGAAGCTCAAAAGAGGTCGCTCGATGTCGATGATGTGTTGACGAGAATGTCTACAATGACGAAGGGGCGACGGCGCAGGGAAGCGATGTCGTGCTTTGCGCGATCAAGGTATGCTTTCGTAAAGTCCATATTGCTTTGCACAGACATACTACATCTCAAACAAGCTCACAGACGGAATCAAAGGATGGAACAAAGTATCATTCAATTGACGATTCGTTTGGACGGAAACTTGAACAGCGAGAATGAGAGAAACGAGCGAACATATCAACGAATCGCCCTGAGAATCATGTTGACGGCTCCGTTGTGATCTCGGCCAGCAACGTAGTCGCAGTCGGGCTGGGAACACTCGAACACCTCCTTGGCTCCCAGCTTGTCGTTGAGATGGCCACATTTGGCGCACGTCTTCGAGGTATAGGCCTCGGGCTGCGCAAGCAACATCGATTGATGCTTGTTGTACCGCTTGTCGTGCTGCACGTCGTGGGCCTTGATGTAGAGGCGGTCCGCAAACTCGCAGTGACGGTAGGCCATCAGCGTCCGTTTGACCTTCTTGTTGAGACGCCGACCTCGAATCATACCTCGCGTCTCCATACGAGGCATCACCACCACGTTTGCCGTCGTGGCAAAGTAGTTGGCAGCCCGACGGTGCAGATCCGTGACGAGATTGCGATGGTGTGCGAGGATGCGCTTCTCGACTTTGAGCAGGCGACGTCGCTGCTTGGCAGGCAGCACAAATGGGCGCTTGTCACCCTCGCTGTCGTCTTCGCCAGGTGTCGAGGCGACAGTGTCGACCGGCTTGTCCTCGTCGTCACGCGCCTTGCCCTTGCCCTTTTTGTCGACCGACATGTCCTTGGCGTCCTGCGAGTCGTCCTTGTCGCTGATCGACTTGTCCTGGTCGTCGTCCTTCTTGTTGTCTGGACGGTCGCCCACCTTTTCCATGCGACGACCCTTGAGCTTGTCGGCTTTGACCCGCATCGCAGCCAGTCGAGCAGCATCCTCCTTGCTGCCAATCTCGACGGTTCTGCCAACGGACTCGAAAGCAGTGAGCATCGTGCGAGCACCTGGATCGATGCCAGTGACGGCCATTTCGCCTGTATCTAAGACAATGAATAGAAACGGTGTCAGCTTATTGCAAGCCTTGAGTCCTTATGACGGAACAACTTACTTTGGAAAACGGTCTTGACCTTGGGCTGCGTCTTGTCGACCTTGAACGCAATCGTGAGCCAGTAGCCCTGGCTATTGCGAACGATGCGCCACTCCCGCGGCAGTTGAAGGCGCTCCTCCAGCTCGTTTGCTGGGGACGCAGAGTCGACAGCCTTGTCCTCGTCCTTGTCGTCACTGTCCTCGTCGTCCTTCTTGTCGCCACCGTCGCCGTTGTCCTGCCCCTTGTCGCCTTTCAGCAAATCGTAGAGCTCTTGACGATTCTTGTTGCCTCTGACGCGCATCTCGACGTAGGGACTGACCTTCACTTCTTTGAGCTTCATTGGGGTCATGACAAGCCAAGGATTGGCAAATCTATCGGGGTCCACCACCCCGCCCCGTGAAGAGTCTTTGCCGTCCTTCCGACGCTTGCTGCCATTCTTGCTGACCTTGGGACGCTTGTTGCCGTTCGTGACAAAGGCAATGGAGCCGCAAGTCTTCGCAAAAGCAAGCTCAAAGCCTGTGGACGTCTCGACAGGCTTAATGTCGAACAGCTTGTCCGTCTTTCCTGCCCGAGTGAGGAGAGACTTGCGAGCTGCAACAGCCTCCACGATAGCTTGACGACGTGGCTGCACCGGACAGTTTGTCATCGAGTGCTTGAGGTCTCGATCCTGCTCCCGGACAAAGTCGCTTGTGTTGTTGACCAAGTCCCTCTTGAGCTGGAAGTCCGACAAGGCCTTGTAGTCTTGAACAAGATTGACCCGTCGGATCGCCTCGTTCTTGGTGATGACGACGCACTCGTGCCAGTCGCTGAGAACCTTTTTCAGCTTTGCAGACGGCTCGAGCTTGTACGTCCTGGTCCGGGTGCCCGTGATCTCGGGGGCAAGAACCGTCGGGAACGGCTGAGGCGGGGCCGATTTGGTCGAGGGATCAGCCGGAGG